GAGTTTATACACCCTTGCTTTCTCAACCCGTCGTTGACAGGATATCGGTGGGTTGTCGTCATAACGCGATCAATCTGGTTCAGGAAGGTGTCGCGCGGTCGGCTTCTGCGGCGGAGAAGAGCGTCCTCAGTATTGTTTTCGCGCCAACGACCAAACGCAAACGCCATTATTGGCGACGATGGCCTCGTCCGTGCTCCGGTCGCCGGAACTCAAGGAGACCATCGTGTCGTACCAAGAAGGACTACCGCAAGACTTGGCCATCGCCCAGCGCCTCGCGGACGCCGTCACGCTCACGCCGTACCGGCTATTCACGAGCGACGACGAACCAGGATACCTTGCCAACGTCCCAGTCCGGTTTGGGTCGCTACCGTACCTCCAGCGTTTCCCACACCCAACGACCAAGCTTCCTCATCACGCGCTCTTTGTCTCGCCGTGCTACTGCGACCGTGCCCTCGCGCTCCACCTCTTGATTGTCGAAGGCAACGTGGCGCTCGTCCAGCGCTGGCTGCGATGGGATGCCTCGCTGTGTACGTCGGCGACGCTCGAGCTTGCTGCGGCTGCGTCCCAAGGTCCGATTCTGCGTCTTCTCTTCGAGCAGTTTCCAGCGCTGGCCACACCCAAGATGATGGACCTCGTCGCCATGTCGGGCGACCTCCCACTGCTCAAGTGGCTTCACGAGGCGGGTGCTATATGCTCCACCGCCGCAATGGATGGCGCGGCCATGAACGGTCATTCTGACGTTGTCCTCTTCCTGCACTCTGCAAGGACCGAGGGCTGCACGATCGCGGCGGCAACGGCAGCAGCCGTCAATGGTCACGCGTCGGTCGTTCGCTTTCTTCTCGAGCAGCGCACCGAAGGCGTCGACCCGCACCTCCGATTTGCAACTCCGCACGGCGAGCACAAGACGCACAGTGTACGTGGCGAGACGCACATTGCGGCCGTCGACCTCGTTGCAGCAAAAGTCGAGTTGACAGACTCGGCGCTTCAAACGATCGTGGAAAGAGCGGGTCTCGCAGTCCTTCAACATGTCTACGCGCGCGGGTACCTCAAACGAATGACCAAGCGACTGCTGGAGCTGGCGGTTGCCAAGCAAGACCACGCAATGCTGCGCTACGTCCTTCACTGTGTCGACCAAGAGAACCCGCGGCCGCCCAGCGACAACGAGTGGCTGCCAACGTATGCACCGAAGGTACCAAAGGGGGCCCACTCGCTCTCTCGAACGGGTAACGTTGTTTGTCGATTCGACCGATGGGATAGCTGCCAAGTGATGGAGCTGGCTGCGCTCAACGGCGACCTGACGTCGCTGGAGCTCTTGCACAAGAGCCGCCTGCGAGTCGGATCGAGAAATGCCATCGTCTACGCGGCCTACCGCGGTCACATGCACGTGCTCGACTGGCTGAACAAGAACCGACGCGACGGCTGTGGCAAAGACGCAATGGTGCTTGCTATCGCCCGCGGTCACAATGACGTTGTGCGCTGGCTCCACGAGGTATACGGGCTATGGCGAACCCACGCTGCCTTGGCCACAGCAGCCTACATTGGCCACATGACAATGGTAACATACCTCTTGGACATACCGACGGGCGGTGCCGACAATTGGACCGACAAGACCGGCGAATGCTCTCGCGCCGTAGCATCGCTGCCACAACGAGATGGGTACCTTGGCAACTCGGGTGTCGACTACGTCAGCGGGTCGCCAGCCCACTGGGCAGCAAACCAAGGCCACCTCGAGGTTCTTCAGCTGCTCGTCGCTCGCGGCTACGAACTGCCGCCCCGAGCCATTGACCAAGCCGTGGAAAACGGTCACGTGGACGTCGTGCGCTACCTTCACGAGTCGTTTGGCCAACGCTGCGGCCGCCTGCCGATCGTGTTTGCGATCTTGAAGACGCACCTTGACGTCGTCGCCTACGTCCACTCGCGCCGCTGCTGGCAGCTCAGTTTGGATGACGACATCAGAAACATTACGCTCCCCATGCTGCTCGTGGCCACTGCACGCAGTGGTAGCCTCGACATTTTGGCGCTTGTCCACGCTGCTTTTCAAGTACCAACAACGCTACCACCCCGCGTCTCGGAGCGCATGATGATCCGCGCTGCGTCCTACGGCCACCTCGACATGCTCCGACATTTGCACGACGTCTATGGCTTTGGATGGACGCCAATGGCCCAAGAAGCAGCGAGACGACGCGGTCGCAAGAACGTACTGCGCTACTTGCAGACGCTTGGACCCGCGGACGCGTCTGTCTACGACATCGACGACCGAGATTTGTGGCTCGAGTTCGATGATTTTGTCATCGCCATGAGAATGGTCGGCGGACGCCAGCGTATGAGACCCATGTATCAGTGAGCATGCGACTATAAGGAATCGCTAGATACATAGCATGGCCGACTAAGCTCTTATATAACATGTGAACCGCACTGTTATATCTAATCAGTCGTCCCGCGAGTGTTCTTGGATAAGGCGCTGAATGTTCTGCAAGTCCTTGTAGAGGCCCGAGAGTTCCTCTGTCCACTGAAGCGCAGGTAATGCCTTCCCGAGCGCGGCCATGTCGTTGGCGTGGCGCTTGCGGGCGTCAATGTCCGCGGTCACTTGCTTGGCCAGCTTGCGAAGCTCAGTAAGCGTCGACTTTGGCTCGCGCAGCGCATCTTGATGACTGAGCTCCTTATCCAGGAGGTCTACGCGCCACAGTAATCGTATCTCATAGCTCAGAGAGCATGCGTACCTGCGCCCGGTAGCATCTCACGCGGTAGGATCGAGCCCGGCAAGTAGGTGAATTTTTGCTGTAATTTCTCCTTTTCTTCTTTGGAGCCTGGAAACCTACGCCACAATATGCAGCCAATAAATACAAAAGAAGCGGCGGACTTGGAGACGCGCGGGTGGTAGCCTTCGATGCTCGCCTTGATCTGCGCAAGCTCCTTTGCAATGACGTCCTTGGGCCGGCGGTGGATCGGCAGCACATCAATCGCGTGACATTGGTGCTACGACAACCTCCAGCAGTTGAGATTGAAGTGGCGATTTACCGAGGTTTGGTTGCTTGCGCAGGGTGCTGGCACATTGATGGCACGTGCTGTGTTGGACGTTGCGAGCTTGGAGCTGCGCGCATCGCGGGCTGCGACGCCCCCACCGGGAATGAACGGCCCCACGGGCTCCCGCTGCTTGGTGAGAACCTCTGTATGGCAGCGTTAGCCGTTGATGCTTCTACAGCATCAGACGCGCAGTGTACTGGGGTATTTGATTTGCGGCTTGGTATTGCCGTTGTAGAGCTTCTTGAGGAGCCGACCGGCCTCCGTATCCGAGCCAAACGCCCTACGTTCCACATTGTTAGGCTACGCCCCTCGGGTGGTCGCAGACTTCCAAGCCTCGGCGTTCACTTCAACTTCGTTGTTCATGGCGTCAATGACAATGAAGACGGAAATAGACTCGTTCTAATTATGCACCGTCGTCAGCGCTTGACCGTTCCGCTCGTTGTGACGTTGGTCGGTTCCTGGAAGAAAGGCTCGTATGCCGACGTGGCCTTGCGCAGCTGCACGGCGTGTCGGCTCGTACAGGACAGTTTAAACTGTATACAGAATGGCCATGATTACCCCGCCCGTGATACCATCCAATTTTGTGCATTCTGACTTTGTTCTGACCCAAAATGGCGCCGCAACCCGCATTTTCAGATCAACAATGTTGATGTCGGAATTTCAAGTGTAGAGCAATATACAGATATACAAAACTTGCAGCAAGATGTCGACACCACCGACCAAGGCATCATCAATGTTCATACCCCGTCGGGATCATAGGACTGCCGACGAGGCAGCGGCGAGCAGTTGACCGTTGCGAGCGTCGAGCGTTTTACCCTTGTCGGTTGACGACGATCGCCAGGCACTTTTCGACAATGATGGAAGCGCGTCTCGAGAACCTCAAGCGTCACGCGGTCGCGACCAAAGCCGACGTCGACTTCTTCGTCGACGCAGTCACGTCCAGTGCGACGGTCGCCTCGGTCACGTCTGCGATCGAGGCCCTCAGTCTACTCGCACGCACCCCATCCGGGCGATCACTGGTGCTCGATGCCATCCAAGCGGCCGGCGACGCATTCGAAACGGCACTGGCAGCTATACCCACCAAGGACGATACCATGCACCGTGCCTTGATGTACGAACCTAGCTTGTAGCGGACCAGGCTTGAGTTGCGTGGAAATAGCCTTTTGCTGGTTCGAATAGCCGAGTACAAGCTGCGCGCCGTCGACGCGATCGACTTTATGGGCGGCAACGCGTCGGGTACGATGGCGCTGCTGCTGCACGCGCTCTCTGATGCGTCGCTCGTCCAACTCGAGCCGCCGCTGGTGCCCGCGCTCGCCCGCGTGCTCTGCGAGCTCACGCTGCCCTGCGGGTACCCTACCCCCAAGGTATGCGGTGCGTACGTGTCGCCTGTTTGAATGCGTGGTAGGACGACCATGGGGACGTCGACGCCTTTGCGCGCGAGGTACATTTATGTCTATCGAACAATAGACATTTCTGATCGTGTGGCTAGTTGCATGCGCGGGCGGCGGAGCTCGTGGCGTCGAACGGGTTGCACAAAGTCCTGAACGGCCCGGTGTTTCGCCACTTGAACGCGGGCTTGCTCAACGCGTACTCGGACTCGACGACACTCCATCTCGCAATGGACTCGGTGCTCGGCACGATCGAGTCGTTCGCGTTGCTATTGACGGACGTGCCGCTACGCACGTCGTTCGTCAAATACATTTTGCTCTCCTCGGGGCTGCTCCACGACTGCCTCGTGCCCTATTTTCTCGTCGTGCTTACACTCCACCCGGTGAGCGCGGCCGCACATCCCACCGAGCCGACTTGGTTTCAGTACAAGGATGCCGCGACCGGGTACTTGATTTTGCAGTTGTATCATCGTGGACAACTTGTCTGTTGTGGTGTAGACATCCCTACTATTACAATTGCAAGACGCACGAAACGCGGTGGCAGCTCCCGCCCGGCAACTGCGTGACACCGGCGCGCAAGATTCAACTGCACGTGCGCTGTCTCACGCACTGGCTACGGCTGCTGGTCGCCTTGACGTTCCAAGCTGCGTCGATCCACACGACCGCCAGTCCGCTCACGGAGCCATATCTGAACGAGTGGCTGCGCGGCCTCTGCACCGCCGTGCTGGATGCACCGACCTCGTCAGGTAGACGAGAACTCGAGCGCCGTGAACTGAACACATTCGACTTGCACTAGCGACGCACCCGGTCGTGCTCTTCTTCCTCGAGAACGGCGCCGCGTTCCACTACTTTCTTTCCATCTTGATCAACATTGACGCTTTTCAGCACGCCGTGTACAACAACAACAACCAAGTTGCGCGGCTGCTGGCGCTTCTCTGCGCACCGCTCGACACCCGCACGCGTTTCCACGCGAAATTTGTACTTGCGTCCAAGAAAGGCCTGCACGTGCTTCGTGACAAGCTCTCGTTTACGCTCGTCCTTGGGCTCTTGCAAGCGCCGGAGGTGTATTTCATGGCCCACCCCCAGGCCCTGCCGCAGCCCAAAGAGCGTGTACGACTATCATCGCCTTGTTGTAGTCTGTACCATTCTGATGGTGCATTGCTAGTGGGACCAGTACATTGGCAACGACGCCCACGCTATCTACTACTACAACGTCACGACGCACGAGTCCGTGTGGGTACTTCCGCCGCCATTGCCGCTCGGGTGGATCGTCGTGTGGTGCGAAGACTACGAGCAAGGTTACTTTTACAACTCGGTGACGCGGTCGTCGTCGTGGGAGCGCCCGGCCATGACCGAGCCCGAGCCGCCGAGCACGGTGCACCTTGCCGCGCCTGTGGGTACGCCTCCTACTTCATATAACCCGGTCCAGAAAGGGTGTATAGATGCAACGTTTGAAGCCTACAGTGAACGCGTTATGCTCGAGTGGGTCGCGACGGCCATGCAGTTTCGCGGCCGTCGGCGCAGCGTCGCACCGACAAGCATCGGGCAGCACGCTCCGGGGCATCGCCGGCCCAGTGTCGTCGCCCACGACCTCGATTACCAAGGACTCTCGCGCCTCCACGCACCGAAAATGTGCTCGTATCGGTCGTGGCTTTTAGTCGGTGATGATGGCCGTAGGCTGCCGCCCGTGCGCGACAAGAAGATGTTTCAACAAGAGAACGGGCCCAAGAGCCCGCCGGCTGCGACGATTCCCGCCAAGTTTCTCTGCCCCATCAACCACTCTCTCATGCTCGAGCCCATGTATTCACCCGAGACCGACTTGACGTACGAGCACCAAGCGATCGTGCACGTCGTTCAAGACGGCGCTGGCGTGTGCCCCGTGACCCAGCGCTCCGTGGTAGAACGCTCGACACCTCAACTGATGCGGACGAAGGACACATTACTGTAGGATGTTCGCAAATTGGTGCTCAACACGGCGTTGCAGCAAGAGATTCGCGCGTTCCAGGCGCGTCAAGCCGACCACGACGCTGTTGTGGCCCTCTGAGCCAAGGGAAACGAGAACCTAGCTCTAAGCTCATTCCAAAGACGTATTGTCATCGCTTTGTTGACAGTCTGTACATTGTATTCCATTGCGGACACTGGTTGCAGCCTTGTGCGAGGCCGGGACCCTGGGTCCATTTCTGAGTTTGCCACTTTTGTCTTTCGGAAAAGCCGTCGACGCAAGACGGTGCCACCTTGTGGGAGTAGTCGCGGAATGTACCACCCCTTTCCGCTCTACTTTGCACGGTTGATATCTCCAGTGTTGCAGCGCACAGCCTTTCTCAGTCTCGTATTAATCGGTTCGAGGCGGTTGGCGATGGTTGCTGCTGTCTGTCCCACATACTAGTACTCTCGTGCTCGTTATATCATTTCCAACCTTGCCACCAGCATGTCCCTATCGCATGACCAACACCGCCTTGGGATTCGCAGGCCGACGCTTTACACCTTGACGACACGTAGACTAATAGATTCGTCCATGGAGATGTCGAGGGCAGTCGATGCGCGCTGCAACGCCACTCAACGTCCTTTCTACGGCAAACCCGCAAGTGCACTTTGCCCTTTTGGCAATGTTCTATTTTTACATAATCCCATGAAAATACCGCGCTATTTTCGCCGTTTCTAAACTTAGCAAGGCGCGCTTTTTGAGAAGGAGGCCCATCATTGCCAAGGTTCAGCGCTACCGCACAAGCGATGGCCTTCCTCCCCAACTGGCAGCAGCCGTTCTACACGCCCGTGCTCGTCAAGGTACACTGCGATAGTCTGCAATGGTCCTCAACGCGCTCCATTGCGTAGCCGCATGGGGTCGTGATCGAGTCGGGCCACGTATGTGTTGAACCCGACTGCGGCCTCGTCTTTGAGGACGCGCAGGGTCTCAAAGACCACGTGACGCAGCACACGTGGGGCCCCCACACCGTGCAGACGCACGAGAACGGCGCCAAGACCTTCCACTGCCTCGGGTGTGGCAAGGCCATGACCGACCGCAAGGTAGACGTGTGCACTCGTTCCTAGCTCAACCGCCGATGTAGGTGCTTCGAAAGCACTTGCTGACGCACCAAGAGAAGCGGTTTCTATGTACGTTTGACGGCTGCGACAAGAAATTCTACGAACGCGCCAAGCTCAAGCGCCACATGCTCGTGCACACCGGCGAGAAGGCCTTTCGGTGCACGTTTCCGGCGTGCGACAAGCACTTTGCGTACAAGGCGAACCTCAAGACGCACCTGCGCACGCACACAGGCTTGAAGCCGTTCCCGTGCCTCTTCCCCGGGTGTCCGCGGACCTTTGCGCAAGCCTCCAACCGCAATTCGCACATGCAGACGCACACACGGGCGTCGTCAAAAGCATGGGCGGGCGACGCCAAAGAGACGCCGATGCTCACGTCGTCGTCGTCGTCTTTGAATGCGATGGCCCCGTTCAAACTGCCGCCGATGGACTTGTCGCTGCAAGACTTCCTCGGACCGATGGACCCGATGCTGCAACGCATTCCAACGCCACGCTTTGCCAAGACCCCGAGCACGTCGAGTTGCTCTGTGTCGGGCAGTCACATGCCGAGAGCGCAGTTGTCGCCGCTCGACTTGTCGCTGGACGGACTCAAGTCGAGTGAGCTCTACAACATGCTGCCGACGCCCGGCTCGTTCCTCGGCGGCAACCTCTTCAGTTTTGACCCAGCGTCGTAACCTCGTGTTGGAGGCCCCATTTTTAATACACGGATGAATGACGTCACTTTGTCATTATGTCTACTCTTCCGTCGACTCGCGCGACGCACCAATGTCGATCGTCCAGACACTCGCCTTGTCCTTGAAGAGCTTTTGGACGGCGCCCTTGTCGGTCTTGGACGACAGGATCGCCCCCGAGCTCGAGAAGACTTGAATTTGCGACGGCGCGGTCGACGCGACCTCGTCTGCATCAAAGAGGAAGAGTGCGCATTTCCATTTGATCTCGTCAAAGCCACCGGAAATCGACTCGAGCTGCAGCTCGAGCGTCCGTGTCGCCTTGTCGCCCTTGCGCCGCAACGTCAACGTCGATGTCTACACAATGTAGGATACAATCAATTGTACACCAATTGGCCACAAAATACCTTGGTCGAAGGTTTGCTCCACCCGGTGCGGAGCCCCGAGAAGCCCAATTTTGACGAAAACTTCTTCATGAGACCGGACGACGACGACGTCGGTGCAGGCACGAGCGATCCGGACGCTGTCCGTGTCATGCGCGGCCCGGCTTCGTCGGTACCACCATCACTGGCCGTCTCCCACTCGGCTTCCGACCCCGAGTGCCGGTCACCGTCACCGCTGGCCGACGCCGTCGTCGCAAACGATGTGCGCTGGAGCTTGGAGATGGACGCACCCGTCGGTGTGAGCACGCGCAACGCAGCTTTGCTGTCGTCGGCTGCCGTATCGGGCTTGGACCAGTTGAGGAACTGCCGCGTGAGTGACGACCCTTTACTCGCGTCTTTCGACTGCTCGGCGATCGACGCCTGCGCCGAGAGCGCGGCTTGCTCGGCGATCGAGAGCATCGCTTTCGTCGCAGCGTCGGCAAACAGCGCCGCCTGGAGCGAGTGGAGGCCATCGAGAATGACCGTCTTGTCGTTGGAGCAGAGCTGCGCTTGGTGCGCTGCGTACGCGGGCGAGTGCTCGAGGAAGAGGCCGTGGCGCACCACCGCCTCTTGGACCTTTTGGGTCAGCGCAAACTTGGCCTGCTTGAGGCCAAACGCGACGTCATGGTCCCGCGTCGTGTTGGAGTCGATGACAATGTGCGTCGACCGGAGCGACGCCGTCAGCGGGTCGAGCAAGGCTGAGCACACCACCGGTTTCTGCGTGCTTTCCTAATAGAAGACGAGCACGATAAGAGAATGCAAGGATATCGGTTCGTACAAAGTCGATCGAACCGAGCACGTCTTGGGTCGTCAGCATCGAAAGTGACTCGGTCGGCGTTGCTGCTGGTACCGGAAACGCCGCCGCAAACAACGCCTCGGCGGTAGCCACCGGCGGCGTGGCCTAGCACACACATGTTACTTGACATTCACGGAGGGATAGAAGGTAGAAGCGTACGGCGGGTGGCGCAAAGGAGTCAAAGCTCGAGGCGAATCCCGCGCTCGTCGCGGGCGCTTCAAAGCTTGCGAAATCGTCGTCGGCCTGCTCGCCAAAGTCACCGAACGCATCGTCGTCGTCGTCGTCGTTGCCAGCCCACGCCGACGACTGGGCGCCCCAGCCGCCGTCATTCGCCGGGGCGGACGTCGCCCACTCATTCGCTGGCGCCTTCTCCACGGCCACAAAGTCACCAAAGTCGTCGTCCACCGGCGTCTCTTGCTGCACCTTGGCAGCGCCCGCGCTCAGCCACGACGACGTTGCGTTCGTAGCCACCGTGCGGACAACCGCAGCGCGCTCGGTCCACGGCGCGGTGTTGCCCAAATCGGCCGGCGCGGGTGGCGACCACGCACAGCTGTCGGTTGAAGTAGACGACGGGACGGCGGGCGTCGACGGTAGCCACGGGTTGCTCCCCGTCGTCGCGACCACCGGCGTCGGGGCGGCAGGCGCAGTGAACCACGGGTTGCTTGCTGCTGCCGATAAGGCTGGCACGGCAGGTGCGGTCGCCCACAGGTTCTCAAACCCATCGTCGTCGTCGTCGTTCTTGGTGGTGGTCGTTAGCCACGGGTTGGTCGGTTGCGCCGGCGGGGGACTGGACTGCAACCACGGGTTGCCGTCGTCGAGGGTCGAGTCGTGCGGGGCTCGGTCTGTGTCGGCAGCGGAAAGCCACGGGTTGGTGGCCGTCTCGTCGGGCACTGGCTCTTGAAGCCACGGATTCGACGTCCCACCGACGTCGTCGTCATGTGTTGAAAACGTATTGTCGGCGACGACCGTCGTCGACTCGGTCTCAAAGGCGGCGACATCGTTGCCACTGGCCGAATGAGGGCTCGTGCTGGATGGTGCGTCGTCAACCGGTGCGTTTTGCTCGAGCCACGGGTTTGACGCGACGGGTGACACTGCATCGTCGATTGAGAACACGGCCGTGTCGTCTTCCTGCTGCACCTCCGTGGTACTCTGCTGCCACGAGCTGGCTGTAAACGCTTCGAACGAGATCACTGTTGTGTCATTGACAAACGTCGAGACGTCGGTGTCGGCAGCAACCGAGAAGTCCGTGTCGCCAGCAACGGAGAAGTCAGCAGCCGAAGAATCCACCCACTCGCTCGGCGACGCGACGACGATTGGGGCTTCCACAGTGCTATTTGTATAGTCTTCTGGCGCCTCGATTGGCTCATCGACGGCTGGTGCAACCGGTTCGGCAAAGATCGGGACTTCACCGGCGTCGCTGGTTGCGCCCGCTGTGTTGACACCGGGCGTGGTGTCGTCGTTCAGAGCCGCCGCGTCGAGTGCAGCGTCAGGAGTCGACGCTCGTGCCGCCCAGTCGTCCGTCGCCGTCTTCTCCGCGACAAGGTCGTCGTCGGACGGGGCACTGGCGGTCGTCGATGTGGCAAATGCCGCATCAAGGGCTTCGTGGTGCGCGGCAGGGCTCCCGACCGAGAGTGTTTGGTCCGAGTTGGATGCTGTCCAGTCGGTCGTCGTTTCTTCGTCGTCATCGTCCACGGAGCTCGTGACGGTAAACTCGACTGTCGACGCCGACGGTGACGGCGCTACCATCATCATCGGGTCGTCCAGCTCGCGCTCGGACGCAGGGCTCACGAGATCTTGGTACACAGAGCGGCTGTCCTCCGTGGCCATGTTGGAGACGTCGTCGCCAGCCTCGGACGTCAACGTCTCGGTCGCATCGTTATCGGCTGGGTTCATGAACGAGAAGAAGCTGTGGCCTGCCGGGCTCGAGACGTTGCTCACTGCTGCGAACCGGTCGGGCGACGACGGTTCGCTGAACGCCACGTACCCGTCGTCGTCAGAAAGCCCGACGTCCTCGTACGCGTCGAGGTGCGACACGACCTGCGACACGGGACTCACTAGGTCTTGGTACACCGAGTGGCTGTCTTCCGTCGCAAAGTTGGACACATTGTCATTGTAGCCAAGCGTACCGGCGTCGTCGGTTGGAAGAACAGTTGTCTCGTCATCGGTGGCCGTTGTCGGCGCGCCCGCGTCGACCGACATCGCAGTCGATGTCGTAGAAATGGTGTCATCCTCGGCCGTCGCAAACGCGGCGGTGTCGACCGAGGCAGTAGTCATAGTGGGCACGCCGACTCCGTCGTCGATGACTTCTGCTGCTTCGATGACGTCTGCTGCTTCGATGACTTCAGCTTCTTCGACGGCAACTTGGACGACGACTCCTGCCTCCTCGTCGTCGTCAATGGAGAACTGGCCCGCGGTAGCGTCGACAAGGTGCGTCGGTGCGGAAATGTTCTCGTCATCACACCGCAGCGATGACACTTCCTCGGGCTCGAGAGCGGTGGTCAACGTCGGTTCTGGGACCTGATTGTCGTCGGTACTGTCGTGAGTGGCGTCATCATAGTGTACTTCATCCGCCGTTGCGGCCGGCTCGAGCGGTGCAGCGCCGTCGGTGTCGTGGTGAGCCGCATCGTGATCGGGTACTTGGTCGTGCAGGGTGTGCTCTTCGACAAGGTCTACGCCAGTGCTATCGCTGGACAGGGCGTTGATGGACTCCTTGCTCACGACCGCATCATCTATGACCGTACTGTCTTTGTCGTCCATGGTCAGAGGCGTCGGAGGCACCGCAGCGACGTCGTCGCCAACTGCAACGGCAGCAGGCGCATCGAGAACACTAGTGGCAGTGTCGGTCTCTTCGTCATCGTCGAGAAAGCCACCGACGTCCTCGCCGATGACCGGCGCTGATGCCAGGGCGCTGTCATCGCAAGGCGCACAGTCCGCCGTGACGACGCTGGCGTCACTGTATGTTGCAGCCTCGAGGAAGCCATCAACATCGTTGCCGATCATCGTCGAAGCGTTGTCATCACTGGCGGCAGTCGCCACGTCGATCTCGCTGCTGTCTTGTTCGTCGGTCTCGATACCGACGTTGGTCGTCTCGTCGGGGGCTGCACCATCCTGGAAATCGCAGTCCATCGGGACGTTCAAAGTTGCTGCAAAGGAGAGCTCGGTCGTCTCGTCGGCGGCGGCAGGCGAGTCGGACACAACAAAGGTCGCTTCAATAGCCGACTCGTTGTGGACAGGCGACGGAATCTCAAAGGCGGACGGCGCCATGACGCTGGGTGCGTACTCGGGCTGTGACGGAAACGACGACGACGCACTGGGTAAGAGAATTCCTTGCGACGACGCGTCGGCCGCGAACGGATCGGGCCCTGCGGGCGCCGGCGAGTCGAGCGCGATAAAGTCGTAGGACGCCGTGGCTGGAGGCTGCGCGCGGGGCGAGTGGACCCAGAATTCGCGCAGATCGTCCGAGAAGTTGAGGTCGTGCGTGACGGGCGCGACCGTGGTCGCCGCCGGCTGCGAGAGACCGAGGAAATCGTCCCACATGCTCTCGCGCGCCGGAGCCGCGACCGGCGCGGCGTGACTGCTGCCTGTCGACATGAACTCGACGAGATCGTCGCCCCACGAGAGCCGCCCAGTCGTGGCGTCAGTGGCCGGCGCGCCAAAGGCGTCGGGCGCAGCGGCGCTTGGCGCCACCGAGTCCCATGTAGCCGTCGATGGCCCAAGGTCGCCCTGCAGCAGGTCGACCGATGCGTCTAATGGAGCCGTCAAGGCTGCGCTGGACTCGCCAAAGATGTCGTCGATGTCCTTGATCGCCGAGATCGTCGGGGCGTCCTCCATCGCCTCAGCCGCCTCAAGTGTCGGCGATGAAGATGGTAATGATCCGGATACAACACCAACCATCCGGATAATCTTGCCGCGCCAACGCAACCCGAGTTCCGTTCATGGCGGCTGCGACACCGCCCACGCTGGCGCGCAAGTCGATACAATAGGACTTAGACTGCGTTCGCTAGCAGTTGCTTCGTACGGGGGTCTGAGCATGCGCGAGCGACCTATCCGGGCAGCTGTAACTACTCGAGCACCACACCACGCATCGCGACAGTCGACCTCGAGACAACACCGTATTTTCAACGGCAGAGAGCGTCCCGGTGGGATCCTTGGCGATATTACGTCGGCGTAGTGCTTTGAACACTGGTTGCTTGCTGCTCTATCGACTCATTCGAGTGCTCCTTGAGCTAGTTGACGTCATCGCTCCGCATCGCTGCTCGGCCACCGCCCGCAGGAAAAAGCGCTTGTGGTGCTGCCACGCGTAGCCGGATACGTGCCACTTGCGCAATCGTTTTATCCGGATGGCGGCTGATTGCGCATTTGCTGGAAGATCGCAGCGTCCGTGGCGGATCACCATTTCTGAATTCGCTACACCATGTCCACGAGAACCTACCAGATCGCCGTCCTGCCCGGCGATGGCATTGGCCCCGAGGTCTGCGCCGAGGCCGTCCGCGTCCTGCAGACCATCGGCGGCCTCTTCAAGCACCAGTTCGCCTTCCCGACTGCGCTCTGCGGCGGCGCTGCGTACGAAGCCCATGGCTCGCACCTCCCGCAGGCGACGATCGACCTGGTCAAGGCCTGCGACGCCGTGCTCTTTGGCTCTGTCGGCGGGCCCACGGACGCCCAAGAAGACCCCAAGGTACATCGGCGAAGATGACAACTTGCATATGCAATCGCTCATGCTGCATCTAGTGGAAAGACGCGGAGAAGAACTGCATCCTCGGCCTGCGCAAGAACTTCAACCTCGCCGTCAACATTCGCCCCGGTACGCACGACGAATATGCTGCCGCATAGACACTCATGCATGCGATAGCCAAGATCTACTCGATGCTGCCGGACCTCTCGCCGCTCAAGCCGAGCCTCGTGCAGGCCGGCGTCGACATGGTCATCGTGCGCGAGCTCGTCTCGGGCATCTACTTTGGCGAGCACTCGACAACCAACGGCGTCGCGCGCGACGTCATGATCTACTCGGAAGACGAAATCCGCGTCCCCGTCACCTTTGCCTTCGAGACCGCGCGCCACGTCCGTCCATTCTCCTTTTTCTGCACGAGGCTCATGTGATCGTAGCGCGCCAAGCGACTCACGGTCGTCGACAAGGCCAACGTGCTCGACTGCAGTCGCCTCTGGCGCAAGGTCACCAAGGAAGTCGCAACGTCGTACCCCGACGTGGCCGTCGACTACATGTACATTGACAACGCCGTCATGCAGCTCATCAAGAACCCGTCGCAGTTTGACGTGATCGTCACGGGCAACATGTTCGGCGACATCCTCTCGGACGCCGCGTCCGTCTTGCCCGGGTCCCTTGGCCTCATGCCGTCGGCCAGCCTCGGTACCGCGTGACGATCTTCGGCGCTTCGTTCGCTCATACTCTCCGGTTCTTAGGCGATAAGATTCACCTCTTCGAGCCCATTGGCGGGTCGGCGCCCGACATTGCGGGCAAGGGCATTGCCAACCCGATCGCACAGATCCTCTCGGGCGCGCTTCTGCTGCGCTACTCGTTCCAGATGGAAGCCGAAGCCGCGCTCATCGAGGCGGCGGTCAACGCGGTCCTCGAGAGCGGTCTCCGCACCGGCGACCTGACGCAAGACCGGACACACGCCGTGGGCACCAAGGCCATGGGCGATGCCATCGTCGCTCACATCACCGCGCTCTTCCACGCGTCGCATTAACTACTCCTCATGAATACAACCTCCATATCCCCATCATCTACGCCACCCTTTCAGAAAGGCAGAAGAGAAGAGAAGACAGAGAACGCATTCAAGGGTGGCCGACGCTCCGTAGCGCGTCGCTCTTTGAGATGGAAGAGGTCGCCATACGCTTGTGCGTCAACTATGCGGCCACCAAGAGGCCAAGGCGGTCCTTGTAATACTGCGCGTGGTCCGGGTCGATAGCTTGAAGCGTGTGGTACACTTCGACGCAGCGCGCAATCGACTCGTCGGCGCTATCCATCCATCCCGGTGAAGTCAATTCGACAGTGGAAGCAGCAAGAAGTACCTCTCTGCATCGTCAGCGCGCTCAACGACTGCTTCCTTCTCGAGCACAAAGGCCAGCGTCACCTACACAGAGGATGGGTTTGAACAGCGCACCATGGGTGATCAAGGAAGGGCTACCAGCGCCATCTTGGACTCGGGCTCGAGTTCCACGAGCTCTTCGATCCAGCTCACTTGCTCCTGGAGCAGTTCGTGCAGCGTCATGTGCATGCCATGGTCGTCGTCAAACTCATTGTCAATCGCGGGGTCGTTCGTGTGGTCGTTGGACGGCGGCGACTTGATGAGCGACTCGACGACCCACCGGTAGTAGAACCAGTTGCTTTGGTCGTCCGGCTCGGTAAAGACCGCTTGCTTGACGAGCTCGATCTCCATCATGGCGACTTCGAGCGGCAGCGGCGACGGCAGCACGAGCGTGCGTTGCTGGAAAGCCGAGTAGTTGCTAAAGTTTTGCTCAATCTTGGTCATTGTGAACGCCAGCACGTCGTCGAGGGGCGTCTTGGCCACGCGCGTCACGACGCGGCGGTAGTTCCAACAGTGGAAGTTGCGCTCGTCCTTGTTCAGAAGGAGGTCGCAGAGCCGCAGCTCCGTTGGGAGGTCGGCCATGCCCTGCTTGACGAGCCACTCGCGCTGGAACCACGCCGAGTAGCTCTTTGGGTTCTTCATGAGCGCCTCCTGCGTCAAGGCGCACTCGGCCTCGCCAAGCGCTTGCTTGGCGCTCGCATCGGCCGCGATCAAGTGCTCGATCGTCGCCCGGCGATACGCCCACACGATCCAAAATTCGGGGTTGAGCGCGACCACGTACGCCGACAGCTGCAGCGACGCCACGTCAAACTGCCGCGCCTTCTTCAGGGCCATGACTTGCGCCGAGACCTCCTTGTACTTGGCGACGAGCGCGACCATCGCGGCCTCTTCCTCGGGCGTCTGCGCCACGTCCGACTTGCGGATCCCGTGCATGTTGCAAAAATATGGCATTGCAGCGAGCCAAATCAGGATGCCCGGACCCTAATGTCCTAATTAGGCTATTTTGAACCAGGCATGCTCTCGTCGGGTGCGCGGCTCGCTGCCAGGGAGAGCACCAAGGACGACGGGTCGCTCGCCCGCCCCGGGTACCTCGCGCAGCTCGTGGCTGAGTGCACAGCAACGACGACGCCGCCCGATGCCAAGCTCCAGTGTGTGGCCCACCTCGCCAACTTTGGCTACGACCCGATCAACTACATGCATCTGCTGCGCTTGAACGTCCTGGACCTCTTTGTCGATGTGCTGGACGAGGCCCTGCAATCGCCATCGGCAACCGAGATGACAACGTCGTTTGCACGCTTGGCGATGCAAGGGATCTGCAACGTGGCGGCCGACCCACGGTTTCAGGTCTTGCTCATGCAGAACGATGCACTGCCATTGGTCGTCGCCGCTAGTCAAGTCGAGGACAAGGCGACCCGCGTGTCAGGTCTCACAACGCTCTTCTTCCTCCTCGATGCACCGCCCAACGTCGTGCCCGAGGCTGCGCTGCGCAAGGACGCGTCCATCCACGCGGTTGTCGCGGTTGCGGCTCGGGCATCCGAGACGGTGATCGCCAACACGGGGCAGGCCTTTCTCTCGCGTTGCGCTGAGCTTGCGGCCGACGACGCTCTCGACGAGGCTGCCATGGCGCGATAGCAACATGCAAAGGTGTTATTTACACGCGAATATAGCAGCACTGTACAAAAACGGCTTGTTTACTCTTCCAAGTCGGGCAAGTCGTCGTCGTCCGAGTCCTCGTCGTCCATGCCATCGGGCATCATGCCGGCGCCCTGCTGGGCCATCATCTGGTTGATGTCAAAGCCACCGCCGCCGCTGAGGGCGCTCATGTCAAAGCCTTGGTCGTCTTCGGCGTCGTCTTCGTCGACGTACTTGTTCCAGTCGACCTTGACGTTAGTCTTCTCGAGCGTCTTGTCCTTGAGAAGGTGCGGCCAAAACTCGGCCTCCTTGTCCTTCTTGAGGATGTAGAAGTGCACGTTGCGCGCCGTCGTCGCCCACTTGGACTCCTTCGCGGCCGTGTCCACTTCGTGCATAAAGTCCAGCGTCACCTCGTACTTTTGCTGGTTGCTCACGCCCGTAAACTTGAGGCTCGTGTTGGTCAAGGTGACCTTCTCGTCCTTGACGTCCGGGAGGTCGATCGTCACGTAGAGCGAGTCGGCGCGCTGCGCCCACTTGACGGGCGCCCACAAGGTCGTTTGGGTCATTGGAATTGACTTGAATACTGACGCCACCTCACCACCGACCGAACCAGGTTTTTTCCAGAAGCCAAGTCCGGATCCGGATAAAGCAACTGAAAGATCGCAACACAGTCGCAGGGACAAGTCAACCCGCTGGTTGCATGGACGGGCCAGTGACGCTGAGGCACGCGCACGACCTGGCACGAGCGTACTTGAATGGCCAGTACTGTCGTCCTGGTCATTGCCGACGCCATTAGCTGCCGGTGGTGCCACATCCGGCGGGCGGAAGTATCTCGGCGCATCATGCCATAGCCTTCGCGAACGTGCTTTGATGGCCGCCGACCATCACGATGCTAGACTGTCTCTTCATGCAGCAAGACCAAGTCAAGGACAAGCAAGTCATTATTGAAACAGAGGGTGGCTTAGACGAGCACGATGCGGCGCATGCTCGACGATGACGGGGGCGTAATGTACTGGACGCGCTGCGCAGCGAGATGCCAGTTGAGGCGGGCAATGGCGACGCAGAGTAAGAGGGCTTGGATTGTCTCGGCACAGCCGATCGCATACCAAAAGCCGGTAAGGCCCCATGCAAGCGAAATGGGCATGAAGACACAGAGCGGAATGAGCACGCAGATGCGGCCGAGCACCGAGACGATCGCGACCACGTCGCCCATGGCTAGCGCAACGAGGGCACCGCCGAGCAAGGCGCGGGCGAGCGTCGCCGCGACGCCAAACACAAACACGTCCAGTGCATTAGCGCAGAGCGCTTGCACCGTCACATCGCGCGTCCAGAGCGAGACAATCGCGGTCTGCAATGGCAGCAAAAGACTGAGCAGCACGAGCGTCGCGCCGCCAACGACGACGGTCCCGAGCGAGAGCACGCGCCGGGCACTGCGCGCGCAGCCTTGACCAAGGTACCGCGTCATGCGCGCTTGCGTCGCGGCGGCAGCGCCGTGGATGACAGCCGAGATGACGCCAAAGAGGCCGAGGAGGATTGCGTGCGCGGCGGCAACAGGGTACCCGAGGTAGCCCGAGAGCGTGCCCATGAGCGTCAACGGCACATAGTCCATGGCGGCGGCGGCGCCCGACGGCACGGCGAGCGCCGCAAACGTGAGAAAGTAGTCGTGCTCGATGCAAGCCCACGACCAGCCGCCCCAAAACTTGGCATGATACCGCTTCCACAGCAGCGTGTACGCGGCAAAGACGCCGAGACGAAAGACGGTGCTCACCGCGCCGGCCATGGCTGCGCCAGCAACACCATACGCGGGCACGAGCAGTAGCGTCGCCGCCAGATGCACCAACACCGCCGCAAAGCTCGCGACCGTTGTGGGTACAACGACGTGGTGCGTGTCAAAAAAGGCCGCAAGTGCACAAAAGAGGTAGTCGGGCACGACGCCGAGGCTGGCCACTTGGGCGTACGTACGCCCGAGGCGCACGGTCGCCGCGTCGTCGACCGAGAGGCCGATCATGTCGCCGACAAAGTAGTGCCACAGCATCACGGGGATGGCGCCGACGAGGGCAAAGACCAAGGATGTTTGCAGCCACGTGCCAAGGAGCACGTTGTAGCCGGCGCCCTTGGCCTGTGCGCAGAGCTTGGTCACGACCGCGATCGCCGCGTGCATAAAGGCCGTCGGTAGACCGATCCACGCTTGGGCGAGCGCGGCGGCCGCGAGCTCGCGCGTGCCCAGATGCCCAAGCACCGCCGCCGTGATGAGCGTGAGGAGGTGCCGCGGCAAGCTGCGCACCGAGAGGCGCAGTGCGAGGAGACTCACGGCGCCGAATTCACGATGCAAAGGTAGCACGACGTGCGGTTGGATGCCATCTTCGTACTGGAACGGCGCGGGTGGACTTATGAGCGTCGAGGCTTCGGACGCCATGAGGGTGTCGAGAACGAATATGTGCCAAAATGAAGTGCTGGGAACGGGTCGCAGCCAATCGGCATCGCCCAGATGGCTACGGACTGCTGCACGAAACACGCACAAGCAGCCTATCAAGGCACACCGGCTGCCACGTTCGCGCCAAGTTGCAAGTTGATACACCAAGTTGGCGCGCGATTCGATCGCCGCCACGTGGTGGCTTGTCGCGCCGCCACGAATTCAGTCGACTTGGGTCCTGCAGCATTGACTAATTGACCGAGTTGACTCGTCTTTCGATTCCTGTCTCGTACACTTGTAGTCGCAATGTCTCTGTCTCGTACCGCGGATGCTGCAAAGTGATGCGCTCACTCTGTGACGCCTGCAGGCTGCCACGTCAGATCGTCCCGGAATCGCCACACAGCATCCATCGAACCAACTGGGTTACACATGTGGCATGTGCCACCTTTAGAGACCTAAAAAAGGCGTTTGCCATAAATAGATAGGGGTGTTGAAGCGTGGCGTTCACTAAAAACCTGAGGAAACCGACTTCAACATCATGAGTCACTATGTGACATACAAAATGCGAGTATTGTGAAGATGTCATTATTCAGCGGTTGTTCAAGTCGGGTACATTGGCGGTGAGTGGGCTTGGTGGGACTGCACCACCGGGGATCCACGGGTCGATTCAAAACAAATTTTTAAATATATCGTTTTGTTTGTATGCAAGTCGTTGAAAATGAATATTAATATGCATCGTGACGATTAAAACCAAAGATCGCCACTTGCTTCAACGTGGCACGAGCGCATTGCCAGTTTGCCTTTTCACCGCTAAGAAATGACAGCCAAGAAGAACTCGAGCGAGCACTCGTCGCTCCTCAAGGCCGAGGTGGAGATGTATGGTACGACGGACAAGAAGACGGACGATGCATCGTCGCCGGTCGTCCCGATGCCCGACGCCATGATCCCCGTGAGCCAAGAGATCCGCGAGCTCACGAGCATGGCCGTCCAGCTCTCGATGCGGCAGATGGTGCGTCAAGCCATGACGCTCACGGACGCGGCCTTCCAGGGCCACATTGGCACCAAGCAGCTCGCCGGCGTCGCGCTCGCTGGCATGTGGATGGGCGTGCCGTCCGCCTTTATCCAGTACTCGATCCAAGCGATCCCAACGTTATGCGGTCAAGCATACGGCGCTGGCAACAAGGTGCTCGTGGGCATTTGGCTGCAAACGGCCGTCGTCTTTGCGATCGTGACGTGCATCCCGGTCATGATCTACTACATGTTTGTTGGGCGCATGATTGCCTTGACGATGGACGACGCCGAGACCGTACGACGCTCGTTCGCAAGGGCGAGACTCTCATTGCAATGGCTAGGTCTTCTACGGCAGTGAGTTTGCCAAGGTCATGGCGCTCGGCTTGATCCCGCAGTTCATCTACAACGCGTGCGCGTCCTACTTTGCAGCCCAAGGCATCATCATGCCGGCGACCTTGTGCAGCGGCACGACGATGCTGCTCAACATCTTCTTCAACCAGCTCTTCATTTACGGCGGCTTTGGCTACGACGGTCTTGGCTTCATCGGGTCGCCGATCGCGACCGTCACGAGCACGTACCTCCAGCTCATTCTCTTCCTCCTCTACACAGTCGTGTGGAAGAAGTACCATGTCGACTACTGGGGCGGCTGGTCCACCGAGTGCCTCAAGCGCGAGCGGATCAAGATCTTCCTCTCGCTCGCTGTGCCCATGGGCATGTCGTCGGTCGTCGACTGGAGCTCGGCGGCCGTCGCGTCGGCCTTCTCGGGCTTCCTCGGGCCGCAGATTGCGGCCGCCATGTCGGTGCTCAACGGCATCTATGGCGTCGCCAACTCGTGCGTCTCGGGCTTCTCGATCTCGACGCAGATCCGCATGAGCCGGTACCTTGGCCAGGGCCACGCGGTGGCCGCGAAGCGCGTCTTGCTGCTCGGCGCGCGCATCGTCATGTGCTCGGCGCTCGTGCTCATGACGACCGTGTACTTCCTGCGCAACTTTCTCTTCCGCGTCTGGAGCAACGACCCCGAGATCAACGAGCTCTGCGCGTCGTCGCTCGTGTTTTTCATCCTCTGCGTCATGGTCGCCTTTGGCCGCTTCCTCCTCACGGCGTCGATGAACGCACTCTCGATGGCCGACGTCAACCTCGTCGCCAACAACATTGCGTCGTGGTGCATCTACGTGCCGTTGAGCTACCTCTTGCCCATCACGCTGGCCATGGGCATTGATGGCTTTTGGATTGCCGATACGCTCGGCGAAATGTTCAAGTTCGTGGTTTTGGCGTTGGGTCTCCTCCGTGTCGACTGGCAAGCGCGCGCCGAGCAGGCCATGGTCGCGGCCGAGAAGCCCGACATGATGCGGCCGGACGAGGAAGAGACGCGCGAGCTGGTGGCGTACAGCAACGAAGCACTGACGCCCGGCAGCGGCCGGTCGCCGTCCGTGGCCTTTACGACGCGCACACCGCACACGCCGACGCTCATGCAGCGCGCCATGTCGCTCACGCCCAAGCGCACCAAGCACATCTAGTTGTCTACATCTTCCAACGTGTTGATCTCGAAACAACCGCGTTCTTATTTGTGTGGCTACACGGGTGCTTCCGGCTCTATCGGTAGCAGCGGTGTCCATGCCCCGTTGACGTCACTGGCGGTAGGCAGCGCGACCTTGGTCGACTCGTAGCGTCGGTCCGTCGGCGTCTCGTCACGAGGTGGTACCATGGGTGACAAGAGTTTGGTTGAGCCCCGGTCGTCCGTCGGTGACACGACCGTCGGCGCGAGGAGCCCGCGCTTGGATGAAAACAGCCGCGACTGCGACAGAAGCTTGACTGGCAGCCTGCGTCGGGAGGATGCTTCCGTCGACGCTGTCCCATTGGCGTTGGTTCGGTGGGCGCCCGACAGCTTGCGCCGGGGTTTCCGCCCCGGTAGGAAGGCCACAAACGTGGCCTCGGACGACGTGCCGGAGGGTGGCTTGGCGCTAAAGATGCTTCGAAGCCCGAGGAGCCGAATCGCGTTGCTGGCCTTTTCACGCGCGGCTTCGGCGGCCATTATCTGCGCCGCAAGGGCTTTAGCCACGCGGACGTACGACTCGACTTGGTCGGCGAGCGGCGTCTTGGGCGGCGTCGGGCGCTGCTTGAAGGGCACGACGTGCGACGACCGAAACGGCAACTTGGACAAGCGCGGGAAATGCAGTTGCTGCAGAAAGGCCGGCACGCGCCACTTGGTCTTCTTGGGCCGACCACTAAGAAGGTGCTCGTAGATGGCGACCGTCACCTGAAAGTGCTCGATCGCGGCTGTCCACTCGGACTTTTGAATCATGACAAGCCCCGTGAGGTACTCGATCTTGCACTGATGCAACGTGATGGCTTCGTCGTTCGACGACTGCTGAAGCGACGGCCCACGCGACAGAAGTAGCGCCGAGTACCGGTCGCTCGCGCTGGCCAACGCCGACTGCCGGCCACTCGACCCGCTGAGCGCCGACCCCGCTGCCGCCGTGTCGGTCAGCGCCAGGACGTCACCGGCGGCCGTGAGACATGTAAGGGCAAAGTCTGAGACGCCGCGCAAGAGGGCTTCTTCGGCACCGCGGCAGTAGTAGTCCATTGCATCCGTATACATGCGGCAGCGCGACTGATGGTACGCGAGGTGGTTGTAGTACTGGAAGCGCGGTAGGCGGTGGCTGGGCACTTCGCATTCGAACCAGTTGGCAAACACCTTGTGGATGACCTCGCGCTGCGACGGCAGCATGACGTTGTAAACGACGGCGCGGGCTTCGGACGACGTAAACTCGATCGTCTCGTTGTGCTTGTCGAGCTTGAGGATACCGGCAAGTTCGAGCGGACCGAGGCCGTTGAGCGCTTGCAGCGTCACGGTTTGCGCAAGCAACCGCGTCGAGCCGCCATCGGCGCTGCCGTCACAGGACGCCTTTGGCGCAAAACTGCTGTCGGCCTCCAAATCGAACACCTTTCGTAGCACAAACGAGAGGCAGTCGAGCGAAACGTACTCGAGGCCGACGCTGGCAATGCGCAAGGCGAGCTGCGAGATCATCGAGAGCGAGTCGTAGTGGTACGTGACTTTGGCGCGCGTTTGCACCGACACCTCCATGTCGACGTCGTGGATGTCCTTGTGAACGTGGCAGACGCCGCGCGTGACGTCAATCTCGATGGCTTCGACTTCGAGGAGCCGCTCCATGAGTGTGATCGTGTCCCGCGGGTTGCCGTGCGCGCGGCTGTGCACAAACTCGAGCAAGTACGAGTTCATGATGGCGATGCCGTACCGATGACTGAGAAAGAGCGACGTGTCTCGAAGACTCAAATTGCTCAGCTCCCATCGGAAGGTCACGGGCGCAATCTCGAGCTTCTTGAACGCGTCGTGGGTCGGCGTTGCGTCCGTGCGGTGCGCCACCACCACCGAGATGTGGCTCGAGACGGTCACGGCGGTCGCGAGGAGGTCCCAACTTTGCCCGTCGACCCACTGCGCGTCGTCGACGACAAAGAGAAGCGGGCGACTCATCGACGCTTGCTGGAGGATCGCGACGACCATCACGATAAGCTCCTTGAGCAGCGCGTCCTTGTTCGCGGCAAGCGCGAGGGTATAGTTGTTCTCGGGAAAGCAGTGCGGAATAAAAAAGTTGAGCAATGGCAGCAGCTCGGGCGAGAGCTTCCCCGACTGCACGATCGAGTTGACGAACGCCAGGCCGCTGCCGAGCGCGACGGATTGGTCGATGCGCACAGACGAGACGAGTGACTCGACGCGCGACCGATCGACGTCGTCGTCGTCCTCGTCGTCGTCCTCGTCGTCGTCTTCTTCGTCGTCGTTGGCGCCGTCGTTCTTGCCCGCGACGGTACCCGGCAACCGCGCTTTGTCCGTGTTGACAACAATGACATCAGTTGCGCGACTGACTGCCGTCGGTGCTATGGAGTTGGTCCGCCACGACACACCACGAGTGAGTGTGTTTAACGTCAAGGTCCGCGTGCTACTGGCTGGTGCGAGCGCCCGGCCGCTGCCATTCGGTGATCGGTCGGGGCGAGCAGCGTTGTTGTGATCGAGCACCGAGAGCCGACGCCCGAGGACGACGAATCCAGCGTCCGACTCTTGAACGCCGTGGGCCTTGACACGGTGCGTGCCGCAGATGATGGTGCTCATGAGCTTCTTCCAAATGTACAACGGTGTGTTCTTCTCGACCGAGTCCCCGGCAGCGTAGACGACATTGGGGTGGACTTTGTTCAAATGGCGCAAGAGGCATGACTTGCCGACACCGGTGGGCCCCCGAAGTAAAATGAGCTGCTTCTGCAGCGGGTCAAGGATTTGTCCCGACGACAGTTGTAGCGAGTCGGTCGACTGAAACCGAGCCGCAAAGCCTTGAATGCGCTTGATGACGTTGTCGTAAATGTCGGGCGACAAGAAGATCTCTTCGTGGTCGAGCGGGTGCGCCTTGTTGTCGGTAGTCGCATCTCGGAAGACGCGAAAGACGGCGATCGTCGTGCCTTTACCCTTGACGAGCACCTGCGACCCTTGGCCAAACTCAAAGAGCGTTGCTGTCGCCGACTGCGTCGCTTCGTCGCAGAGGATTTGGCCCGGCGACGCCAACGACATGAGCCGCGCCGAGAGGTTGATCGTGTCGCCCACGACGGCATACTCGGCTCGCACTGCACTGCCTACAACACGCGTGAGCTTGAAACGAAGAAAGAAGCTCTGGACCAATGCTGCCGCAAAAGGCTGGCCCGGACGTGATGCTACATGACGATCAAGACAGCGTAGAGGACGCAGTTGAAGTACCCAATGCAGGCTTTGACGCCTTTTTCCTGAAGGTACAGTGCCATGCGAATGCCATGGAGAGCTACATCAAAATATGGGAATTCAAAGTGCAAAGTCACAAGTGCAAAGTCCAACTATCGATCGATACCGTTGTTTTCGTGGTAGAACGGGGGTAGTCCGACAATGACGATGGCGACGGCGCCCTTGTCATCAATGAGGAATTGCCGAATCGTAGCTACAAAGCATTTATCATCATCGATCCCACAGAACAGAGGGAGAAATCGCACCGTGCACACGGTAGGCGGCGTCTTGCACGGCGCAGAGGCAGCGGTGCACCTCCAAGAGCTGCGCTTGCGGGTCCGTGATTGTCAAGATCTCGCTGAACTTGATGAAGATCGCTGTGATCGAGCGCATGCCGTTGATCACGAGCTTGCCTTTCCCAAGCGAGAGCGAGATGCAACCCGGCACGTACGACTTGATGAGCGGGATGAGGTCCCCCGAGAGCTCCAACGGCGGCGTTGGATACACGCGCGGCGAGCTGCTCTCGAGGTTATCAATGCGGTAGTTGCCCGTGAGTAGCAGCGTCGATTGCAGCTCAAGATTTTGAATCGCGGCAGACGCTAGCAGTGTGTGGTAGCATTCGGACGAGACCACGAGCTCGCCTTCGCCCGCATCGTGTTCGGCCATGGACATTTGCTGGTTAGCGTGGCCCGCCACGTAAAACTCCCACCGATTCAAAAGCCCACCGACGTGATTCCCCGTGACGGTGCTGAGGCCCATACCTACGTGCATACCGAGCCGGTGGCTTCCCGCCGGTTGACCCCGCAGCATGCCAAGGACTTTGAGCGCACACAGTATCGCCGTGTGCACGAGCTGCCCGTGGTCGACGACAACGGGTGGTGTACCGTCACTGGAACTTTGTTCCGACGACTCGGTCTCCCACATGACGATCATCGCATCGCCGGCAAACTAGACATCTTCTCAGCGCCATGGCAACGACAATATTGTTTGTACTTTGATGATGTCACCGTTGTGCTCGGTGATGATTTCAATCACGGGGGCTACTCGAGATGAGTCAAGCATTCGACAGTAATTCGTACCGAGTGTTTGGTTGAGAAGCCGCGTGAGTTGCTCGACCGCCATGCCCGTCCGCGCCGGCATGCTTTTCTTGGCCGACGCGTCACCCGTCGAGCTGTGCCGCTCGGCAAAACTCGTCTTATCGCCAACAATGCTGCCGCGCTTGTCTGTCGACGGTGCGGCGTCATCAACGTCGTGGAGGCCGGAGCGCAGCGCGACCTTGTCGGACGCGGTGCTCACACGCCGATGGCTCGCCGACCGGGAGATGTCGAGCTTCCCACTCACGCTCGTGCGCATCTTAGCCTCCGTGCCCGTCGGCACGGGCATTCGGTGGGTCTCTTCCCGTGCGAGGCGGTCGGCGAGCGTGGAGAAGCCCGAAATATCAAAGAGGGCGACGACCGCGGTGAACGATTTCAGCGCCGGCGCTTCAAGCTTGGCGCGCGTTGCAATGTAGTTGGAGAGCACGATGCGAGGCACGTAGCGGGAGAGCACGTCGATCTCCTTCTTCTCGTCCCGTGTTATCCTCGTCGCCCGCGCCTCCATGGAGCCGTCGTGAACTACGGCGTTAGCAAGGCGGGACGACGACGCAAGCTAAATTTAAGAGAAATTGGGGGTTTTGTCAATACGCTTTGCATGGCGCTCGTGCCCAAGCGACTCGGGCTCAAGTACAGGCCCGTGCCGACGCTCGCGGTCGAGTACGAAGGCGTCGACCATGCGCTTCACGTCGAGGTTATCGAACTGCCCGACATTCACTTGCGCTCGACCGCCACCGAGCTCCTAAAGCGTGTCCAGACCTCCCATGAGGTGTTTCGCTCAAGTGTTGTCAACCACGAGCAGCTCACGCGGCTGCTCGAGCAGCTCATTTCGGAGACGACACGCCCAGCCGAGCCGCCTTTGCGCGCGGAGGAGTGCATGCCCCCCGCGCCGCAGAGTGATTTCCCACCTGCCATTGTGGAGCGACCAACCCCTGTCGAAGTAGCACCAGAGAGCGACGACGAGGAAGCTGCGGAGAGCGCCGAGGAGGACGAGACACCACCGCCGGCAATGAAGATAGAACGTATCGACGAACCGCAACGAGCCGTGATGATGGTCGACCGAGACGTGCTGCGTGACGCGCCACAGCAAACGACCGAGACGGTGCAGACAACCCCCGCTCGAGCGGGCGACGACGACGAGAACGAGCTGGCCAAGTCGGCGAGCGAAGAGGAAGAGTCGTTTGAAGAAAGCTTCATGGAGGAGAGCGTTGAAGCAAGCGTGGATCGGGACGCCGACGTCCGAAGCGAGGTGCCTGCTACTGCGGACGACCCGCCGCCGGTGACAGCGCTCGAGCCGGTGGCAGCACCAGCACCCGAGCCGGTCAAGGCGGCGCCGGTCGCGACACCGACGCCGGCGCTCGAAGAGTCGAATGTCGAAGAGAGCATGGAAGAGATTACATCCGAAGCCGAAGAAGAGCTAGGTACGTCTCGACGATGACGCATTATGCAGTCCTATGTCTCGACTAGATTACTTTTCGGGTGGCGACGACAGCGGTGACGACGAAGGGTTTTAGCGTAAAACCCATTTGTTATCTTAGACTAGGACAATTATTGTTCTATCTTCAACAAGCAAAATTATTGTTCTATCTTAAACAAGGACAATTATTGTTGTGCGATGTCTCAGTGCGATTATGTCTTTTGCGATAATTCAACACGGGCAAGAGAGGGCTATACATATGGTTATCAAGTTTGTCGAGATGTGTTGGTGTCTCTAGTCTAAATCTTGTTGTTGGCGGGCGACACTTCAGCCTGCGGCTCGCGTGCGCTGCGCGTCCGGCTGCTTCAAAGGCCAAAGCCGCGACGTGAGCTCATCGTGCGGGGTACAGGCCGGGACTAGACACGGTTTGTCAGCACGACTCTCAAGATGAAACGCAACGATACCTGGATCAAATGCACAAACTCTTCGTAGTTGATGGCGCCGTCATGGTCGCTGTCGGCCACGCTGATCATGTCTTGGACAGCGAGCTCCCCAAAGTCGGGCCCGAGCAGCCCTACGCAACGTCATCCTCGTATGTTGAGTGTAAATTCAAAGACATACGAGCGAGGCCGTCGATGCGAATACCGCCCTTGGTGTCGTCCGGGTTGAAGAGTTGGTAGGCCTTGCGCAGCACAGTCTCATCGATCGTTGTTGGGTTCATTACGGCCGAAATGAACTCGAGGAACGTCACTTGGTTGGAATTTTCCATGTCGAGACTGGACAAAATTCACCTCTTTTTCGAAAAATGGCACAAAATACCTCGAAAAGATTTTGGCAAAGTCCACACCCGGGTATTTGGACGTGAGCGATGCTTGCTGCAGGTCCTTGATCGTCAAGACGCCATTATGGAGGACGTTGAGCTCGTCAAAGGCCCGGCGAATGTCCGAGAGGTCAATGGACGGGCAGCAAAACGCCACCGCAAGGAGCCCTACACCATCATGGTCCTTGTCTCTCCAGTTGCTTGCGTCGTACCCGCACGCTTCATGGCGCCAAACGAAGCGTACTCGGAGAGGCGCGTGATGACATCATCAATTCTACGGCACCGTCACGCTGTGTTCGTTCCTAGGGCGGAACGTACTGGCACGTGGGCGACAGCGGAACGTCAGCACTTTGCACCCACGGGTGCATGAGCACCTGCAGCGCCGTGTAGCGTTTGTTGATGTCGGGCTACACAGCATGGTCAAAAAATCGACTCAACATCGTTGCGCGTACTTCGAGGAGGCGCTGGATCAACCGCTTGGCATCCTCCGAGACGTTGGCCCAGCTCTCGCCGTCAAAAACCACCTGCAAGACAGGTTACCATGGGACTCCGTGGCGATATGTACCTTGGCTTCAAAGATGCTCTCGATGATCTCGTCCTCAGTGTCACCATGGAACGGCATCGCGTTGCTCAGCAGCATGTACTAGCGTATCATCCACCATGAGATAAAGGCTGCAAGTGCTTCGTACCATGACAACGCCGAGACTCCACATGTCGCATGCCTACACAGTCTTCTCGTCGGCGACGTCGCGCGTCCAAGGTGGTCGCTACCTGCGTGTATTGACCTTCGAGAAACTCAGGCTACATGCGGTAGCATGAGAGGCGTACGAGCAAATGCGTGCAACGTACGGCCATGTAGACGACCGAGCCAAGCACGGTTTGCATGAGGACGCCTTCGCGAAACATGGTGCTGGCGCCAAAGCTAGACGACATGTGACTCGTCGTCCAGAGTACGCGATGCATACTCGCAGAGCTTGACTTCGGCGCCGACGCCGTCGGTCTCGTACAAAATGTTCTCGAGCTTGATGTCCCGGTGGCAAATGTTTTTGAGGTGGAGGTAGTAGATACTCGCCGCGAGCTTGCGTACGTAGAGCTTGGCCGTGGCTTCGGCAAACGCCTCTTTCCGCGACTTGATGGCGTTGAAGAGGTGGCCGCCCGTGCAGAGCTCCATGATCATGTAAATGTGCGTCGGCGACTCGTACGTCTCGATGAGCCGGACAATGTTGGGGTGTTGGAGCCCGCGCCAGAGGTCGATTTCTTTGCGCAGCACGGGCAGCTTGGCATTGGGCCCAATCGTAATCACCTATGAGTGGTCCGCACGCTAAGCTCTCCAATAAGAATCAGGATAAATCGATGTACCTTCATTGCAAATTGCTCATTTGTGCCGATGGCTTCGACTTGGTTGACGACGCCGAACGCGCCGGTGCCGAGTTCCTTGATGACGCTATAGCGTGTGAAGACGTCGACGCCGTCGTAGTGCGTGCAGAGGTTGCGGAGAAAGGTGTCGGGGAGGCGCAGCTCGGGCGCGTCCGACGACTGCAAGCAGCCCATGCTTCGCGGCGGCAAAAATACTGAGATGGGCGCCGCTGAAATGGCCGTTTATGACATACAATGCGGCCTCATACAAAAACAAAGAGATTTAAATACAATTATTTTGTTCGATTAGGCCAATCACAGGCCGTATCGCCATTTCGACACCACTTTGGATACTACTCGTCGGTGATTGCAGCGTATTTTGAGCCGAGTGCGGTTGACCAACGACTGGGACCATGAAGACTAATTAAAGACTGTTGTACTGTCAATGAGCCAAGGATAGCGTACCGACCACACGATCTAAGGGCCGCTTGGACGGAGCTCACTGCGTGGCCTATGTGGCTGAATATCTTGTCGACATCCCACTGATACTGTACAAAGTGAGCGAGCAAGTGAAGCATGCTATTTTGAGAGGACCTTCTTTCGGGCTGGCATCGCGTCCTGCAAGTGGCTACCTGGTGCTAGTATAGCAGGCCGCCACTTGATTCGTGGGCGTCGGCTTTGCTTCTCCACAGAACCTACCGGACGAATAAGTACAGCTGTGCAGCAGTGAAAATGACATCAATTATCGTCTCCAACGTGTCGTTTTGTTGTCTTGATGAAGACAGCAACTCGACATCAAGGGCTAGGGCAGATCGTATTCGAGTTTACGAGCGTATTAGAGTACCATTGTAGACCGTGCGATGACCGTTGCTCGTCATCGTGGACTTGAGCCTGCCACCGGTAATATTGAACATATTCTTTGCCGCATGTGAAATTTTGACTTTAACTAGGAAAGACATTCTCGTGGCGCATTATGCAGACACTCTGCTCACGTCAGGGGTGCTTCCGTGTCAATCGCGGGCATTTCAACCAATCGCATTCGAAATTTGCGATTACACGTGTTTGGATTGGCCAAGGTTGCACCAAACTGCAAACGATTGGCCGAACTCGAGCGGCGACCATCCGGATACCAACCGGCGAGAAGCGACGAATGAGCAGGATTTCAGCAGCGCCGATGAACAGGGGCGCGGTCGCCGCCGAGTCGTACCGCTTCGTGCACGCCGACTGCGCAGCGCCGTCCATCTTTCGCTCCGAGTACGTCCGGTACGGTCCATGCCATTCGCTGACCAAGGCTCACGCGGGCATGGCTCTAGGAACAACCGGTCCAGTGGCCACAAGGTACGCGCCTCTGCCCGTGCGACCACATTGCTCACGTGCGGCCTACCTTGTCTAGAACGTTCGGTACAGGCGGCGACGCACGGCTGTGATGGGCGTCCTCATGCAGATGCCATTAGGTGCTTCCCGCATTGCTGTGGCGCGCACCGCGACACGACGTTTTGCGGGTCGTCGATCGCCATTGAGGGCGGGCCGTCGCACATTGTGTATGGCCGCTTCGAAGAGGTCGACGACTCGGCGAAAGGCGACTCGCGCATTGTGCCAGGCACGATCGTACCGATCGCCGACATTGTCGCCAACGAGAAGAACTCGGCCAACCCGTTTGGCATGTGGATGCACGGCGTCAAGACCGGAAGCTCGGGCATCACGTACGAGATCAACCAGCAAAAGCAGTCGTGGCACTATGGCTGGGTCTCGTCGCGCTTTAACTCGGAGACGCTGCACCACTTCAAGGTTCAAGTCGCCCTCGGTTGAGCGACGCTGATGTGGTTTAGGTCTATTTTTTTGAAAAGGTGAGCGCCGACCACTTTGTGTGCTGCGCGTCGCTGCCGTCGCCGCCCTTTTCGATATCGTCGAGCCGCAAGACGCGCAAGAAGACGTCCAAGGTCGTGAAAGCCAAGCCCGAGCCGCCAAGCGAAATGCCCGTCGCCTTGATAAGGACGTCGGTCGCTCCGCCGAGTCCGCACATCAAGCCCGAGCCGGGACTGCCGGTGGCGCCGTCGCAGCCGCAACATCCGCCGCAAGAACCGCAGTACCAGCAGCAACAGCAGAACCACCAACAACAACAGTACCAGCAGCAACAACACCAGCAGCACCATCAGCTACAGCTACAGCACCAGCAGCTACAGCAGCAACACCAACTCCAGCAGCAGCAACAGCAGCATGCGACCAACGGCGGCTACATGCTCCGAATGCCCGAACCGTCTGGGAGTCTCGTTGCCTTCCTAGAAGATCGCTACGCGTCGTACCCGAGCCAGAATCCGTACGCCATGGAGACCTATGCGATGCAGTTTGATGGCGGCCACCAGCGCCCGAGTACACACGGGCAGCACGCGCCGACGTACGCATACGACGCCAACCCGTCGCAGTACCCGACGCACCACGCGCCCGCGTCACCCGTACCGTCGTCCGCACCGTCATCGGGTACATGTTTCTTCTTGTGGCAAGATTGTCTTATGGCGGCAATTGCTAGCCTTTAGCTTTTCCAGCTTTCTCAACAAGATGGAAACCAAAAGCTCGTTGCACTCAGAGCAGCTCACCGACACGTCGCGCATGGACACGGACTCGGTCTGTCCGCGCAACCCGTCGCGACTGCTCTCGTTGCAGGACCTCACGGCGTCGACCAACAAGCGGATGCGGCCCGACGAAGCCTGCGACGGCAACACGCGCCGGGACGCCCCGCACATGCCGTCGTCGCCCGTACCGTCGTCTGGTACACCGTCGTCTCGACATTAGTCCCTGTGTTCAACTCTGTGCAGCGTTTAGCTTTTCCAGCTTTATGCGCCCTCCGCCGGGCACGGCGTCGGCACCGACGCCCGTGTCGCCCGTCGCATCGTCCTGCGGTACCTCTATCCCTCTATTTAGCCGTTGAACCAACTGTACTGCTAGCATTGAGCCTCACGAGCATCCTCAAGCCGGCCCCGTCATCGCCCGTCCCGTCCTCGAGCGGTAGGCTCCTCCACGCGTTCGGTTCTTTGTGCTCACACATACGGTGCAGCGTTTAGTTTTTCGAGCTTTCGACGACCGCAGGCGCCACCGTCGCCCGCACCGTCGACTGTACCGTCCTGCGGTAACGACGTCGGGTTGTGCATATGGCTCACATGCAGGCTAGCGTTCACCTTCTTCTCCGACATCATTGGTGTCGACGACAAGCAGTGCCCGGCCAAGAAGCGGGCGACGCGCTACGACTACTTTCAGCGGGCGCTGTGCTTGAGCGAGATTCACCTGCTCATCGCGTCGATCGTCTCGTTCAGCGCAAACGACCTGGACTTCACCGAGGCCAAGGGCCCGCTCGGTGAGTTTTTCATTTTCACGGAAGAGTGCGCGACCTTGCCGGTGGCCAAGTGCGCGCTCTCGGAAAGCGCGACGCTGCAGAGCTACGAAGAGACGCTCACGTTCTGCGTCAACTTGGTCCGGCACTCGTTCCGGACGGGCTTGATTGGCCGGTTCCAGTCCTTTCTGCATTCGAAAGCTCACTGCATCTTCAAGCCCGAGCTGCTCGACCAAGCGTACATTGACTTTATCAAATTCTGCGAAAACGAAGTCGAAACGTACGTGTTTCCGCGCAAAAACATGCAGTGCGACGCGTTCCTGGACTACCTCAAGCGCAACTTGCCGCACGAAGTGGTCGCGCTTCTCCGTACGTCCACGATGCTACTGACAGTGGATTTTATGACGATTTTGACGCTTTTTGTGGTTTTAGACCACGAGTCGGACGACAGCGTCGAGCCCGCGGGGTACTTTGAGCTCGTGACGCAGCTGCGTCAAGCGTACCAGTTTAAAAAGACCGAGGAGCACAACGAGTCGACGCGCGATGAAGAAGGGTCCGAGCCCGAGGGCGCGATCGACGCGACCTCCATCACAGGCCGCTGGCGCCGAAAAGTGCCGCTCCCCGGAACGTACACGGTGGGCGCGAGCAGCAACAACCCATCGTGGGTCTATCGCGTCCTCGGTCTCAAGATGATGACAACGTGGAACTTTATCGAGACTCAAACCGAGCTCCAGGTATTTGGCTCTTATTTTTGTTTTTTGATAGATTGAAACATTGAATCATCGCTAGATTGCGTTTGAAGAGAGCCTGATCCCAATGCGAACACCGTACCTGCTGACCGGCGACCCGATGTTCTTGTCGTTTTCGCCCGTCGGACTCAGCAGCAACTACGCCTACGGCGGTCTCGTGCGCTCGGCCATGTCAGGTATGTGCATTCAATGTGGTCGTCTGAAGCTCCAGCGCAGGCAACTGGTCAGGCTACAAGGCGTGGCGCAACGAGCAAAACCACATCGTCGTGAGCTGGTACAGCTGGCGCCGCGAGTCGATGGGCCAGAGCTGCGTCCGCCGGCGCGTCATCAAGTCGTTTTACCGGACGCCACTCGACCCGGACACGCTCGAGTGCCACACCAAGATCGAGGTGCTCCATCGTTACCACCTCATCGTGGTTCCTAGAAGCGTGTGTGGCTAGGTGGCGACGCAGCCCGAGGCCAACCTTGGCGAGCTCAGTGTCACGGAGCGCATCAACTACCCCGGCGAGTGGCAATGCCTCCACGACGAGATGACGCAATTCGTCCGGATTCCTGGTCCGCGCAAGTAGCCGACGTACTACACCCTAGAATATACAGTCGTCGTCTGGTGTTCTGGTGTTGTTGCGTCTTGCACGCAATGACGTGGCGCTTGCTACACGCTGGCGGTTTCACTTTGCACTACAGTACATACGTGGCATGACACGAGAGCAGTGTACCGCGCGAGAAGACGCCGCGCCAAGAGGTCAACCAGGCAAAGAACTCGCGGACGCTGCGGCGCCAAGCTCTGCCATTGTAACATTGATCGCTCCACGATGGCGTGGTCGTCGCCAGCTACCGTTTTGAAATTACGCCCCGTTTACCGACCAATCGGGCGGCAGCAAAGCAACGGCTCTGCTTGCACAAGAATCCAGTCGACATACCGCCCAGTTGCAGCTCCCAATCCCAGCATCGGCATGTCCCAACGTTGTTAATTGAGCGAAGCCAAATCAGGAGCACCGGTGCACGCCTCAACAGAACCGATGCGAAGCTCGTCCGAACCCCGTGTACCTCTGGTTCGACAAAACGCGAACGAGTATCGTGCCTGCGGAGTCGTTGGCGTGCACTCGCGCTCCTGATCTGGCGGCGCACAATTGACAAAGTTGGGATATGTCGATAACGCTCTTCATTGATTCGATTCTTTTTGATTGCAGCAACAATTATATTCTAGTCAAAGAGACGCGTATCGCGCTCGGCCCGCTGCTTGAGACGCATGTAGTACTGCGTGCGCTGGCGAATGTGGTCTTCGATTTTGGCTTTCTCGCGCAGCTGATGGCGCGCAAGCACGGCGTCTTCCCGCGCCTGCTCATCCACGCGCATCTGGGCCATTTGGCCCTGAATGTAGGCGTGCCGCACTCGCTGGCGCTCCTTGTCGACGCTGGCGACGCTATTGACGCTGTCGCCACGACCATACCTACGATACAATTCGCCACCATATCAACAAAATGCAAAAAAACTACTGTGCTGACTCGGGTTCGAAGCGCAACCGTCCTTCGTTGGCAAACCGCCATGGATTCAACGGCGACTTTGGGCCGCTAGGACAGCACGAAAGTGAGGTCGAAGCAGGCAACCCTGACGGATACCAGAGAAGCTCCTTGGTGTCGCCACGTGGCGTCCGTCCGCTGCGTGTGGGTACAGTCGTTCGCCTGCGAGGAAAAGGAGGGCTTTTGGGTGGGTGTGAAGACCACACGTACGCTCGGAGCTGGTCAAAGTCAAATTTAGGTAGAGTGCCGTGCTCGGGCTTGGCTGGTAAGGGCTCTTCAGCCCAACTACGTTCCGCCGTCAGAAGGTACGCAAGTCTGACGTCCAGCGACCTGGATGGCAGCGACGACTGCAGCCCAAAGTCCTTGGCTTCGTCCATCTTGATGAGCTGTTTAAACTGCGTCGTAAATTCCCAAAGCGAAATGAGCCCGTCGTGGTCAGAGTCCATGTCGTTGGTGAGGTGGCGAAACTCGGCTTCACTGAGTACGATGCCCTTCTTCATCAACTATTTGCGGTAGAAAATTGGCTAAAATGGACAATAATATCGCACTGTACCCCGTGGCGGAATTCAGCATACGAGAGCTTGCCGCTGCTGTCGTCGTCCATGTCGCCAAAACTTTGCAAAATCCGGTTTTTGTAGACTAGACAAACTTTTTCGAGGGGTAGGGTCCACAATTTTGTACCTCTGAGCTTGGAATACACGGTCTCGCTGAGCTTGGCGGCCTGTGAGTTTGCATGAGCCTACCCTCCAATAGGGACAGAGATGTGGTACATCGACGTTGTCGGGGGGTGGCGCCACGTTGGTGGGCGGCGGCGCCACGACGTCGGACCGACGAAGCTTGCGCAAAAGAACGCGGTCGTGGCCTTGGAGCACGGGACCGTTCATAATATTGGCAAACTCGTAAAAGTTGAGCATGCCGTCCTTGTCCGCGTCGTACCTAGTTTCGACGAATATTGTCTTGCGCGCTGTGGACCACAAACACGTACGTGTGCAGCAGTTCTAGGACCGTGTCGCTCGACACGTTGATGTTTTGTTTCTCGAGGTTTTTGAGAATCTACATAAGCGCATCGACGCCGACGCGTCCCTCTCGGCCACACACCATATCGAGGCTCAATTTGCCTTCTTTGTTTTGATCCCAGAGGCGAAACACCGTGCCCAGCTTCATTTTCTACGCACCATATTTCTACTTTCAAAAACCATACTAGTATATAACTGGCCGTGCACCTCGTATTTGTTGCGTAGCGTGTAGACCATGTGCCGGGCGCTCATCTCGGGCCCCGACTCGGCGGGGTCGCCCAAGAGGTCGCCAAGCACCGATTGGCCAAATTCAATTTCTTGCAAAATGTGCTGGCGCTGCGGCTTCTCCATGGGCTGAGAGGGCAGCACAAGCTGGCAAAACGCATGGTACGACACACACCTACGCGCCAATAAGAAGCGCTGCAAAGTATCATTGTGTCAACTGCGTCCGCGGGTCCAGGACGCTGCGGATGAGGGCGTCGGCTTTCTCTTGGCCGAGCGACGAGGCCCAACCCATGGTCGTAAACATGTCCTTCATTTCGCCTTGCGAGAGGTGCCCGTCGTGGTTGATGTCCCATGATCGGAACGCAGCGCGCAGCGACTTGGTGCACTCGTACTTGGCTTGCAAAAGCGCCACAAACTCGGCGACGGCTGCCTCTTTGGCGCTGCTCTCGAGTGTCTGGTCGTCGGAGGCCGTCGGAGGCCGCACGGCGTCGCTCTTCATGCTTGTGCGCCGACTCTGCCGCGTCAGCGCGCCACGACCCACGTCTGATGATGCCTTGTGAGGCGGTTCAAGCGGTCGCTCTGGTGCACTCGCCTAGGAATAGGGATGATACGACCTGCTCGGGCAACGATCCGTGCACCTCCGTTTGGTTGGAGGCCGTCTCGCCGAGCGGTGCCGTCGGGCTATCACCGTCAAAATAATACTTGGCTAATCACAGCACATTGCACAATGGTACGTTGGTGTGGCGCACGTGGCCGGCCGCACGAAGCGAGGAGTCGTCGGTGCCGCCCTCGACGGCGCACGCTACCGCGCCAGCTCTTCATGAGGAGCCGACAATAGGATGTCGGTACCGGCGTCGGCGGCGGAGGCGTCTCGGTGCCACAGAGAAGACGGTTGCTCGACCCCGTCGCATGCACCCGGACCTTGGACGCCATCGGCAGCTATAAATACGCTGAAGGCTGCTTGACGAATGACCTTTCTTAGTCGTCATGCGTTGACTAGGGTTGGGGTTTGCTTCGTGGCGTGAATCTCAGTCGTGGTTGATTGATCTGTGATCTACTAGAGTTGGAGTAGAGCAGAGAGGCGGCGGGTGGCAGCCATGACCACACAGCCGTCACCCTCTCTCGGATGGCCGTGGATGCATTCGAAAAGAGAAGTCGTGCTACGACTAACGCTAGTTCTATTGGCTTCTTACTCGGGGTTGGAAAACTCGCCAAAGAGAGACGCGAACGCGCCGCAGATCGACGCGGTCATCAGCGTCGCCCGCAGCGACGAGAGCGCGGTCGGATTCGCCTTGTGCGTCAGAAGGAGGCCGGCCGAGAAGCCGCCGAGAAACGTGTTTTTCCAGTCGCGCACGCCGCGGAGGCTCTCGGCCGCGCACGAGACGCCGCCAAAGGTGCCGAGGAAGATGGCAAACGCACCGCCGTTGCGCCCGGCCGCCCGTGCCAGCGACTTGAGGTCCAGCGGCACGGCGCCGCGCTGCACCTGGGCGAGGTGCTCGTAGCCGTCAATCGAGATGGTCCAGAGCGCGCCCGTCATGACGCCACGGTACACGAGGTGGGCCAGCCGCGCATCACAGGTGGCGGTTTGTTGGGGCATGGCCAATTGAAACACAGAGGTCCTCTAAGTACCTACTTGATACGTATTGGTTCTTGCAGGATATGCATTGCTACAGGAGTGCAGCGTGCGGGGAATTCCCTGGACACGTCGCCCACCTGTGCACGACGCTACTACCGAGGACCGTGTATCGATATGCTCGCATTGATATCCTCGTAGGCTGCAGTAGATTGCGTCGGAGGTGGTACGTCCTTCGTACGACTGGTGGCGGACCTCATCGCGTTCCTTCTGGAGCCAAGTAAGTAGCTTGGGGCACATGCCTCAATTCCAGGGCTACGCCTCATTTTAGGCTTTGTCCGAATTTCAAAACCTCGCTTTAAGGTATGCTATGCATCACAACAGATCGGAAAAACCACAAAATACCTTTTAAAAAGGACATGGTCCGAATTCGGCTCAAGTTGAACCAAGGCGCGTGCCACAACTTCAACCGGATCATGGTTCCACGAGATTTGGCATTTCGGAATCGGCATGGTCAAGCACGCGACCGAGAAGACGGGGCTCATGGCCGCCAAGAAGGGCGTCGAGATTGAAATGTACTCGGCGGGCGCCGGCACGCGCGAGCGCCGGCACGACGACGACGACGACGACGCGCCTGTGCTCTTTGGCTACGAGTCGCTCGATAAGGACATGATTCCGGCCCAGCAAGAGTTTCTCGAGCTCTCGAGCATGGCGCTGCAGCTCTCGCTGCGGCAGATGGTGCGCCAGGTCATGACCATCACGGACGCGGCGTTCCAAGGCCACATTGGCACGAAGCAGCTCGCCGGTGTCACGATCGCGTCCGTCTACATGGGCGTGCCGTCGACGTTCATCCAGAACGCGATCCCTGCCATCAGTACGCTGTGCAGCCAGGCGTATGGCGCCGGCAACAATACCCTCGTGGGCATTTGGCTGCAGACCTGCATCGTCTTTTCGGTCCTCGGCGCGATCCCAATCATCATTTGGTACATGTTTGTGGGCCACATGATTGCGCTGACGCTGGACGACACGGAAGCGGTAGGAGCCTTGTCTCCGCTAGGATCGACCTCTTATCGTCGCTCTACTAGGTCGCGTATGGACAGCAGTTTGCCATGATCATGGCGCTCGGGCTCATTCCGCAGTACTTGTATGGCTGCTTGACGACGTACTTTGCGACCCAAGGTGTCATCATGCCGGCCACGCTCTGCAGCACACTCACAGTCTTCCTCAACATCGGCTTCAACCAGCTCTTTATCTACGGCGGCTTTGGCTACGACGGCCTCGGCTTCATCGGGTCGCCGATCGCGACCGTCACGAGCACGTGTCTCCAGCTCCTCATCTTTGTCGGCTACACCGTGTGGTACAAGCAGTACCATCTCGACTACTGGGGCGGCTGGACGATGGAGTGTATCAGCAAGGAGCGGCTTCTCGTCTTCCTCCCGCTGGCTGTGCCCATGGGCATGTCGTCGGTCGTCGACTGGGCCTCGGCGGCGTGCACCACCGCCTTCTCCGGCTACCTCGGTCCGGACATTGCCGCATGCCAAGCTGTTTTGAACGGCGTCTTTGGCGTCGTGAACGCGTTCGTCTCGGGCTTCTCGACCTCGACGCAGATCCGCATGAGCCGGTACCTCGGCCAAGGCAGCGCGGTCGCAGCCAAACGCGTGCTCTCGATTGGCGCGTCGATCGTCGCCGTCTGCGGCGTCACCATGGTGCTGCTCGTGTACCTTCTCAACGAGTCGCTCTTCCGCGTCTGGAGCCCGGACCCGGTCATCATTAGCATGTGCCGGTCGGCGCTTGTTGTGTTTGTGTGCTGCATCATGGTGGCCTTTGGCCGCTTCATGATGACCGCGTGCCTCAACGCTCTCTCGATGGCCAATATCAACCTGATCGCCAACAACATTGGCTCGTGGTGCCTCTACGTGCCGCTCAGTTATGTGCTGCCGATCACGCTGCACTGGGGCCTGGATGGGTTTTGGTACGCCGACATGTGCGGCGAGGCGATGAAGGCGGTAATTTTGACCTGGGGCATCCTCCGCGTCGACTGGAGCGCGGCAGCCGACTTTGCGCAGCGGGCCGCCGAAGTCACGGAGACGCGCAACCCGATGCAAGAAGAGACGCGCGAGCTGCTCGCGTACGAGAATGAAGCGCTCTTGACGCCGACGATCTTCAAGAGCCCCGGGGCGCAGTTCGGGTCGGTGCCCCACCACACGCCGAGCGTGCTCAAGCGCGCGCTGTCGCTGACACCGAAAGCAACGCGCCGTCCAAAGGACACCAATGTGTAGGTAGACAAATCGTCGTTTTTTGGGTAATATCAGCTTGATACTTTGATACGAATCTGCACGTGGCAATGACCAGGCAGTAGCGTCGAGATGAAGAGCCAGCAAAATCGAATTGTAGATGCAGCCGTCCGTGTCCTTGGACAGGCTGGTTCCTCTCTCGGGCTGCCATGCGCTTCGAGCCACCACTCGGGCATCAATGGGGTCGCCGACACGTTCACAGCGCGCGTCGCTCGCTCGCTCTAGGTCCCGGTCGTCACGTTGACTGCATAACAGCACTACTTGTGCACAAAATTCGGTATTAACGTACACCAGTATGAATGTACAATTGTATCAATGTATCGAGACATGGAGGTGGCGACGAGCAACCCCGAGTCCGAGATCCGTGCTTCGACACCGAGTGGCCCGACCACAACGTCGTTTGCGCTGCTTGGAGCTGGAGCTTGACGAGCTCGGTGGCGGTACCCTCTGCAACGCCACGACGACCATGGCAAGGAGTGCGTTCGTTTGGCATCCGCAGCGCCGTTGACTACACGGCTCGAACGAAATGGTCCGTCGTTCGGACCGGTCGTGCTCGAGTCGCAGCCGATTGGGATGATGCTTCTGTGCAGAGACAAGTGCCAAGATGACCTTGAAAGCAACAAGCGAGGTCACGGCGGAAGCTGCGCGACATCCGACACACAAGGACGCGCACAGGTCGCCGTCCTCTTTATATGTACACGATATGCAAGCATTACGCTATTGCGGTGCGAGTGCTTGCAGCCGCGCGAGCTCTCGGTTCAAGTACCACACCTTCTCTTCCTGCAGCAGTCGGGACTTGGCGGCCGACTCGCGGTTCGTTCGGCGCCGGTACTCGTCCTTGGACTCGGTCGGAAGCTGCACCGACTTGGCCTTTTTGGCCGGCGCAAATGGCCGGTGCCGCAGACTCGGGTGCGACGCCTCAAGCCGATGGATCTCGTCGATGATATACGACAGCTTGTGCTCGCGCTTCTCGCGGTACGCAGCCGCGGACACGCGGTTCTTGGTGTTCTTGACATGGATCAAGACAGGCGGCGACGCATTTTGCACCGCGGACGTCCTGGAAACGATCTGCCGCTTGGCGTTGCGGCGCTCGATGGCCAAGCGCCGGCGCACGGTCGCCGCGTTAATCGCGAGCCGGTCGGTGCACTGCGAGAGCGATGGCAGGCGCGTCGTCTCGTGCTGCCGGAGGTGGCCATTGAGGTTCACGAGGAGGTTGCTCGTGCGCAGAATGTCATCGCGCGCCGAGACGTCGTAGTGCACCGTCGTCTTGTTGGTGTTGAGGATGTAGTGGAGGCCCATGAACTGCGCCATCGTACGAATCCCGTCGGCAACCAGATGTGTCGCCACGAGACGTGGGGTGCATCAGGTTCTGCCCCTTGCCAGATGGTACTACAAACCTCTATCTTTCGATACATTGACACAGTGCATGGCTTGCGGTGGCAAAATCTGGTCATAAATCTCTACTTTGTAAGAGCATTCGCATCTGGAGACCTGTGGAAATGCATATATAGCGAAAGAGCATATCGAGTGCCTGGACATGCAGGCCTATGAGCAACTGCTCGCCTCGCCGCTCCAAAAATCAGAGACCGTTTGGGGGAGAAATACGTGGCAGCCTGTGCGACGGCCTGCGACCATGCGTCGTGGAGCGGCCTGAAAGCCACTGGGAAGCGCCTCGGGTCACTGTTTGCGCAGGAGACGTACGAGCTACGCTAGAGCTTGACCAGAAGCGGATGCAGCCGACATTGTTCAGGAGATCGGAGGCCGAGCACGGGCTGGCAGCTGCGACACGTGCCGAATGGTTCAACATATCTGTGCTTGTGCGATGGATGGACGGCGGCGTCGGCGGGGTTCTTTCTGCAGGCAGCTCGCTTCCGCCGGCCGCTTTTGTGCTGCCGAGTTTGGCCGCCGCCTCGCACGTTACTAAAGGCAGCTCTTGGAGCCCTATGTCCAATTCTTGCGAGCGCTGTCAATTGGCCTCATCCAGCGTCCTGTGCTGGTAGCGTGCCACGTGCCTCGTTCTGACCAGACAGGCCAATCGGGCTCGCCAATCGTTGAAGTACGACGATTCTGTGACCGCCTTGGACACAGTCGATGCTCGCACGAGAGCGTGTCGGCGCGAGAGTCCATGAGCCACACATTCTTCTGGTGTTCAATGCCCAAAATGATGCGAGCTTGGTTCTGCGAGTTCTTGAGGACGACGAGTACACTGTAGAGACCGTCGCAGGATTTTCGGAGCAGAATGAGGCTTCAATTGGCGGGAGCTGGGGAGCTACAGTGTATGGAGCAAACTATTGGCAGGTTGCTTGAAGCTTACTCTAAATCTTCTTCGCTTGAAGTCTCGACTCCAGCTTCTTCGCTAATGATTCAGGTGCAACTGCAAGTAAAACCAACCAATGGCGTTGCGATCGACGCCATCAACTCGACGTGATTGAAGCCTTTCCTCGCAGACGGCCGAGCAGATTGGGGGGTAACGAATGTATTGGTGCCCCGCCTGCCCAGTGGTGGGCGAGGTGGGTTAGCTAATTTGCTACGGGCTGCAAAATGCGGAATGATCAGAGCGGGGCCGCTCTGTGCCTTGGCTTGTTTTGCTGCTTGGACTTCTGTCCTTCTGTGCTTCTGTTCTTCTGTTGTTCGTGACTGCTCGTCCCATCGCGCGGAAAACCTCTTTCTCTTCTTGAAAATGGCTCTTGCACAACTTGTCACACACATTGGTCTCAACCGTTTCTGGTGCGATCATTCACCAGACTCTGGCCATGCACCAGAATTTTTCACAAACGAATCAAAAAAGCCCGATGCATGCCATTCACAAGGTTACTAGGCAGTTTTACCACCCTTTCCTGCCAGCACAGCCTCGCAACAAGTCCGTCATTCGGTTCAATCCTCCGACACCTTTTCCGCACTGGCACGAGAAAACACCTATCAAACCACCTTGCCATGGCGGCCAATACAAAAAACAAGCTAAATACGTGGCGCAATGCAGGACTTTTTCGTGGACTTTGCCGTTGGCCAAAAATAGGTCCACCACAATGCGTGGTAGTAATACTAACGATTCAGCAACCTTCTTTCGCGCATCGCACAATGCGCTCGCGCAGCCTGTGACTCAAGTCAAGACAGAGGCGCTCGCACGCCAGCGTGACGAAGAGTCGGACGGTTCTGGCGTTCTCCGAACAACCGGCACCACCGCTCGCTCCTCCATGGCGCGCGTCTCGCGATAGCTTCTCGCGATAGCCCCACGTCGCAGTCGCACAAGCAATTGAGTCAAAGAAGATGTTGCAGCCGGTCGCTAGCTGCTACTGCGTCAAGGTACCGACGTGGCGCCCACTGGACGCAGCCGTCGCCCCGACTTTTGTATCACAGGATCCCACCGCTCAAACGTATACAAACTTTTATAGCCAATCAGAGACGGCCAAGACCCGAATGATAGCATCCGGTGATCGGCGCCGCTGCCGACGCCATTATTCTCGCGATGGAGTCGTCGCAGCAGCTCTGGACGCTAGCCGTCGTGGCCACGGGCGCCGCCTTTGCGCCGGCCGACGACACCGTCGCCCTCGCGCTCGCCGGTCTCGCAGTGCCCATCCCGATCGTCCTCACCCAAGCCGCCACGCGCATTTGGGTGCGTCGCTCCGCCGCCGTGGCGCTTCTCGGATGCATGCTCTCGGCGCTGTCGTGCATCGCGCTCCCATACATCCTTGCCAGTATCGTCAACGAGCAGCAGCGCGCTGTCCTCGACGACTACTGCCCAGTCGTTGCCATCGCTGCCCCAGCGCTTGTCGTTCTTGCAGTCCTCAGCGACCGCGTCGCAGCTCGTCGCCGCCAGGCATGGCTGGCAGTCATCACCGCCGCCGTGAACACCGGCATCTACTACTATTTATTTGCGACCAGAGGCGCCCGTGCGTCGGCGTGGCCGATCGTTGCTACGACATATGCCCACGCGCTATGCCTCGGTGCGCTCTCGTGGTCGCTTGAGAGCCGGCCGACCGCCGACGACGAAGGTACCAAGAACAGGCCGACGCAAGCTTTTGCAGCAATCGCGCCGTGGCTTTTGGCCGTCGTCTTGGCGTCGTCCCCCGCACCCGCACTTGCTACGTCGTTCTTGGCGTACGTGGGGCTTGGTCTTGAGTTTGGTGCCGGCGTTGCTCGAAGCTACGGCTGCCATCGCGTTGGCATCGTTGTCGTCGCCAGTGCTCTCGTAGCGCTCACCGTCGTCTATGGAGTCCCGTGGACGACCGCGGTCAACGCGATCGACAGGATGGTGGTGTTGGCTTTTGCGCTGGCTTCGTTGGCCACCGTCGTCGGACCACCGGTATCGCCGGCGTCGACGGTCGGCGGTGCCGTCGTCTTTCTTGTTGGCGTCGCCGTCGTTGCACGCCTCGCTCCTGACAGCGCCCTCGCAGTCTGGGTGCTGCAGGCGCTCGTACAAGGCGCCAAGTGCGCTCTGGGTTGCATCCGCCGGCAAGCGCCAACATACACCCAACAAGAAACCGTGCACTTGCTTTCTGGACGGCCTGCGATCGACCACGTAAGCGCTACATGTTCCTACCCTTTTCTCTCATTGACATGCATGCTACACTAGGGCGCGACGACGGCATCGACAAAGGGCAACGACGGAGGGAAGGATAAGGCGCCAACTCAAGCAACGTCGGATGCCAGCCAGCACGGTTGGAAGAATATGCGGGCGCAGTGGTGCCCGTGCTGCCACTCTCGGCGCCCGCAGTCGTACAAGCAGCAGCAAGTCGTTCTTAGTACTGACGAGGACGGCCTCGCGATGTACGAGCGTCACCGCGTGTCGCCGACGCTTCATGACGCTCAAGAACGTGCTGGCCTTGTCCTTGGTGCCCAGTCGACGCGGCTGCTTGAAGCCGGCAACGCCTCGCAGCCAAGCACCGCACGACGTACGTCCACTGCGCGTGTCTTGCATGTCCTAAGGAAGCCTTTCTTGCGTAGCTGCGGTAGACAACCTTGACCAGGACCGGCTGAGTGTCTGTCACTCGACGCATCACGACGGCTGGCGCGCCACCTCGCCGACGGCCGACTCGGTGCAAGACCGGTCTCTCTCTGAGCTGTTACTTGGTGCCTCTCGTCCGCAAGAGTACAAATCATGCGAAGAAAGTTGCCAACTGCATCCGGCAGCGAGGGCGACACCCATTCGAGGCTCGTCGCAAGTGGGCATGGCAGCCTCGGCGACGTCGAGCGACGAGACGCAGATCGCGACCGCTCTACGATTGCATGTCCGGGGCAACAACACGGCTGGTGCGACAACGCCAACGACTTTGGATGCCCAGACGCTTGCGCACGGTGGCGACCGGTCCGTCGCAGTGCTATTTGACGTTGAAACGGATAAGCTGCAGCGTTTTCCCACGAGCCGTCGCCTTGATCAAAATGCTCCGAGTAGCCAACGTCGACTTGAGGGCTCCTCCGACCACAAGCGCGTCGTCGACTCGGCATGCGACCGAGCGGCGGTTGTCGGCAGTGCGCGGCACGTGGCCATCACCGAGCCAGTACCCGATGGCAGTTGCTGTGGCCTAGCAGGGTGCATGCCGATGTGCAGTCGCCGCCGTGCCAGTGCAGTTGAATCGCGTCGATGTGCCAAGGCGTCGACAACGATGGGAGCGTCATCGAACAACGCCACAGTGCCGCTGCTCGGGTCAAGCCACCACTTGGAGCCCCGCGCAAGCGTCTGTGGGTGGCTGTGCTGCTCGGCGGCGTCGGATCCGCATGCCATCGACGAGGTACCTCGAACCAAGGCAGCGGTGTGCGCGCTGGGCTGCTGCGGCGGGTCTTCGGAGACATCACTCGCCACCCGCTTGGCTCACAACGGCGACGTCGTTGCCGATTACGGCGCTTGCGCTGACGACGCTGAAAACTCGATGGCACCATCCGGCTCCGTGGCGCAAGGTGTTGCTTTGTCCAGCGACAGTGCTTTGTATCTGGGCGGCTCGACGGCGTTGGCACCTACCGACGACACGGCTGCGGCATCGGTGACGGCGACCGAGCGTCGGCTAGCGCAAGGTGGCACCGAATGCGAGGGCCAACAAAGCTCCGGGACCGACGCTAGTGGGCATGCAGACGCGTCGTTGCTGCTTCGCCAAGAGAGGTTGCGCATGACAATCGACAAGCCACCAAATCCCGTGGGTACCGATATCGACGCCCTCGAGCCGCTGGCCACGGGCGCCATCGAGCTGCGTCGTCGCGACCAAACGGCTCGGCCACTCGCACAACCGGCTGTCAAAGCCACGGATCCTAGCATGATCGGGCCCTTGGCGACCGACGGGCGACATGTCGGTGGCGCTCGGTGCTGCTTGGAAGCAACACCGTGCTCTCTTTGGTGTTGCGCCGCCGAAACGTCGACGACGTCACGAGCCGCCTCGAGTGACGCGGCTGGCACGACGGTGGGAGAGCGCGCGCGCTCATGGCGTGCAACGGTCGAATCCAACTTGATGGATGCGCGGGCAATGACATCCGACTCTACAAATGGCATGAGCGCACTAGGCGGTGTTACCATCGACTCTGCCATCGATCGAGCAAGCGACTACAACCGTGCGGCCCAGAAACAACTCCAAGGCCAAAGGTCGTGGACGAGTCCCATAGCAAAGACGTCCAGCGCCTCGTACGCCTCGGCAGGTTGGCCTCTTGGTTGCTGCCTAGCGAGCTGCTGGCATGACGCTCCAGGAGCATCTGCCGGGGCAGCGTCCTCTCGACAATTGGTCGAGACTGCAACGAGCAAGCGTCATGAACGCCCGGTCGCCATGGATGGTGCCACGGATGCTGCGTCAGAGTGTCCTCGAGCGTCAACATCATCAGCAGAGTTTGCAAGTGGAGTGTCCACTCACGATGACGTCCGTAGCCTATTCACAGGCTCGCCACAAAGGCGCTTGTCGACTGGGATGCACGGTGCACCGGCGGCTGCTGCATTCTCAGCGGAACCAGCGCGATTCAGCGACGCCGTTGGGCTCGGCAGCTCTCGATCAGAAGACGCCAACAAAACCCAGGATACGATCGACGCTGGCCCTCTCCGGCACGACAAGGGTGTCACGGGCAATGAGCTCGCGTCAACCACGACGTCGGCACATCTTGGCAAACGGGCCTTGACCGACGCAGTCCAGAGTTTTCACCAGCGACGGTCGTCAACTACGGGTGTATCCTTGTCCGCAGCTGCCTCTGCCCCGCGCTCGACGCTCCGCACAGTTTCAGTGCCCGAAGCATCGGCGTCGTGCTCGCTTTGCTGTGGCGACTGGGCGAGCTTGTGTAGAGGTCGTCAACTGCCGAGCTCAAATGACACTATACATCGTCCGGTGTCCGACGGCATCGCCGCCAAAGCGACCACAAGGGATGGTGCGGACAACCGCTCGCCGCTTCAAAGCGCGCCAACGACGGTGTTTGAACGCAGTGCGTCCCGTGCTTATGAGTCGGCGAGGAACGTCGCGTTATACGAAGTCTCTTGCTTGTCGGGCGCGGATGAAGCCACCACCAAGCAAGTGGCTGTGGTCAAAGCCTCGGCGTTCGAAGGGGGGCATGACCACAACCAAGTACTCACGGCAGACGTCGTTGGACCTCTACGGCTCGAGACCTCGGCAGGCCATTGCAGTTTGTGGGTGTGCTTTCCATGCTACGGCGCGGGTAGTGAGACGCCTCGGCTCCGCGGTGCGACGTCGTGGCGCGACGGCAGTGATGACAGTGACACGTCGTCGTCACGACCGCTGCTTCCTCGGAACGTAGCAAGAACGACGGATCTTAGCTCTGGGTCCCTTCGCACGTGCAATCGACAAACGGCGGACGACCATTGCAGCGCTTTGTGGCTCTGCTGTGGTGCGTCATCCGAGGGCTCGCCGTTGAGACGCACGAATGGCAGTGCTTCCACAATGCTCTCGCGGGGCGTCGACGCGCACACAGATTTTGCAAGCATCCCGACGACGGCGAGAGTGGCCTCGTCGGACGTCGAGACCACCGCACCCGTCGTTGACCGAGCGCAGCACATGCGTAGCGACGAAGCGGGTTGCAGGACGGCACCGGATGTCGCGCCGCTGCGTCCGAGCTCGCGTGAACCGTCGCGCCGCATGATAGTCCAGCCGCCAACGCACGATGCGGCGTCGCAGGGCTGGTGCGGTGGCACCAGCGACGATGTTGTTGCCCGTCGTCGCGAAGAGCACACTGATCAAGAACGCCGACGACACCGTACGTCCAACGCACGTCCAACTGACGTGGACGCCGAGCGATCACCAACTGCAGGTGCCGGACGCAGCGCGTCATCTGCGACCCTCGATATGCGCAACATCGGACACGACGCGGACGACCATCACCGCAGTCTCCGAGGACGTGCGCTGGAGCGAAACGCTGCTACGTCGGCGACAACGACGAGTTGGTGCTGTAATGGCACCGACACCGACGGCATCGAGGTGTCCCGGCAGACACGGCAGTTCTCAGCTCCGTCCAGCTCGTATGCCGTTGCTGGTGTGCAGTCATCCAGTTCAGGCGCGGCCACGACACTGTCCCGCAGTGATGCTTGTGGCGTTGGACGAGCGTCGACTCTCGGTATAATGTCTTTGGCCACCGACGGCGCAGTGTCTGCTTCGGGCAGGAACAACCGCCTTGGCAATGACGTGCGCGCCTCTTCTCGGTACAATACCTTTGACCTGGACGTTGACAGCGCGCCGACGTGCTGCCTGGATGCGTTCTGCGGCCTTGGCGTGAGTACGTCGCACGCACCGACACGTCATCCGAACCAGCGGTCGCAGCGTGTACCCAGCGACGTCCGACGACTGAGCTGTGGGCAGAGTCGACACGACGCGGGCCCTCACTCAGGCAATGGTTCCGATGTCTTCGATTTCAACGCGTTGCCGACCTTCAACAGGCCAACGGGTACCATGGCAGCCGACGTCGACAAACGCGGCAGCGGTGGTCGTGCAACCGAAGAACGTCGGCGTAGCTCGGTCGCCAACACGGCCGGGATTTCAGGCTCGAGTCGCCGCTTCGCTCTCCTTGATGACGACACGCACGCGACATCGTGTGGCAACCACTGGTTGTGCTGTGGTCTTTGCTCCGCGTCGGCACCGACGGTGCGCGCGCCTTTGCAACCGCCAACGCCGTCAACGCCAGAGCCGCCGTCGCCACGGGTAGCTCGCACACCGCCGATGGCGATTAGCCGGGCGCCATCCCAAGCCTCGCTTGACGACGGGTCGGCACCGACGTCGCGCCGAGGATCGTTCATTCGCATGGCGTCCAAACGCATCCAGTCATTGCAACACTCGCGCCGGCAGTCGCTCGTCGACGACGACCCGCCATTTATGGTATCTCTTGGTCGAAGCATCCTTGGAGCTCAAGCGGTTGTGTGGTAGCGGTCGCGTCGGCAGTCGTCGGGTGCAAGGTCCTCATCCCCGCGCGACCACGAGGAATCAACCGCGTGGCTGGCAACCGACGTCTACGAAGTACGCACCTTGTAGCAATTCGCCTTTTCACTCCTTGCACTAGCAACCACAGCTACCGTATCGCCGTCGCAGCTACGGCAGTCCGCCACGCCCGGTATTGGCCACGGTACGCTGTCGTCCGCTTCATATGAGGCAGTTATCGAGCGCTCTGCCTAGCACCTTGAAGATGCGCTCGGCAACTTGCTCCGGTTGCAGTCGTCTATCTCGGACAACGGTCCCAGCAATGCCGTGCAGACCGTAGCCCATCATGCTTCCGTTGAGGACACAGCGTCCGGTGCCCAGTACCGTGTGACGACCGAGGGTAATGACGTCACGAGCGAAGGACTCAAGACGTCCGCGAACCGCCTACGCGTGTCATTTCTCGTGGACGACGATGGTCACGACTGGGTCGACGTCCAGAAAGCCTATGTGAAGGAAAAGACCGGCCGTGACGGGCTAAGCAAGGCCCAAGACGCTCCTGACGGCCCGCTGGTGTCTACGATCGGTGGCGAGATCGCCGAAGCCGTGGCTGCTGCCGCGACCGCTCCCAACGCTCGTCGCTCGTCAAGAAGTCAAAGTGTCTCTCGCGAAGATAGCTACACACAGCTCCAACACGACAGCGCGGGCCGCACCAACGACGACACTCGTAATCGACAAGACGAGCGCGTCATCATGAATGCCGTTGGTAGCGCGGACGCCGATATCGACGAGTATAGTCGGCAGAGTCCGTACAAGCAACAGGTCCCAGCGTACTACCGCGCAGCTTCCTCGTCGTTGACATCGACCAACCGCGGCTACGGTGTCGATACGGACGTCGCCGACGGCGATCAGCCCATCCGACGCATGCCGACGGCGTCAGTGCCATCGACGTCCAAAGTTATCTCTCCACGCCGTAGCGCCAACGTGAAATCAAGTCTCGTCACAGGCACCCTCGCCCAAGCGTATGGCGCCGTGGATGCTACTGTCGCTGCGTCGGTGGCGCTATCGTGGCCTTCGGCGAAGGATTTAGTCTCTAGCCGCCGCTTCATTGCAGATCACGGCGAGGCTTGGTCGGGCACTCGTGATGCGTCGCATGAGCCGCTTTGGTCGTCGAACGTTGTGGACGATGCGGATGCCAACCGCAGCGGGCGATCGTCGTCCCGCGCTCTGCTTCTTTCTCATTCCTCCCGGCGGCTTCGCGACGGGTCTTCCACGTCTTTGGTACGCTCTCTCATCGCAAGTATCAACAGCTCCTCACCCAATGTATAGCGTTCGCTGCCGTCGTCCAGCGCCGGTGGCGGCTACGGCGCCATCGTCGAGCTATCGTCGCTCCTCCACAACGACGCCAACGAGACCAATGACGCGCTCGATACAGGCGACGTCGGCACCAAAGGGCGCGAGTGGTGTTGCTTTCTCTGCTCGATGCTGCTGCACTCGATGCAGCTTGTATCTGCGCAGTTGACGGCCGACACGGAGCTCATGTTCCTCGGTCATCTCGGGACGCGGCAGCTCGCGGGCGCCGGTCTTGCGCGCTTTTGGATCTACGTGCCGCTGTCGTTCCTGCTCTCGGGCGTCGGTGGCTGGCGCCTCTTGTTTGCCAAAGGGTTTTGGCTTCAGTCGGCGCTCGTCGTAGCGCTCCTGGCGACGCCGCTCCTCACATGCTACTACTTTCACGTCGACTTTTTCGTTGGCGGCACGATGCTGCACCCGATCACGCGCGCATTTGCCAAGCAGTACGCGACGCTCATCTCGCCAAGTATCCTCCCGCTTCTGGCGTCGACCGTGCTCATGCAGTATCTCATCGCGCGACGGGTCGTCGTACCGGTCGCCGTCATGGCGACGCTGGCGTGTGCAACAACGATCGCACTGCACTTTTTACTCGTCTTTGGCTACCAGAAATGGCCCGGGTTTGGCTTTGACGGGTCGCCGTACGCAACGATGGCCGCGCTCGTGCTGCTACTGCTACTGCGTGTCGCCTACGGCGGGTGCTGCGTCGGGTTTGGCGGCCTCGCATGGCGCCGGTCCAACTACAGCCTTGGCCGACTTCGGGTCCTCTGGGTGATGGCCGTGCCCGCGGGGATCCCGTCGTGCCTGCAGAGTGTCGTACTGACCATTTTTGGCGCCGCATCGGCGTACACCCCAGCGACCTCTACCCGACGCTTGGACGAAGGCGATGTGATGGACGCTGGGTCGCAGCAGGCGGCGGCATGGGTCGTCACGGTCTGCTTCTTCCTGCTCGTGCTTGCGTTTCTGCGGGGCGCGGCGGCGACAACGGCCGAGCGCATGCAGCTGCACTTGCGCCGACAGGATGTCGCGCGCGCCCGGCACGTGCTCTTTGTCGGTGCGGTGTATGGCGGCGCGCTCGGGTGCCTCTTTGCCACGATCGTCTTCAAGTACGGAGCACCGCTTTTGAGCTTGTGGACGGCCGACGCCATTGTCCATCAGTTCTGCGTCGACGCGCTTCCGTACCTAGCCGCGTGCATGGCGCTAAGCAGTGTCCGTCTCGTCTTTGCCGCCGGCCTCACCACGCTGGAGAAGACCACGATGCTTCCATTCGCTGCCAACGTGGATACGTGGCTGATTCAAGTCCCGCTCGGTCTCGGGCTTGGCATTGGGCTGCAACTGGGCGTCCTCGGTCTCTGGGTCGCACGTCTCACTGGCGAGCTCGTGCACACGATGCTGTTGCTGTATGCGCTCATGCTTGATGCAAATGCAGCGACGGACGAAGCCGCGACACCACTTCTGGGCGCCACAGCGTCAGCAGAGCTTGACAAGACGACGTCGGACGAGGCGAGTAGCGACAACGTTGTCACTGTGCTGGTACCTACCACTGGAGCGCGCGACCGATCATTACGAGTGGCACCAACGCCAGTGGCCAATGTCGGTGTCACTCGAATCGATAAAGACGATGTGGCAACTGCGGAGGTCCATCTGGAGGCGGCACCGGTGCACAGTCCTCTCGGTAACGATACGCCGCTGCCGTGGGTGCGTCGACGGAGCTCCGACGGCAGTGCGACGTGGGTCGTGGCCGACGACAACGCCGCGTTGTCCCCGATTTCCGAAGAAGACGCCGCCATCGCAGTGGTCGAGCGACTGTCGCGCCGTGCTTCGCTCGTGTCGAGCTCCAGCGATGCGCCGACAACGACGGTTGCGTCGACGCCATCGGCCATTCAGTGGGTTCGTCAAGAAAGCACCGTCGGTGCTGTGCAGTGGGTCGAAGAAGAAGCTATCCACGACTTGTCGGCCAGTAGTCCGTCGACGCAAGACGAGCTCCTATGGAGAAGCTCCGATGTCTCGTCGTCCGAGGAGGCCACGCCGCGGGGCAGAAGCCATAGCCTCGGCGACATGGACGCTATCAATCGCGACGTCTCCAGTAGCCACGGCAACATATGCAGTGCTTTGATCAAGCAGGAACAAGACTACATTGACAACGCCGTCTCGACCAACCAAGACCGCTCGCCCCAACGACACGACGACGCGCTGCCGCCTCTGCTTTCGGCGTCTGTGCCACCCCAAAATCGTGGCACCAGATTTGAGGAGGCTTGTGGGATTGCAAGCGACCTCACGGATAGAAATGGCAACGACGAAATCGAGAACCACGACGCCATTGCCGGTAGCCCCGACGCCTCCCTTCGTGGCAACGCTGAGCCCGTTCGCAGCCATGGTGACTCGAACAAGAGCCAAGCTGCGTCCTCTCAGAGTAGCTTTCTCGCAAGCCTACCGGGCACGCCTGCTCCACGTGCTTTGGCGCCCGCAACGACAAGAACGCCCGAGCTGTCGACCAGCGCAAGCGACGACTGGATCATCGCGATGCCAGCGACTGACGTCGACAGTCACGCCGCTGTGGCGCCAAAGTCTACAACGGCAGCAACGACGACGAGCGACCAGCGCATCGACAGCCGTCCACAGAGTGCTGCCGTCCAAGGACACCCAGTATCAACGGCGCTCGACGCTCAAGACATCGAGTCGACGCCACCAAGAAGCCGAACGGACCACGATGCAGCCAACAGCTACGTCATCACTATTGCGCCTGAGGTCACGCGCGACCTTTCGTCTACTGCAGACGCCGGTGAGCAGGTTCAGCGATCAGCGTCGGCAGTCCAAGGCGTCAACTTCGACAAGGCATCGGCGACCTTGGTGGCACCGAGACCATTGTCCACGATGGCAAAGGAGCCCCACGCGGAACATATGCGGTTGCCAGCCGCCATGGTCGGTCCCGCGTTGCTCGACAAATCCGACACAGCAACCACCGTCTACAGCAGTCGTCTAGCGACAGCCTTGATGACGGCGCCAGCTACCACGGCAGTACCACCGAGTCAAGGATCCTGGACGCCAACACCAGTGTCCCCCGTCGCTTTGACGTTCGCCGAGCCGTGGTCGGCGAGTATGGCTGAGGAAGCTTTCGCCAAGCGTGTGCTGCACCCAACATCACCATACGCACAGAACAGCGCAGCGTCTGGTGCCAACCTGGCCCCTGACCTTGCTCGAGCGCTGGGCAACGCCACTGACGAAGCGGCGGTATCTGCCGAAGAGACCACCCGGCGTCGCCATCGCTCCAAGAAGAAGAAGCGGGGTACCATTGGCACCGACACCGACGCTGCAGAGGACGCCTCATCTCCAGTGCACGCGCCGGACCGCGGAGGTAACGCCCCGGCTGGCCCGTCAGAGAGGCAACAGACGGTCGCGGCATCTGCGACTGGCCACATTGATGCTGGTCCTGCAGTGGACCACGATAGCATCGGTGACATGGAGTTGTCGACGTTGGTGTCGGCGGCTGCGGCGCCACCGAAGGTCGAGCGTCCACTCACGGTTCACGCACCACCAAAGGCAACCGAGAGTCCTTCCCTTCAGTACGGGAAGCGCTCGAAAAAGCTGCGGGCGCGCCAGGAACGCAAGCACCACAGCGCTGTTGCGCCCGCAATCGCGCGACCGCCGGCGCCACAAATGCAAGTCGCGATGAAGGACGAGCTCTTGCTGCTCTGCTTTCAGATTGAGCTTCTCAAGCATCTGCAGGCCGCGTAGCTTTGTCAACGTCATACAACACTAACGTGCGAATGTAAATGTTTGTACACGCTGCTACTGTTTTGCTACTGGCTGGCTGCGCTGCGCTGACTTCCACTTGATGAGGAACTGCAGTGCTTCGGTCCACTCGCAGCACCGGAGTCGGTTGCGATCCGCGCTGTCCCCTTCGTCGACCTACGAGGCGGGTCAGTACGAGAGATGGAGAATACGTCATGTCATCACCTCGAGGTCCAGGGACCTCTTCTTGTCATCGTATAGGATGGAAAAACAAAATTCACTCCGCGACCGGTCCGTCTTGCGCAGAAAGACCTAGCCAACGCGCTCATGGTCTTTGCCGTCCGAACGAAAGCGAGCGACTACCTTGGTGCTGTGGCCAAATGCAAGTGCGTGCAGTGACGACGTTGAAATCTGAATCATAGGGCCTTGGCTCCCCACCGGTCGGTAGCTCAAGTATTGCAAGTCGTTCGAGCACCACACAAAACGCGCATGCGGCTTGCCTTGTCGTCCGTGCTTGATGAAGATAGCACCTTGCTTGAGGAGCTCCATGCGCCGCTTGATGGCATCCGACGCGCTCTCGCCCCGCGGCACGGGCTTGGGCGGCTCGGTCGTCGGCGCCACTTTTTCACTCTCGGCGTCGCTCTCGCTGCACAGATCGTCTTCGTCGTCGTGCGGGTCGTCGACTTCGGCAACGCTGCTGGACGCTTCATGCAACGCGTTGATGTGCGCCGTGAGCTGTACGATGTGCGTCTTGAGTTTGTCGGCGTCGGCGCGCTGCTCCAAAAGGCGATTTTCCACGTCCTTCATGCGCTCGTCTTGCGCCAGCAGCGACTCTTGCGCCTCGGCCGCCGTGTTGGACGCAAAGATGATGCTCGTCTTGAGCTGGCGAAGACACTCGAGGGCGTGCGCCATCCCGAGGTGCTGCAGCGTTCGCAAAATGTCGTCTTGGTCCGTCTCGGTGACAAGGAATTGCTCCACGAGCTTCTCGCACACGTCTTTTTCAATTTCTACAGGGTGGGCAAGTTGAAGTTGAAGTTGCGTGCAAATAGACATTCGCACCGGTCAATGGGCGCAGTGCCTTTTCCGATGTCAGTTGTGCGTGCAGTTGTGCGTTGAGCTCAATCTGATGCGCGACGTTCTCCTGAAGCGACGTGCGCTCTGCTTGCAGTCGGTCGTTCTCGCGTTGCAGAAGTGCGATCAGTGCGGTCGTGTCCATGTCGCGGTTGGCGCGGACGTCGACCGCGACCTAGTCATACTCTTCTATAATGCGTCAAGTGTCATACTCGCACCTCGCTGCAGCGCAGCATGAAGCGACAGGTCGAGATGCTCTCGTCCACGTATTCAGCCTCGGGGTTAAGTGTACCGATAAAGACGGACTTGCAATTGCCGCCGAGGCTGCCACGCAGCACAGACGTCAACATTGAGTTGCGGTACGGTATGTGTGTCTTGGTTTTTTTGCTGCTGCGTTGCTGGAGGGCTAAAATCACCTAATTTTCAAGGCATCGATGGGCAATATGGGCGTCGCAATACACGATACTTGTTCCAGGTGGTGCAGAGAAAGGTTGATGCAGCGGCCTTCGTTGCGCATGCGTTCGGTGCCGTCGCGCTTGTAGACGCGCTCCGAGCCCGCGAGATCGACGATGTGCAGCTTGGAGTTGAGCACGACCTCCGAGTCTTTCCGACGGCCTTCGATCAAGATGGTAAAAATCGAGTGGGAACGCGACGACGCCTACTGCATGGATCAGAAGCCAAATCCATCAAAGAAGAGCCACTTGATTCATCGGCGTGTCGCTCGTCACGCGGTTCACATTGCCCAAGAAGAGCAAGTTGAGTGCATCTTCTTCCGAGTTGGCTTCGTAGACGCTACATCAAAGACACGTCGCAAACTATACGACAATAGTGTCCACGGCGAACCCCAAATTTCGAAAATGCACATCATCGTCGTCGTCGTCCGAGAGTTGCAAGTGAATTTTGGTCCACTCGTCGATCGGTTTGTTCATGTGGGCCTTGTCCAAGAGGTCGTAAATGTTTTCGTTGTAAACCTCCAAGTACGACACAAAGCACCGGTAGCTCTACTCCCCATCGTACGTCGTGTCCACTCGTAGGATGTATATATACCGTATCTCGGCGCGTCTCGAACGCATCAAAGAGCGCGGAAATCGTGCGCGGAATCATGCCCCGGTCGTGGTAGCTCTCGCCTACCCCTACCACTCAGCACGCCCTCGTCATTGTGATTACTCGCCCACCGCCTGTGATGGTGAACGTCTTGCCGCTGCCCGTTTGGCCGTACGCGAGGATCGTGCCGTTGTAGCCCTCCATTGCGCTTGTAATGATATCCTAGTCATATGGACAACTTGTCATTCCAACTAGGAACGAGTTGGGCGGTGTACGCGGCACACTGCATCAAAGACAACGTCCTGATGCACGTCATGGTCAAACACTTGGTCGTACTTGAACTCGAGCACGTCTCGCTGCTTGAGCGTGCTGCGTGCGTCGAGTGCTACCGGTAGAATTGGAAAAAAGATCGTTTGGACTCGGTCATGGGGCCGTGCACCTATCAACTTGTATAAGAGGAAGACACGAACGCGGGAATGTACGTGGAAGCGTGTAGGCCTTGGTCGTGTGCTTGCGCGGTGGCCGAATGCGCAAGTAAGTGCCAATGCGCCAGTGCTCCATGCACACGCTGTCGCTGCGACGACGACCGTTCGTTTCGTTTGAAACGCCAGCGATACCATGTGTTGATGTTTCGACGTACGCCCAAGCAAGCGGCCGCCAACGAGCTCGGTGACCCGACGCTGCTCGCTGCAGAATCCATCTGTGTGAACGGCTTACACTATCGCAAATGGCAATGAACCTTGGGGCGTAGTCTCGGCCAAGGAGATCCAAAGCCTCCAGCTCCGATTTCGGCGGCTGCTGCAAGGAAGCGACTCGACCATCGTGGCGGCTCGGCTCTTGCACGAGCCGGAGTTTCAGTGCCATGCGCTCGCACCCCTCTTGCTGCGTCACGGTCGCTTGGACTTTGACGCGTTCTTGCGCCTTCTCACGGTCCTCCACCCGACCAAGACGTCATTGGTGGCCAAGCGCTCGGGTGCAATGTGTTACCAGCGATGTTGGATACAATATTGTACGCTGTTCTAGCCCTCTTTCATCTCTACGACGTGGACGCCGACGGTGTCGTGTCGGCGAGCGACATGAAGAGTGCGTTTCAGCGCTTGCGACCAGACGGCTCCATCGACGACGTCCTCGACAATGACGTCGCAGCCGCCTTTCACAGCGTGCCATCGCAAAGCGGCCTTTCTCCGGACGCATTTGCCCAGGTACGACGACGACAATGACGACTTGTCGTACACCGTGTAGACACATGTTTGGTGCTAGTTGGTATCGGACGACGATGTCCTCGCGGCGCTGTCGGTATCGCTTGCGTGAGGTTTGTAAGATGCAAGGGAATTCCCTTGCTAAGATGGCTTGCCCCGCCAATGTCCTTGACGGGACCGACTACGAGGAGTGCATTCAACTCGAGATGGCAGTACCTGCACAGCCTTATTACTACATTTGACTGCACCGTCAACTCCGTCGATAACGCAGTGGCGCATGGCAATCTCCCCGTCGTTCAGTTCCTCTTGGCCCACCGACACGAAGGCTGCACCCGGGACGTCGTCGTTCAAAAAGCGCTCGAAGGATGCCATCTGCACGTTGCAGAGTATCTCCTCGCTCTCGGCTACCCGTTCCCGACCTCGACGCCACTTGTACACGACGATTCCGTCATCCTTGGCGTCCTGCAGCTTTTGGTCAAGCACGGCGCGTCCTGGGACGACGACTGGGTGGTCTTTCGTGCGCCTCTTTCTTCTGGACCTCGTCGCGCTGCCCGACCGCCACTGCTCGATAATTCTCCAGCTCATCACGCCAGAGCTCACGTACCAAGGCCAACCAAACGATCCAGCTGGCGCCGGGCGCGGCAGCGCGTGCTACGACGTTACTGATGGCTGACGAGGTTGTTAACTGGGCCTTGGTTCTCACCATTGGTCATCTCAAGACGACGGACGCGATCGCATTGGTCCATGACGACGAGCTCAAGGCGCAGCTCACGCACCTGCTCGCAAAGAAGCGCAAGCGATAGCCGCACAAGCCCTTGCCGCGCAAGCCCTCGAAACCGGGACGACGCGCACTCCATCTGTGTGTTTGATTGCTCTGCGAGTAGTGTTTTGGCCAATATAAGTCTATCTATTTCCTTGAAATTTGACATGCAAATGTGTCTACTGACTCTAAGACACGCTTGTATTGGCATGATTTCACCGCTTCAGGAGCATCCCGCTATCCACTTTTACGTAGTATCAGCAAGCAACCAGGGCTCAAGAGTATTGCGACATGAACGTCGTCTCGCCGTGCCACGTCACGGCGGTTCGACATCGCCACCATGTGCGCTTCCGCGTTCTGAGCACGGCAGGTGAGAGCATGACAACATCGTGTCATGGACCTTGTCCGACGATTGGATCAGGCACCCATCACGTCGTCAAAATCAGAAGCAACGACGAGCACGACGAGCGCGAAGCGGGGACGTGGGCATAGCTCGTGTCCACAAGAATTCGGCGCGCGAAGTTCGCGAATCTTGCTGTGCGACCTGCGCAAGCGCATGCAGCGACAGTGCAAGAGCAAACATCTGCCAGGGCTCACCTTCAGAGAATCAAACACCAGCAAAGAACTGGACAATTCATGTCCGACCTTGCTCAGGCACTCGAGATTGCTGGCTCGCAGCCAGAGCGCACATTCGTAGGCTATATGACCGTGCGCTATACTGTGCATGCAGATATACGCGAGCTCTTTAAGACCCGTTGTGAACGAGCCCATCATTGCTAACCACTTCAGCACTCGATCATTTCGGCAGGCAACTGCTCCCTATCGATGTGGATTGGATAAAATGCAAACGTTTGCACCAATCGCGGCAGAGCCATGAAGCTGCTGTGCTGGAACATCAATGGCCTCCGCGCCAACCTCGGCAAGACGCCGGGGCAGTCGTTCGCCGGGTTCCTCGACGCCTGCGACGCCGATGTCCTCTGCTTCCAAGAGACCAAGCTCACGCGCGCCGAGATGACGTCCGAGCTGGCGTGCCCGCCCGGCTACGACGCCTTCTACAGCTTTGCCAAGCACAAGAAGGGCTACTCGGGCGTCGCGACGCTCGTCCGGCACGGGCGCCTCGCCACAGTAGGCGCCGAGACCAGCGCCTGCCCGTTCCACGAAGGGCGCATCGTGTTGACCGAGCACACAACGTTTGTGCTCATCAACGTGTACTGTCCGGCGCACGGCGGGCATCTCGAGCGCAAGCTCGCCTTCCACGAGTTCCTTCTCGGCTACGTTGCGGCCACCAAAGCAGCGCACGTGGGCAAGCCGCTGATCCTTGTCGGCGACCTCAATGTCATTCACAAACCCCTGGATGACTGTGACGCGTACGAGCCAAGCGACGTGACGGCGTGGCTCGACACGCTCTTAGCGACGCAGGACCTCACGGACGCCTTTCGGCAATTGCACCCGACGCGAGAGAAGGCGTATACGTGCTGGCGTGCGCTCACGGGGGCGCGCGAGACCAACTACGGCGTGCGTCTCGACTACATTCTATGCGATAGCCGGCTCGTGAGTACAAATAAGCTCACGAGCTGCGACGTATGGCAAGGCTGCGTACCGTGCTCAAGCGCAACGAAAACTTTGGTCGGAAATTCTTCACTTGTGCCAAGCCCGAGGTGCGTCGTCGTACCAACATGGCCATGACGGATGCTCGCTCGCGTAGGGTGCCCCGGGGGACATCAAAGGCCGTTGCAACTTCTTCCAGTGGCACGGCGACGCCAAGAAGCCCTCTCCAGTTGCCAGTAGCAGTCACGCCAAACGCTTCAAGGCCACGCCGCCCGACGCTACATAGCCGTGTGCATCGTGCAGGCTGTTCCAGTCGTCGAGTGCTCTCTTGTAGTCGTCCAAGCCATTTCCAACATGTCATAAATGGCAGTGTCTGTCGAAATAACACTGGGTCATCGACCGTCATCTCATCCGCAACATGGCGTCTGGACAGCGTGTGGGCGTCTTGTCTGGCACTTGCACTGAATCCAGCAGTGCCAGATTCACTTCCGATTCAGCTGGATTCACGTGAGATACCAACTCGATGCCTGGCCAGCATATCAGATCGTTCTGGTCGTCTCCTGCGACGTCGCCACAAGTGCAATGACGTGGCAGTCTCATGTAGCAGCAGCGAACGTTGTCGGTTATTGCTGGTCAACCTTGTTCCGGGGCTGCCGAAGTATATACGCGTTTTGCAGAGGACCCACTCTCAAGTCCTAGTTCTCGAAATTTGGTCATATTGTCTTTGGTCCACACCTCGCAAGACATTTGAACCTGCCGCTCGATTTCGAAAAGACAAGTTGTGCAGGAAACAGTACGGTGTGATTAATAATAGGGTGCTGGGTAATAATTAAGAGCGTCCACAGCTTACTGGGCAAAGACCGCCGTGTCAAACCACGGGTGCGTCAGCGCCTGCTCGGCCGTGAAGCGCTTGGTCGGGTCGCGCTCGAGGAGGTGGACGACAAAGTCCATGGCCTCGGGGCTAAACTTCTTCCAGGCGCGCGGCTGAAACTCGACCGGCTCGTTCATGCACGCCGACGGCGGGTAGAACGGCTGGAAACCCGTGAGCATCTCGTAGACCATGATGCCGACGCTCCAGAGGTCGATCGGCTTGCCGTACGGCTGCGACTCGAAGAGCTCGGGCGCCATGTAGCCCACCGAGCCCGTCAAGCCCGTGAACGGCACCTTGTGCACGTCGCCCGTGTGCTTGAAGAAGCGGACATCCGGCACCTTGACCGAGAGGCCAAAGTCGCAAATTTCGACTTGGAGCTCACACGCCTTGACGTCCTTCACGACTTCGTCGTTCGAGTCTTGGTTGGACGGCGCCTTCGAGTCGGTGAGGAGCACGTTCTCGGGCTTGATGTCGCAGTGCACGACCCCCGACTCGTGCAGAAAGAAGATGCCACGCACAATCTGGTGGGCGAGCTTGGCGGCCAGCGCTTCCGGGAACCGGCGCTGGCGGTTCAAGAGTGACTTGAGCGTGCCGTGGCGGGCCTTGGCCATCACAAGATACAAGAAGGCTTCGGTCTCGTACACCTCGAGGAGACGGACAATGTTGCGGTGCTGGAGGCGCAGGTGGATCTCGACTTCGGTGCGCACGGCCTGCTGCGCGGCTTCGGTCACGAGGAACCGCTTGTGGATCTGCTTGATGGCGACCTCGGCGCCGTTGTTGCGGCGAATCGCCGGCTTGACGACCGCGTATGAGCCGTCGCCAAGTTGATCTTCGCCGACCAGTTCGTAGTGCTCCGTGACCGCCTTTTCATGAATGAAGAACGGGTTGATCGTCAGCGTCGGAAAGAGCGTCGGCGCCTTGGGTCGCTCGCGCAAGAGCAAATCGTCGGGCTGGCGAGGAATGCTGCGGCTGATCGACATGAGTCGGAGCTGGTTCTCCTCGTCATCGCAAAGGCGACGGGCCACGAACGGGTTGCTGGGCAGGCGGGGCGCGCCCTGGACGTATTCGGGGTTGTGGTGCTGCTCGGGCACCGGGTCGGCCGGCGGCGGGCAGCTGCGCTGGCGGCGGTGCACGGGCCGCGGAAGCACCGTCGTCGTCGTGTGGTTGCTGTGGTGGTGCGCCGGCGGCGTCGTGCTCGTCATACGAGGGCTCGTGACGTCAAACTTGTCCGATGTACTCTTGGAGAGGAAACCGCACTTGCGGTAGATGCCCTTGCCAGTTGAGACGTAGCCATCGACAATCTCGTTGGGCGACGGCATCACGATCGGCTCGAGCAGGTTCATCATCGTCTTGGCGGCCGTCGGTGACTTGACCATGAGCGAGTCCGACTCGGAGAAGGACCCGCGCTTCAGGATCGGCGACGTCGGCAGGCTCAGGTCGTCTTCGTCGTCGACGGTCGAAGTCCGGCTCTCCGTGTCCGAGTGCAACCGGGCCATGGCCGTGTTGGAGCGGCAGCGGCCCTTGTTCATGTACACGGTCGTCGTTGTTGTCGTCGTTGTCGGCGGCGCCGTCGTGGCGGCGACCACGGCGATGGTAGCCTCTGTGGCCTTGCGCGCCGACTCGAGGTGCGCCTTCTTGCGCGGAATCTCAGAGGCTTCGCTCGGCGGCGTCTTGGGCTGATCGAGGTTGCGCTTGGCGCCGGCAAAGAGCGCCGCCGTCGCGTATGTGTCTGAGTCACTCATGCAGCGTGTGCGTTGGTGGTGGACCATGGCGGCCGGAGCCTCATGGTACGGGTAGTGAAAGCACACATTGCTCGGGACCTCGACGCGCAGCGCCCTTCGGCGGAGCGGCGCCGCACCCGCAACCGCTTCGTTCGTCTCCGCATCCAAGTCGATCGCGACAAACTCCTTGCCGTTGATCGACGGACGCATCTCGAGCATCGACGCGCGCAGGTCGTCGCTCGCGTCGCCGTCGCTCGCTGAGCTTGACGGCTCGTCCGTCTCGGCCGACGTGGGCGGATCCCAGGCGCGAAACTGTTTGAGGCCATGGAGCGGGTCGTAGTAGCCTGGCAGGGCGTGGAAGGTGCCCACGAGCGGGTGGTTGCGGAACTTCTTGCGCTCTTCCAGCTCGGCCATGCCCACGATATCAGTGGCAAAGTAGGCGGCGCCCCGGTTGCCGGCGCTGGGCGCATGGTGGAACATGCCCACGAACGGGTTGTAGCTCGGGAGGCGGGCGTACACCTTGATGTCGGACTCGGGCGTCATGCGCATGGCCAATAGATAGGTATAGGACGAGACGGAAGTCGGCCGGCGGTCGGAAGTTGCCAAGTGAGTTGCTGCCTCTACGCTCTTCTTCCGGAATTAACGTCTCCGAAATATTGCATATTAATATTGCACCCCCGAGGCTGATTCTTGAACCCAGTACGATTTTATTTTCAGGTGCTTTTCCATCGCTTCATTTAAATCCAACACAGTGCGTCGTATACGAAAAGGCGCGCCGACTTGCATTAAATTGCGCCAATATTCCACGTGCACGCGAATAATAGTACAGTTCCACGCTGCATATTAATATACCGCGATCCGTGAAAAATTGGCTCTCCGCATAAACAAGCCAGTATACCTTGCTCCAGATCCTTGGCAAGGGTGGCGAAATAAAAATGCACGCTTGCAGTGGGGCGGCGACCGGGTCGAATATTAATATTCGATGCGTCGGTATGAGTCCAATGTTGCATTGAATTTTGCAGAAATTATTATTCAGCACAAAGTAGCTGCTGCGATTACATAGGTACACGGCTGACGACCTTCTACTGCGTGTGCGTGTGTGGAAAATACCATTCTTCACGGGTCGCCCGACATATTGGCTGCGCTCCCGTTTCATATTAGCGTCGAGAGTCGAGATATTGCATACTGAATATTTTACGCCACTGACTATGCACCCAAGCAGAATGTGCTTGCGGCATGGCGACTCGCTCCGACAACGCAAGCAGATTGGCTTGCTCAAGCTGCCAATGCGAGACGTAGTTTCTCACACGCGTTCGAAGCTGGCGTGAGTCACGACGCCCCACGTGGCGCACTGTCCCAGGCGCTCGGCGGCCATCTGATAGGCTTTTGGCGCACCACCTGGCGCCGATCTCCCGAGGTGGAGCGTCTTCGCGTGTGCGGAAGCGTTGCAGTGGTCAGATCTGGCGACCGCAGCGAGCCAGACAACTCGAGGCACCCCACGCCTGCTTTCTCTTCCGACACGCAGACACTAGTTGGTACTTGGTGTTAGGTGGCTTTTGGTCGCCAACGAAAGAGTGGATTTCAGCGGCCCCGATTCTTTTTCCCAAGATCGCACAAGTGATTCAGGCGGCATTACTCACGTGTTGTACTTCAAGGTAGACTTCAAGCGCGCCTTCAAGCCACAGCCGCGCCAAATCACGCAGCAAGGACGCTGGGCTTCTGCACGCACACATACGAGTAGCTCGACCGAGTTGGATGAGGTGGGCCTCGCCGGCATCGTCGGTCGCGCATATCCCCGCTTGGCGCCACCTGGACTTGGGATCCACCGTGGACGCGACCTTCAACCAAGGTTGAAGCTGCGCACGGGTGGTGGCGGCGCGCTGTCGTGTAATCACACGCGCCCGTGCTGCCACGTATGCTCGAGGAGCAAGCGGTCGAGTGGCTGGCTCATGGTTCAGGATTGCCCGACGTGCCGTGTAAAAAAGGCGCACGCGAGAGAGAAACGAGGGCTTGGGACACGGCGAGGGTCGGACATGGCCATTGTCTTTGCAGCGCCGACCAGACGTCGCGACGCTTGCGTCTTGGGTAAGCGAATCTGGTGCAGTGCGAGAAGCGCGCCAGTGAGAGCAGTAATGCAGCGTGGATTCTAGCCTGTCAGCGACCGCGACGACGAGCGATCTTGAGCGGTCGCTGAAACCACGATCATGGACGCCGACCAGTGTATCGACATTCGCACCTCCAATAGCAGCAGTAGCAGCAGTTGTGGCTCGAGCACGACCTCGGACAACGACAGCGACATCGAGAGTGCAGTCGATGACGACGGCACGAGCAAGCATTCGGCTGCGCTCGATTCGCTGGCGTGGGCACCGATCCTCGTCGCTGTGGTCGCGATCCCGACCGACGTCGTCACAGTTCTATGGGGCTGCCACCACCCGCACATCGACTGCTCTGCAGCGTACCCAACACTCGGCGTGGCCGCGCGCCACCGGCCGCAACTGTATACCTACCTCGTTGGCACCGTTGTCGTGAGCGTGCTCTTCCTGACGACAGCCGCCCTCTTTGCATGGTTTCTGCACTTGTCGCTGCCGCCGACGCACCGGCGAATGGTAATTAGCGTGCTGCTCGGTGGCGCGCTCACCGCCATCTTGCTCGTCGTCGTTGCCATCCACGATACGCAGGGCCATCCCGCCGGCGTCTCCCTCCTCTCCACCACAAGCTTTCTCACAACGTGGGCGACGCTGCTTCTCATGCAGCACGCGCGCCGCACAGCTTTTGTCTTGCATCGGACCAAGGACGTGAGCGAGCGACACCGACGGTGACGCCTTCCTGTGACGCGCACGTATTTACGCATGCAAAATGTGTAGCCTTCGCGGCATCGCGATCGGCGAGTACGCTATTGTACTGAGCGCGATGGCGTCCGTCGCCTGTACCGTCGCATCTCGTGGTAATGCGGGTTCTCACCGGATCTTCTTGTTGTATTTAGATGTCGTCACGGCGTTGGTCACAAGCAGCAGCAGCAAACTATTAGGGCCGGCCGTGTACGAAGGCTTTGTTGTCGCCAGCTGGAGCACGCTGGTGGCCTCCTTTGCGACCGAAATTGGACGACTGACCCGCTTGGTCGAACAGCACGACTTGAACGAGCTTTCGCGCCAAAAGTAATTCAAGAACGATGCATTCAGCTTCCCGCCAAAAACAAAAGTCATTTCGAGTTAGGCCTGGCTTTGGAGGTACTCGACGAAGCGGTTGCCAATGTCGGCGCTCGGGAACGGGTGCAGCGTCGCCATCTTGGTGAATTGGCGCCGGTGGCGACGCAACTCGGCCGTTGGCATTGCGCGGCCCACCTGCACGTAACTTCGTGGTCAAGGACGCTTGTGCTTCAGAACCCCAGAGAGACACGAGCCATGGGCAAAAAGGATATCGGTTTGGACGCGTGCGGGACGCGGAGTGCGTCGACAAGGTCCTGGAACTCGCGCTGGTGGACGATGAGCACATCGACAATGGCAGCAGTCACTCGATCGAGCTCCTGTACAAACGTGGTCTCGACGATGGGCTTCTACGCAGCAATGTCGCTCCGAGACCCTTGACGTATCGGCTGCTACGTACCGCGATCGTGGCGATACCGGCCTTGATGACCTTTCCGTGCAAGACCGCATCCTCCACGTCACGCAGGCGATCGGCAACTGTGGTCGCGCAGAGGCTTTCGGGCGTCATGCGCAGCAGTGGCGCGTCCCACCGGTTCTTGGCGTTGGGCACTTCAAACCGCATGGCAATGGCCTCGATGCTATCGGCAATTGTGCTTGCCAAGTTTGAAATCCTAGCGCCACGTACGACTCGGGCGGGAAGCTGTCGCCAGCACGCTCCGCGTTGCGAGCAGAGGCCAAGGCCACCGGCGTGTCGACGTACACGACGCAGTGCGTGGTGGAGAGCTCCTTGGCAAGGCAAAAGAGCTCGTAGCGACAGCCCTTAATGTAGTTGAGCGTGTCCAAAATGACAATCTTGTCTGCGCTCAAGTGCACATCGACGCGGCTCTTCATCGTACTCCGCGTCGTCTTCTCTGCCCTAGCATCTACAGTGCGGAGGCGTTAGCAGAGCAGGTAGACGCTGTATGCGACGAACCGCGGTAGGCGTCGGCGCGAATGAGGTGCTCGCTGTCGTAGCTAAGGCGCACGACGTCCTTGCCGAGGCTCACAAAGTGGTCGTGGAGCTGCGACGCAAACCACGTCTTGCCGGCGCCGGGCAGCCCGCAGAGCGTGACGAGCGGCATGGCGAGCGATTTTTATTCGCGCTGTGATTCGTCCATGTTGTAGCCAATCATATACGAGACGACCACATTTTACGTACTTGGAGTTTATATGCATAAAAAGGCAGCAGGTCCTCCACACACGTGTCGCCACGCGATTGAAGTTACATTGAAACTTGCAATTTGTATGTGCAAATTGGCAGGACCTGCTGCAGGCTGTGGTCGGCACGACCAAGTGAGATCTTTGGGCAGCGCATGAGTCATCGGCGCGAGCTACCCGAGCCACTTCCTGCGCGCTGTGGGAAATGCTAACGCCAGTGTTTTTCACGTGCCGCGTGTCGCACGTCGTTCGATTGCCGCCGAGGTGGACACCGGATCATCATCATCGATCGCTTGAAGTGCAATCTGAGCCGCGGCTTCTCTCCCTGCCGCGCAGTTGGGCGCTCACTTGATCGGGTGACGCGCCGCGCATCAACGCATAAAGGATCGCTGTCAATGACATGACTTTGCACCCAAAATGCGGGATCATGATTGATGCTTTGGCATCCGAGTCGTCGTTTCTAGCCCAACTTTTTATCGATTGGGCTAGAAAAGACGCCGGCTTGACCACAACGGAGCTACCAACCACCACGTTCTTGAGGATCTGCTCCGTGTTGACGCTAGGCGACGTCTCTGGAAGGATGTGCGGTGCGTCTTCTCTACGCCCGCGCTGACGCCACTGCAGCCATCTCCGCGCCGCGTGGATCGGCGACGGCCGAACCTTGAACCCTTCTTTTCTTTTGCTAAGATCTTGTTTCCGTCCGACCCTTTGACACTCTGTGTCGAGTCGACAGCAAAAGCAGACCCAAGCGTCGGGCTTGTGCGGTGCCGACTCTGCCATTCGATGCACAACGAACGGATATGCGCGTATATCTCGTACTTCTTTTCCCCACAGATTCTGGCAAGCGATTCTGCACTCTCGCTGCTCGAAAACGCACCCGCACGACCGCAGTCGGAAGTCCTCTATCTTTGAAATGTGTAGTTGATTGAGAACACACAATAACAACCCAAGCCAGATAAGGCTAGAACCGCAATATCGTGGCCAATCTGGAACGATGGCCAGATCCAGAGCACTACCAGATCCGTCTTGACACGTCGAAGCGTTCCCTCCCTTCTTTGCGGGTGTGCCAGCCCATTCTCATCGAATAAGAACACAGAACGCATTCGGTTTTCATCCGTGGAATTCGACTGGGAGCGGATCCCTCGATGCAAATGTATAGAAGAGATCGTATATACCCTTGCTCTATGACGTTGCAGTGGTGGCAGTCGGCCTGGACTTTGACGCTTCAACACATCTACGTAGGGTGTTGGAACCAAGGCGGCGTCGTGTAAAACGCGAAAAACGCGAAAAACGCGAAAAACGTCGAAAAACGCACGGTAAACGCAAAAAACGCGCTCCGAAATCTTGGTGTAACACGGCAAAGATCGCGTCGCTTGCGCGAGTCGTCGCAGTCGGATGTTCATCTTCCTGAGCAAGAAGATCGCGATCCCGAACGGCGCGCAGCTCTGCTGTGCGTCGTGGAACCCGGAGCAAGGCTGGATCGCCTGCGGTGGCCAGAGCGGCCTCCTCAAGGTGCTCAAGCTCGAGTCCGCGACCTCCAAGGAAGGCAAGGGCATGCGTGGCATCGCTGCGCAGAGCAACTTGACCATGAACCAGTCGCTGGATGGCCACGCGGGCTCGGTCGTCTGTGCGACGTGGAATGCCAACTACAAGAAGCTCACGACGAGCGACGAGAACGGCCTCATCATTGTCTGGATGATGCACCGCGGTATACTGGCCGTCCCGCTCTCCGATGCCAGCTGAGTAAGCATCTATATGCTAGGCATGTGGTTTGAGGAGATGATCAACAACCGCAACAAGAGCGTCGTCAAGGACATGAAGTGGAGCAGCGACGGCCAAAAGATCTGCATCGCGTACGAAGACGGCGCCGTCATCGTCGGGTCCGTCGACGGCAACCGCCTCTGGGGCAAAGAGATGAAGGTCGACTTGTGCTTTGTCGAGTGGTCGCCGGACGGCAAGCACCTCGTGTTTGTGACCAAAGAAGGCGAGGTGAGCATCCACGACGGCTCGGGCAGCAAGATTGGCACGCTACCTCTCTACGCGGTCGACGCCAAGGACAAAAAATACAAGATCATTGGGCTCCACTGGTACGACGGCTGCGAAGGCCACGTCTCGGAGGACGCGCCGACGCTCGCGATCGCATTTGCCGACGGCAAGGTCCAAATCACCCGCGGGCGCTTCGACGAGGCCGCCGTGCTCATCGACACGGGCGTCGAGCTCACGCAGTGCAAGTGGAACTGTGACGGCACGGTGCTGGCGCTTGCGGGCACGCAGTCGACGCGCTCCAACGCCGGCGACGTGCGCGAGTTCAACATTGTCCAGTTCTACGATCCGTTTGGCCGATACCTGCGGTCGCTCAAGGTGCCGGGCAGCCGCATCGAGGCGCTGGCGTGGGAAGGTACCGGTCTCCGCATCTGCTTGGCCGTCGACTCGCACATCTACTTTGCCAACATCCGGCCCGACTACAAGTGGGGCTACTATGCGTCGACGCTCGTCTTTTCGTACAACCGCTCCGAGCAGGTACGCAATTTGAGATTGCATTTGAGATTGCACTTGAGATTGCACTTGGGTTTGAGATTGCACTTGGGTTTGAGATTGAGAGTGCTATGTAGGTCGAGAATTGCGTCGTGTTTTGGGACACGCGGTCGGACGAGCGGTACATCAAGAACGTTCGGTCGCTTCTGTCGATCAAGGCGGCGGGCGACAACTGTGTGCTCTGCGCCAAAGTCGTCAACGACAACCTCTACGCCGGCGAGAATGGCCCCGAGACGCCCACGAAGCAGTACTCGCTCGTGCTCTGCGATACGATTGGGTCGCCGATCGAAACCAAGATCTTGGATCTCGAGCCGCTCTTTTTGCACATGACGGCGCGCTTTGTCGTGGCAGCGGCCGCCGACGCCATCTACGTGTGGCAGTACCGGACGTCGACGGCCAAGCTCGGCGACGTTGGGCGCGGCGGCCGTGAGCGCATTTTCTACGTCGACGATAGCCAAGGCAGCGACGTCGAAGGCTTCCGCTACATGCCCCGGCCCCTCGAGGACCCGATCGTCGCCGTGTGCGCGTCGGACGCGTGGCTCGTGGTCGGGCGCGCGTCGGGCATGCTGCACTGCTTTACGCTGCCGCACATCTCGCTCGAAATGAAGTACATTGTGCCATGCCGGCCCCAGCTTCTCGCGCTCAACTCCAACTCGTCGCAGTTGAGCATCATCGACATCAACAACGTGCTCACACTCATGGAGCTCGGGACGTCGTCCGGGAACACGAACCCGCTCCCGGCCAAGATGCTGCCGTTCGAGAAGAAGGACGCATGGGACATGATGTGGGCCGAAGACAACCCGGACCTCTTTGTCATGATGGAGAAAGCGCGCATGTACGTGTACCGGTCGCTCGAAGCCGAAGAGCCCGTGCTCTCGTCCGGGTACCTCTGCACGTACAAGGACCTTCAAGTCAAAGCGGCGTTGCTCGACGATATCTTGAGCAGCCCCGATCAAACCGACAAAAGTCTCATCATCGACTACGAGACCCGGTCGCTGCGCGACGCACGCAACCTCCTTGAGAACGTCGGTCTGGCCGAAGCGTGTGACTTTATCCAAGGTACTGTATCAATGTATCAAGTGCATCCGATTGCATTGCACATAGACCACCCGCACCCGCGGCTCTGGCGCCTCCTTGCCGACGCCGCGCTCGAGCAGCTCGATTTTGCCATGGCCGAACGCGGCTTTGTCAAGTGCAGCGACTACAACGGCATCCAGTACGTCAAGCGACTCCAGCTGCTCAACGACCGCACCAAACAGAAAGCCGAAGTCGCAGCGTACTTTCAGAGGTTTGACGACGCCGAAGCGCTGTACCGGAAGATCGACCGCAAGGACCTTGCGATTGAGCTCCGGAAGCGTCTTGGCGACTGGTTCCGCGTGCTGCAGCTCGTGCAGTCGGGTATTTGGACTATCCAAGGGATATACATACAAAGCGTGCTGTAGGCGGCGGCGACGACACGCTGCAGACGCAAGCATGGACGATGATCGGGGACTACTACGCCGACCGGCACAAGTGGGAGAAGGCCATCAAGTACTACGCCCAGTCGAACGAAACCGAAGCGTTGGTGCAGTGCCACTACACGCTCGGCGACTTTACGACGCTGGACGCGCTCGTCAACGATTTGCCCGAAGGCTCGCCGCTCCTCGACGAAATGGCCCGCAAGTTTACGCGGGCGGGTCTCTGCAGCAGCGCCGTGAACGCGTACCTCAAGCTCCACGACGTCAAGGCAGCGATCGACAGCTGCGTGCTCCTGAACGAGTGGGAGCGCGCCGTGGCGCTGGCCGAGACGCACAACTTTCCTCAAATTGAGAGCGTCCTTGCCAAGTACGGCGCGCACTTGCTCCGGAACGGCAAGACGCTGCAAGCGATCGAGCTATATCGTCGCGCCAACAAGAGCATGGACGCGGCCAAGCTCTTGGGAAAACTCGCCAAGGACGTCGGGCGCAACCCGCTCCGCGCCAAGAAGCTCCAGGTACACGTTTTCAGGATGGAAACAGACAATATGTACCCATGGAACATGTAGATTCTGTCGGCGTTGGAGGTCGAGCGGTTTCGACGCAAGATGCTCGACACGACAGCCCTCGCGACCAAAACAGCGGGCGCGACCGCGGCGCAAGTCACCGCGCAGACGCTGGAGAGTCTTGTGGCCCATGACGCAGCAACGAGCGAGAGCCGGTCGCTCGACAATGCGTGGCGCGGCGCCGAGGCGTACCACCTGCTGTTGCTCGCGCACCGGCAGCTGTACAAGGGCCAGCCCGAGCGCGCGCTTCGGACGAGCCTCAAGCTCGGTGCGTACGACGACTTGCTGGATGGCCGCGAGGTTTACTCGCTCATTGCGGTTGCTGCATACTACACCAAGTACTATGAACAGTGCAGCCGGGCGTTCATCAACCTCGAGAGCGTTCTCGGAACAGAGAAAGAGAAGGAGGCGCTCGAAGCTTTGGCGCTGCACATCTTTGCGAGCACGCGGCCGCAAGACCCGCCATCGCGACCGTACGACTGCCCGGGCTGCAAGCACGCGGTGAAGGAGTGGGCCACGCGCTGTGACAAGTGCAGCATGAGCTTCCAAACGTGCATGATGAGCGGTGCGACCATCTTTGACCACCGCACGTACCTCTGCAAGACGTGCCGCCACGCGTGCATCGAGCACGAGATCCGCGACCTCAACAACTGCCCGCTCTGCCACGCGCCGCTCAAATAAGAACTCTGAAAACTGTATTGATATTCCAATCAACATGCGGCCGACTTGTCGTTGGGCAGCGATGTGGTTGGCGTGCCCATCTAGCAGTCGACGACATGTTGTCGCATATCGACTTGTGGTTGTTGCGCCCACTGATGCGATCTTGCTGGGATTGGCGGTTCCCACAGGACTATGACGTGGCAGCGCCTCGTGAAAGGATGTAACGCTAGTCGTATCGAAAAGGGTTGGCTTGCGTGAAGCGAAATCTTGAGGCGCTAAGCGTTGGTTTTATATATATATGACCATGTTTCGCGTTATCTTCATAATTACACAAAGAGTGCGTAGAGACTAGCAATCTCCTTCTTGACTAGCAATCTCCTTCTTCTTCATGCGCTCGCCGGGCCGTGGCTGCGCCGGCAGCGGCGCGGGGGCTCATTTGGCTCTTCTGTCGCCGCCCTACGACGTTTGTGGCTGCGAGTGAGGCACGGGACGACACGGTCGGTAAAATCTTTCCAGACGTCGCGGTCGGCGGCTTCATCGCTTTTGAACTTACCCCGACCGGACCGCACGTGTCATACGGCAGGGTGGTTGCAAGCGGGCGCCCTGTCGACGATGGACGGTAAAGAAACTCCTGTGGCCCATACTTGTGTCATGGGCTGGCAAGGGTCAGGGGACCGCACCTGTCAAGAGGACGCAGCTGGCATGAGGCGCTGCCACGTACCGGCCTCGTCCTGCATCTCAGTGCTGCAGCTTGTACGCTTCTTCGTCGTGTCGAGTCTTTCTCTTTGCTGTAATATAGTGAAGAGAAATACTAATATTATGTGATACAGTTAGGGAACTCCATGCCGTCAACGGGTCCATGTAGCGGCCGACCGACCACTGTGCAGATTGTCCGAATTTTGGGTTCGAATGTCCGGATGCGCTTCAGATCCGGATACGGCGAAAGTGCACTTGGAAATATGACGACCGAGGTCGAGGCCGCGGCCAAGGAAGAGGAGCGCCGAAGGAAGAAGAGCGCGTACTCGAAAGCGTACTACGAGGCCAACAAGGCTACCGTCAGCCTAAAGCAGAAGCTGCGCCGTCAAGCCCGCTTGGCGACCACCCAAGTGAGCAAGCACGAGACGTGGCGGAAGCCGTCGCGGGCGTGCCAGCCGACCGGGCACCAGCGCCCGCGAGCTATCAAAACAGAGTGGTAGGCCGCTTCGGGCCATTGTCTACCATGTCAACGTGATCTTCATGTAGGCGAGCAGCGACGAACCGCAGTACTACAGACGCAGCACACCAGACCTTGTCGTGGTCCGACGCGCTGCGAGATTTACCGTTGACAGAGACGTTGCCCGCCGACCTGTTTGTCAAAGAGATCGACGAGTCCAAAGCACCGCCCGTCGATGAGCTCGTCCCGACGCGCTGTGCGTCAATATCGAATGAGACCACGCGCGATTGGCTCTGCGTCTGTCCCTATTGCATGCAGTAAACGTAAATTTGGTTGGTGTTGTGCATCCCGGGCGCCAAATGTTATGTGTCCAAGAGACCTGCTCGTTGAGCTCGTCAAAGGTTGTATGCGTTGAGCTAGAGATCTCTCGAATGCGCAGCACCCCGTCTCACGGTACCAACAAGTGTACATCGTCACCTTGGCGTCTCCTATAACAAGCAACTCAGCCGAGCTGCTGCACTTGTCCCACTACGGCAACCCGCTCATGTCCTCCCGCGCTACGGCGATTTTGTGCACCATGTTGCGTTGAAAATTGCGCCGGTCCGGTCTAGCTTGTACTTCCTCAGCCCGGATGCCCGACACTGCCTGCTCTGCGATGTGCCCGGGGGAGTGGCGCTCTTACATGTAGCCAAACCATGTATGACAGACATACCACATCATATCAACTTGATATTCCGATAAGCTCTAATTGTCCTTCTCCGCCTGCGCAACTACGATGTACTTGAGCGCGACCTGGTAGAGTGCAAAGCAAACCACGCCAAGACCGAGCGCCACGAGCGTAAATGACGGGCGAGTTGACATCGTCGACCCGGCGGCACGCAGGTTGGCGCCTTGTAGTTGCACTGGCGCTTCGGTCCACGCCGGCATGTTGGGATCGCGCGGGATGTAGCACGTAAACCCTTCAAACCCGAGGTCGCAGCGGCATCGGCCGTTGATGCAGTCGCCGTGGCCGCTGCACTGCTCGCGGTTGACGCAGAGCACGGTCGGGTCGACGGCGCCGCCCGCCGCCGCAGTGGCAAACGACGCAATGTACGCAAAAAAGGCTTCGTCGTGGATCGAGCGCCCGCCTTGGAGAAACTTGGCGTCTGTCTTTTGAACGCTCGGGAAGAGGAGCTGGAACGTGCCTCGTCGGCTGTACTCGGTCGCGCCACCGAGAAGCTGCGCGGCGACGGGCGGTGAGAACCAGCCGGGGCACCGCCAACAGGTCATATCCCACGTGGCGAGCTGGTCGCGGCACTTGCTCTTGCAGTACGCTGGCGAGGCGAGTAGCGTTGCCTCTTGGAGGTCCGGTTCGTTGGGCGCACGGACACCGACGAGCTGGATGACGTCGGCGGCTACGTTGTTGAGGAGACCCGTCTCCGCGCCGGTTGCAAACACTGGCCGGGGCACGAGCGACGGCGACCGCTCGACCCGGTCTAGAAAAGGCTGGCCGTCGTCTTGGATATGAAACACAAAGCCGAGGAGCTCAAACGCGCCGCTGGTCGTCGCTGCGTCGAGGAGCATTTGGCGCCGCCCCGCAATAAGCTTTGAGATCGCGCCGAGCGTCTCTTTGTGAAAGCGATCGACGTCGATATTGTGGTCGCGAAGGTATGCTTGCAAGACACGCCAGTGGTTGCTGCCCTCGGTGGCCGACGACGGCAGCTCGGTGTAGTAGTCTCGCAAGTCGGGCAGCTCCCACGGCGGGAGGTAGTCGTTGTCGTCGACAATGTACGAGGCGACGTCGGCGCTCGCATCAAGCGTTGTCGGGTACGGCTGCGTGCAGAAGCGCAAAAGCGCATTGTCGTAGACATACACACGTAGCGGATCGAGCGATGCAATGAGCACGAAGAAGCGAAGTTCAAACTTGCGGCCCGAGATGAGGAGTGGCTCCACGTACTTGGTCACAACGGCGTCCGGTGGGACGTCGTCGCTCTGCACTTGCGGCAGTCCTTTGAGGAGCGACGTGTGACCGCTGGCGTGCACGAGCCAGCGGCGATTGTACGCGGCGTCGACGGTGGCCTTTTCGGCCACCAGCGGGGTGTTGAGAACGTCACGGATCGCTTGTAGGAGCGCTGGTTTGTCCTGCGGAAGGCGAAACGCAGGTGCGACAAAGCCAAAGTCAAAGGCACCGAATTGCCGCTGCAGCGCCGCGTGCGAGCGGTGGAGCTTCTCAGTCAAGACCGCGGCGCCGTCCAGATGATTGATTCGGTGGCGAGGTGCGAGCTCGCCGAGGGCGTTGGATGGCGGCGCCTCGTTCGACCAGAGCAGATCGTACATGGCCGTATCGGCTGCCGCCGTCCACGAGGGCGCGTCGAGCTGCAGCTCGCTGATGCCATGCAGGTACAACGCCCGCCGAATGGGCCCGTTGGCATCAACGTCGGCGTCGGGCAGGAGCGCCACCTTGTTGGGCCGCTGGGCGTCCCGCGCAGAGACGCCCGGCAGCAGCATGAGGCAGCAGCTTAGCCACGCGAGAAGGCCCCGGACAACCGCCATTGCTGCACGAATGCGCCAGATAAAATACACGTGTTCCGATACGACGTCGCGCGACACTAGACGCACGCAACTTTCGAGGTCCCGTCCATGGCTGCAAAAGGCCCCAGCTCATGCACGGCCTGTCAGTAGGCTTGCGGTCCCGCTTCTTATGTGATCCAGTCCACCAGCATGCTGTCGTCACCTCGCAGCGGCAGCCTCGCTGTAGTCCTCGCGTTTGGGAGTCGACAAACGCGCCTTCTGCTCAGCGCAGTTGTGCATCGGGGGTTGGCTGGTGTCAACAACACAAGCTACGCGATACATTGGTGCCTTGAGTAGCAGCGCGTCGCGGCGGCGACCACTCCAGCGAGCTTCGATTATCGAGGCGGGAAAGGTTTGCGTGCGTTTAGTCAGCGTCGTTGCCTTTCTAAAAAATCGATCTTTCCCAAATCTTTCGAAATTCACGCAAGTGCAACGTAGGAAGATCCCAGAGTTGCCGATCGGACGCGTCTCGCCCATGCGCTCGTTCCTCTGGTTGGCGCTAGCGTGCGCAGCGGTCGCCGTCGCTGGCGACCGCAAAGCCAAGACCTTTCTCTTGCCAGAGACCGCGCGCTTCCACCTCGGGCCGCTGCTCCAGGCCTTTGATACGCTCGGCATCACCGAATACGACAGCGAGGACGCCGACTCGTGGCGCGCCGCCAAACACACGGACGACATCGACTTGATCTGGAGCTACGAGTATGTGCAGCTGGGCGCGATCGGGCCGCTCAAGCGCCGGCACAAGGTGAACCACCTCCCCGGCAGCTTTGTGCTCGTCTCGAAAGGCCACGTGTACGAGACGCAGCTGCGGCTGCAAGCCGAGCACAGCAAGTTCGACTTCAACTTTATTCCAGCACAATATCGACTGCCGCAAGACGTCGACGAGTTCTCGGCGGCGTTCCGCGCCCGGCGCGACGACCCGCTTGTCGCGACCAAGCCGGACGACGCGCTGTACAACCGCCGGTGGCTCTTAAAGAGCCAGGCGCACCGCGGCGTGCGCTTCTTCAGCGGCATGGAGGAGCTTGGCGAGCACATGCACACGAACGACATGGTCGCGCAGTGCATTGAGCCGCTGCTCATCTCGGGCCACAAGTTTGACATTGGTCTCTACGTGGCAGTGACGTCGATCGACCCGCTGCGCATTTACATCTACCACAATGCACTCTTGCGCATGTGCAAGCTCCCGTACCCCGTCTCGCTCGACAACGCCGCCGACCTCGAGTCGTACGTCGTCGACGAGTACCTCCCGCCCTGGGAAATGCCCGCGCTGCGCGACTTTTACAGTGAGCTGCCTTCGAAAACGAGCGAAGGCACAAGCCACTTTGGCGTGCTCAAAAAGCACCTCGAGACGATTGGCTTAGACGCTGACCGGTTTGAGCGCGAGATCTACGGCGACGTCGTCAAGATCATTGCTGGTAACCGCGCCCACTTCCTCGACGCGGAGCGCACGTACCGTCGCCAGCACCGCCAAGCTCAAGACAACGTCGGGAGCAACTTTTTTGAAATGTACCGGTTTGACTTTATGGTCGAAGACAACGGCAAGCCATGGCTCATGGAGGTCAACCAGTCGCCCAACCTCGCGCCCAAGTACTTTGCGTCCGGCACGGACGCTGCGATGAAGGAGGGAATTGTACACGATCTCTTGCACATGGTCGGCGTCCAGTCACCAAGCGACAGAAATAGTCCGCCACAGGTATCGAACCTCCGACCGACGGTGCACTCTAAACATATTGGGTGAATCTAGCTCGACGCAGCCCGTTGTGCCGAGCAGTGCAAGGACAAGGCGTCGCAGTTCTGGGATATAAACTGCTGGCGCTGCGAGAAATGGCTGAGTAAGCACGCGGCGCAGACGCTGTTTGAAGCGGCGACCGAGCACGCGCGCCGCGGCAAGTTCAACCTCGTGTACCCAGCGAACTCGGCGTACGACGAGTTTGTCGCGGGCGGCTTGAGTGCCCACGACAAGAATTTTGCCGCGTACTTGCGGTCATTTTCAAACCACGCTGCGAAAGAGCCGAGCGAGCTGCTGGACGCGCCCTTCTGCTCACGCCGCAACGACTGCAGCAAGCACGGGGACTGCGTCAACGGCGCTTGCGTCTGCGACGTGGGCTACGAAGGCAAGACGTGCTACATCTCGACGGGTCGCAAGCAGCGCGAGGAAGCCGCGGCTAGAAAGGCCGAAAAGGAGGCCGCGCAAGCGGATGAGGAGGCCGCGCGTCCAAAGGCGCCAGCAGGGGAGCTGCTACCCCCCGGCAATCTCCGCGACGCGCAGGACGCGCCCATGTACCCCCGGAGCATGGTCGTCTTCCTCTTTGGCGCTGTCTTCACGTTGACGGGCGCGTTTGCGTATGCCAACCGCAAGTACCTGCATAAGACGCCGACCAAAAGCAGCTAGATTACGTGATCGTTGATACATTTCAGTTTGTACCAGCTCCGTGTCCAGTCACGTCGTGTGCGTCTAGGTCTGGTGACCAAGCAAAGGGTGCAAGTAGGTGTATATAACTTAGTCGCTAAATGACTTCACGTCGAGCAGCACGGGTCGATGTTGCCCGACATTTCGGCTTGCTCCGTGTCTTTAAAGAGGTAAAAGCCGGCGCCGAGACCGAGGATCGCGGCGACAAAGAGACCTGTCTCGTACAACATTGCGACGAGCATGAGGAGGTACCCGAGCGTCAGCGCTAACATGTAGAGCACGCTCAAAACGATCTCGCACCAGAGCGGTAATCGAACTGGCGGGGTCGATGGTCGCTATAGGTCCAGTGTAGTCTACCGTCCCTTGTGTCAAAACTACCTTGGACGTTGGAAGGCTAGGCGTGGCTTGACGGCAGGCCTCGTACGCTGCATAGTGATGCAGCATACGCTATTGCAACATGGTCAAAGCTTGTCGTCGACGACGAGAACGCCACCTTCTCCACATCTTCGCGGAATTCGCCGAGCCACTCGACAAGAATGCCAATCAACACGACAAGGGCAAAACCGAGCGCGTACTTGAGCTCGCTCGAGAGAACCCATGTCGGCAGAAACAACTTGGGGCAGGACGAGCCGACGAAGGACTGGAAGCCGTCAAACATGACGGTCGAGTGTTCGCAGAGCGGCGTCTCACGCGTGCTGGGCGCTTTGACGGTGTAGTACGCCGACTAGACACGAATAATAGATGAGGTACGATGGGGTTGGTGGCGCACCGGCTGCGCCTTGATGAGTTTGGCATGGGCTTCCGAGCAAGCAAAGAGCTTTTGGTTGCCTTGGTACCCCCACGACATGGAGACGTGCACGTGTGGGCTGCCGCAGACTGGGCACGCGACGCCGGCGCTCGCGTAGGGTTCGGGCAAGTGATGGGGGTCAACGACCTCAGGTGACCGCAGGATAGACTCCTAGGCATGTCATCTGTATGGCCTGACAGAGCAAGAAGATATGGTACGGGGAGTGTGCGAAGGAGGTCCATGTGCCCAGCCATCTCGCAGCCGTAAATGGCTTGGTTGCCCTCCCACGTCTGGTTGAGTTCGGGAATGACCACCATATTGCAGAGGGGACAATACGTCTCTTCGAGCACTTGGTGCGCAGTGCAGAATGAAGTCACCACACAGACTAAGAGCAATACGACCCCATAGCTGGCAAGTCGCTCGGCCATGGCGACAGACATTGTGTCAATAGCCCTTGCGACGCGACGACAACTTTGCCTCTCTACACTTGTATCCGGATAACGCAATTGCTGACGGGTCGGCTGTCCACTTCAACAATTGCGGCTCGTCCACGGTGGGTTCAACTATTGCTGGTGGAGCGACCAGGCGCCTGAGCTCTTGGGTGCCACGAGCGCCCCGACATGGCGACAATTTCGCGCACACCGAGGGTTGTGATAGCTGGTCGCGACGCTATCTTATAGCAAGGGTCGGTAAGATCTGATTGACCCGGTCACGGTCACGAGACGCGGTCGAGTTGTTGCGCGTCGGATCATGGTAAATGTAATCAGCAGTTCCTTGAGAATTGCTTCAAATTGTCAACACTTTTTCAACGTTGTGATGTGATCAAGGTCGAAGCGCCACGAATTCAGTCTCCTTCCATGGATGAAGTCGGCGAAATAAATAAATTCAACGGGCTTATGCTGGCAACGAGGACCTTGTCCAACTAATACCTTGCACTCGATGGATGTCTGCAGCATTTGTCGATGTTGTTGTCGATTGACGAGGTACACGGTTTCAGACAAGAGAAACGTGGGAGCAGCAAAAGGAAACTCGGGTTTGAGTGAATTCTTAGTCGCTCTTGGGTCTACGTCGGCTCTAACCAGTCGATCGCAGCGAAATTCGAAATGGCCGGCTGCTGGACGCCTCTTCTAGTTGCCTTTTGGTACCTCATTTTATGCGCAACTGATTACACGCGGGTTTCTCGCCATCCGATTGGCTAAAATTATTCCGAGTCTATGCACCGGAAACCTCCCGGGCGATCATTCGAAGGTTCGCATGCAGCAAGCAAGAGCAGTCGTCGCCATCGTGCTCGCGCTGGCCGCGCTGGCCATGGGCCACATGCATGACATGGGCGACATGCATGGCATGGACCACATGCCCATGGGCAACGGCAAGCACTGCCCCATCTGCAACATGAACGCCGAGGACGCCTGGTACATCGAGATGAAGCACGGCCAGCGACTCTTCACGTGCTCGATGACGACCGGCGACAACTTTGCAGCGGGCATCCACGCCTTCTCGCACCCTGCGCTTCTCGGCGCTGCCATGGTACGTGCCTGCTCTGTGCATTGCGCGAGCTCATTGTATGCCAGAGCGACTACGTGGCAACCGACGTGACGCAGTGCGCGCCGGGCTGCGCCGACTGCAGCAACAACACGACGCTGCTGGATCCTGTCTCGGGCGCAACCATCACCAGCGACAATGCGCGCTTTCTCTGCTTTGCCCGCGGCCAGAAGCTGTACTTTGCCTCGGAGACGACCAAGTCGGCGTTCGCCGCGGCGCTTCCATCGCAGCCTGTACGTCTTTCACCTCTACCTCTGTGCGCTCATAACAGTCTAGTACTTTGGTGTGCAAAGCGTCATGTGCGGCGGGCGCACCTGCCCGGACGCGTTCCAGGTACCAGCGCAAGTCGTGGCCGACGCGCCCTTTTGCACGGGCGCGTCCGTCATGCTCTCGGGATTTCAATCGACGGTTCATGGCACGTGCGTCAAGCTCTTCTTCCAGTCGTGGGTGCTCGACACGCCGTTCAAGTACGCGCTGGCCTTCACAGGCATCTTCCTCCTCCCGCTCGGGAACGAATACCTCGTCCAAACCCGCGAGTCAATTCGCATGGCCTTTGTCAAGGCCCGTAGCAGGTAGCCTCTCGTATACAGTCGAGTGTTGCGCTAGGTATGAACGCTGCTGTTGGTAGCCGCTACAACAGTCTCGGCAAGCGGAGCCGAAAACTCATTTTGACGCTGCTCTACATGGTGCAGATGACCTTGGCGTACTTTGCGATGCTCGTCGTCATGATCTACGACACGGGCCTCTTCTTTGCTTTGATTCTCGGCTTTGGCGTCGGCTTTGCACTCTTCAAAAGTGAAAAGACGCTCAGCGGCAAGTCGTCCGGTATGGTACCGGCTGCGTGGCGCTTCGACGACACGGACTCGCTCACAGTGCTCTCGATCGGGGGCATGATGTGCATGCAAAACTGCGGCAACACGGTCCAGAACGCGCTCGAGCTCGTGCCCGGCGTGCACCGCGTCTTTATCGGCTTTAACGAAAAGTGTGCGTATGTTTCGGGCACGGCGACGACCAAGGCGCTCTGCAGTGCGATCGAGGACTGCGGGTTCGAGGTCAACGTCGTGCGCCCGCCCAAAGCCGAGACCCCGTCGGGCTACGGCGCCGCCTTCCACCTGGCCTAACCCTCTTGTTTTCTTTTTTAACTGCTATAACTACTTGCACCGGTACGAGCTCGCGACTTGCAAAGGCCAAGCTGGCTTCAAGATGGCGTTTTCGGTTCACTGGGCGGCGCCCGAATATGCGACTTGTGGTGTCTTCTTGGAGCGCAACCTGCAAAGCTTTGTCGTTGCCGTCGTTCAATGTTGCTGCTGGATGGTATATTGTTGGACAAACGAGGGAGAGTAGCGCTTGGCACAGGCGTTGCGCAGCTTATTTCACTGCTCGTTGGAGACCTCTGGTGGCGTTTAGCCTTGGCTGATCATGCGTCAGGTGACTCAGGACAGCTCGCGTAGCTCCAACTACCGGTACAACATCGAGCGCTTGGCCAACGGGTGACGGCGAGAAGGTTTCTGCGAGGACATCGGTAGCATGACGTTGCTCACTGTTGCGTCAAAATTGTCGCTCTTGACCATGGGCTCGACAACGACCTTGATGTCGGTGATCTGGTGCGCAAGGCGCTGCTCTTGCTGCTGCATCGCAAGAATCTGGTCGTTCGTCTCGGCCGTAGACGTGCGTAGATTGCCCGTAGGAGCCCTGCTGGGCGTCTTTGTCGAGTCGATGATCATCACGCTGCGTCTTGTCGAGGTGCGCGGTACGGCGTGGATGTACCATGCCGGACGTTGTCTCGTTGAACGGCTTGGAGGCGGCGCGGTGCAGAAGCGTGTGCACGACCTTCTTCAGACGGGCTTGGTCAAGTTGGGCGTCGCCGGTTAGCGCTGCCGTCTCGTCATCGTCGTCCTGGGAAGTAAACTTAGTGGGCTGGCTACGCAAGCCAAGAATGATCTGGGTAGTGACGCCCCACTCGCAAACGTGGTGCGTCTAAGCGCGTCCACGCTGGCGACCCAAGCGTCTGCGATCAGCGGCGCAATCGTGAGCGCTGTGCACGCGACGTAGGCTTCGGTCGCCGCGTAGCCAAGGGTGGTACGGTCGGAGGGCGGGTCAATACGCAGCCGTCCGAGGACGTCAGACGTTGGCCAGCAGCTGACGGCCGCAGGAGACGCCTTGTTGTCCTTGTTGCTCAGCAGGTGGAATGCACAACTCGCGATCAACGCGCGAGCTCGTCCACATGGACAGTGACGAGACTTCCAAAATTGAAACATCGCCATCTTGAAATTACCCTCACGCAGTCAGTTCTTGTCGTTCCACGTGCCATGCTATAGCGCAAACACTCCTCCAACGCATTCACTCTTACACACCTCGACAAATGGCGCCACCAGACGATCTTCATGGTACCGAGGACTGCGCGACCAGCGTGGAATTAGATTTTTGGGGCTTGACGAACGATCGACGAGGGTGTGTCGTTCGGCACTGGCGTCCTCATCGAGGACTTCATATTTCTGGCAGTTGACGGACCAGAACCGCAACCTCCGAGCAAGCAAACGGGGCCATAGTTGCCGAGATAACAAGATTGCATGGGAGCACATGCCTGCTTTTGCTCGCAAGCGTGGCCTCGCGCTCTGGTGCGCAGCACAAAGGACCTCGATCGTAGTTGCCATCATCGCTCTGCCGCATTGACTGGCGTTGGGCGCGTCGAGAGCCTTGGTGGAATGAATGGCTCTCGTCATCAGGCATCTCTTGTATACATTGGTCTCGTGTGGCCAAGGGCCGTCGTGCTGGCAGGTCGTCGTCTGTGGTGCTTGGGTGTCGATCGACGGGGCCATTCGCTACAGTCCTAAATAGGACTTGTGTCCTACATCGACGCACCGTTTTGTCCGAAATGAAAATGGGGAACGGCTATTTTTTTTCGCGAGATCGGATACACTGGCGTAATGTATGCAATTAAATAAAAAACACTTTGGCGCGCGCAAGATACGCGAGTTTGCACATTCACATGGATGGCAACTTCAAGCGCTCAGATCTCATAGGAACAACAACATACTACGATGTTTGGGTTCACGTCGCCGTCGGCGTCAATTGCGATGCCTTGGCCATCGTCGATTGACGCGCTGCCGCCGCTGGACCTCGCCTCGCCCGCCCTCGACCACACGCTCGGCGTGCGCAACGTCTACAAGTTTGGCGGCACCTCGGTGGGGTCGCCGGACCGCTTGTTCCAGCTCGTGTCATTGGTCAAGGCCGAGCGCCGTCGCGTGATCGCGGTCGTGGTGTCGGCCATGGCCAAGAACACCGACTTGCTGCTCGACGCCGCCGCGCTTGCGGCGGCTGGCAACATTGACGACGCGCTCCTTCTCATCGACCGCGTCCAAGCCATCACGGTGCAGAACGCCAACGAGACGCAGACGCGCATCTTGGGCGACGGTCACGCTTCGTTTGTCGACATGACGGACGAAATCACCGCGTTCCACGTTCCTCTGCGACAGCTTTTGCTGGGCATGAGCCTCTTGCGCGAGAAGACGCAAGCGGCGCTCGACACGATCTTGTCGTTTGGCGAGCGCATCTCAGCCACGATCGTTGCGGTATGTTCTCTAGTTGATGGATACAGAGCATGAATACATGTCTGCTAGCGACTGCTGACGGCGAACGGTGTCCCCGCCGTCTTTGTCGATGCTCGGACGTGGGTGACCACTGACGCCACCTTTGGCAGCGCGGCCGTCGACTTTGAGACGTCCAAGACCAAGCTGGTCGCGCTCGCAGCGACGTGGGGCGACCGTCTTCCCGTCATTACGGGCTTTATCGGACAGTCCACCTGCGGGCGCACGACGACACTCGGTCGGAACGGCTCGGACTACACGGCGACGATCATTGGCGCGTCGCTGCAGGTATCATCCACACAAGGGTATCCTTGAAGTGTTGCTACTGGTGTCATGACTAGGCCGACTATGTGGTCATCAACACGGACATTTCTGGTGTCATGACGGCGGACCCTCGCATCGTGCAGAGCGCAACGTCCGTCGGTCACTTGAGCCACCACGAGGCCCTCGAGCTCGCAATTTACGGCACGCGCATGTTTCACACGCGCACGATGCTGCCGCTCATCAAATCTGGTTGCGATATTCTGAAAATCTGAAAATCTGAAAATCTGAAATCTGAAAATCCAACGCGTGTAGGTGTCACGATGCTCATTCGCAACACGATGGACCCGCAAGGCGGCGGCACGTACATTAGCGGTCTCTCAACCATCGACAAGGCGGTCACATGCACCACGTCGCTCGAAAACCTCTCGCTCATCGAGGTCGCCATCGATCCTGCAGCTTGGTTTCTTGACCGTACAACTAGGTGCGGACGCGTATCCTCCAAGAAGGTGACCGGTCTGAGCTGGGCTACACCAACGTCGGCGCCCGCGTCGTGCAGTGTCTCGAGCAGCACCGTGTGAGCATTTGGCTCTCGATCCGCGCCGCCCACGGCCAATCGATTTCGATTGTTGTGCCGGCTTCGCAGGAGGACCTCTCGCGACGCGCAATTGCCGACGAACTCAAACTCGAGCTCGAGCGCAACGAAGTCGACGCGCTCAACGTCGAAAGCCCCGTCACCATGCTCTCGATCGTCGGTGAAAAGCTCAACAAGGCGTCGACGAACGGCGCCAAAATGTTCTCGGCCCTCGCTTCGGTATCTTGGAGGGCTAGGGTTGCAGATTATATATGTTTGTACCATTAGGCCGGCATTGATGTGCTGGCGGTCGGCCAAGGCACGAGTTCGCGGTCGCTGAGCTGCATCATCCAAGGTGCGCAGACCAAGGTACCTCTTTCTATATACAAACGTCAGGTTGCAGGCGTGTGTGTAGCTGGCCGTACGGCGGGTGCACGACGCATTCAACGTTTCCACGATGGCCGTGAGCATCGTCTTGCTCGGCTGCAACCGCATCTCGCTCGCCGTGCTCGACAAGCTCGAGGAGCAAGCCGAGACGTACCGCCAGCGCCACAATGTTGCGTTCCACATCGTCGGCTTTGGCTCGCGCTGCGCCGGCTTCCAGTTCAACGCAAAAGGCCTCGCGACTGCCGACATTCGCGCGACGATCGGGTCGTGCATGACGCCGCCGTTGCTTGGTAGTGCGCCATCCTACCACCACAGCCCCGGCGCGGCGACGCATGCGCTGCCGTCCGCGGCCGACTTGGCGGCATTGCATGTACGTAACACTCCCATGACGCTGTATTTCAATGAGTGAAATGTAGGACCTTTCGTGTCCGATTCTGGTCGACTGCTCGGGCTGGTCCGACAACGGCGAGCTCTACGCCCAGTGCCTTGCCAACGAGATCCACGTTGTCGTGTCCAACTCGGTCTCGGCCAACGCGCTGCCAGCGACAACGTCGCTCAACATTGCGTCGCCCAAGCGCCTGAACTCGAGCCCGTGCTTCTTTTTGTACAATGCGGCGCTCGGTGCGAGCTTGCCGGTGCTCGATACGCTCGCGAATCTGCTCCAAACCGGCGACCAGCTGCGGCGGGTCGACGCCGCGCTCAGCGGCTGCCTCGGGTACATTGCCGACCAGGTACAACCAGTGTTTGGAATCCAGTGTCTTTTATGGCATGTAGGTCATGCAAGGTGATGCCTTGTCGACGGCCGTCCAGAGCGCATGGGATAAGGGCTACATGGAGGCGAATCCGCTTGTGGATCTCAGTGGCGCCGATATGCAACACAAAATCAAGCTATTTGCTCGCGCACTGGGTGTGCAGGTCGACCTGGACCACATTGCGGTACGCTGTTTTCAAATACAGGAACCGTACACTGGATATGGGTACTAGGTGACGCCGTTTGTACCCGCCGAGATTCTGGAGCAAGTGCGATGGGAGCAAAACACAGTCGAGATTGGCCGCCTCATCTCGGTGCTGCAGACGTACGATGCGGCGTTTGCAGCCACGTACGTCGACCCCGCGCGCCGCGACGGTTGTCTCAACCGCTGTAATATCCAGAGTTTTCTGACGACACGTGTAGACAAGCGCGTGCGCTACGTGGCGGCGGTCGAGCTCGATGCGCTCGGGACCGTGCGTGCGTCCGTGGAGCCGCAGGTCGTCGACGAAGCGCATCCAGCGTTCCGAACTCAAAAAGACGAAATCTCGGTTGGCTTTACGACCGTCGAATACAGCGTACGTCGTACTCGATTTCAAAACACTGTTTGTGCTAATCTCCAATAGTACCGGCCGCTGACGCTGACGGGCAGTGGCACGGGCGGCAGCGCGAGTGCGACGGGTGTCGTGCGCGACATTCTCACCATCGCCAAGCATTTGCAAGGCAACGCGTAGGAGCCGCTTCGAACCCTGTAGCCGGCCACATTTCGAGAATCCTTTCTTGCGCATGTTTCGTCATAACTTGGCCTGTAATGAGCCAAGATTCTCTCGTGATGCTAAGAGCATTTGCTACGAGTTGGCCATTTCTCCGATTGCGGAGCTCTGATACGCAAATCGATACGACCGAGTGTCACTTGCGACGATAGGCATGCGCACCTTGCTGCTTGCCGACGCAATATGTCCAATATGTCTGAGAGGGTGTGGACCGCATGAACCACGCTTCCTGCGCAACTTACAGCAGCTGGTCGAGCACGCCTTCATGACCGCCAGAGCCACCTTCGGCTGCGTGCAGAAGCAGCCGTTAACACTGCGATAGCGTATAGAGAGGACAAACCTACTTGGTACATTGGGATCTGCTTGGCGTGGTCTGGTCGAATCTGAATTCTTCTCGATGTTGTGGGCTTGGGCTTGGGACTGGCACTAAGATCTAAGGCATCTCTCGCGCTTTGTAGCCTTCTTCAACACTGTGCTTGCCCACGTCGACGTCTCTCGAAAAACCAAATAAGAACTCCAAGCTCGTCGTGCATTACTACACCACAGCACCTTTTACATGGTCACCGTGGTCGTGGGCTTGGGGCCGAGGTCGATTTCTTCCTCGACGTCGTTCTCTTCGTCGTGGCTTGCTTGCAAGTGGCCCGGCGGCGACCCGACCGCGTTGTCCCGCGGCGCAAACTCAAAGGTGCCGTCCGACGACCGCGTGCTGCCGCCGTCGAGGAGCCCCGACTTCATTTGACCCTTGAGATACAAAAACTCCTGCATTGTCTAGACACATGTCTCAGCAATCCACGGTTTTTATAGTCATAACGTACGTGCTTGTAGCGGCGCCAGATGATGACGAGACCGACGAGAAGGCCGACAACGAGAACGATAATGAGCAGCACGACACCGGCGGCCATCGCCGCCGTGTCCTTGTCCAAGACAATATCGGAGCAGGTCTGGATCGCGGTCGCTGGCGGGGACTCACCACCAACGCAAGCAATCGCAGACGTCGACGTGACCACTTGGGAGCCGCCAGAGCACTGCGACCGCGACAGCCTACGCACCGAGTGTCAGCGGCAAAAATTTATCTCGTCGTCCTACGTGAAGAGCGTCGAGGTGCAGAGAGGACACGCTGCGGGCGATTTCCACGTCGCGTATGACGAGCACGCAGTCGAGTTGACGAGCACCGGCGTCGTCGTCGCGCTCGCTATCGTGTCGCTTCGTCAACGCCGCCACGCCGATAGTACGTTTACCGGTGGGACTGCACACGTAGTCGATCGTGGTGGTATAGAAGACAGCAGATGCATCGTCCGTCACGCAGAGCGACCCTTGCGAGTACACGGCGCGAAGGCCGCCGCCATTTGGCAAAACCGAGAGGTCCATCTTGCCACCGCCGTTGACAACATTGTACTTCTACACTTACGTCACATGACGACAGGCAAGTAAGCAACGTAAGCAGGCAAGGACGAACCGACGGTACAGTGCACTGCACCAGGCCCATGCTCGGCGTGTTGTAGAGAAACGTGCCGCCCGCTTCGTTCGTGTTGGTGATGGTGAGGCCGACGACGTAAGCTTGGGGCGACCCCACAAGCACTTGGTTGTACGAGTTGGCCAAGACCGACGAGACGACGAGCGTCGACTGTTTGTTGAACTGCGGCGTGACCGGCCGAAAGACGCCGAGCATGACGCTGTGCGACGGATCAATGGAGAGCTGCGTGCTCAGCGCGACCGTTGCGTTCGTGATATAGGCGTCTGACGTGTTGTCTGGCACGACGAGGCGCTGCAGATTCCCGAGGTTGTACGTAATGTTGTGAGCCGTGTCGACAAGCGTCGTCGGGGCCACGCACACCGTCGATCCTGGTGTGCTATAGACCTCTGGGTAGCTTTCTGTGTGAAAACAGCAATCGCAGAGAGTACCTGTACGTGTTGGTGCCGCACGGAAGGCAGCGCGTGGCTTGACCGTTCGAGTACGTGTTGAGCGGACACGACTGGCACGTCACCGAGCCATTGTCTAGCCCAAGCCATAAATACAGGGTGCGCACATGACGATCGACGTACTGTAGACTTGGGAGTAGGTGCCAGAGGGACACGGCACACAGAACGACTGGTTGGCATTTGGTCCAAAGCCGAGAGGGCAAGCGTCGCAGAGCGCGGCGCCGCCCGTTGCTGTGCCAGAGATGCCGATCGCTCCAATGGTCATGGTCGCGACCTTGGCGACGGCTGCGTTGCTCGTACGCCAGACGACCGAGACGACGAGCGTGCTGTTACCGTCGAGCCGCAGCGGAATGGGCACTTGGACAAAGAAGCTGCCGTTCACGGACGCATGCGAGAGCACGGTCGGGTCTCTGTTGACAAAGAGTTCGAGCCACGCGCGACCAATGAGCGGGTCGCTCGGGAGGTTGCTCAGCGTGTAGTTGAGGCTCAGCGTCCCGTTGTGCACTTGCGTCGTCTGCGTTCGTTCCATGAGCTACAGTTGCAAACGCAGCAACATTTCCTACCACAAAGTCGAGCGGATACGAGCCCGTCCATGGCTGCATACTCGGCGACAAGTCGCGCGTGATGCCAAGCTCCGTGAGCTTCCACCCGTTTGCAATGGCGGTTTGGTTGTTGAGAATGCTTGGCCACGCGCCCCAGAGCCGGCGGGTCGCGCCGCCAAACGACAAGCTGCGCACAGCCACCATCCCAATCCCGCAGGTCGTACACATGGTGTTGATGGCCGACGCAGACCCGTTGACTTCGACGAGCGTGCCGTTGGGGTCGATGACCTTGCCATCGGGGCACGTCATACACACGCCAGCTAGGCAAACCAGTGATCAAGTCCCAAAATGTTGAACACGAGATATATATATATGGCCTACTGTCATCCGTGTAGTAGCCCGACGAGCAGCTGCCGCAGTCCATGTTGACGTTGCTGGCCGGCAGCGCGATGGCGTCGGGCAATGACGCATTGCACGTCATTGGCACTGCCCACGAGCGCGTCACATTGCGAAGGTTGCGCACGCAGGGGGTGTAGACGGCAGCGACATCGGCCAGCGTGCACGGCCGACTCGTCATGCATGCACCGACGCCAATCGAGCCTGCTCGCGCATACGTATTGCGTGGGCATGCCAAGCAGGCAAAGGTGCCATTTCTACGTGCAAGTTGAAAGTTGGTTGATACTTGGTTGACACAAAAGACGTACGTTGTCGTCGTTGCGTACTGGTTGACGTCGCAGACGCGGCACTGGGCACTGCTGCGGCGCGTCATGAGACCGCCGCACGGGTGGCACGTCGTGTCAGCATACCTATGTATTCTTCGACTAAGGACAATATTGTCGATGGCGGCGTTTCGTACGCAGTGCCGAGAACTTCGACCACGCGAAGCATCGCCTTGTCCTTGCCCGAGTCGCCGTTGTAGTCTTTTGTAAACTGCCACGTGAGTGTATGGGCTCCGGACGAGACGGCAAAGGTCTTCTCGACCCAGTCGCCGGTCGTTGAGACCAGCGAAAGCCGCGTTTCGCCGTCCATCGTAAAGAGAAGACCGTCGTACGGCGCCTCAGCATCCACCTAATGTCCATTTTATTTGTATAAATGGTGGTCGCAGTGAGGTTTGAACCCACCTTGTACTGGAACGTGACCGACCCGTTCTTGACAAACGAGAGGCTGAGCCGCAGAATCGAGTAGAGCACGGTCGCCGAGTACTGCTCCAAGATGTCCGAGTTGTTGCCCGAGTGCACGTACGCGCCAGTGATGTCGGCGACCCACGGGTTGCAGTTGTTGACCCAGTCGCCCGAGTAGATGTCGCGCGTCAAGCACTCGGTGAAGAACTCGGGCGCGAGCGGCGTCTGCCACGCGCTTGTCGCTGCGCTGTAGAGGTTGCCACCACCGAGCGAGTACGTTCCATTCGCGCACGGCTCGCAGCCCGAGATAGGTACGGGCCCCGAGAAGCTAGGACCGTACATCGTTAGTATAGACGCAGTTGGACGATAGGCAGGCATACTTGGCACCGAGGACAGCGCCACGCCCGCACGATACCGTACAGTCGAGGTCGTACACCGCTAAAGAAGCGCGTGTGAGCCCCGGTCAGTTGAAGAGCACGTACGTGCGTTGAGCGTAAAGGGCGTGCTGCTGCCATTCGCCGGGCACGTGAGCGCTGTCGGCGTATAGTAGTAGAGCGTCCGCTTGTTGTTGACGCAGGCGCTGAAGCCATAGCTCATGGTCGGTTCGCCGCTCTGCGCAGCGAGGGTCGCGCCGGCGACGGCGGCCACGAGCACGAGTCGGCTCATCGCACCTTGTTGAAACCTCTCGGCAAGCGAGCGAGAAATTTTAATCCTACATTTTATTTAATCTACGCTTTTGTATGAAAATACAAAGAAGCTTAGGACACCCACTCAACGGCAAATCGCCGGAAACGATTTGTCGAAATTCCAAGTGGCCAAACCTAGATTCGTTTTGCCGAATTTGGATCCAGCATCTCAACTGAAATAGACGATTGTGTAGGAGATATTATTATAGTTCTGTCGTTCATATATTCAAAGACTTGTTTGACTGGGTCAGCTCCTCCAGCGCAATGTGCAGAAGGATACAAGTAGTAAGCGGCAGGACGGTGCGGTCCGGCGCAAAGTGCAATCTGGCCAACGCTCGCTCGAGAAGCTGCCACGTCATGACACACCCATTCCAGATACGCAAATGCTCACAAAGCTCTGGTGGCTACTACGCAAACAAATCTCGACCGGCCCGAGAAGGCTCGACGTGCTCGAGAGATTGACGTCGTACGTAGTAACTCGGGGTGCACGGCAGAGCCTACGACGCTAGTCGTAATGGTGCACCCTTATACCATCGTCACAGTTTGGAGACGTCCATTACACTTTGTAGTACATTCAAATTTACGTTGTGACGTGTACGGAGCTTCGAGAACGGTGTACAATGTCACTGAAGCCTTTGGATCTGCGCTGCGGCTTCGATGACGCACCTGTCAGTCTGACAGCGCTATATTCAGCCAATGAAAACGCGCACGTCCCAGCGTCCCACCAATCAAAACACTGCAAGAATCTGTTGACTATTGTCGTCATCCAAATGACTGCTGCAGCGGACACAAGCGCCAAACGGTAATCAATTGCTCCATCTCTTGGCGCCGTAAACGCCACGTACCACTATATATTCCACAGACAATTTACTTAGCGTCGGATCCAAGGGCTCGCAAAGCCGCCGCCCACATCGATCATTCACCAATTTACCTCCTTCCAACAACAATGACTTTCTCCTTTAACGACATCCCGGACCTCACCGGCCAAGTCGCCATCATCACCGGCGCCAACTCGGGCATCGGCCTCGTCACCGCGCGCCAGCTCGCGCTCCACAACTGCCACGTCATTCTCGCCTGCCGCTCGGCCGAGCGCGCGGTTCCCGTCGTCAACGCTTTGGCTGCCGAGATCAGTGCGACCGCTGGCAAGGTCGAGTTTATGGCCCTTGACATGATGAGTTTGGCATCCATTCGCGCATTTGTCGCTGCCTTCATTGCCAAGAACCTGCCCCTGCACATGCTTATCAACAACGCTGGCATTTACGCGGTGCCGTTCCGTCTCTCGGTCGACGGCATCGAGGCGCAGTTCGCGACCAACCACGTCGGCGTCATGGCGCTCACGCTTGGGCTGCTTCCGCTTTTGGAAGCCGCGCGTGTCGCCAAGATCGTCTGCGTGAGCTCGGCTGTCCATCAAATGGCGCCAAAGATGGGCATCAACTTCGACCACATCAACGACGAAAACGTGTACAACAAAAACACGGCGTACGGCCAATCCAAGCTGGCGACGATCCTCTTTGCCCGCGAGCTCCACAAGCGGCTGCGAGCGCGGGGTGTCAACCACGTCTATGTCAACGCACTGCACCCGGGCGTTGTGCGCACCGACATCTTCCGCGAACTACCGTGGATCGTGCAGCAACTCCTCTGGCTCTTCCAGCGCTCGGTGGACGACGGGGCCAAAACGCAACTCTACTGCGCGGCAAGCCCCGAGATTGAGAAGAACGGCGTCTCGGGCGAGTACTTTACGGCGATCGCGAAACTCAAAAAGACGACAACGCTCGGTCAGGACATGGCGCTCGCCGCCAAGCTCTGGACCTTCACCGAAGAGCTCATTGCGGCCAAGACACCTATCCACTGAGCTTAGACGTGTACATCAAAGCCGCGCCAGGGGTCGCACGCCCCAGCATCTGCATATTCTTCATGCCACACCTTCATATAAAGCGACCAACATGATTTTTGATTTTTGTTTCCCTTGTCAAGACGAGTACTTCAATCGTTCGGCATCCGGATAAACGCGCATAAAACCGGAATCGCCTCGCCGACACGGTGGCCGGCGCGCACTACTGGCACGTGCTCATGCATCTCGTCGTAGATGGTGCTGTGGCGCTTCCTGTGTATGCTCGTGGCAGTCAGTGCTGCGCCTGCCGTCAACAAGCACTCGACGTACGACCTCTCTCCTCATCTCCTCTCATCCTGGAGGCCATACGTAGCGCCTGCTCGCGCGAGCTCAGCCGCGAGGCCATGCAACTTCTCGAGCAGGTGACCTTTCAGCTGCAATCCGCCTCTTCTTATGCAATGCGTTAGCATGTCTACCGACCTGCGCAGCAGCTCAGCTACACGATGCCGCCGCCCGAGACATGCCCGTTGGCGACCGACCAAGTGCTCTTCTTGGACCACGTACCGCCTGCCATACCAGCACTGTGCCCATAAAGCTTTGATGTAGGAGGCGCACAAGTACCGCGTACACGCCAACCGCTGGAAGTGCGGGTACTGCGGCAAGCAATTCCGCGGCGAGCCCTTCGTGGACCAGCACATGGACACCAAGCACACAGCCGAGGTACACACGGACAATCGTATCCCTTCAACCCTCGTCACTGGCTGCTCTAGGATGACCATGGTTTATGTTTGGCCGACTATTGCGATATTCTAAACTGCCCGTCGGCCCGCGCGCAGGCAACGCACGCGAAATGCAGCCACAACACCGTCTTTCGTCTGCGGCAGCAGTGCAAGGTCCGTCTTGCGCGTCTTCAACGATCTCATCCATCGCCAGACCCTCTTTCAAGCTTGCTTTCCGTACGAAGCGCCGTCGGTCAACACGATGCGGCGGTCCGAGCCGGCGTCCAATGTCCTTTTCGGTGCTTTTTGAAAGAATTTGTCGGAAATTGAAGTCGTGGCTCTAGAGTACGTGCGCGAACACGTCTGCGAGGCCATCACGTGCGAAGGCAGCTACGACGATGACGACGACGCGTCAAATCCGGTACCATTTCAACGACAACTACCTCGGTGTCGAACCCTAACCTCTGTAGTTTTTCACCGGCGTCATCATTGTGCTCAAGGTGCTCGGCATGCTTACGCTCGTCGTCTCGTGCATTCTGGTGCTCGATCGGTACGACAATCGTCGCTCTCTTTTGTCTGCGTTGCCAGCGAAGGTTGTAGGCCTGTCCGCGCCAGGCGGCATCGACATCACTAACAGTTGTCGTTGTTTACACTCTATACTAACGCGATTAGCCAAACTTCATGGCCACTTCGGCCAGCGACATGGTTTTCTTCTTGTTCTTCTTGGACGGCTTCGCGTGCTCCGGCGTTGTGGCCTTCTCACCCCACTGCCCCGACGCATTACCGTTGCCGTTGCGACCCAAGTGCACAGGCTGCACGCCGATCGCTGGACCGGCCTTGGGCAAATCCGGGAAATCGCTCTTCGTGCGGCTCGGCACCTTGTTGGGCTGCAGCGCGCGGTTGATGTCGAGGCCGTCCATACCATAGACGTCTTCCTGCGAAACGACTTGAATCTTGGTGGTCGACGGCGTTGTTCCCGTCGCTACTGTCGGCACCGACACGGGGTCGCTCCAACTCGCACTCGAGCTCCACGAGTTGCCAGCGTCGGCAGTCGCCTTGGTGTTGCGGCTGCGGGCGCTAAAGCCATCCGTGTTGTGGACGACGAGGTTCATCTTGGGGCCGTTCCGGTTCTTGGGCACGGCGGCCGCGCCAACCTCCCGGAAGGCGTTCGACCAGCCAGTGGCCGCAGCAGGCGCCTTTTGCTTCTTGTTTTGGGTCTTCTTTGGCGCGGGTGCTGGGGCGGCCACGGGCTCCGGCGCCGGCCACGACTCGTCGCCGAGCGAGGGCGGGGCTTGTCGACGACTCAAGAGGTCAACGGCACGCGTTGGAGACGACGCCGGGACAGCTGCCGCCGCCACTGCGCGTGTCGGCGACGAAGCGGGCACCGGCGACGTCGACGCAGGAGATGTCGACGCAGGCGCTGCGGGCTTGGATTCGGGCTTGGTTTGCTTGCTTTTGCCAGCCGCTTTTTTGCCTTGGTGGAGCGCCATGACCTCGGCGACTTGGCTTTCGTCCGGGAGGAGGCTCATGAGCTTGGGGAAGAGGCGCACGAAGTCATTGGGTCGGAACATGGCACGCGCGAGGCTGTAAAACGACACGGCGGGAATGTCCTTTTGCCGAAACTTCTTGCACACTTCGCGGAACTGGATAAACTTGGCCTCGCTCCCGAGCGCCTCCTGCAGCAAATCGACGACCGAGACGTCCGGCGTCGGGGCCGGGGCAGCCACGGGAGTCGGGGCAGGTGCCGGCGGCTTCTCTTCCTCGTCGTCGTTTTCTTCAAGGCGGTCCGAGAGGAGCTGGGTCGCCTTCTTCTTCTTGTTCTTCTTGGGCTTGACAAAGCGCATGAGCGGGTTGTTGACGCCGAGTGCGTTCGCCGCTTGCTGCAGCTCCGGGTGGTCCCACTGGTCGCCACCGTAGAGGTGGGCCCGCATCGCCATCGTCGGGGGTGGCGCGATGGCGTTGCGGTACACCGGCGCGGGCGGGGGCCCGGACGGTGCCAACTCGGGAAAGTCTTCTTGGCGTGGCATGCGGACATTGTTCTGGCTCTGCCAAAACGTCATGTTGTACGCCGCGTCAGCGTTCGAGAGCGCGGGGAAGTCGGCGACCGTGATGCCAGCCTCGCCGCTGCCGCCCGATGGCAGCATGCCAGCAGCGAGGAGCTCGTCTTCGCGAAAGCCATAGCCCGTGTACGCGTCGCGGCCTTCGCGGTCGCCGCGGCGCACTGAGAAGTTGACGTCGATCTTTTTGCTCGTGCGGATATGCGGGTGCTCGTTGGCCATGTGGGACTGGAACTGGAGGTGGTCCTTGAAGACGACAAACTTCTTCTGGAGACACTCGTTCTCTTCGCAGAGAAAATGCTCGGCACGAAAGTGCTTCTCGAGGTCGTTGTAGTCCTTGTAGTACCGGTTCTCAATGCCGTGGCCGTGGAGGCAGATCTCGCACTCAAAGTGGTTCTTCCGGAGGTGCTCGTACAGCTCTTGGTTCGAGTAGTACTTTTGGCCGCAGAAATCACATTTCGGGTGGCCGCTAAACCCCATCTCTGGGTTGCCCTTGGTCGTGTGCTTCTTCAAGCCCTCGCGCGAGAAGAGCGTCTGCTCCTGGATGAAGAGGTTGTTGTGCTCGACGCAGATATCGCAGAACGACTGGCCGCCGTGCTTGGCGCTCAAGTGGTTCTTGAGCGCGCCATAGTTGGCGAACGACTTGGTCTTCTCCGGGCACTTGGCGACCGGGCACGCGAACGACCGCATCGCGACCACGGCCTTGTAGTTGTCCTTGAGAAAGTACATGGCCGACGCTTCGTCAAACACGTGCGTCGGGCCAATGTTGTCGCCCCAGTCCTGGAAGCTCTCGAACGTCGTCGTCTCGTCCGTGACGCAGATGACGCGGGGCATCTCGGTCTTGCAGAGCGAGCAGTGGTTGTTCTTGAGGATCTGGCGCATGCGCAGCACGCAGAGCGAGCAGCAGCCCGTGTGGTTGCACGGGCCGACGGCGTGGAAGCGCGTCACGTTGTCGATGCTGTGGCAGCATACCAAACACGGGTTCGAAGCGGAGCTCACGCGGCGAGGTCGCATCTGTCTGCGTTGGTGGCTGGAAATGGCAAAGTGGGGTCAACCCTCGGCCGACTGCGTTTTTTAAGCCCCACAACGTTTAAACCAGCTGGTTTTATTGCCATTCGCACAGGCAAGTACATCTTCGGACTTCGCACGTCATCTGCGTTTAGACAGGCCGGCAATTTGCAACACAGTAGGCTTCTTTCGACCCTCCAGCGTGTACGACACGGCTGCGCTACGGACAATACTTCACATGAGAATTGCCCTGCCTTGCGTGGCTCTGGCCTTCCGCACTCGGGGTACATACTCATTCTCCACCCCAGTCCGTGCTAGGCGAATATCGCATGCGTTATACTCTTTCAACGCGTGCATTGCAGTGGCGCCATGCCGCGAAACGCGTGGTCGTATATCAGTACAAATATGTGCGTACTATCGTCGGACCATTTCGATGAGACTCGGTTATTCAAGGAAAAACTGAGTGTGGTCGGTCGCGCGGTTGTCTTCAAGCGGTCTCATCTACGGCAATTACTGCGTCGGTGGGTTTAACGCAAGTAAAACGCGTGTGCACCGAGGATGGCCCCCATTCGCACATAACGTTCCACAAAACTTCCGTTGATGGGCACCATCACTCTGCGCGGTTGAAACACCCGCCCGCATGGCTGTGCGTCCGCTGCAGGCGCCCGACGTGCGTCGCGTCCGGGTGGCCATGGCCTCGGACGACGACGCGCAGCTGTGGTGGCGCCACGCCAAGCCTCGCGCGCACCGACCGCCACGGACGACGACGCTGGCGCTGGCCCGCGAGCTCGCGCTCGACGAGGAGCGCGACTGGATGAAGAAGCACAAGAAGGCGCGCAAGTTTGAGTTTACGGCCGCCGAGAAGCGCATCTTGCGGCAGTGGTTTGACGTGCTCGACACAGACCAGTCGGGCAGCGTCAGCACCGAGGTGTGGTCGCACACACGAGTATTTGTAGCCGATGGCGTCGTGGCGTAGGAGCTCGAAGACACACTGCTCACGCTGGGCTTGGCGTCGACCGCCGACGAGACGCAAGCGATCGTGACCGCCATCGACACGGACGGCAGCGGGTCCGTGGACTTTGGCGAGTTTGTGCGTGCGCTCATGCCGCAGCCGGCCGAGAAGGACGCGCTGCTCAACAACGCGGCCAAGCGGGACAAGTCTTTTCTGGGCTTGAAGAAGAGCATGGAAGCCCAAGTCAAAGGCCTCTTGGATGCGAAGACGCACGTGTCGATCGAGCGCCGCAAGTTCCTCGTCAACACCATCACATCGCGGAAATGCGAAGACATTGACGTCGCGGTCCACCACGCGCTCTGCGCCAAGAAGGCGCTCGGACCCCACCGACCGTCGCTCAACACGCTGCGTCTCGACGGTCTCCACGACGTGTTTCGGCGGTCAGCGGCCGCGACCGTGCGTCTCCATATGCACCAGCGTCGTAGCATGATCGTTCGTATGTAGCGCGCCAAGACCGATGCCATGCGCGCGAGGCAGTTGCCGACCATCAACGCCGACGAGACGCAGTCCGAGGTGGCCCGGCGCCTCCACGCCCAAGCCAACGCCCGCGCGGTAAGCGAGCAAGGCCTGCACACGGCGCTGCCCGCGATTGCGCCGCCTGCCCGCGCGACGTCCGAGCAAGCCATGCTGTAATCTTTATTTAACAGAGCTTATGAACACGATGTGCTTTGGTGCAGTGGCAAGACGTCGCCGTGGCCTTGCAGCACAAACGACGCGCGCGAGTCCTTGACATGCTGCGCGACGTGCGCCATGCGCTACGTGGATGCCCAATGTCAATGGCATTGAGAATCGAGTTGTCTGTACCTTGGGCAGCTGGGCGCAGAGGTCGTGGCGGTAGCGCTTGTACTCGAGGTCGAGGTGCAGTAGTGCGTCGTACCGCGCAAAGACCGAGAGCGACGCGAGGCTTGGCGACGCAGCTTCCTGAAAGAGCTGCTCCGCGTCCTCCATAGTAGGAACCTCGACATTGGTCTCATCTTCATTGTCGCTCTCACTGTCGCTGAGAACTTCGACGCTGTTGCACGTCGGCGTGACAAGCGGCGGCGCGACCGACGGAAGGTCCCAAAGCCGCCGCTGGTCGCGCGTGTCGAGGGTGCAGTGCCATGCCGTGTGCAAATGGTACGGCACAATCGTGCTCAGCGAGATCGTTCCCGGCGTATCGCCGACAAGAGAGACCACGGTGCGGGGCACATTCCGCGCCCGCAGCTGGGGCCGTAGCGCATAGGCGGGGTCTGTCGCCAACGGCGTCGCCCCCAACGGCGTGTAGATGCGAGGCGACGCCGGCGGAAGGCAGAAGAACGTCGGGCGCAGGGCGATCGGCCACTTGAGCTGCGACGCAGGGACCACCACGAGAAGCTCCGTGTCTCTTGGCGCCGCGATCGCTCGGGGCGCGCGGGTGCCGGCTTCGTGCTGCGCGCCCGACCGCATCTTGCGCTGGAGCTCCAAAGGAGCGTACTGCGGAATGGAGAGGAGCGGGTGTGGCTTGTAGCCCGTGACGTCGGCTTCGTGCGGCACGTGCAGCGGGAACAAGCCAAAGTCGGTGAACGCCGTCTCGATGGTCGTCTCGACGGGAAACCGGAGTCGCGAGTCGCTCTCCATGTAGACAGGAAACGAGCGGAGTTGATAGGACGGCACGATGGCAGTTGCCTGCAGCTCGGACGACCCGAGCGCAGTGAGCTGCTGCCGAGAGGCCACCGCAGAGGTCGAGACATTCATGAGCGCTAGCTTCCAATCGCTACAGATGACGTTGGCGACGGCCAAAATCGTTCGTGGTACGGACCGTTCGACCATGCGCCGGACTTCGGCACGGGTCGTGGCACTGCCAAGCCACGCTTGGATCTTGCGCAGGCGCTTGGCGACGCGGAGCCGAAGGATGCACCCCGAGACGACCTGGATGAAGCGGGCCAGTGCCTACCAACAGCGTTACTCTCGTGCAGCGATAGACGAGTCTACGCGCTTGCGCTTGGCCCACAAGTCGTTCTTGTACTCGTTGAAATCTGGCAACGTTGCGGGAGTCAGCAGAGCCGGAAGGACCGAGCGCATCGGCGGGGTCGACTGCGCCGAGCTGCCATGGCTGTGGAACGTTCGCCGAAGCAGCTCGCGCTCTTTCGCAGCCTTCTCGGCCGCGTTGGCGTCGCGCACCCGCTGGATTGTCGTGGTGCTCTCAGGCGCCAAGAGATCGTCCCCAATGTACTCGCGGTTGCTTTGGAACTCGAGGTCCTTCTCCATCTTGTTGATGTCTTGGAGGTCCTATCCATTGTCAAATGTTGGCAGATTGAGAGCGGGCGGTGTACTTGCAGAAACACGAGCTCCTGGAGCTGGCGCGTCGTGGGCTTGGCCGCCACCGTGGCTTCCATGTAGATGACGTCGAACGAGAGCCGCCCGCCGGCGCTGCCTGTCTTTTGCCGGAGCGCTTCTTGCTCGGCCTTTTGGCGCTTGCGCAGCGCGCGGTTCTCGTCGATCGCTTTTTTGAGGTCCTTGGGCTTGAACTTGCCGGCTTGTTGCGTCAAGATGAAGGTGGTCGCACTCACGCTGTCGAGGTGCTTGGGAATCTTGAGCCCGTCAACGATGGTTTCGGTCGGGAGCGTCATTTCCAGCGGCTTGGCGGCTGGCTTCTTGGGCAGCAACCGCGGTGGCTCGGTCGCACTGGCCTTGTCGTCTTTCTCGGGCGCCATCTCGACCTTGGCTTCTTCGTCGCCGCCGTCGACGGCGGCCTGGAGACCCGGCGACGAGAAGCCTGAGATCGTACAGTGCTTGGGCGTGAAGTTGAATTGAGCAATGTGAAGCTCAATCTCCGAAAAAACGTTGGCGAGCACGATGGGCTGGAACTGCACCGTGATATGCGCCGTGCCGTTGGCCGGAATGATGCCGCTGATAGGCTCGACACGAATCGAGCTATGGGCTTTGAGCACCTCAATGCGAAACTCAAACTCAATCGGGACACTGCACGTGAGCTGCAGCACGCGTTGGGCGACATGGCCCAGCGGCGTCGCGCCAAAGTGGATGCTCGATGGGAACGCGACCTTGTTGACGACCGGGTACCCATGGATCGGGATGATAAAGTTGCCTTCCGCGCTATGCACATGGATGCACTCGTAGTAGTACTTGTGCTCGGTCGGCGTAAACGCAATGAAGATTTCCTCGCTCATGCCGGCGTAGATATTGCCTTTGCGGTCGTACTCGACGCGGAATGGCGCCGCCGTCGGCACGAGGAGGTGCAAGCGCGTCGTCGACGTCGACTTGTTGAGGATGCGCACGCGCTGCGTGTGCGTCACGCCCAGCGCAAAGCCGCCAAAGTGCACGGACTGGGGCACAGCCTCGAGCACCGCGTTGCGTCCGACGAGGCCAAATTGCTGCGACACGAGCGGCCGCAGCAGCTTGGGGTCCGTCGGCGTCGCCCGCGCCGCAACGAGGTCCATCGTGCGTCCTTTCGCCGCGATCTTGCCGACTGCAACGCTTGCTAAATTCGGCACCCGCGACTTCAATTCGGCATGTACCGTACGATCGACCACAACGCCGAGCGTCCATACCAGCCGCTGCATGGACGCATGAGCTGCTTGTGCTGATGATGGACCAGCAGACAGGCGACTTGGCAGAGATTTTGGCTCTGAAAATGCACATCAATCCGGTGTCGGCGGTCGCGTCGAAGCTTGCGCAAGGTTGTCATGGGACATGCGGATGGCGTGTTCCTGCTGCAATTGCTGCCGCTGCCGTGGGCCTGCAGAGCTGCAAGGTGCGCTCGCCGCATCTTTGCCCGCGCCTCGAAGCTTGCTACGAGGCCCATTTTTTGCGCATGCGGCGATCGATGTGCTTCTTGATGATGAATGAGCTGCTTTCTCTAATCCGCCGGCTTCTCGAAGCTGGCAGCTTGAGGCCGGTCGGCGTTATTAACACTTGAAACACTGAGATTCGTTTTAATTTGTTAATAACCGATTCCGCCTCGGCAGGAGGAGGGGTCCCATAGCATCTATGGAGAGTATTTGCTATTGCAAGAGCGCTCTATGAAGATAGCCGCACCGGTGCTGGAACGCACATCTACGCTAGCTCTTCATGGACAGGCACCAGTACTCTCTGCCTCGCAACATTTAACATTAACGAGGTGTACTCTAGAAAAGGTTGTCATTAGTTAAGTCTCCTTGAAGCTCCGCCATCCCACATTTCGATCAGCCGTTGCCATCCTCGCCCCATGACCTCGCAAAAGCAGCTCGCGATCGCCGCCGCTGCCGCCGGCGCCGCCTACCTCCTGGACCGGCAGACGCTCGTGTCCCACGACATCACGGAGCATGCGTCGCTCATCGGCGTGCTGCTCAAGATGCGGTACCTCGCGTACCGCAACACGCGCATTCCGGACATTTGGGAGGACCTCGTCGACGCGCATCCGTCCAAGGTGCTCATCGTCTTTGAGGGCCGCGAATGGACTGCGATGGAGCTCGACACCCTCACGAACCGGGTTGCGCACTGGGCGATCCGGTCCGGCCTCACGCCTGGGTCTGTCGTCGGTCTGCTCATGGAGAACCGCCCCGAGTTTGTCGCGATCTGGATGGGTCTCGCCAAAGTCGGCGTCGTTGCAGCGCTCATCAACACGCACGTGGCGTACGATGGTCTCCTCCACTGCATCAAGATCTCGAAAGCGTCAATCGTCATCTTTGGCGCCGAGTGCTCGGCCAAGATGGACTCGGTCGCGGACCAGCTCGCCGATCGCAGCCTTGTCTGCTACAGCCCGGGTACTACGTCAGCGACAACGATACGCGGTGACTCACACGGCCTAGATGCGACGCATACCTCGCTGCCGAGCTACGCGACGTCGCTCAATGTGGCGCTCCACGAGGTCTCGTGTCGTCGCCCGCCGATCGCCATGCGCGCCGGAGTCACGACCAACGACATGGTGCTCATGATCTACACCAGCGGCACGACCGGGTAGACCGTCTTCTCCCTTGTCCGATGTGCTTGTTTCGATCCATTTGCCAATAGGTTACCTAAGGCGGCGCGGATCGAGCACTCGTCCGTGATGCTGCGCTCGATGGCCATGGTCAACAAGACGGGCGCGACGTTGCACGACCGACTCTACTGCCCGCTGCCGCTCTACCACACGTCAGGCGGCAACCTCGCCGTTGGCATCATGCTCTTTGCCGGCACGACGCTCGTCCTCTCGCGGCAGTTCTCGACGTCGCGCTTCTGGGGCGAAGTCCGCACCAACAAGTGCACCATGATCCAGTACATTGGCGAGATGTGCCGGTACCTCCTCAACGCGCCGCCGAGTGCGCTCGACCGCCAGCACCACGTACAACCCTCGCCCTCTCTATGCTCTTCTACAGTGCGATGTAGGTGCGCATGGCAGTCGGCAACGGGCTCCGTCCCGACATTTGGTCGCCGTTCCAAGACCGCTTCAACATTCCCGCCGTCTGCGAGGTAGCCACATGTCCTACTCCAACACCAAAAGCAACCCCAAGGCTAGTTTTACGGCGCGACCGAAGGCGTCGCAGGCTTTATGAATGTGTGCCGCGACCGGGCCGAGCGCGGTGCGTCACACCCTGGATAGCACGGATCACATCAAGATGCGTAGGGCACCTGGGCAAGACAGGGGCATTTGCCAACTTTATTGCGGGCTACGCGGTCGTCGAGTACGACGTCGAGAACGACGTGCTCGTGCGGTAGATGCTGCCCGAGACGACGATGACGTTATTGTGCACGTTAGTGGCCCCGATGGCTTTCTCAAGCAGTGCCCGTTTGACCACGTCGGCGAGCTTGTCGTACGCGTCCGCATGCACGACCCGTCGTTCAAGTTTCAAGGCTACTACGACAACAAGGAAGCCGACGCAAAGAAGCTCGTGCCCAACGCGTTTTCCAAGGTACATGCAAAGCTGCTGCTCTGCAATAGACAGAGGCGCGCGTAGGGGGACCTCTACTTTCGAACGGGCGACCTCTTCCGCTACGACCACGCCCGCCGCTGGCATTTCATGGACCGTGTCGGCGACACGTTTCGCTGGAACGGCGAAAACGTTGCGACGAGCGAGGTGGCCGAGACCCTCTCATCGTTTCCCGGGCTCTCGGGTACATTAGCAAAGTGGCGTCCATACTATGATGCCTGCTAGACATTTGCGTCTACGGCGTCGCCGTGCCCAACCGCGACGGCCGCGCGTGCATGGCGGCCATGGTGTTCGAGGACCTCGACCTCGATGCGTTCGCTGCCTTCTGCACCCTCAAGCTCCCGTACACCGGCACCTTTGACGACGACAAGGGTTGACGTCGAGGCGTAGGTCGTACGCCGTGCCCCGGTTTCTGCGGCGGCTGCCCGCAATGGCCGTGACTGGCACCATGAAGCACGAGAAGGCCAAGCTGCGTGCGCAGGGCACTGACCTGACCAAAGTCGACGGCGACGCGCTCTACTACCTGGACAAGGCCAACGGAACGTTTGTACCGCTGACGAGGGACAACTACCACCACGTGCTGACGTCCTCCCGCCTTTGAGCGCTGGGAATCCAGTACACTAGTATTGTATCCATATCTTGCGAGCCAGTGTTGTGTGATAACGTGCGTGGCGCCAAGTCAGTGCAGAGATCATTGCATCTACAGTCTACAGCGCCGGCAGAGCACTGGATCGACGGCCGAGCCGAAAGTCGAGGACGGCAAAAAGGGGCAGGAATCCCTTTGCGACCAAAGTTCAACCCACCAAAGATCGCAAGCTACTCGCGAGTACCACTCGAACGGGGCGGCACATCACACGCGCGCAACTGCCGCGGGTCGCAGCCGACAAAAACATCCACGATCTCGGCGCTGCGACCACCCACAGGTGCAATTATGCCGTGCACGGCCGGCTGAGCGGCAAGAAGATTTGCAATAGGCTTGGAATTTGGTCGGTTGCGTGAGCAGCGTGCAAGCAAGATGCATCGAACTGGGTTCAACGTCCCGCCCATCTCGCCGCTGTTGCAGAGGAAGGCGATGCGCACCGAGCGGACCGACGCCGACGACGGAAGAAGCCGCATGTGCTACAAGCTAGGGAACGTATGATCGATCACTAGTGTGGGATGGCCGACGATCGAAATCTACCATCATCAACTTGGCCCACCCCGCCACCGGTGGTACCGGTACCGGTCAAGCATGCGTGCCATAGACACTGCACGTGTGCGTGCGGTTGACGCATCCGCGTTTGCACTCGTGTCTCGGGTTCCTGCACCCGCCACGACGCTGACAATCTCGTGCAACAGCATCGCGCGAATCGCCTGCAGGTGGCGCATCGAAGAGGGCGGCTCGTCCACAGTGGTCGGCGAAAGTGAGCTCGCTGCATCCGAGCAGGGGATCGGCAGTGCGCGTCGCTCATTGGCGCTCGTTCCTTGGAGTGTATGCGATTATGCTAGGCCGACTATTATGCGACAATCACCTGGTGGATTTGTTGGCGGGCCACATTTCGTACGGCAATCTCGGATTGTGAACGCGGCATTGGCTGTAAACGTCCGAGCCTGTACCACCCAGGAGCAGACGACCGCCATGTCGCGCCGTCCGCTTCCACACATCTTCCTCGTCGTTATCGGGGAACAGACTCGACTCTCCTTTAGCGCCGTCGCGGCCGCGCTCTCGTGGTCGGGGCGTATCCCACCGCGACTTGGGGGAATTGACCGTCGTCTATTATTGAGTCACTGCAACCACCAGTGTCGCTTGTGTCGCTGGGCATGGTGGACAGGGCTCTCGGCTTTGCACGAGGCGGACAGAGTTGTGTCCAGGCGTCGGACACGCCACGTGGCTAAATGCACCCAAATGCCTCCCGACGTGTGGTTGGCCGCTGCGCGTCGTGCGACAACGTCGCCATTGATCACGTTGAGGCGACCGTTTCCAAACCGATACAAACGCTCGTGCAAAGGTCCGTCGTGCCCCTGTGGCTTGGCTACCGCGTCGCCACCTTTCGGAGGCTGAAAGTTGCGTGCGGTTAACGATCCCGTCGACAGGATTTGTTTTGAAAATTATTGAAATCCTGCGTGTGTGACATAAAGTACTGTGCAGAGAACGGCCTGTTTTATATCGGTCGTGGACTTCGACGGCGACCGCGATCCATACAAATACGTAGTCGGCCAAGGGCAAATTGGGAAAAACTTCGTCGAAGTTCAAACTCTCGCCAAGTGGCGCGCCAGGTGGTGCGCGGATGCGAGATTGGCGAAGCGGTGGGTCCAGTGCATTCTTCCTTTTACTCCGCCTGCGCAAAATGCACTCGTCGCCGCCGATGATCGTCTTCCTTCTCCTGGTCGCCCACCTCGTCTGCGCGCGCGAGAGCAACCACAGCGCGTCCTCCTTGAACGCGTCGAGTTTGCACTTGACCGAGTCGGCGTCGTGCCTCGCCATTGACGCCGCGATGGCACCCGTGTGCGGCGACCGCGCGCGCCAGTGGGAACACAAGTGTGAGAAGCAGTGCGTCCACGCGGTCGAGCAGCTTTTGCGCGCCAACGATGTCGACAACATGTGCCTTGTCGAGTGGAAGGTCGTGCGCCACCTGCAAAACACCCAGTGCACCGAGAGTCTCTTTGGCCTGCGCTCGATGAGCGTCACGACGATCGCATCGGCCTTCCTCAGCGTCTTTCTCCTCTTCTCGTGCACGAGCTAAGGACGCGGGCGACACCATTGATAGGATAGAATGATATTATTTTAACGCAGTTATAGACGCGCCAATTTTTTTGGCACCCTACGACGATGCTTTCGACACGAGCGGCTGGCTCGGGTTGTGTTCGAGGAGCCAATGCCCGAGCATCGCGACCGCGTTGAGCCCCATGGGCTTTTCCTTGCAGAGCACGATGAGGCCGCGCTGGAGCACGTCCAGAAACGTCTCGGTCCCGACGCGCGTTGTCGTCAAGTACACTTCGGCAGCCGCGCCGCTCGCAATCGGGTCGGGTCGCCGCACACCTGAAATCGTCGAGTGCAGCTGCGGCTCCTGCGTGGGGCTAACGACAAAGAGAAGGGAGTCCACGAGGCGGGCGCAGTCTAGCGGCGTCTTGGTCAAGCCCGCGGCCGTGAGCTCTTGCTTGGTAAAATTGCGCGAGAAGACGAGGTTCTTGGCCGTCTGGGTGGCGACAACAACGACGCCCGCGGGCTCGACGTCGTGCACGGCGACGTGGTAGTCGTCGCCGTTGAGGAGCAGTCCCGTGCTGTAGAGCGGGCCAGGGCGCTGCATGGCTTTGGCAAAAACGACTTTGAAACTGAGATTTTGTTGCTATTTTCGGCGCGCAGCATGACGACGCCGCATGTGGACGCGGCGCCGGGCCATGGCCATGGTACAGCGGTCGTCCTTGACCGCATCTCACTCGTTCGTATCTTGGGTGCACAGGCGGCGACGCCAAGAAGACCAAAATCACGCTGACATTGGACGTTGCAATTGACGACAAGCTGCTCGTGACACCCAGCTTTCGCTACAAGTTTATCGACGGCAGCAAAAAGGCGACACCGGTAGGAATCCCACCCATGTATGACTCCTTGCACGATGTGCGGCCTAGCCGGTGGGGACGTGGGCGCCGGCCATCACGCCGCATGCGGTGGCAAGCACGGCGACCGATGCGAGCGCCAAGCTAGTCGTCGTCGACCGGCGCAGCAGCCGCGCGCTTCCCGTCGAAAGCGGGAGTGAGCCACCGCCAGAAGTAAAGCTACTCCGCTACGAGCACCATGTGCCCGACATGGAAATCACCGAAGCAATGGCCGTCAAGCTGCACGAGAACCCGGTGGTGACGTTCTTCTTGTGCGACCACTCGCCCACGCAGGCGACCGCCGTCAGTGGCGTTGGCCGCAATTTTCTCTCGTTCTTTGAAGTCGACTTGAGCCCGCTTCTTGGTGGCGACACGGCCGTCGAGTGCGCGTGGGGCGAGCTGCCGAAGGAGAGCGCGTCCAGCGCCTTGTCGCCGTGTGTGCCGTTTGTTTCCGCGCCGGGACTGCGGTCGTTCATCGTTCGCATCAAAACGGACGTCGGGCTCCTTCCGGCGAAGCGCGCGCAGGCACTCAACCCCCTCACCCTCCACGTGCGCAAGGCGACGCACCTCCCGGGCATCACCGTGAGCGCCAAACCTTTGTACCAGTACATCACGCCGACGCCCTATACATCGCTCACAAAGTGCTGCGCTCCTGCGTACGCGTCCATGCGCTTCCTCAACCAACGGCTCGTTCGGACACCCGGGCTTCTTCAGGTACAAACGAGTACGATCCCTAGCCCCTAACCCTCAGCTCTCAGGGAAAATCGGTCGCGTGGCAGTTCAAGACGACCTTTCTTTGTGGCCACTTTGAGTGGCTCGCTCTCCAGGAGAACTTTGCATCGGGGCACGTACTCGTCGAGGTGCACGATCGAGACGTGCGCCTCGAGAAGGCGTACGAGTCGCTTGTTCACAAGTGGGAGGGTCTTCTCGCTGGCAAGCAAGTCGGCGACGAGCACGCGCGTCCGCTCGACATCTTTGTCGTCGACGATATCGCCAAGGCGGACATTCAAACGCTCTTCTTCCAGCAGGCGGGCGATCGCAACTCGCACGGTGTCGCGACGTTTCGCTTCTACGAGCTGCTCAACGCCGTATCACTATTGAAAACCCACTCGATACATTGATATATATTTGATGCGTAGACGCATTTGCGGCCCAGCAGCGAAGGACCGTTTCTGCAGCTCAAATTTGCCGCCGACATTGTGCAGCACAAGCGACGTCAGCCGCCAAAAGAAGGCACGGACGACGCCGAAGATGACTTGTCTCAGGTACTCGACACAACCCAGTTGCTATCAAACCTTGGATAGGTGGAGAAACTGGTGCGGGTGCCGGGCGCGTACCTGAGCCACAATTCGACGCTTCACCTTGATGCGACCTTGGCCTTCCCGCTGCTCAAGCCGACGCGGCGTCCGTCATTAGTGGCGCCGGCGTCGGACAATCGCAGCCTCTTCAGCCGCCTCGTGCTCGTGGTGCCGTACGACGACACGGAGTCTGTCCAGGCAGTGTCTCGGGCAATGGAAAAGGTCAATGGCGCGGCGCTACCCGGCGCACCCCTTCGGTCCTATCAGCTCACACCGACGCAGAAGCAAGCGGCCGATGCCGGCGAGCTCAACATACTCACGGGGTTTCAAGTGCTGGACACGGACCTGCGCATGATCGTGCTGGAAGGGCTTGCGGAAGCGGGCATGGCGGTTGCCCACGCCAGCATCCCCCGCAGAGGTCCCAACGCCCAAGACGGGTACCGCATGTTTGCCAACCACGACGTGCGCTTCTCCCAGCGCCTCTACGCTGCGTTCGACGTTGACCTCAAGCGCATCAAGCTGCGAGACCCGCTGCCCGATATCATCAAGCGACCCGAGCTGTACATGCGCTCCAAAGTGTCGGAAAACTGCTTCCAGGCGCTCAATCGCCTTCAGGACGTTCGCAAGGTACTCTCCAGCGTGTACTAGGTCAAATGGGACACGAGTCTGTCCTAGGCGAGCCGCCTCGTCGAGCTACGGGACTTGGATCTCTTTCCCCTTGTGTCGATGCTGCTCGAGGTCGAGAGCAAGTACGGCGAAAGCATTACGCTTGAAGACATTCACGGTATCGACAATGGCCACGTCGCATTGCCCCGGCGCATGACGCTGGAGAGTATCGACCAAGACGTGATGAAGGCTACAAAGACTTCTCTATCGGCGACCAAGCACCACTCCCCCCGCAGCTCCGTGCGCCTCAAGGCCGCCACGGATGCGAGCAACCCCAATTACGAGCAAGCCAAGCGCGAGTGGCAGCCCAAAGATTACGTCGACGAACGCCGGTCCATATCCCCATCCCACATCCCATCGTGTTCAACAGCACGTAGGCGCGAAAATGCGTTGGCGGACGAAGCGTTCGCGGCCGCCAAGGCCAACGAACCGCCGCGCGACGACGCGCCCGTGTACATTTACAGTGGACAAAAGCTTCGGGTACAGCGCATATATAGGAGCAACGTGTGGTCAAGTGACCTGCGTAGAGCAAAGACTTGGAGAAGGATGCGATGCGCGCCCGGCTCGCCAAGGACAGGCATGCGACGTTCACGGACAGCGAAGAGTTCAACTCGCTCACGTGGAGTCTTGTCGACGAAAACAAGCTGGCGCAGATCGCCGAGAGTGCGAGCAAAGCGCTGTACACAACACCATCCGGGTTTGTGTACCCGCCGCCGCGCCAGCCGAGTGAGTTTTACAAGCACCCAAAGGCGCCGAGCGCCGCGCGCTGCGAAGAGCTCTCGGCGCCGTGGATCGAGAATTTGTACCACCCGCAGCCTGTCGAGCGCGACACCGTCGATGTCGGCGCGAAAGCGGCCTTCGACAGTCTTCCCTCCAAAGATATGATCTTTGGCGGGACGAACGCAGACGGAACACCGAACGTCGAGTACTTCAAGTCGGTGCACCTCGTCGGCGACGGGCTTGCCAAGGAGATGGAAGAGGCCAAGGCCAAGGAGCACCAGGAATGGCTCGACAAGCTCGTCGTCGACCACGACAATCTGCGTTTCATTGCGCATGGCGATATCATGGGCCAAGGCCGCGTCAAGCCGTCACCCTTGGACAAACCGCGCGATATCCTCGACGGCCCACCGCTCTCCAAGCCCATTCGCATCGTCCGCAACGCCAAGCTCCCGAGCGGCAAAGCTGTGCGTCTCACGGCCGCGCCCGTTTCGATCCTCTGCGGCGATGCGTACACGGGTGGCGCCAAGGCACAGCTTCTGCGGACGTTTGACCCAACGGGGTTTGTCGCGCAGGACGACGACGGTCGCCCCAAAGACTTTATGTTCCCGTCCGTCACCGAGATCCTCGTACCACGCGTGAACCGCCATACGACCGTGCTCAAGCCGCGACGAGAGCTCACGTCAGCCGAGCGCACGGGTCTTCTCTGGAAGAACATGGTCGGTACCAACCAAGAGCCATCGTCGTAATCATCGCTTCAACGTGCGTCTCAGCTTGCCACGTTTGGCCACTCTTGGCTGAATACACCCAACATGGAGGATTTTGCACTAGGTCTTTGTATGGATCACTATACGTCGCGCGATGCCAGCCACGAACGCATGAAGAGGGCCCAAGTTCAAGAGACGAACAGCGCGTGAGGTGTGGATGTGTGTGCAGCAGAAAGAAGATTTCTGCGCGACCGATAACGCGTCGCGGAAGTTGGAGTCGCAAAGGGTGGTGGGTTTAGACTGCGTGTGGGGCCGAAACCGGTCATTATCCGGATGTTCGAGACCCGATTCAAAGAACTTGAGATTTGTATTGGCTCCGAATCGAACTTTACAAGTCGAACAATCGTGGGGCATACAAACGGCGTGATGTGGGGTTCTGTCCGGATGCGAGGTTTGTCTGGATGGACACAGACGCATTTGCCGTGAGGAAGATGGAGGAACAAGGCCAGGTCGTCCAGCTCACGCAGGAAGAGCATGCTGCCCACATGGCGCAGATGGAGGCGCAGCTCAAGGTCTTCTGGGCAGGGCAGCTGGCCGAAATGGAGAAGCTCGAGGTCGGCAGCGAGCAAGGTACACGCGATACCGGGCTTCGGGCATGGACTCACTAGTCCGACCACGTAGACTTCAAGAACCACAACGACCTGCCGCTGGCGCGCATCAAGCGCATCATGAAGTCGGACGAGGACGTGCGCATGATCAGCGCGGAGGCGCCTGTGCTCTTCGCCAAGGCCTGTGAGATGTTCATCCTCGAACTCACGTTGAGATCATGGGGCTACTCGGAGAAGAACAAGCGCCGGACGCTGCAGAAGGAAGACATCCAAACCGCGATCCGCAACACGGATATTTTTGACTTCCTCGTCGACGTGATCAACTAAGCGCTCCATACGCCATCGTGGTACCGACAACAAGAACACACCTTATTACTCCTCTGTTCCATATTGATTGTCCACCTCGGCGTATAATTGGCGGAATTTTTCTAATTTTGCTCTGTTTGGCACGCTGATTGGATGAATCGAAGGCGCGTGATCTCCTCTACGATTGGCTCTTTGCGGCGATCGAATCCGAGCTGTGGTCGGGGAGAAATTGCAACTTGAAGCTCGTGCGTCGGTCTGGGAATCCTGGGTTTTTTACGCCACGCCCTCAGTTCTCAATTTGCCTCGCAGCCACTGCGTCAACGTCTTCCTCTACACCCAGCCCATGTCCTACAACATCGCACGCACGCCAGCGGCCCTCACAGACAAGCGTGTGAGTCATCGAAACCTTACCGACGTCGAGCGCTGCGGTGTCTACCAGCAGCTGCTGGAGATGACGACGGGCGACGTGCTGAGATGCACGGCCTTCCGAGAAGTCGCCGTCAAGTATGCATGCCACCCGCGCACCGTGAAGCGCATCTGGAAGCGAGGACAAGCGGCCATCAAGAAGGGCAGTCCCGGGGCCGTCGTTGCGTCCAGAATTCGTGGTATGTCCTCTACAAGTCGATTTTTTATCACCCGATGGGAGTATACATTTTGACGGTTGTACTGGATTAGGAAATTCTGGTCGCAAAGCCGTGCGCTCGCATGACGCCATCAAGGCGGCGATCAAGGCCGTCCCTCACAACAAGCGCCAGACGTACCGGTCGATGGCGGCACAGACCGGCATCCCCACGACGACACTTGTACGACACAAGAAGGCGACACCCAGCCTCAGGTCGCGCCCCAGCACCATTAGCCCCCTCTTGACCGATGTCAACAAGGCGTCACGACTGGCGTTTGCTGCGTCATTTGTGCGCCGCGCGGACAATGGGACCTGCCACTTTGCCGACATGCGTGACTACGTGCATGTTGACGAAAAGTGGTTCTTCCTCACGCGGGTCAAGAAGCGCTTCTACGTGTACGACGACGAGGTCGTGGCGACGCGCTCATGCAAGAGCAAGAGCCACATCACGAAGGTCATGTTTCTCGCCGCTGTCGCCCGCCCGCGGTACGACCCACACACTCGCAAGACTTTCGACGGCAAGATTGGCATTTGGCCGTTCGTGAGCGAGACGGTCGCCAAACGCAACAGCAAGCGACGGAAGCGAGGGACCATCACACTGCAACCGACGACCGTGAACGCGGAAGTGTACAGCAACGTGATGCTCAACGACGTTGTTCCCGCGATCCAAGCCAAGTTTCCAGCGGCCTGCTACGCCAAGGGCATCAAGATCCAGCAGGACAATGCAAGCCCCCACAGAATTGTCACGACGTCTCTGCTGGAGAGCAACGGCATCGAATGTATTACGGTCGCCAACCAACCTCCCAACAGTCCCGACCTCAACGTCTTAGATCTTGGATTCTTTAACTCTATTCAAAGTCTGCAGCATCAAAATAGCACTCATACAATTGAGGAGCTCATAGATGCTGTGGAAAAGTCATTCTACGAGTTACCTGTCGACACACTGTCCAAGACGTTTTTGACTTTGCAAAAGGTCATGGAAAGGGTCATGGACATGGGGGGCGGCAACAATTACAAGCTGCCCCACATGCGAAAGGACGCCTCCATTAATGACCTCGCAAGTCATATCGTCGAATGCGATGCAGACTCCTACACCAGCGCGTTAGCTCAGTTGGATCAACGCCTGGGAGTGGAAGCTCGCATGGAGGACCAGTTGACTGGAAATTCAACAGAAGAAGTACTCGAGGCAGAGGAATAAAAATACATTATATTTGTCGCCCCATTTATCGAGTTTAGCAGGTCAATACAAAAATCAAGATGTCGATTTCGACCGAAGTATAGTTTAATCAAGTATAAATCCCTTTGGACAATCAATATGGAACAGAGTAGTAGTAGTAAACCAATGTATCTCGCCTGCTTGTCTCGCTGCATTCTCCATCATACCAGCCATGCAGCGTCGTACGCCAGGAACAACCGCCCCAAGCGCCGCCCATCGCTAGCTTCTCCACTCGCCTGCGTGCCAACCCGAGACCAAACGACCTCAGCCCACGCGGTCTTCACACAAGCGTCCCATGCCAAGAGACACTGGGGCGAAGGGCCGTAAACTGTTGCTTGGGCTGCTCCTCGGGTCCCAGTGCACCACGGCCTGCTCTTTTTATCGCCACTTGCTTGTCTATATTTCATGGCAGGCACACATGTGGGACATGGGCGGTGTCGGAAATGACGTGATACCAACGCGCGGCCTAGGCGCAGGCTCAAGCATGAGCCTGGAAGGAAGGCAGAGACCGCGGCAGGGCCGGTCGGTGTCGATGGATTTTGGTGTTATGATGTGTTCGAAGACAGTGTTCACGGCTCGCTAGGAGGTAGTCAACGAAGAGCTCTAGTAGTACCTACTGTAGTCGGAGGGGCTAACCATAATGCTTGCCATGGGCCAACAGACCACGCGCTGTTAGTTGCGGGTCGAAGACGCTTCGGCGAACGAGCGCAGGACCAGACCGCGTGTGGGATCTTACGCAACCATCGGCATTTGATTGGCCGTTGCGGCCATGATCACGAAAACATATTTTAGAAAGTGCAAACTGAGTTTCATTTTCAAAGTCGCGCCATGTCGAACACTTTGACGCTCTGCACGTACAACATCCGCTTCATCTTGGACCGGTGGGACGAACGCCGGCCGTTCCTCGAGGAGGCGCTGACGCGTACGGGCGCCGACGTCTTTGCGCTCCAAGAAGTCAACATTGGCCACTATTAGGGCCAGCACCACGAGCTCCGCGACCTCCTCTCAACCCAAGACACGGCACTCTCTGCGTTTCCGTCGCCGGGCGCGCGCGTCTACATCCAGGCGATCCCGCTTCTCGGGTACCTCTTTCGCTCGGGCAACCCGCTCGCTGCGGTCTTCTACGACGGCTGCGCGTGGTTCAACAAGCACTGCCTCGGCGCCATCTTGGGTCGCTTCACGCAAGTGATTTACCATCGCCCTATCCTACGCGCGCTAACCTTTGTGAGCCTTGGCTCGGCGTGGGTCTTTGGCACCGCGCTTCTCGCCAAAGAAGCTCTATCGCCTGCCGCCCACGACACGCTCCTCTTGAGCGATTGGAAGGTTGCACAGAGCGTCCAGCTTACGGTTGGCGGCAGCGTCGTGCTTGTTGCCAACGTGCACTTGTCGTCCGGGGACGACGAAGAAGGTCTTCGCACCGATCAGATCACAAAGACGATCCAGTGGCTTCTCGCAATGCAGACAGAATCGATCGCCGGGATCGTGATTGTCGGCGATTTCAACTGCGTGCCTGACGGCGGCTGCTACCGCACGATCCAAGCGCTTGGCTTCCGCAGCGCGCACCAGCTTCTTCACAGAAAGGAGCCCGAAAAGACATTCCATCAGGGGCTCGAAGCCCCGACAAAGGACGTTGGCGACGAGAAGACACTCGACTACGTGTTTGTCTACGGCACGGTGCGGTTCATCTTTGCGCTGGTGACATCGACTTTACATCGTTTGATAGGTGACGCCGCAGACCATCAATGTGATTGGCTCCGAGTGCTGCAACGGCGATACCACGCTGTACCCGAGCGACCATTTTGGCCTCGTGGCCAAGCTTCTCGTCGGCGAATCACCCCGTCCGGTCGAGGTAGCAAACTCCGATTCTTAGTTGTATCACTCGATGTTTTCACATGACGAGTCATTTACCATACTGGGCTTTGAGTTTCGAAGTAGTAGTTGGTGGCTTAGGGCAGCAGTTCATTACTGTCGAGTTGCAGCTGGAGGCTTGTCTACTCATTCAATCATGGTGCAGCTGTGCCGCCCATACTGTCGCGGATTCTGCCCGTGATCAGAGAAAGCACGTGGCTGCAGTTCTGCTTGCAGTTCAAGTTGAAGCTCAACGACACCGCCTCCACGAATAGGTCTAGGTGTAGCTTCTTGTAGCGCATCTTGACTTCATTTCGACGCCTCTTGAGCACCTGTCTTCCACCACCCTCGGTGCGCAGACGAAGCAGGTCTCAACACACACTTCTCGAACTCTACTGAACAAGATGCGCGCACAGTGTTGCCACAGCAAACTGCTCGCGTGAACCTCACAGAAACGCAGCGTTGCTTAATCGCTACGCTTGTTGTGCGCTCAAAGCTACATCTTCAGTCGGCTCGGTCGCTGCATTGACGAGGACGTGCAGGACGGCGTCTGCGTCTCGAAGGCACTTGGGCTTTGTCCATTGTGACTCGCCCGTCTTGGTGTTGAAGTAGTAGTACGCATGGATGGCTTCATCGTAAACCTTTTCGTAGTTGGACTGGGCGAGCGCAAGGGCGTCGCGGCGCGCTTGGCGGAGGCGGAAGACGCCTTGGATGCGGACGGCCGCTGTCTCTTGGCTCACATGTTTGGTAGTCGTTTTCTGGAGCTGCTCGAGCATACGCGGCGCCGTCCACTGCGACACGCTCGTCTCCTTGTCGTAGTAAAAGTACCTAGTCTAGCATACGGTCCACGTCACAACAAGGACTATCCTACCGCTTGGTGTTGGGGTCGTACACCCGCTGGAACCTCTGCAGGAGCTTTGCTTTGCACTGGTCGCGCGCATTCCGACGGCGAAAGTGGGTTTGCAGCAGCACAGCCGCCTCGTTGGCGTCGGTGATGCAGTACGCACGTCGCCGGTGGGGGCGACTGGCCAACGTAGACTCGGTTGTCGGCACCTCTGACGGCGTCGTGGCTTGCTCGGGTGAAGATTCCTTTGCATTTTCCAGTGGCGTTGCCGTCGCAACCTAGGCGCAAAAGTGATATGTGCAAGGTGCAAAGTCAGCGTGACAGACCTTGTCAACCCAGAACGGAGGTTTGGTCCACGACACGGCGTGCGTTTGCTTGTTGTGGTAGAAGAAGGCATTCGACGACGGATCCCAGATTTGCTCAATCTGCTCCATGTGTGGACCCATAGTCACGACATAACTTCGCTCGTACCACTCGGTTGGCTCGAACGGCTGCGGCGCGTCGGGCTTGGCGAGCGCGGTAAATGTTTTGGACTAGCAGCGCGGCCGTGTCGGGCGTCAACACTCTTTTTTTTCGCCGCTTGCGTCGCATTTTTGGCAGCACGAGCGTGTCGATGCTCTGGGCAGCCTTGGGGACGCTCGAGACGGCGTTGTTGGTCTCTTTGTCGACAAAGTAGTAGCGTTGCGCTGTTGGATCCCAGACTTTTTGGAAGCGCTCTTGCAGCAGCTGCGCCAAGAGGCGGCGCGCAAGACGACCGCGGTACATGCGCTGCAGCGTCGACGCCGCCTCGTCTTCGGAGAACGGTGTCTGTCGACGGCGGCGCTTTGACTGGCCAGCATCTCGGAGCCACCTACAACGTCGTTTAAGTATCCAAACCACAGGAAATCGCACCTTGGTTTCGTCCACGTCACTTGCTTGGTGCGGGTGTTGTAATAATACGTGTTGCCCGTCGACGGGTCCAGTAGCGCCCGATACAGGCGGCGCACGAGCTGGGCGACCGCCATGCGACCGAGAACGCCTCGTGTCCAGCGCTGGAGGAGTACGAGAGCGTCATCTTGGGTCGACGGCCGCTTTGCCTTATGAGACACCGTCGTGCCAGGCTGTTCTCGCTTTCGCTTTCGCTGCAGCGGCAGGTCCCAGCGCGTTGCATTCGTGCACCGGTCGCGGTAGAAGGTCCGGCCCTGGCGGTCCGTGCACTGCTCGAACCGCGCGCGCAGCACGGACGCCAGCTTTTTGCGCGATTTCCACCCACGGTAGAGGCCAGCAATGACGCTTGCAGCATCGTCTTCCGTGAGCGGTGGTTTGACAAAGGCGTCGTCGGGGTCTCGTATCGGGCAGTCCATGGTGGACGGCAGTAGCGTCGGCCGCACCCACGTCTTGGCGCGGTTGCACGTGTTGTAGTAGAAGAAGGCGTTGTGACGGATCGAAAAGACGCGCTGGACGCGCTCCAGAAAGAGGCTGTGGAGAAACCGAGTGCCTTGGCGCTGCCGCCACTTGCTCTGAACCTTGCGCACGGCTTCGTACTGCGTCATGGGGCCCTCGCGCCGCCCTAAGACGATGCGAGTCGCTTCTTTGCGGACGCGAGGTACCGTGAAACTCGCGGTTGTGTTTGCAGACACGGCAGAGCTTGAGCTTGGTCAGCGTGATTTGAAACCCCGTGCAAAACCAGCAAAGTCGGCACCTGCGCGCACAAGACATTGCTGTGTCGTCATTGCCGTTGAAGGGTGAGCCTACCGCGGGTGGAGCCAGGTGTCGAGGTCGACAGCTTCGATGCGCTCGGCTTCGTCTTGGGCGGCTTGGACGTTTTCGTAGCGCTCGGCCTCGGGCTGTAGTCTACGCACCACGCAAGACCGTGTACAATATGTCATTGAACGTACCGTGGCACAACCTTGTCGGCCGACGTGAGTCGCATCTCGGTCGGAAGACGACTCATGTCGAGCTTGGGCACTTCGAGGCGCTTGGTCTGCCACAGCAAGTGGCGCGTCGGCGCTTCGTACAGCACCTCGTCGACAGGCAGCGTGCAGAAGATCGTAAACGAGGCCCCGCACGCCACTAGAGAAGACGGTGAACTTGGTGGTTACCAGAGACGACGCACGCGACGCTATCCGGCCTCGGGGTCGGTGCTTTGCAGAGAGGAGGTGCGGGAGCGGGCTAAAGGCGTCTTTGCTGCCCCACGTGTACAAATGGCCTTGCACGGTCAGCGCGGCCATGTGCTGCAAGCCACATGCAATCATTCGCACGCTCTCTCGCGGGTCGCCCGGTGACTTCATGGGTGGCAGCGGCACCATTTGGGGGCTCTGCGCGACTTGGTTGCTGCCGAGTCCCAGCTAGGCGCGCTCCATGAGACGCCATGTTTCTGCAACTCCAGCACGTACTTGGCCGTACACGCCCGTGCCCCAAGTAAACACCTAGTACGAGTCGTGATGCCGCAACGCTTCGATTTGTACCGTGCCAGCGTTCAGTGCAGGGCTCTCAGCCAAAATGGCCGCCGACTGCCACGCACTACACGCCACTGCGATCGCACAGTGGAACGGCGGCGAGAGACCTTCAATGCGCCTCGGCTCGGTGACGCGGGCGTCGCTGCTGATTAGCCCGAGGCGGCCTACCAAAGCCGTGAGCTCAAAGATGCACAGTGGCGAGACCTCCGTCGCTGCAGCCCCACGCGTACATGTCGCCCGTGTCGGTCGCAACGAGCGAGTGCATGGCGCCGCAAGCAACCTTGCGCACGTTTTTGTCCTCGAGCGCTGCGATCCGCTGTGGGGTGGACACCATCGCACTCGCTACGACGGATCTCAACCATAGAACGGCCAACGCGGTGATGCGGTACCTCCCAGCCCCAGCTGCCCATGGGCGTTGCCACCCCACGCAAACACGACCCCGTTCTGCTCCTTGACATTGTCGCATGCCGCGAGCGAGTGTTGGGTGCCGACGCCGATCGAGACAGTCGTGTACGTCTCGGTGACGCCGACAATGAACGGCCGCTGGCGCGCGCGCACGGCGTGGTCGAGGCCGAGCTGGCCGTACGGGTTGTTGCCCCACATGTACATCTCGCCCGTCGACGCGAGTGCCGCCGCATGCGTGTGGCCGACGCAGAGTGATTGGATGTGGCCCATGCGGAGCGTCTGCATCGGAACGGGCGTCACGAGCCACTGCGCTGCGTACGGGTCGGTGAAGACGTCTTGGTCCCGCAGTGTGCTGCAGAGACCGACTTGGGCGGCCAAGCCCGACGTTTTGCAGAGCCAGACCATGCCCTTGGCCGTGTCAATGGCGTACACGGCCTCCGACTCAAAGTTCTAGACGGCAATAGCGTGAGAGTATACGTAAAAGGAGAGGACGTACCGCTGCGACAGTTGATATGCTGCGACCACTGAGCGGTCGTAAGATGGTGGGCCGACTCTCGGGTGTTGCTGCCAGCACGTACACGCCGCCTTGGGCTGGCAAGATCGTTGGTGAAATGACATTATGAGAATGGGACGGTACCCTGGAGCCTCTTGTCGTTGGCTCGCGTGGCCGCTTCGAGTGCCACGTCGCGGACGTGCATGCGCAAGTCGATCCAGTGCTGGATCGACTGGATGAGCTGGCCCTTCTTGCCCGTGAACCCCGGAATCTCGAGCCGGAGCGCCAGGTCTTCGAGCTCGGTGCGCTTGAGTGCGTGCAGGTCAACCTGTTGCCAATGCGTTCGGTCGAAGAGCACGTGGTGCGCTTTGACGCGCGTCATGGCCATGCGCACGCGATAGCGGTTCTCAATGTGGCGGCACCGAGCCGCGTAGCTGCGGAAGAGCCGCTGGATCATGCGCGCCGCGACGTCTTGCTTCTTGGCGCGCATTCGCAGCCCCCATGTGAAGCGGCCTTTCTGCAGCGGGTGCTTTGCCTTCTTCTTGGTCTTGTTGCCCTTGGCTGGTAGCTTGGCCGCCGCCTGTGGTGGCGACGGTGGCGGCAACGGCGCAGCGCTGCGAGGCTTGGGCAGCGGCCCCATGCCTTTTGAACGTTTCGTTGGCGCCGATCCGCCGTTTTGAAAAGGCAGACGAATCGTCGCAGCGCGTAGTCCTATGGTACCGGTACCTACGAGCCCACCAACGTCCACGATGGTCCAGTCCTATGTGCATGCTGGTGAACCCTTATAACGCTTCGCGCCAGAGCTGGTATCGGTGGCCAGCCACAGGACTGCGCGTCTGTCACTAGGGTATTATTATTTACGGGACTATCCAGAGGGCTGTGACCTATCCTGAGACTAAACCTACCCCGCGCAATAGCGATTCCAAACAGAAAAGATCCGAAGACAGTATCTGTTGTAGAGTTGCAGAAGGAGGATATCTAGAAGACGCCGACAAACCAGCGCTGGTACTTGTCGTACCAACGCGTGCGCCAGTTGTCGAGCGACGTGTCAATGAGCTGGTGCACAAAGTCTTCGCACTCGCTGACGCTGAGCTCGGGCCGGAAGCGCTCGGCGAGCGCGTCGATCGTGCCCCGTGGGTCGCCGGCAAAGCACGGCAGGTCTTCGTTGCCGGCAATCATCATCTCGGCGAGGAGCGTGATGCGGTACCGGTACTTGCGCGCGACCAAGAACGAGCGCACGCAGAGCGACCGGAACCGCCGAAACGCCGCCGAGCGCGGGCCGCCCATGAGTTCGACAAAGTCCCCCGTGAGCTTGAAGGGCGCCGACTCAAAGTGCACTTGTCCCGGGTTGTTGCCGAGCATAAAGCCAAAGTCAATGTGAATGAGGTGGCCCTCGGCGTCCAAGAGGATGTTGCCGTTGTGCCGGTCCTTGATCTGCAGGAGGTAGCATACGATCGAGTACGCGGCGACCGACTCGACAAACGCCTTTTGCGCGGCCTGGCCCGACGACGTCGTCACGTCGCCAAACCGCGTCTCAAAGAAGTCGGAAAGCGACACAAAGTTGGGGTGGTTGCGCTTGAGCGAGTCGAGCGAGATCGTGTCGGCGATGGCCTCGACGAGCCCGGCGGTCGAGGACGTCGCGAGCACATCGTACGGCCGCAAAAACACTGGCAACTTGGCCTCCTGAAACACTTGGTGGAACTGCCGGATGAGCTGCGACGCAAACTGCTCCTGGCGCAAATCGTCGTTGGCCTTGACGATCACGGGCAAAAGCCGCCACGTCGGGAGGTGCCCCCACGGCGAGAGCGCGCGGAGCCGAGCCTCTTTCTCTTCCCAGCGTTCCTTGAAGATGACGCACGGCAGCTCGCCGTTCGAGTGCGGTGGCAGCGAGTACGTCGCTGGCTTGTCCGCCAGTAGCAGCTGGTCGTCTTCAAAGCGCGACGTGGCCAGGTACCGGTCCGTGCTGTCGACGCGCCGCAGTCGCTGAGTGGCGTGGTCGGGCGACAAGCCGTCCTCGGAATTTGTCGGCGACGTCACGTCCGTGTCCGTGTCGATGGTGACGATCGGCACTTGGATTGGCGCCGGGCGCGACGTGGTGCGCGGCGAAAACTGCGGCGGGTACGGGTAGTCGTAGCTCGACGTGCGCTGCGGCGACGTCGGGTGCAATGGCTCCAAATGCGCGCTCACGGACCGCGACGACGTAGGGCGCGTCTTGGTCAGAGGGGTCGGCGGCTTGGGCTTGAGCGTATCGAGGAGCCCGTCCAAGAGCGTCGTCTCGGGCACCGCCGCCTCGCTCCAAAAGCCGAGCTTGCCCGGGTCCTGCGCCTTGTTGTTGTCGCAAGGCGTCGGTGGCTTGCTTGCGGCGCCGCCGATCGAGAGGCGGAAGCGGTGCTTGAACTGCGCAAAGCGGTCGACGGGCTTGGTCGCGTACGAGAAATAGTCGACGACTTCGAGGCAGAGCAGGTACGGTACGCGTTCCTACGCGTATGAACCCTGAGTGTACGACGATGGCGACCGAGCAGCGTACCCGTGTGCTAAAGGTAAAGCTCTCCGAGATATGAATGCGCTTGATGCGGTGAAAGGGATTGCCGACGGGCACGAAGAGCGAGAGGCTCGGGAGGTAGAGCGACTGGAGCTCCGAGAGCCACTCGCGGAGCTGATCGTTGCGGAAGACGCGGGGAATCGCGCGAAGGCTCGACGAGAGGCCGGCGAGGCGGTTGATGAACATGGCGTTGAGCTCGAACGGGTTGGTCTGCGTCGCCGCATAGTCGCCGGCCTCCATCGAGGATAAATACGCCCGCGGTGAGAGCGACGGGAACGTCTGGTAGTGCGTCTCGTCGGCCGAGTGCACGAGGAGCGCTTCGTCCTCGGTGGTTTCGCCCCGCTCGAGCGTCGGCGAGATCGGCTCGGGCGCCTCGCCAAAGCCCTGGCGGACGAGAAGTCGCTCCGAGGCCTCAAGGCCGCGCACCGAGATCTCGTCGATGAGCATCTGCACGCGCAGGCGCTTCTCGGGCGTCGCGTACGCGGGGCTGCCGACGCAGAAGGACTCGAGGTACCAGCGCATCTTTTGAGCAAACACGTGCGACCTACATACGCATCATGACAACCATACATCTTTGGCGGTCGTGATCCTACTTGTTGCACTTGTCGAGGAGGATGAGGCTAATGTCGCCGTCGGTCGCTTGCTGAAAGGCGCCGAGGAGGAGGAAGCTGCACAGCTGCGGGATGTAAAACTCAAAATCCTTTGGGTCCTCGTCGGCCACGGCTTCGAGCCGAGCGGCCGCGTCGTCCTTATGCGCGTACACGCGCAGGATCGCGTCAAAGGTCGGGTCGGTCCGGAAGCGAAACTTGGCCATAAGCGACGTCCACTTGGCCTGCCAGTTGGCGAGCTCAATCTTCATGCGCAGCGTGAGGATGCCCTTCTCGAGCATCGAGTGCGAGTGCGAGAGCTTGGGCATGCCGGCCTTCTCGCGCAGAAGCGCCTCGATCTTCTCTTCCTCGGCGTTGCCGCGCCGCTCGCGGTCGCGGTTGCGGCCAATGACGCACAGCACTTCAAAGCTCGTCGCGAGAAGCGAGAGGCCGACGACTGTCCACCAGTACGTTGCGTGCCATGCGTCTTGGTGGTACACGCGAAAGCTCATGCTGTCGTTGACAAAGATCTCGACGAGGACGCCGAGTAGCGCGAGCACGCAGAGCTGGGCGCAAACGACGAGGAAGACAAAGAGGCGCGTCGAGCGGTACAGCGACTTGCGCGTGACGTAGACAACGTAGACGAAGAGGATCGTGCGCAAGGCCGCGAGCACGACGACGCTGGCGAGGCTCTGCTTGAAGTCGAGCGCGTTCGCCCAGTCGTGGGCCAGCACCTCGCTGCGCCCCGTGAGCGTCGGCGCGGCCACGTAGAGCCCGGCGAGGGCGAGCTCGAGGAAGAGGCCGCAGGCAGTCGACGCGAGCATGCGAATGGGCGGTTAATGCGCCAACCAGCAACCCGATGAATCCAAGATTCCGGCACTCCCGCAGCGATAAAGTGGAGGAATTGTACTTGCTGTTTGTATACCTGCGTCATTTTATTTTTCTGCACTGCGGCTACCCTATGCACTGTTCGAGTGATATCCCAATCCTCTATGCATGCATACCTCCAACATCGGATATATCCATAATACGATCCAGCCTCAAAAGACGCATGATAAAACCTTTAGGAATACATATCGAAACACAAGCGATACTTGAAGCCATGCCAGAGTCGTGCTGGCGGCTTCAACGGCGGCTGCGTGAGAAAGGTGCGTTGGGGTTGTGGCGCCCTCTTGGGTGTGCTGCTTGCGCCGTCGCCCAGCGAGTAGTATCTGCTTGCGTTAATCTGGGAGAGTATCCCGGTGGTTTCTTGCTTCAGTTCTGCAATCGTCGGCCACCCGAGTGGCCTTGGTGCATAAATACACAGCGGCTAGTAACCCGAGCCCTGGGAACGAAACACCTGCGACCCGATCAAGATGTTCGCCGTACAGTGTTAACTGTAAATACAGCGTCGTGGCCAAGCACTGGATCGCACCAGGCGGGATCGCGATTTCCAACGACGTTGCCGCTGACGCTAGCTTGAATAGAATTGCAGCTGCAGAGGACCCGTTGGTAAAGAAGAAGGACGCAGCTGCGCGATAGGAACGCGACAGCCCATGAAGAGATCGTCACAGTCCTTGGCCACAAGAACCTTCAGGTTACGGTACTTGAGCCAGCGCTGCTGGTTCACTCTGCCTTGCATTCTCACGCGGCCCTCTTTTGTGTGGACTGCTACATTGCTCTCACGGTTCACGACGACTCCTTCTTTCTCAATGAAAGCTCATGCAATTCATACATATGACGGAACTAAAGTCGATCCGTGATTGACTAGACGAGGCGCGTGGGCATGCGTCCAGACGCGACCTTGCTGCGCTGCTTGTCCAGCGTGGCCTGCAAGTTGCTCGTCGCCTTGGCGTTCGACTTGCGCTCACTCTTCTTGCCTTGCTGCATGTGCACAGCGGCAAAGAAGCACGACGTCGCGTACGACACGGTCGCAGCGACCTCCATGTAGTACGACGCACCGAGGCGCAAGCGCTGGCCCGACGGCGCTTGGCCGTTCCAAACGATGAACGCGATCGCGGCCCAGATCGTCGCGAGGCCGGTCATCATGGCGGCAAAACCCACGATGCACGACTCGTTGCGCGCGCAGCAGACGCCGGCGAGAAGGAGGCAGAAGGCAAAGGCCCCAAAGATGGGGCTCAGCATCGCGAACGCGAGTGACGCCTTGCCCTTGGCGCTGCACGTGTTGGTCAAGAAGGCATCGAACGTCGCTTCGTCAATGTCGAGCACAGTCGAGAGAAGGCGCTTTTTAGAGCCGCCGTCTTGGGCGAACGTCGCACACGCACCTTGGTTGGGCAGCACGATGGTCGAGTTGGCATCCGACGCGTTCAAGTCCACACGGACATTGCGGCTGCTGCTGTAGTAGAGGTAGCACTGCCCCGTCGTCTGCACGTTTTCATCGAGACCATGCGATCCGGACTGGAGGAACGAGACGTCGGTGCAGTAGCCCCACACGCCGGCCGTGAACGTCGCCGACGTCATTTGGCCATTGTTCGAGTACGCGAGGAGAGACCAGAGCGGGAGGCCCGCGGCGAAGGCTGAGAGCACGACGGCAGCGGCGCTGGCCGCGACGCTAAGCATTCCGACGCAGGAGCATGGCATGGTCAAGCGTTGCTGGCCGGAGGCAATTTCACAACTGCCGTGCAACAGCTCATTTTTGTCCGGATAAAATGACGTGTAACTGCTGCGGCCCTCCGCGCCGCAATTTTTTTATTTATTCTCCATACAAATAGAATATAGACATGCGGCAAAAATGTATTAAAATACGTATGTTTTTCAAAACATACAGCGACCAAGTGATTACGAGCCGATAAATTCTATTGCGCAAAACCGTCCTTGCCTCGATGTCGGACGACGTCTCGATCCTCGTCCTCCTCGACGAGTGCGAAGATGCGGTCGCGCATGTGACCGCGATGTGGGGCATGGAAATGGACGAGGAAGCGCCATGGCATGCGGCGGAAGCCATCGCCGCCGAGTGCTGGGCGACTGTTCATGCGCTCTGCAGCGCCGACGCCACGGCCTGGTGTATGGACGACAAGCCATGGTATACCGCAATACATGTGGGCAGGCGTGTCATAGACGTTGCAACTAGCAACGAGGCTGTTCCTGTGGTAGAGGCCATCCTCATCGCTACCGACGACGAGAGTAGCGAGATGCCGATCAAGAAAGCGACGCTTGAAGACGACCTGCTCGACCTGGAGATGGAGCTGTCGCTAGCCATGGCCCAGATCCAGACGGTGGACGTGGAGGCAATCAAACCATCCGCACCAAGGGCTGAGCCAACGCCACAACGAGCGTTGCCGACTGCCAAGAAGAAGAAGAAGCGACGCCGCCAGCGCTCGAACGAGACGCCGCAAAGCGTTTGGCATGGATACCAAAAGCTCACGCTGCAGTCCCACGTCGAGCGACAAGCCAAGGCCAGAGCCCAGCGCGAGGTGAGTTTGCACATCGAGCTACTCCGTGGTGGCATCTAAGGTCGTCATTTTGGCTGTAGGCGCTCGAACTTGAAGTCGCATCCGCGGTGCAGACACGACTCCAAACCACACGCGAGGTGTGGGCATCGTGCTCACAGACACTTAGACTCACCGAACTTAGCGCATGTCTCCTCCGCGAGTCGAGTTGCCGGCAGCGCGCCCACCAAAGAGCTACTTGACCACATACTACATCGAGGGACCCCGCTGCCCATTGTCGTCTCCAGTGGCAGCACCAATCAACGATGCTGGACCGCGCGACGTCCTCGTGTCTGTCTACCGCAATGACGACCGACGCACCATGACGCGCATTCTGGCTTCGTCCTGGGCGGATTTGGGTGCCAAAATCGCCTACAAACTCAACGTAGCCAACCTTGAGTTCTTCTGTCAGTTGCACGCTGACGCTGCTGTACTAGATGCCGTCCGTATGCAGTCTCTTGCGAGAAACGGCGCGCATCAGCCCCAACGGCGACTACACCAAGCTCTCGCCAGTCTCGCGGTTTGAGCAGCTTCGACGCGGTGACATTCTTTGTGCCATTCACAAACAGTCATCGGAGCCGAAAACGCGCATGGCACCGCCGCCTCGTGTGACCACGCCCAAGGCACCGCTTCGCACCATACGCGGACGCCCGCTCTGGGACAAGCACGGACGCCGGTTGGACGTCGCCATGTCGTTACATACATTAAGTTAGAGGTGGCCGTAGTATGGTATCGACGATAGCATGTCGATCGCGCCCGAATGGCTAAACGCAAAGGCTGCCAGTGCGTTCTTCTCGGCAGCTTTCTCGACTTTTCGGAGGTGCACGGTGCAGAGCCCGTGGTTCTTCGAGAGCTTCTTGCAGCCTTTGGCCGTACACAACTTGTCTTGCCGATGCACTTCGCAGTAGCCGCCGCCGCGGTCGGTGCGCACGCAGTTGGGCTCTTGGCAGCTCCGAAAGCCGCCGTGGGTCGCGCAAAAGTTGCCTCGCTGAGCGCCCTTGGTGCAGTTCTCGGCCTGGCAGCGTTTACCCCCGCCGTGCGCGCGGCAGAAGCCGCCGCCTTGGCTGCTTTTCATGCAGTTGAGGTGCTTGCATCGCGCGCCGCCGCCGTGGGCCTTGCAGAGCCCGTGGGACTGTGCGGCTTTGGCACACCCGGGCTCCTTGCACTGCTTGCCGCCGCCGTGGCCGATACAAAATTCACCGTTCTGCGACGACTTGCCACAGCCCGGCACCGAGCACTTGCGACCACCTCCATGGGCTTTGCAGTAGCCTTTGGAGCGCACGCGACGACCGCAGTTGGGCACTTGGCAGAGTGCGTGGGGCTTGGTTGAGGACGACGATGTCATCGACGCAGACGAGACACAGCGCTGGAGATACGTTGGCGCAGGCACTTTTGTGTGCGGCGAGAGCACACTCGGGTCAAAGACTTCTTCTTTGATGGACCGAGGTGTCAAAAGCTGCGTATCCAAGTCATCAAATGCCGACTGCAGAAACGAGCCGTCGAGTGGATGAAAGTGCGGCACGAGGCAGTCGTTCGGTGCGAACGCCAATGGTTCGAGAAACGCCGGGTCGATCTTGATGGGCGGCGACGACGACGACCGTGGTGGGATCGCCGAGTCGTCGAGCAGTAGTAGCTGGAGGTCCTCGGGCCGAAGCGCGCCCGGAGACAGCGTCACGCTCATTATAGGATTCAATTGCACACTGGCGCCATCTCGTATCTTTGCGTGACGCGGTAAAACGGCTGAAACCGACGCGCGCGTTGCGTCTTATCGCGGGCGGGTGTTGCGGCAGAGGCTTGTCGTCTCTTGAAACCAGAGCCTAGTTGGAGTCATGGCGACTGGCGCTTTCGGTGCTCTCGAAGAACTCAGATCTTGGCTATCCGAAATCTGTTGACATCAGGACAGGTGAAGTCATAAAGGCGGGTCTGGGCTGGTTGTATATCCCTTATCTGATCATTTGCATGCTTGCATGGTGGCGTGGTAGGAGCGGGTGCGGTGACGACATTCGTCGTTCATAGCTGTGTGGAATATGTTCTGCTGTGTCTGTGGTTTCTGTCATTTTCCTTGCTACGAGTTGCTGATAGGACAAATATTTCCATTTCGTTTGTAAAACATGGCAAGATTTGTCGTAGCAACGCACGACAGCACCCGAGTTCGCGAACGAGGTGCAGCGACCATCATTCTTCATGTGGCGGAATTTTCTCTGCCACTTTGCATTTTCATATATTTTCAAAATGGACGTCGGCGAGCACTGCAGTAACCCGGGCTGCAACCAGAAGGACTTCCTGCCGTTCGCTTGCGACTGCTGCAACGGGATCTTTTGCCTCGAGCACCGCACGTACGACGCGCACGCATGCGCCCAAGCCGGCGCCAAGGACGCGCGGGCGATCACGTGCCCGCTGTGCCGGGCGACGATCCCGCTGACCGGCGCCATGGACGTCGACGAAGTCTGGGCCGCGCACGCGCGCACGAACTGCAGCCCCGACAAGTACGAGGAAAAGAAGAAGCCCAAGGAGCGCTGTGCCGCCGACGGTTGCCGAGAAGTGCTCACTGCGTCCAACACGGTACAATGCAACTCGTGCCGGAAGAAGGTGTGTCTCCGCCATCGGTTTGAAACCGACCACCAATGCCCACGCCGCGCTACGCCGCCAGTGCGACCAGCGTCCATGCAGCAGCGCATGGGCTCGTCCGTCTCACGCCTCGTGCAGTCGGCCAAGGTAACATTCTTTTTTGGCGCTCGCCATCACTCTAGACACCAACTGTAGACGGCCGCAGCGGCGCCCAGTAAGACCACCGTCACGGCGGCCTCCGAGAGCTGTCCGATGTGCCAAGAGAAGTTTCGATACACGTCACAGCTGATTGCGCATGTGAACAAGGCGCATCCTGACAGCGGCCGCGCGCGTCCTTCGGCGGTACGCAGCGACACTGTACGTATCTTGTTGGACGATCGAAACTCGTAGGCGCCCAGAGCGAGCGCGGCGCCTGTGGCTTCGAGCGGTCAGGAGACATGTCCTGTGTGCAGGGCATCGTTTGCTGATGTAACGCAGCTCATTGCACACGCCGAGTCGGCCCACCAAGGCCAGGCGCAACAAGGCAAGGGTGACTGTAGCATGATGTAGATAAATCGAGCCAAAACCACTCACTAGACACCACATCGTTCTCTTCTTGACGTGCAACGAGGGTTGTCGTACGGCAAATATTAGCCCATTAAGCTACCAGCGAGGAGATTCACATTTGCTGAAGTCTTCGGACGGAGAATCTGTCCATGAGATCTCCCAAGCAGCTGCCCAAGCAGCCATTGCCACTGAATCGAAGTGATCAGGGCGACACTGAAGATTGGTGTTGCGGTGCAGAAAGCTGATGAGTTTGAGACGGCCTCTCGCCCGCAAGCAGCAGCGGTAGCTGCGCAACGCTGTGCAAAGACGTGCAGTCCACGCGCCAACGGACTTCAACTGCACTTCAAACGTCCAGCGTTTTGTTGAAGAAGCTGGCTCTTTCAGGCGAAAAGAAGTTGCTTCGGCGAAGAAGCATCTCGCTGTAGTAGTACAGGCATGCATGGGCGCTTGCATCTTACGTGCTCAGGACGTCTGAGGCGCTTCTCACAAAGAAACCTTTGGAATCTCGCATTGCCATTGACTGGAGGACGGTTGCCATGTCCATATCGACGTTCGTATCAGGCTCGGGTAGCAGGTTTGGTGAGGCAAATGAAGATGTGACCGAAGTGGTCGCGTGCTGTGTCGGCCCGCCGGTGGCATCCGGATATCTCGGGCGGAGGTTTTCTATCCGGATGTGAGGCGCTGGAGGGCAAATTGAATTTGCTCAAGATGCTGACGTGGGGTCTTGTCGGGGGCATCCTCTGCCTCTGGTTCTCGTTCGAGCCCGCGGTGTCGATCGCGATGCTGCTCAGCATGTTCGTGCTCGTCTCGTACGCGGCCAACAACCTCATCCTGCGCTGCTCGCCCGTGCACATGTGCCACATGGACGTCCACGACGAGCGCGCGGCCATCGCCAAAGACAAAACGTCGCCGCTCGCGTTGGCGCTGGAGAAGCAGCCGTGGCACGTGCCAGCGCTCGAGATCAGCGAGATGCTGCTCAGCAACAGCAACAACAAGATGCAGGGCGATGTCGTGCAGGGCCAGGCCATTTGGCCCAACTCGGACGAACCGATCGCGTTTGAGAACGACCTCTTCCGCGGCAAGGTGCTTTTCTTGCTGCGCACCGAGCCCGAGAGTCCGAAATGGCACCACCTCTTTGTCGGTCGCCGACGGCTCTTCTGGGTCCAGCTCCAGGGCCAATTCAAGGTGCAGCCCGTCGGCACGGTCTACATTGGCGGCGAGGTGCCACGCAAGATGAAGCTGGGCTTTGTGACCAACACGCTCGTGCGTATCCTTCTCTCGGTGCTCAACTGCCTCGTCGTCGGACTGCACTACGGTCTTGGCCACGCGTACCCCAAGGATGTAGTCGCGCCTGAGGACGAAGAGCTTCCGCACCTCTCGTTTCCACTCCAATCGTCTGTCGACGAGTTTATTTGCACGCGCGCCGGTGACGCGCCGCCAGCGCTGGGCACGGACGGGCTCGGCGAGTCGACTGACGCACGCGCGCGGCGCAAGGCGGGCACGCAGCGCTACGAGTTCAACACATCGGACACGTACTCGTTCTCGTTCTTTAGCTTCTTCATCGACTTTGAGCGCTGGAAGGTCGTCAACGTACCGGGCATGCCGGACACGAGCCTTGCGACGTTCTGGGACACCATGCCGCTGCGCATCGTCGCGTACAGCCTCAAGGCGCCGACGGGCCACCGCCATGACCGCCACGTCGCCGGCCAGAAGCAGTACTACCTCTGCTTGCAGCTGTCGCCAACCCCGACCGCAGTCCGACCTCGCACGGCCCGGTCGCTCTTTGGCCTCGACATGGAAAATGAAGCCAACGAGTTTATCAAGGACGAAGAAGCGCACCACGACCAACTGCTCTCGGAGCTGGACGTGTTTGAGTTTTGCGTGCCCGTGTGGGTCGAGTACTTTAGCACAACTGAGGGTGTCAAGGGCCCGGGCGAGCGCCGCGTCGGGTACCTCTTTGACATCCTCGAGTACACGGACGGTAGCCGGACGGTGCTCAAGAAGCACCGGTTCGCGCTGCACACGGCCGTCCAGACAAACCTCGCCATCTCGCTGGCGTCCGACGATTTCGACGCCGACGATCCCACGATCGAGTTTACGATTCAAACAAAAACGAGCTCGACCCGCGCCATTGACACGGAACGCAGTCTCATTGATGCGGCGCTGCACGACCTCGCGGTCGACGCGTCATCGTCCTCGTCGTCGCTCTCGCGCAAGATTGCAGCCAAGGCAGCCCTCAAGCGGCTGTTGACGCAGCCGAGCTCGGTGGTACCGCACGCCCCGTTCTTTGCGACGCGGCCAGGGATTTCGACCGGCAGCCAAGGACAGGTCGTACGCATGCTCTGGGACTCGCACTGGCGCAACGAGTGGCTCGTCCTCGACACGAAGAAGCACGAGGTGCGTTTCTTCCGCACGCAGTCGTCGACGCCGTGCCTCGTCATTCCAATCGCAGACATCTTTGACGTGACGCCGGCCAGCGACTACCTCAACTTGCCGCCACCCGCCAACTCGGACGGCATGTACTGGTTTGAGATTGAGACCTTGACGCGCGTGCACTGCATCGCGGTCGCGTCGCTTGGCGAGTGCGAATTTTGGCACCGCGCGATCGTCGCCGAGATGGACACGCTCTCGGGCGTCGTCATGGCCCACGATCTCGTGAGCAAGCCATATTATCTTGTCGCCTCAACCCTCGGCCGCGACCGATACCAAAATGAGTTGCACTGCGGCACGCGGGACGACGAGGCGGTCGCCAAGGACGAGCAGCGGCGCATACTCAACGACCGGCGGATCGGCGTTCGCTTTGGCGCCTCGGCCGATCTAGATGTCTGCGACGTTGTCGAGCAAGCGCTGCGGATGGCGATTCTGCTGCGCCAGCACCCGCAACTGTGTCTGACGCATGAAGTGCTCATGTTTTTGGACGTCGTCGCGAGCATCAAGCAAGTCAATGCGACCTTGACGCTCTTTGCCATGAACAGCCCGGACCGCACCGCGTTCTTCCTCAACTTGTACCACCTCCAAGTGCTCCACGGACACTTCTTGGACCTCCTCCCGCATTCGAAAGCGACGTGGGCCACGTTCTTCAACAGCGTTGCGTACGACGTCTCGGGCTTGCTGTTTACGCCGGCCGAGATCGAGCACTGCATCCTCCGCACATCATTGCCGCCGTTCAAGGCGCCCTTCCCGCGGCCATCCTGGTCAACGAGCGACCCGCGAACACCGCTCGAGGTCCGCGGCGCCGACTACCGCATGGTGTTTGCTCTCAACCCGACGACACGTTCGAGTGTGAGTGTCGTGACCGTCTACCGCGGCTTTGCGCTCGAGCACCAGCTCAACTTTATGGCGCGGCTCGTGCTCTCGACGCTCGTGTCGGCCGACATGCGCAAGCACATCATCTACCTCCCTCGCGTCTGCGAATGGTACGCGGCAGACTTCCCCGGCCACCATAATGTAAGCAACGTGGTTCGGACGCTCGTGAGCTACCTCGACGGCGACTTGAAGGGCAACGTCGAAGCGCTCCTGAGCCAGCCGAGCAAACTCGCCATCAAGTATTTAAACTACGACTATAGTTTCCACGCGACAGTCCAACTCAGCAACTGGAAGGCGCAGCCGTCGACCGCGACCGCCAGTTAACAAATCAAACCCACTCGATTCTACTTTATTTCTAGTCGTTTTGGGATGGTCATCGGAAATCTACTGATTAACATTGCCGCTGCATGTGGTTGAGTCAGAGGACGTAGTTGTATAATAGTCGAGGCGGCTGTATCTCGCAATCGCAGCGCGTTGGAGAGACAATGACTCGGCGGCTCTCAGCCCGGCCAGCTCCAACGGCTGCAACCTCAGTCGGCGCGATACTCAACACCAGCTAAACAGCGACTAAACCGCATTGCCTGGGTGGGTTGAAGTACTGAATACGACAATTCGAAATCTCCCGAACCGCATGCAACGTAGCACCAAGCCAGCCACGTCGAAGGTCGACAAGCGAGAGCTCAAGCGCCAATACGACAAGAAATACCGCGCCGAGAAGCGCGAGCACCGCGCCGCCATGGACCGCGCCCGTCGCCTCCGGCTGAAACGCGAGAAGCTCCAGGCGCAAGGCCTCGATCCGCCGAGCGACGTTCCGCTCCCGACGCCATCGACGACCAAGAAACCGCGCTGCAAGAAGAAGACAAAGGCACCGCCAACGCTTCCGACGCTCTTTGCGCTCCGCGAGCAGAAGACGCGGGGCAACCGTCGCATCTTTTTCGAGCTCCTCGACCAAGAGTACGCGATGCTCAAACTCAACCCCAAGTGCAAGCAGTGTCAAGGCCACGCCAGCGTCGTCAAGGCCAAGACCTTTCCGGCGTCACCCTATGCGACGATCGGCCCCGTGCTCTGCGAGCTTTGCTTCCAGGTCATGTTCCTCGAACACTGCCACGCGCGGGAACGGGCAGCTGCAACGTAGCGCCTCCATCGACGCCTCTCTGGCAACGTCCACCGGTGGACTGCAGCATCCTCTTGATAACGAAGGACTTGACATTACTTTTTACCCACTATAGTGTCCAGAGCTGCGCGGTCGGGCCTCGCGGCGCCACAGACGTTTGCGATGGGCTTGGACTTCAAGGTGGCGGAAACATCGACTAAACGACTAAACGACTACAAAGAGGGGGAACCGGATAAAGCTGTCCGGAAATGCGTGTCGAGAAAGATCGCTTTTTTATTGTTTCATCCATCATCATACAAACATCCAATGAGAATAAAAAATGGAGTTGAACGAAGCTTGCGCGCAGTTGGCAATTTGCGCGCGAAGCCCGAGATCGCAGCGAGACCGATGGCGCGCGAGAGACCGACGACGACCAAGGACGAGCGGAAGAAGGCTTCCCAGAAAGCTTATTACGAAGCCAACAAGGAGAAGATGAAGGCTTGGATGAAGGCTTGGCAAGCGAAGAACAAGGATTATTTAAAGGGTTATTACGAAGCCAACAAGGAGAAGAAGAAGGCTCAGATGAAGGCTCATCGCGAAGCCAACCGCGAGTTCAGAATCGCCTACGAGCGAACGCAGTACACCACGACCTCTCCTCGCTCTCCTCACGACGATCCATGCTTCGTTTAGGCGTTTGAGGAAGAAGGCGATCGCGGCCGGCGAGGTCCCACCGCCGCTGCCCACGCTCAAGGCATGGCGGGCTGCTGCGACGACCGCGTCAACAACACCAAAGGTGACAGCAAAGCCGCCTGCAGCGTCCATCGTCCGACGCGCGACGGAGCAGAGCGTCGTGAAGCCTGTGTGGCTACCCCCGGTCGTGCCGTCGACGCATCCGCTGCCGTGCTGTGAGAAGTGCGCGACATCCGAGGCGGCCAAGACCAACGCGGCGACGCTGACGTCGGAAAACAACACGGCGTACCCGAGCGGGCCGTATTTGTGCCACTTTTGCGACACGTTTATGCTCCTGCGTCGCATCGGCGAGCTGCCCCCGCGCCCGATCCCGCGCACGACGCGCAGCGTTGCCAAGGCCAAGGCCAACGCACCGTACCTCGAAGAGTGGATCCTTTAGCAGACCCAACCAAGTATTGCGTTGAATAGTGCGACGAATGATGCATTTAGCTTTGGATCCATTGCTGCATTGACATTGACAGGGTGAAACCAATGGCAGACATTCGATTTGATAATATCATCGGTTCTTGCATGCAGGAAACAAGGGACCAAGAACCAGTTGGTCAACCTCGAGGTATTTGACGACGCTGGGCCGATCCAGCAAGGGAATCAACGCCACCTTCGCTTGACGTCCAGCGCTATGACCGATCAACTATCATGGATCAACTGCTGCCGTTGCGTTGGCATTCTTGTTTCATTCCGGTGAAGATGGAGCGTCGCATGACGCAACCAGCTGGTGCGTCGATGCACGACGTCAAATGAATCGCGCCGTTCGCGATGGCTTACGTGATCGTATCACATGAGCTCTGCGTTCCGCCAACGACTCGCTTTGAACAGTTCACCCCGTTGCGACTCGATCAACCTCGCGAGCTTCTGCAGTCGGATGCTCATCAGCTCGATCGCATCTGAAGCCACGTTGCTTGAACACTGGACGCTCGACAAACAATCTAAGTTAACGTAAAACATTAACTCGCAAGTGCGATACGTTGAAGCTCAAAGAGAGAAGAGACGAAAGAAAGGTGAGCTGGACGGAACCCATGGTCAACCTTGGGACGGCGTGCTCCTCAAAACTTGCCGCTGCTGAACCTCCAGATAGGACGTATGGGACTTCAAATATTTTGGCGAAACAGTCTCCAAACACCAGAATTTCGAGGTAAAATTGTACCCGTAATGTATTCGCTACGCTGACGATCTCGTCTTCACGTGCAAATTGAAGACAGTGGAGGACGTCCTCGCGCCGGACCCTTCCACAGAAGTCGTCGTCGGCGGCAAATCCCCAAGGTTCTTGAATTTCGCTTCTCGATGCAGATTGGTCAAGTTGTTTGCGACATGCGAGCACGCGACGATTTCATTGGTGCACGCATGCTAAAAATAGAGGGCGAAGGCGAGAGAAGCCGAGGATACGGCAGCGGAAAGGACACAAAGTGCAATTTGAGCGAGAATGGAGAAGCAAGCATGGCACGCGCCGTCGCTCAACATCTTCGACATGGTGCTGCCGACCGGCGACAAGGTAGAGCTCCAGCGCGGCCAGGCCATCGTCCCCAACGCGGACACGCCGCTCGAGTTTGAGAACGAGTTCTTCAAGGGCAAGGTGCTCTTCCTCCTCAAGACGCAGCCCGCGCCGCCCAAGTGGCAACAACTCTTTCTCGGTCGCCGCCGCCTCTTTTGGATCCAACTCCAAGGCCAGTTCAAGCAGGAGCCGCGCGGCCTCGTGTACATTGGTGGTGAAGTGTCCAACAAGCTCCGCCTCGGTCTCCTGGCGACCACCATGTGTCGCGTCATTCTCTCCGTCCTCAACTTGCTCGTCGCTGGCCTTCACTACGGCTTTGGCCGCATGTACCCTACGGATGTCCGTCAGCGCGGCGATGAGGAGCTCGCTCACATTAGCTTTCCGCTGCATTCGTCTGTCGACGAGTTTGTGCGCACACCGGCGGGCCAGACGCCGCCGCCGCTGGGCCAAGACGGCTTTGGCGAGACGGAAGCCGATCGATCGGCGCGGAAAGCGGCGAAAGGACGGTACCAGTTCAACACGCGCGACACGTACACGTTCTCGTTCTTCAGCTTCTACATTGATTTCGAGCACTGGCAACTCGTCAACGTCCCCGGTGTCCCGGACGTTCCGCTCGAGAAATTCTGGCAAGCGATGCCGATGCGCATCGTAGCGTATAGCATTGCGTCCGCGACCGACATGTCGACGAAGAAGCCGCACACACACAGCGAGAAGCAGTACTACATGAATATGGAGCTCTCGCCGACGCGGCTCCGAAGCGTCTAACGCGCGCCCATTATAGCGCAGTTACCAACTACTATTAACGCAAATTATTTCTTCTTCTCTGATCGCAGAGCTCAACGAGACGCGCAGATACGTCCCGTACAACGATGCATGTTCATGCCTAGAGCATGGTAAAGTCGATCCTGTATCAGGTACCTGGGCAGTGCTTACACGACGTACAGTCTGTACGCTCCTTGACGAGCTGCCTTGACCCCTGTGAGACCCACGTGTCCGTGGGATCCCCAGAGGCTTCGAATTTCGACGGAATTCTTTTTTCGAACCCATGCTTATTGGTGCAAACCCCTTGAAGATTCACCCTTTTCGCGATCCCATTGGCTCTTCGATTTTTGGGATCCATGGAAGAGTGAAGGCCAGCGACGTCCAAACGGTCACTTGTTTGCACACAACTTTGCAATGTTGGCGGGCGTCCTCGAGAAGCAGCCGTGGCACGCGCCGTCGCTCAACATCTACGACATGGTGCTACAGAAGGGCAGTAGTGCGCTTGAGCCGACGCGCGGCCAATCGATCCTCCCAAACGCAATGACCCCGTTTGAGTTTGAGAACGATTTCTTCAAGGGCAAAATCCTCTTCCTCCTCAAGACGCAGCCCGAGCCGCCCAAGTGGCAGCAGCTCTTCACGGGGCATCGCCGCCTCTTTTGGATTCAGCTCCAAGGTCAGTTCAAGCACGAGCCGCGGGGGTTGGTGTACATTGGCGGCGAGGTTCCGAACAAGATGCGACTCGGCTACGTCACATCGACGCTGTGTCGCGTGCTCTTGCCGATCTTGCACTTGCGTGTCTCGGGCTTGCACTACTGCTTCGGACGTCTCCAAGCACCAGACACGGCCAAAGAACTACCCCACATTAGCTTTCCATTGCATCTCTCGGTGGATGAGTTTCACCGGACGCCAGAGGGGCACACGCCACCGCGCTTGGGTCAAAATGGCTTTGGTGAGACCGACGACGAGCGCGCGGTGCGGTATGCCGCCAAGGGCGAGTACGCGTTCAACACACGCGACACGTACACGTTTTCGTTTCACAGTGAGTACGTCGATTTCGAGCGCTGGCAACTCGTGAACGTCCCCGGCCTCCCGAGCGTGCCGCTTGAGACCTTTTGGGAGACAATGCCGATGCGGATCGTGGCGTACAGCATCGCGTCCGCGACCGACATAACGTCGCCTTTACCCCACACGCAGCTCGAGAAGCAGTACTACATGAACGTCGAGCTCTCACCGGCCAAGTTTGCCGTGTGAGGACCATTGACGAGACGTGCACTTGTATTTTGGTCTGGGAGAATAAATCATTGCTAGAGAATTGGAGTTGTCGTTGGCAGTTGACGTGGCGTTAAAGGGCGAGCAAATAATGTCCTCTGACCCTTGGGCTTGTTCACTTTGTGCTCAGAGACGACAAGGAAAGAAGCACTGAACGTCGAAGATCCCATTGTCATTGGCGCAGATTCTATTGGGGCAAGTACATGATACGTCGGTCCATGCTGCGATTCAAGATATTCGCGTGTATAAGAAACTCATTTCTCATTGAAGGAGCTCGCAGCAACGAGATGACTGAGAGAGCATCGATTCTGGTGATTCAGCCGCAGTAGGCTCATACGACACTAAACGTATCGAGGTCCATCGGGTGGTGCTGGTTGGATGCATATGGCTCCGCTTTCTGCACAAAAGTGTCGTTGCGCGGCGCGTCGTTGTAGCGCAAGTCGAGCAGCCGCAGCGCTCGGTGGAGGCCATTGAGGACGATGCCTGTATCAGTGTTCTCCATCATGAGTGCTTGGAGCAGTGCATGCTTTGCGTCGTCTTTGGAGAACTTGGGTGCTTCTCGCGTCGGCGGCTTCCTGTCGGCGTGGTTGGTCATAGCGACGACGGCCGCAGCCACAACCGCGAGGGTCGGCGGCGTCGCCATGGGCGGGATCTTGGTTTCTTCCAGCGCCGTCATGAGCGTGTCTTCTTCGTCTGGCGTCAGCATCATACAGCAATCGTACATCGCACACGGCTCGACGTTGTTGCTTCCCGGTGGCATTCGGTCTTCTACTAGTACACCACGTTGGTGAAACGTGGCTTCGTTAGCACAGGCGGGTACCGTGGGCGCCACCGAGATGCATCGTCACGTGATAGCCGTTCTCGATGCGCGCAATGTCGTACACGAGCTTGAGGTACCGGTCGCGCACGGCTCTGGGCGTCTTGTTGGGGAACTGCACCGCGACCGCTTCCCAGTTGTAGCACGTTGCGTTCGAGTGGGCGGCGAGGAGCTCTTCGAAGCGCGCGTCGTCTTCACGACTCCACTTGGTATCGACTGCCTGCATCGCTTGCATCTCCTTGCGCTTCTGCGTGTTGAGCATTTGGAGCTGCAGAAAGTACCGGTTCGCGTGGAGCTGGACGTCCTTGTCGGTGCGACTGCCGACATGGTCGGCGATGAGGCCCCAGACCGCGGGCGTCGGCGTGCACTGACCGACCTTTTCGAGCGCCTCGAGGAACCGCGCGTGCTCGTCCGCGCTCCAAAAATGCGGCGAAATCGGGTTGAAGACCTTCGTGCCCATGCGACCGCCAATTGAAGAGTCTCGATCTTGGAAAGAGGCGCGCTTTTTATTTCCGTTTTTTTGTTTGCTACAAACAACAAGTACAGAAATTATAATTGCTCGAATTCGGTTCAAGTAGGACTTTTGAAACCGATTTCGGCCAATTCGGACATGGACCGCGTCTTGACGGCGACCCACCGCGGGCTGGCGATGAGCAGCCTCCTCGAGACGACCCCCAAGGTCTTCGTCGACGAGGTCTTCCGCCCCATGATGGCCTACGTCTACCAAGACCCCATGGAGACGACGCTACCGGACGAGCTAAAGGAGGTACGCCAACGTCGCGATCAGGGTCAGCGAACGAACGTCTCTTCATGGATAGGTCGTCCACGCAACGGATGCGAATCGTCGACGAAGCTTGGGTCACATTGCCATGGAAGAGCTCCTGCATGCAGCCAACTTGCTCGCGAGAGATGAAGAACGTAAAGGCTTTCTTGCCGTCACCGAGGTTCACGCAGTGTAGGTCTTGTCGAAGCGATTGCAACGTACTGGGACATCTGCAGCGTTGCGACGGACGACATACCATGGTTCATCGACCATGTGCTCGACATGAAGCTCGCAAAGAAGGCCAAGCGCCAGCTCCTCCAGTGTACCCAGCGTCGCCCCCACTTCTCCGCATCTGTACTCCTCCTAGGTGTCGCCGAGTCGGACGCCTCCGACGACGCCAAGCGTGACTTTCTCCTCGCCATGATGCAAACCGACTCGCTTAGGTAGACACACCGCAAAGGCAAGCGCTAGGATCACTGACATGAGGTCGTAGTGATACCCGCGAGCAAGCGCTCAAGCACTTGGTCACGATGGATCTCGTTGACGCATCGGCCATCCATGCGCTGGCCCATCAGCTCCGGGACAAGTCCAAGCGCGTACGTCTACATTCTATTCACTCGGAACGCAAGGACAATGAGCACTAGGTGCAACGGCTTGCCTTCACCTCGCTCCTCTCTGTACGGGCGAAACACGGTGAAGGCGTCCACCTCATATCTGTATTAGATCGCCCCGGAAGTAGAGCGATGAAAGTATTGACTGCATGCGCGCTGACGTTTGCACGCAGATGATTGTGGGTCATCTTGAGTCGACACTCATGGCGCAAACCATGGGTCTTCTCTGTGTGCTGAATCAAGACGTGCCATCCCAAGGCGACCACGAGCTCCTCGGTCGCTTGCGTACGTCGGTTTGCAGTACGATATTGGCTCAAGAGATGTAGTGGTCGTCTACTGCACGTGGCCTCAACAAACCATGCAAGCAACCTGCTCCAAGCTCCTCGCACTCGACGCGTATCCGAGTCCAGTATTGCAATCGCTCGTCCGCGACCACATTCGGCGTCTCGTCAGCCGAGTTTGAAAAATGAAAGCAAAAGGTTTCGCTTTAGACGAGCGCAATGCCTTGGCGCTTGAAGAAGCGGACGCCGAGGAGGATCAAGACCATCGAGATCGAGACGGACGAGCCAAGGACGCCCCAAAAGAGATGTGGTGTTGTCTCGTAGCCAGAGACAAGATTCATACCAAACGAGCTGGCGACGAACATGGCAAAGTTGAGGCAGAGCATGATGAGGCCGAACATCGTGTCGATCGAGAGAAGCGAGTTGCGGACCGCGTCCATCTTGAGCATGACGACGTTCTCCGTGTTGGCCATGCGCTGCTGGATGAGACGGACTTTGGCGCGCATCGAGTGAATGTCCTAATAGGTCTTTTCAGCCCCCGCCTTCTATTCGCTTTGCACCTGTAGGTACGCTTCGAGGAGAGCTTCGGCTTCTTCCGAGTCGAAGGCAAACATTTCCCGCGTCATGTACGGGTTCTCGTACATCTAAAGACGGTATACCAACGCTGTGTGGTGGTGCCAAGTACCTTGGTCAAGTACATCAGCTTGAGGTCCTGTTCGTTTTCCAGCAGCTCCATGAGCACGCGCCGAAGGCCCGTGACCTGCGACTCGAACTCGTTGACTTTGTTCTTGAGAATGTGGAGCACTTCGATCTCGCCCGACGAGAGTTGCGCGCCCGCCAGGCGATTCAGTGCCTCCGAGACGACAGAGATGAGCCGCTCACAGTCCGAGCTCAGCATCCTAACGTAACCTTGTGCTGGCGACTAGAACGAACCATGCAACATGGGTAGCGTACTTGGTGAGCGAGTAGAAGATGGCTTCGAGCGCGCTAGGCATCAGTAATTCGAGCGTGCCATAGGTGACGAAGATGCATACCGAAACTCAAAGTGAATATGGCCTTCTTCCGACTTGGAAAGCGCCATCTTGTTGCGAAGGAGCTGGATGAGCGTGTCGGCGCCGTTGGGTACGAAGAGCAAGCAGCAGTCGCGCATGATGACGCCGCGCAAAGGATCTACGCCAGGGTGCCACGTGTCCCGAAGATAGTATCGAAATGCCACCTGCGTTGACCAAAAGAACTTGCTTCCGCACCGCGATCGACGGCTCGTTCGTCGCACTGAACGTGTGGTCGAGCTTGCGCAAGTCGCGCATGTGCAGTGCCTATTGCCACTGCGTCGTAGGCCGTCACAAGCGGTCGATGTAGATCAACCTGCACTTCGCAGACTGCTGACGGGGCCATGGCGACGCTCGCGCGCTTGCGCACAGGTCGAGAGTGCTTGGCATAGCTCGATGCGTCGTGTCGCATGTCGCTTGTGTCGTCCTGGGAACAGAGTATGACGCCATGATGCATGGCGACGTGCTGTACCTTGCTAAAGCGCTTGGCGCTCGAGTGCTCCTGGACGATCTGCATGACGTCGGCGCGTGACAACTCGGTAAACGACATGACGCCATGCTCGTCAAACTTGACCACCTATGAGAGAGCTTGCTATGTCATCCAGCTAGGGCAGAAGAGGCGAACGAGCTTCTTGGAGTGGGGTGTCTCTTCTTCGTATGCAATGCACTGCTCGTGGCTCGAGCAAAAGTCTTGCTCGATGAGCGTCTTGGTCGGTGTGTTGATCTGCTCCGCCAGCCACGACGTCTACCCACGCGTAGGGTGATGGAGCCACGCTGCATCTTCATATATACCTTGGTCGCGAACGAGCCGTAGCTGACGGCCGTCGGTCCCTTGAGCGCTGCATGGTGCTCGGCCATCCTGCGACCGCAGACGAAAAAGATATCTTTGCAGAAAGGCCGGTTGCAAGTCGCAGCTTCGAATCCTGCGAACGAATACTAGTCCCCAGTATGTGAATTCGAAGTTCAGAGTCACGAAAGCCGTTGGAGATTCCGATCCGAGCGCTTGAACTCGTGATGACAACCATCTCTAGCGATTGCAGTGGCACAGACCGAGCCCCTTTGGCCAAACACGCGCGTGAAGATGAAATGCCTGCACTTTCTAAGAGGTCGCTCGCATCCGACAGGCACGCGTTGGAGCTCTATCGTGGCACATCGTGGCCAAGACGAAGTTCGAAGACCAGAAAGATACGCCAACAACGGAACATTCGCCGTTCTTCCACCTGGCAAGCGGCGTCGAGATGGCTTGGCTCTCTTCCGGCGCGACCAACGACGAGCTGGCGCTGGCTCTGCGAGGTAAGCGCGACGCGTGTAGCTCGTCTTACGTGGCGCTAGACCACGATGTGATCAAATCCGATATGGTCCTGGCGGCGTTTCAAGCGGTGGACCGTGGCCTCTTTGTGCCCCGGACCATGGTCGAACGCGCTTACAACGACTACCCGATTCGCGTCGGCTCCATGCACCTCAGGTAGGCTTCGTCTCGGTATAAGGCTCTGCTCATGGCGACGCAGCGCGCCACACATTTATGCGCAGGTGCTGGAAGCATTCGATCTCTTCCACGGACTTTCGTTCCTCAACCTTGGCTCGGGCAGCGGGTACTTTTCGTGCTTGGTCGGCTCTGTCATTGGCAAGGTAGATGTCCTGATTGCTGTTCCATGGGTCTCATGGGTGCCAGGATGCAATCAACCACGGGCTTGAGATCGATCCAACTGTCATTGCCGCTTGCCAGCAATCGTGTGCGACCTACGTAGCGCAGCGCTCGCCGCCATCGATGGCTTCACACGATGCGATCATGCAAGCAGACAACGATGACAACAACCGCGAGGAGACTGGCGCGCCAGAAGAGTCGAGTGACGACTACAGCGTGCCCCATGTTGTGCAAGGCAGCATCTACACGATGGAGTGCGCCGCCAACGTCAAGTACGACCGGTATGCTCTCGCCCGCAGTACATGCATTAATCGATGGCACAGCATCTACGTCGGCGCCGGTGCCCCCGAGAGCCTCATCGCGACGATCCACGCGTTGCTCAAGCCGATGGGGATTGCGATCGTCAGTGCTGTGGACACTAGTGCAGTTGTGCGAGATCGAGGTGTAGGGTCCGTTTGGCGACAAGCTGCTCAAGATCCGGTCGCGCGAGGACGGCTCGTGCACCAAGATGGTGTTGACTGGCGTGCACTTTGCGCCGCTGCGGGACGACAACAACACGTCTGCCAAAGTCTGCTACTTTCCGCCGCAAGGTACGTGTTCAGGTAGCCCATGCGACTCCTTACACTTGTCAACGCTAGTGTGGACGCTGCAGCTGCACGCAACGTACCCCCGGGCTTTTCGAGAGGCCGTCGCAGCGCTGTATCCAGCACAAGATCGACTTCCGGCGATGGTGTGGTTGCGGCTCTTCGAGTACGCCTTAGGGTTTGGGTTACCAAATGCTCACGAGAGCTGTACTAGAATGCTGCCGCAAACATGGTTTGCACCGGAGCGTAGTGCGACAGAGAAGCTGCGATTCCTCCTCGAGCGTACGTGTTGAGCACGAATGCTCGACCACTAATGGGCCGTAGTGGAGACTTCGGCACGGGAAGAAGCCGAAACACGCGCTGTGAAAGCAGAAGCCGAGCGTGACCAGTACCGACTGGTCATGTGGCGCCAGCAAAACCAGATCCAGGCTCTTTTGGCGCAGTACGACGTCGGGGTAGCTATGTTGGTAGCTCAGTTTGCAGTGTAGAGTGCAAGCACAGGCGTCCCGCCCAAGCACGGACGATGAGGACGATGCAATGGTGTCGGCCGACCACGTGGAGTGAGCTGTCGAGCTAAGTTGATGAATATTGTCTTGTTTGTATGTTTGTATCGCGGTGTTGCCGTGTCGTGAAGACGCATCGACAGGCAAAAGCATACGTACGAGTGGATTCTTTAGATGATGACTCCTCGACTCTTGAAGAAGGCGATACCGGCGAAGATGGTGACGGCCGAGAAGCCGATCGTGGAGAAGAGGACGGTGATGAACGCCCCCGGCGTGGCTTCGAGGCCGGACGTGAGGTTCATGCCAAATGCGGCGGTGACAAACATGCCAAAGGTCATGCAGACCATGATGAGCGTAAAGATCATGTCGGCGGTGAGGAGGTAGTTGCGCACCGCGTCCATCTTGAGCATGACGACGCTCTCGGTGTTTTGGATTCGGTGGAGGATGAGCGCGACCTTGGTCTTGGTCGAGTGAATGTCCTACCGTCTGCACTCGATACCATTGCTAGGGTATGAAGTTATGTACTTGGAGGTACACTTCGAGGAGCGACTCGGCTTCTTCCGCGTCGAACGTCCAGAGCTCGTTGAGCATCAGCGGGTTTTGGTACAGCTACTCGCGCGTTGACGACAAAGATTCGAGACGAGTCGACGTACTTTGGTCAAATACATCAAGTGCAAGTCGACTTCATTGTCCAGCACCTCCATGAGCACACGGCGGAGTCCGTTGACCTATGAGCAACAATTCGCTTAGAAAATACAATCCCAAGCCATGGCACCTGGGACTCAAACTCGTTCATCGCGTTCTTGAGCGTCCGCAGTGTCTCGAGTTCGCCGGACGACATTTGGGCGCTCGCAAGTCGCTCGAGCGAGCTGTTGACGATCGGCGCCATCTTAGTAAAGTCGTCTGCGAGGAACCTACGCTCCCGTGTGGACACCCAATTTTGCGGCAAAGTGTACTTGCAGACGGTCGCAAGGATGGCTTCTAGCGCGCTATGTACATTTCAAGGGTAAGAAAAAAGAGGAAGAGTGCGCAGTACCGAAACTCGAATGGCATCTCCGAGTCCTCGTCGTGGATCGGCTCTTGGAAGCGCTCGGTCAACAGGTGCACGAGCGCGTGGTGCGGGTCGGGGACGAAGAGCAAGCAGCACTCGCGCATGATCACCGACCGAATCGGATCTACTGGCTTGGATCAGTACAACACTGTGATGCATACAGGCGACGTGCCCGCGTTGATCAAGATGGCCTGTTTGCGCACGACAATGGACGGCTCGTACGACTCGACGAACGCATAGTCGAGCTTGCGCAAGTCCCGCATGTGCACAGACTACGCACCGCATCAAGCTTCGAAGCTAACCGATGGCGAACCTGCGCGTCCGAGTGGGGCAGGCCCATGCCAGCGTTTAGGCGCGGTGACGAGAGGTGCTGGTCGTCCTTAGGCGACCGCGGCGATGGCACCTCCATGGCGGCTTGCTGCGTCATCTTGAGGACATCGGAGCGGCGCAGCTGCACGAGGCTCGCCTTGCCGCTCACGTCAAAACGCAGCACCTACGAGCGGAGTGTTGACGCCGCCAGCCAGAGTTGGCAGTGTCGTACGTCCTGCAGCCCGGTCTTGAGGAAGGACTCGTCCGAGAGCCGCGACGTCGCCCGCGTCGGAAGCTGGTCGACGGTGACGATCTCCTTGAGCGAGCGCGCGTGGACTTGAACCCACGAGCCGGCGTCGACCGGCGGCTTGACGAGCGCCTCGAGCGTGCTGGCCATGGCGGTCGGTATTCGATATTCGGCTGGAAGATTTTGCGATCTTCCGGATACGGTATAGTTATCCGGATCAACGGGCCGATGCGGTTTCGCGCCATTTTTGCACAGGCAAGCGAGACGTCCAGGATCTGGGGTCTGTCGGTTGGTAGAAGAGACGAGATGCTTGGCGACGATGGTGGCATATCATTAAAGCACAGTAGAAACAAGGTTTAGTGAATTTTGCTTTGCAAAGTTGGTCATCGTGGTAGTCCAGGATCACTTCGTCCTCCCTCATTAGCGCACAAGCGGGAGCTTTGGGCCAGCGTTTTCTCGTTTGTCGAGGCTAGGGTACGTAAAGAAAGCCTGCTTTGCTTTGCGTGAAACCTCCATGGCGGGCTGCGAATGTTACTCTTTCATTTTGGTCCGCGTGCGGCATGGACGCGACGCCGTTCGCACAGGTGGTGACGCCAAGCTTCCGCCGGACAGCAACCAAGTCGTCGGACGCCCACGATATCATCCTCGTACCCGACATGCTCGCGAGCCGCCACCGCGACATCCTCTGCACCGCCGAGCCCCTCCCACGCAACGGCAAGCGTTTGGTGGGCATTTGGCTTTGCAAGTTTTGTTGTTTCTAGGGCAATGTCCATAGGCGCTTCGGTTTGCGGACGACGGCAGCGTGAGCTACGAAGAGATCTCGCGCGCCGACGTACTTAAATTGGTGCAAGCGAACGCGAATGACATGTCATTGCAACGCCACCAGGTCCAAGCACCTCCACATGTACTAGTATCTCTCAATCACCAGTGTATACTGGCTCCCAATCCCCGGCAGCGACCCCCGCCGGCGCAGCAAGTCCTTAGGTCTACCCATCTTTGGCACCAGCGACGTGGCGGTACCGCCGCTTGACAATATCGCAACACTGAGACAACAAGTAGAGCATTCATGTGCGAGACATGCGCAAGCTCGACAGCACGTTCTCGATCTCCAACGAACCGTCCTTTGTGGTTCGCAAACAAGCCATCTTGATCAACACGGGTATTTTAGCACGCTTGTGGCCTTGATGTGACTCTCTTGCGTAGACCCGCTTCGAAGCGTGGTGCTCCGCAATTGCTGCTACGTATTTTTGCCCGACGGGGCGGACGGGCTCATCTCGACGCTCAAGCAGCACTTCAAGGAACCCATCTTTGGCAACGACCCCAAATCGATGCCGTTTGAGTTTCGGTACAGCGCAATGGTTTAAAATGACGTGTACATGAACGCGGTGTACAGCGCCCTAGAAGCCATTTTGGCGACCATGGTTCGGTACGTCTTTGATTTTGCCATCAAAGAGGTGTGTATATAACGTTGTTGTATGGCAGGATGCTCACTGCGGACTGCGACCGCGTGATCCCGATCGCTCAAACGGCCATGGACAAAATCTCCCAATCCCAAGTGCGAACCAAAGAACTCGAGCGCCTCCGAACCCTCAAAAACGTTCTCAACGAACTCAAATCACAGGTATCATCTCACTGCATACATGTATGGGCTGTGATTGAGTTTGAGCGCAGGTCAATGGTCTGCATCGGATTTTGATCGAGACGCTCGAAGATGAGTACACGCTGCATTACCTCTACTTGACCAAAGTCCGGTCTCGTTTCCATCCAAAGCAAGCTAATGCGGCGTATAGATGATGGACACGCCGTGCTACCTGCCGGATGGCAGTTGGAGCTACGACTCGGAGTACGCAGAAGCCCTCTTGGAGACCTATTTACAGGTAGCCTTTGACGCTACTGGAGGGATCAGAGTTTACAGTTGAGATGCATGGCTAGGAAATGTACAACCAGCGAGCGCGCATCGAGCTCACAATGAACAACATTGAGAACACCGAGAGCATCGTCATGATGCAGCTCGACGCGACGCGAAACTCGCTCCTCTCGGTCGACTTGTCGCTGACGTCGTTTACAACATTTATCAACGTGTCCACCTTTGTCACGGGCGCCTTTGGCATGAACTCAACTCGAGCCTCCAAGAAGTCGACGGGCTCTTCTTCATCCTCTTGGGAATCCTTGCAGTCTTCCCCTTCGTCGCGTACATTTGCTTCAAGCTCTACTTTCTGAAGCGCGGGATTGTCCTCTTGGGCTAAGACGCGCATGGAGCGCTTTGCACGATTCAACGCGACATGATGTGTGCGCAATTCAATACATTTGAGACGCATGGAGTGATTCCCGCCGGCAAATCTCGGTATCTTTCCGAGATTTTGCGTTTTGAATTTTCAAAATTGGAACGACTGGAACGCCACCAGCTGGCTCGCAACCCTCCATATAATTATCGAAATCGTCTCAAATACTCGGTACATTTAGCTGTTGACGGGCGACCTCTTGTGAGGTACACAACACTGCGCAGGTGAAGTGATCGCATCGATAAGAAGGGCCTACTGTATGAACAGTGTGAAACATTCCGGTACAAGGCAGCTGAGAATCGCTGTGACGCGGTTGGGGTTCTGCTTGCCCGGGCGAAATGAGACAGTGACGAGAAATCATACTTCCTGTAGCACAGACGTTTGGCGCTCGGTTGGGACACCCAACCTCTTGATAGCTGGGTTTTAGTATACCATACAAAATTTGAGTGAGTATCTACTGCGTTGCGGGATCATTCCGGGATTGCGCACCGCTTGGGAAGGCCGTTGCGACGACGACGGGCTGCAGCATGACGAGCGAGGATGACCCGACGAGCATTCCCAACGTCATCGTACGCGCTTGGACGCTCCATGAGGATTCGACGTCGATGGTCGCATGCGTGTAGGTCGCGGTGCGTCTCCGGCCCATCTCCGAGAAGGAGCTCCAAGAAGGCCAGCGGAGCTGCTGTAGCGTCGCCAACGATCAGGTGCGACGATCGACGCTGGATGATGAGCTCACGACGCATGGACAGACAGTCGTTATCGAGAAGGAGGCTGCGCGGGTCGGGTATCTCAAGAGCCAGAAAGGGTCGTCCAACGAATATGCATACGACATTGCGTTCTCCGAAGAGGTATAGCGTCCATAGCCAAGCACCGTCACATGCATGGCGCGTGTAGGCTACGCAGGATGAAGTGTATGAGCGAACAGTCAAGAACATCATCCCGACAATCCTCGACGGCTACAACGCGACCATCTTTGCGTACAGCATGGTGTGCGAAGTGAACTTGCTTGACGCTGCCTGTAGATATGGAGCGACAGGCGCTGGAAAGACACACACAATGATGGGCTCTGAGCGCGACGGGCACTCGTTGGACGAGCTCTCGGAGGACGATTTCGACTACGATGGGCAGCCGCAATCGCTGCCTGTCGATGGCATCATCCCGCAGTCGCTTTCGGACATCTTTCGACTGATTCGTCTCCGCGAGAGAGAAGAGAAGATCGCCCAAGAGACCGAAGGTCGCGCCTCCGAGTGGATGGTCACCGTGTCGTACTTGGAAGTCTACAACGAGACCATCTGCGACCTCATTGACCCAAAGGGCGTCAACCTGCAGCTGCGAGAACACACGAGTACAACGACGACAGTGCATCGTTCCATGCAGCCGACTAACGCAGACGTAGGTGCTGTTCATGTGAGCGGCCTCGCGCATCGCCAAGTCCGAAGCGCTGTCGAGGTGCTCAACATTCTTCGCCAGTACGACTCCCGCGCAACCAACAACAACCAATCTTATGATACGTGTAGGGGTAACAAGAACCGACGCACCGAGTCGACTGTTGCGAACGCAGTGTCGTCACGGTCGCACGCGGTGCTGCAAGTGACCGTCAAGCACAAGACTGTCGACCTTATGCGCAAGAGCAGTCCGAACACTGAGATGACATGCGCCAAGCTGTCGCTTATCGACCTCGCGGGCTCGGAGCGAGCGTGCAAGACGGAAAACTCGGGCGCGCGCTTGGCGGAAGGTGCCAACATCAACAAGGTATCGAGGTTGACAGTGTATTTTCGGTATCGAGCTTCCGTAGTCGCTTTTGGCCCTTGCCAACGCAATCAACGCGCTCTCTTCGACGCCTGCGATGCGTCGGCGGTCCGAGCCGTCGGCGCGGCTGAAGGAAGTGCGCCCCATCAGTCGCGCAAAGTACCGTGACAGCAAGCTTACGCACTTGCTCAAAGTGCGACGATGATGGAGGTGTGTACAAACTGACAACCTGTGTAGAGCTCGCTCGAAGGCGACTGCCGCTTGATCATGATCGCCAATATCAACCCGTCGCACAAGTCCTTTGACGAGAGCCACAACACGCTCAAGTAGGCCTTTTTCTCCGAGTCGTCGAGACCCAACCAACGGCGTCGCTGTTAGGTATGCGAACCGCGCCAAGAACATCAAAATCCGCCCCAAAATGCACGTTGTGACGGCAGCCATGACGCACATTCAGCGCGCCGAGAAGCTCGAGGAAGAGAACGCGTCCTTGCGTCGTGAGCTCGCCGAGGTGCGTACGAAGCGCAAGAGTATCGACGCGGCGATGTTCTCAAGCCAGCACTTGGCCGACACTAAGCGCGCGAAACTCAGCCTCAAGACAGTGGACACGCCACAGCTTCACTCCCTTCACGTACGATGCGCACCTCGACAGTTGCTCAGCATTCTCTGTAGCGAACGATCGAGAAGCTCGAGAATGAAAAGAAAGCGTTGCAAGACAAAGTCGAAGACATGGAGAGGGAGCTCGGTCGCATGCGCGCACTCCGTATCCAGCCAACGACCCCGCGCCAGGCAACGACGTCTCGAGCGACCTCGACACCACGTAAAGCCACGACCCCGCGCTCCGTCACAAAAGCTCCTCCATCCGTCACGAAGGCCCCACCATCCGCCACCAAGGCCCCGCCTTCGGTCACCAAGTCGGTGGCCACGCCTGCCAAGTCACCGTCGCGCAACCAAGCACGTGAGGCAGCGCCCGCCAAGAGCGTGCGGGGAACGTCTCTGTTGCCTCAACGCCGCCTGTCGTCCCATCCGATCGTCTTCCGCGCTGCGACGCCAACACCAGCGACGCCGGCGCGGCCCAACAACCGCGCCCGTCGCGAGAGCTTGATCCCGCGCATCTCGTCGACAGCGTCCAAAGTGTTGTAGTACGGCAAGAGCGTATATTTAAAAAAAATCATGCGAGGCTTACCCAAGCAGCATGCCCTTGATATCACCAAGCGCTTGCAGGACGTCGTAGGCCGACGCTTGGAGCTGCGACCGGTACTTGATCGCACACACGGCCGCGACGGCAACAGCGCCGATCATGATTTGCGTTGACGTGTCGGTCAGCACAGAGTGCGAAGCGGCGGGCGTCCGCCCTGGCAACGGGCGAGGCGCGTTGTTTGTTTTCGATGGTGTCGTTGAGGTTGCCACTGGCGCTGCCGCCGGTACCTCGATCGATTCCAGAAGCTCGCCAAGAGACGCCTTGGCACTGCTGCGCAGCACCTTGTCGGCATCGATCTGCCGCAGGATCGTGCGCGCATCGCAGGACGCGTTGGCCAGGAAGACTTTGGAGACGAGGATTTCATACGCAGTCTCATACAACGCAGTAAGCTCCTCGACCCGAGAAGGGTCCGCCTGCATGCCCGCCCGCAGCGTCTCGAGGGTTCGCGTCAAGAACGTATTGGCTTCGGCAGTCTCGGACATGGCCGCGAGAAACGAGGCCCAGATGAGCCCGAGCTCGCATGGAATGGGCGACGTGATGCGCAGAACGTCAGCAAGCGAGAGAAGTTCGTTGGCTGTGTTGAGCTCGAAAATGGACTGCATGAAGATGGCGATGGTGGCCTCGAGGTCTTCGTCCATCGGTGGCGCATCGAGACCGACGTTAATGTCAGCGCAGAGAAGGTTGAGCGACGATGAGGCTGCGACGAGGTCGGGGTTGAGATGCAGCGACGCAGTGAGCCACGCGCGGCTTCCATCCAGTGCGGTCTGGAGGTCGCCCGCGACGAACGCGTCTTGGAGCTCGGCCACGCTTGCCATCGTAAAAGATGTTGTTGCATCATCGTCGTATTCGAAAGGCCATTGGCTGAAACGATGGGCAGATTCAAGCTATTTTATCCAATCACAGACAACAGTGATTCGACTGCAAGCCAAGATGCACCCAGCTCGATGCACCTCCTCGTGATTGCTATCGGCCTACCATTAAAGATCCCTGCGTACTGATATGTAGTCTCGTTGGATGCGTTCCTTCTAGTTCTAGTACTAAATACCCTTCCATAGAGCAACGCAAATAACACTATACTACTAGTACAAGACCGGTGGCGTCCGTCTGAAGCGAACGAGGTTTGCTACTGACGCCTATAGTATCAAGCGCGCAGCTATCTCTTCCAAAGGTTGTGATATCGGTACACTCGCTGGTTTGAATCCTCCCGCCAGAAATGAGTTGCAACCTGTCGACGTCGCTCTTGACGGCAGCTTCAACTCGCTGATTGTTCGTTCGTTGCTACTGGTGCCAGCCATGATCGCCATTTGCATGTGCGACGGCAGCCATGTACACGAAGCTATCTAGGAAGCGTCTTCGATTCCCGTCCCTGTGAACTGACGAGCATCATGGCATCGTGGCCATCTTGGCGCGAAGCATCCGGATACTGTCCGGAGCGTGACGCACGGACGGACGAACACGAGCAGTCAGCCAAAACCACTAAATTTCCTTCGCAAGATCAAGAGATGATGATGCTTCGTACGGTGGTCCGCGCCCGGAAGCCCGTGGCGGCCTTCCGCGCCTTCTCGGCCGCGCCTGCCGAAGAGAAGCCTGACGACAGCGCCTTGATGAAGGAGATCCAGGAGACGCAGTGCGCGCGCCGCTACGACGTGCTCCCGCCGCACGCGTCGGCGTGGGAGAACCCGATCGTCGGCGAGGTCTCGCTGCCGCACCCGAAGGAATGCTCGGTCGTCAACTTTGTCGGCGAGTGGACGAAAGGCCGCAAGGCGATCATCTACATGCCGTGCCGCAACCAGATGCAAAGCGGCGACTACAACACGCACCACTGGGAGATCCGCTTTGGCACGCGCCAGACGTGGCAGAACCCGCTCATGGGCTGGACGAGCGGTGCCGACCCGATGGACGCTATGGTCATGAAGTTCAACACGAAGGAAGAGGCCGTGGCCTTTGCGACGCGCCAGGGCTGGTCGACCGAAGTCATGCCCGTCGCCGAGAAGGAGGACTTTGAGGGCAAGATCGCGTACTCGCACAACTTTTTGCCCGTCGACGTCGAGAACAAGCTCAAGAAGTACGGCAAGAAGGCGTCGTCGCACTTTAAGCACGCCGCTGGCGGCCACAGCCACTGGGTCAAGACGCTCAAGTACAACGGCAACGGCGAGGTCGTGCAGCACGGCGGCGACAAGGAGTATTAGATTGATGATGGGGTGTTGCTGGCGCGGGTAATAACAAACGAAATACTCCTGCATCGTACGAGACGTAACGGTTGCGCATAACGTCTCTGCGAGCGATGCGACGAACGGTCGTCTTGCTGAGTGCCATGCTGGCGCAGCGCTGCGACGCCAGGAGCTGGCAAGAAACCAAGTCCCATCTTCCGCCACCATGTACGCACGGCAATGCAGAGGTGTCGGCGACTTGATCCGTCCTGTAGTGTGCCCAATCTTGAGCACGAGAATCCCGTGGGGATCCGTGACCGTCACCGGCCGCGAGTCGGGTGCGACGGCTACGTATTCGTGCGACGCTACGCATGAGCTACTCGGCTCCTCGACGCGCACGTGCGAGATGGGCGCCTGGTCTGGTGACGAGCCCTCGTGTCGGGTACGCTATAGCACCAAAATGGACAACTCGTACAAGCACGGCCACGCCGGGTACAAAATCGGAGAGCTCTAATCACACGCTCAAGGCGCTCTTGTTGGTCTCTCTACTTGTGTGTCATTGCGTCCGTCAGTAAGACCGATTTGCATCTCGTGCGTTTGCGTGCGTCTGGCAAGTGCAAATTGCACTGCGCGACAAGCTTTCTCCGTGGCGTAACCATGCATGAGATATGCAACAAACGTGGGCCTTACAGGAGAGACCACCCCGACAGCACGTTGCATGACACCGCTAAGACGTACAGCCTCCATGGGATCGATAGCTTAGGATCGAGGTTCAGGCTCATGTTGTGTCAGTGCAGACGCCGAGGGACGCGACGAGTGAGCGCTCGCTGATACGATTGGCCGACCCAGATCCAAAAATACCTGCCACCTGCACCGATGGGAGCGCTCCAGTCGTCCGACGACAGCCATGAGTGCCACATCATGGCCCACCATGAAATCACAGCCTTCTACGACGCGCTCAAGGCCGCGATGGCCAAGAGGCCAGTGCTACCCAAGACGACGCCGACAGCCGCTGAGGTCCGAGCGCGCCTCCACGAGCACGACAAGAAGAAGCACGCACTCCTCCTGCCGCTACCATCCTACATGCCGACAACCCCCGTCAAGATCACCAAGACTGTCAAGCCCGTTGACACGACGCGGGCGGTCTCCGATTTGGAGCTGCGCTTGCGCGAGCTCAGCGCGCGTCGAGACCATGACACAAACGAGCTCTTCGAGGCCATATTGGCCTTCAAAGCTTCGTGTGCCAATGACGAAGCCTTCCTCGACGGCCTTGCGGGCTGCCAGCGGGCGCAGCGACTCTGGCGTCAGCATCAGTACGATTCGTCGCACGACCTCGAGCTGCTGTGCAAGGTGCAGCAGAAGGCGCGCGATGCATCCGGCGCGGGTACCCTCACCGCCAAGCTCGCGTATCGCGAGCCAACGATCGATGGTCGCCTTAAGAAACTCGCGCTGGCTGCGTCGCTCGTCTCGTCGAACGTGCCGCCAACGTCGAGTCAGATCTTCTGCAACCAGTCGGTCACGGACCACAAACTCTTGCTTGAGAAGCAGATGCGCTGGGAGCAAGACCTGCTGCACATTTCTGTCGACGTCAAGAGCGAGCTGCATGACAGTGTCTTCTTGGACCGCTCGGTCATGGATACGATCTACAACCTCGTGGCGCTCGCACCGTTCTTCCAAACCAACTTGATGGTGGAGGCGGTCACCCTCGCCGAGACGTTTTGGGTCCACCCCAAACAGTTCTGGTGGACCGCCGTCCACGCCTGTGTTGACATGGACCAGTGCGAGCTGCTGCTGTGGATGCTGCCGCAAAAGCCCATGATCACGCTGCGCCATGTCGTCAAGACGTGCTTGGAAGCAAAGAAAATTGCAGCTGCCGAAGCCCTCGCCAAGCAAGAGCCCAACGCAACGGAGCGCGCCGAGTTGCTGCAGATGGTGCGTCGGGCACAAGGTCCCAGCGCCACTTCACCGACAACTGCTGCTGCGAAACCTCAGTCGCCTGCACCATCGACGCAGAGCATTTAGTCGCGCGTGTGAGTGCAGGGAGCGTCCGCATCGGCACCGGCAGCTTCGTGCTCAAGAACGTCCAAAACGCATGGACATCCGTGTCGTTCCGTTCTGGTCCTGCGTGTCTTTTGTATTGCGTGTCTACGACAATATTGACCAGATCATTCATAACTACATAATTCACTCTCCAATTTGCATCTCTGTGTTCAAGCCCTGAGAGGGCCATTATGGTAGACGCCACGCTCGGTGAGGACCGTTCCTTCTCGGCTTTATAAGGCACACCTGTCGATGTTGCTCGATGTAGCATGTCCCTGTGTCTTTGATGGGCATGATACTGCGGCACACTTGGCCACAAGCAAGACGCAGAAGTTACGATTGCAAAGAATATTCGGTATTTAGTTCGTCATTGTCGCTATAGCAAGAGCGCTATACGGGCGCGGGACGCAGTGGCTCAAGCTCGGGCGTTGATTTTTTCTTGTGCGAAAGACTCGGGATACCACTGGGCGCTTCGTCGGGACTCGCAAGCGATAAAAAGTTGAAAATGTCGGCGGCCGACGGTCGGTGTTTTGCCGTCGGCTGCAAAAGCATGCGGAGGCACGTGCGGAGACTTGTGCCGTAGCGCAGAGGAATTTCATTCATGAGGAACGACAACGGCTTGAGTTTGCACATATGATTGGATCCTATCGCAATCTCAATCTCGACCTCAACCGCGTATGTACCAGTCACGAGGTAGTAGAGGAGGCAGCCGAGGGCCCACATGTCTGTCTTTTCAGAGACAGCGTCGTCCTCCGGCGGCACAATGACCGGTGACAGCAAGTGCGCCATGCGACGCATGCCCGCAGCGACGTCGGACTCGCTATACGGTGTCTTGAAGAGGAGGAGGCCGCCCACTTTGAGTTGATGGTCTCGCGTCCGGTACAAGTTGGACGGCGTCAAATTCAAATGCAAAATGCCTTGGCTGTGCAGCGACGCCAGCGCTGCCGCCACCTAGTGACGTTCTAGAATCAAGTCGAGGTGTGATCATACCGTTGTCATAATGGAGAGGACGTCGGCTTGCGGCAGCGGCGATGGCGCCGACGTCAAGTACTCCCCAAGGATGCAGTCGTCGAGCGCGACAAAAGTCACTGGCCAGCACTCGTTGAGGTTGCCGTTCATCGCTGCAAACTGCTGGTACACGCACGAGAAGGCGTGGTGGACAGCAACGAGGTTGGTCTCGCTCAGTCGCGCCTGCATGCGCTGGGCTGTCTCGACGACGAACGCTGCTTCCCGCGACGTCGTGGACGAGGCAATGTAGAGGACGCAGTATGCGCTGGTCGCGCTGTCATACATGCGCAGCACGAGCTGCCCAGTCGTGGGGCGCGCAGCCAAGAGCCGGTCGTAGTGTAATCGCTGAAGGAAGATCGACGGTAGCGTGCACGCGTGGGAGAGTCGCTGAAACTCCTTGTGCCCGCTCTCTTGGATGTGGGCCAGTGGTGCCTCGATCGAGACCTTGAGGTTCTCCATGAGCTAGCAAACGTGCGTTGCAGCAACACAACATGATGATAACGTACGTCGTGCGCTGCTTCGTCTTCTTCAAAGAGCCAGCTGCGTTCGTACTCTTGGAGCTCCAGCTCTTCGCGTGCTCGCGTGAGCTTGTGCAGGAGCCACTTGGAGTCCCGAATAAAAATGTGGTCGTGCCGGCTCGGACTACTGGGCGCATTGATGTCGCGGTGCAAAAGCTCGACGGCTGCGACGAGGTCCTCTACGACGCTCGCTGCGACGGACGCATTTCGCTGTGGCGCAAACCGCAGTCGGTGCGGGTCACCCCGGTGCCGCACGGTGGCGACGGCCCGCGGTGCTTGGTCCATCGCGATTTTGAGGTCCTGCTCAATGTCGGCCATGCGGTCTGCGAGGAGCCGCCCCCAGGCGTGCCTTGCAAGACGTTATACCTCGAGTGTCTTTAGTGCGCCGAGGCTTACCGGTAGGCTTCTTCGTCTTGGTATCGGCGGAGCTTCCCGAGTCGAAATCGGTTGCGCCGGCACATGCAGCAATACAGCGGGAGATTTGAGGATAGCTGGATGTACACGTGCTTGTGGTTGTACTCCCAGAGCAGTGCGTTGGGGGGTAGCTCAGAACTCAGCAAGAGCAGATGCTGTAGCTGTCCAAGAAGCGCCTCCTACTCCTCGCTCGTGATGACGATAATGAGCCTCTCGCTGTGTACCATGGCGTGGCTGAACGACCGGACGAGGTGGTTGAGCAGCACGAGCTTTCTGTTGGGGTACTGGATCGTCTCGGGCGTCTTGACATTCGAGAGACTGCTCTCCCACGTGGCGAGCTCTGGCGCGACGATGCCAAGCCCCGCGGCCTCGATCGCGGCTTTTAGGTGATGAATGTGTTCCGAGATTTCTTCCGCGACATCGACAAAGTACACAAACATGTCGACGTCGACGACGCCGAGATCAAGGAAGAGCGCCTGCATGTCGCTCGACGACACGAGCAAGCGCAAGCCGCGTCTGTGCGCGACGGCGGCCTCGAGGCACCTACACGGCAAAACCTCATCAATCAATGTGTTGGGCAGAAGACAAGATCGTACGGTTCGGCCGCGAGGCAGTACAGAATGTGCAGCGCACTGAGTTTGCCAATCTGGCGTGGATCCATGAGGACAAAGACGCGCTCCAGCGCTCGTGTGGCTCCGGTGCGCTGCGCGACGCGCTCTTCGCTCTCGTACAGCGTCTTTGGCGTGTCGACCTCGGGTACTTGAAGGTGGATCTTGCCGTGCACGTCGAGGCCGTTGGTCGCTCGGTGCATGAGGCGGCGCGTCATGTGCTGGCGCAAATCGATCTGGAACTGACGAACGCGCGTGCGCTCGGACGCAATTGCTTTCTGGACGAGGCGGGCGCGCCGCGTCACAAACCGCGCTTGGATCTTGGCAACTTCGACCTCGATTTCGTCAGGGTGCGGCGCCTGCTGTTGCTGCTGATTCGAAGACGGCTTGGGCGGTGCGTGCACCTTTGTTGGCGACGCCCGGCGCTGCTTGCTACGTTGAAGCGCCTTGGAATTGCGCTGCTTGCGCCGCAGCCACGGCCCCAAGTGCGTCTCGACGTCGCGAAGCAGCGTCAAAATGCACGCGTGCACGTCTGGATCGATGCCACTCGCAAGCTCTGGTAGCGCAGTGTCGCTTGGACTGGTGTCGCCACCGGCGTGTACGCCCGTTGCGTCTTCGTCGACATCGGAAGGAAGGTGTCGGACGCGGGCGCCGGTCGCAGCATGCACGAAGAAGAACTGCCCGTCGTCGTCCATGCCTCCAAATTGCCACGTGGAAGTCGCATCGCCGTTGCTTGCAGCGTCGACCGTCGATACCTCGTCGCCCGGTGGGATGTCCCACACGCTTTCGCCCGTGATCGAGTGCACGTAGTACGTGCATCCGCTGGCAGCGTCGAACGCAGGCGCCCACATGCCCGTTTCAGTTTGGCGGGACCCAAGAGGCAGTTTACATACAGTATTTATTAATGATAACAATTCTTCTCTAAGAGCTTAGAAGCGCTCGTTCATGCGGTTGGCGACGTTCTTCATTTTGTTGTAGACCTTGCCCGGAGGCGCACCCATGATGAGCGAGCAGATCGCGTCGCGGGCGAGCTTGATGTTGGAGAACGAGCCGAGGATGTGGATCTTCTGGTCCGCAAGCACGATACGCGTGCGCGTCGCGTTCTCGATGGCGTACTTGGTCTTGCCGTCCTGGCCCGCAAGACGACCCACGGCGCGGCTCAAGTGGTCGCCCTTGAGCATCTTGACGTCAGTGACCTCAAACGTGTCGATAAAGAGATCTTCGAGACGAAGGAGCGCGACCGCGTCCTGGACTTCGAAACCCATCATGTAGGCCTGCACGAAATCGGCGCCCTTCTGAAGCGCGCCGGCATCTTCCGTCAGCGGGCTGTTCTTGAGCTCAATGCAGCGCGTCTTGGTGTTCATACGGATCTGAAGCTTGAGGTGCTCCACGATCGGCTTCATGATGTTGGGCCAGTCGTTTTTGAGCGGCGTGTAGCGATGCGCCGGCACGCGCACACGGCGAAAGTCGTTCTTGCCGCCGCCGGCTTCCTGCGCGCTCAGCGCCGGAAACGACGGCGCGTCCGAGACATCCATGTCCATGTCATCGTCCGCGTGCTGGGCGGCGACAGCGTGCTGCAGCTGCATCGTCGACACGACGACGTCGTCGGTGTGCATATCCGTGTCCATGATCCGATTAGCTGCGGGCGCCGAGGGAAGAAATCTATTGATCTCCAGCCAATTGTTTCAACGAGAAAGGTCATCCTCATCACATGGAAAATGGCTGGCTCCGAGGACGGGATATCCGGTTATTTCAGCTTTATCCGGCGATTGACCTGCAGGGATGTCGAAATTGATGACCAAAACAAGGTCGGCGGTCCGCGATGCACAGAAGCCTATGGCGCAGAGGCATCGATAGCTCTATAGCCTAGCGCCTACAGACCGACAAGCGCGGTGGGACGGAGGAACGCAGCGTACGAATTGAGTGACGTAGATCGCAACTCTTCTACTCTTCTATTGGCTAAAAAGGGTTTTCTTTTTAGCGAATCTGAAGTGTCTGTTTTGTAGTGACGCTTTGAAACGGTGATTGGGTGGAATTTGCCACGATATTTGGCCAATGACAGGTCGTATCGCATGATTCTGGAGAATCCGAGCAACGACCAAACAATTGACTGCGATGGCCAAGCGCTGCGTACGCTTTGCGCTGCTCTGCATGCTCGCCTGCATAGCACTCGCCGCCGAGAAGGAGACGTGGAAAGATAAGCTCTCTTTCTTCCAGGCGACGGTCGAGAGCTCGCTGGCCGAAGGCGTCGAGTGGCTAGGCTTCCACTCGGGGCTGGGGCCGCAGTGCGACTTTGTCGAGCATCCGTCCGTCGCCGTGCGTAGCCACCTGCAAAAATACCTCACAGGCCAAGACCGATCTCTCGACTCTATCGTTGGCGCGATCGAGTCGTGGGAATTCTCGTACGAATGATGCTCGTCTGCGCCAGCTCATGGGCGAAATGTGTGTAGGCGAACTTCCAGCAAGGACCATGGCCCACTCGTCATGGCGATCACGGGTCCTACCGGCACGGGCAAGACAGAAACGTCGACGCTGATCGCAGAAGGCCTCTTCCGCCGCCGCCGAAAACTCGATCACAGCGAAAAGCTCGTTCCCACGGGTCTCCTCGTCTTTCGGTGCAGAAATGGATGTCGCCTCGAAACTAACGGTCTCTGCGTAGTGGCGAGGACTTTAGCGACAATTACACAAACCCCGTGACGCAGTACCAAGAACAGATCAAGTCCCGGTACTGTCGTCCGCGTATCGTTCTGTTGTGATTGACTCTGTTGTAGTCTTGTCGAGCACCTCACCAAGTGTTCTGGCAAAGCCGTCGTTGTCTTTGACGAAGTCCAGAAAGTGATTCCGCAAACGCTGGATGGTAGATCGTACAGAGTGTCGCTGTAAACCGAACGACCTTCGTAGTGCTGACAAGCGCCATGAGCAGCAACGCCCAGCTGACGTACTACAAGAATGGGGTCGCGCGCAAGGTCGACTGCAGCAATGTAAGATCATGAACGACCACTTCAGATGCTGATGTGTGCTGTTCAGGTCATCTTCATTCTCATTTCCGACATTGGCGTTGGCAACATGGAAAACATCATGATCCAATACGAGTCGCGGGACGAGCTACCGTTCGGAGAGCTTGAGAACGAGGTCAAGAAGGCGCTCGATGCTCAGTGGGACCGCCTCCAATTTGGCAAAATGATCAAGCAGGTACACTCGCTCTGAGGGGTTTATGATTCACATGCTATCCACAGGTCATTCCGTTTCTGCCGTTTGAACAACGCCATATCATCGACGTCATCAACCTCAAGCTGCGGCACCTGAGCGTCAACTACGAAGGCAAGTACTGGTACAAGCTCGACATTGAGGTACGAACGTCACGTCGCACGACCAAGAAGATGCTAGTCTCACCTGCACCACCGTGTCTCTACATAGCCGGGCATTGCACAGCACCTCTCGACGCTCGAGTCGATCCCATACCAAGCCCGACGCGCCTCGGTCAATGGGAAGGAGCTGCAAAAGGTGTTTGCCAAGTATGGCGCTCGAAGTGTCGAGTCGGGCCCCATCCAGCAGCTCAAGTCGAAGCTCCTCCGCTACCTTCGCCCGTGGAACACAAGTACACAAATTGATTTGCTACGGTGTGCAGGATCGTGACAATGTGCGATTGTAGAGGCCACGATCACCGTGTCATTTGTCCCGTCGACGGAGGAAGTTGTGATCACGTCCTGCAGCAGCGAAGCCGAAGACGTCGACGATGAGTTTGCGTCCGTCGGTTGCCGCATCAAGTGGCAAGGCAAGTTCAAATGAGGTGTAAATAGGACTACCTGGTATAGTACACGTGCACGAGCACCACACAGTCGCAGTCACATGACGCGTAGCGATCGGATGCCTTGCGTGCCAATTTGGCGTGCCTGACAACTCGCATGCCAATGTTGCATCACCGGGTAGAAGATGGCCTGCGTAAGTATCGAAGGTTACATACCGAGCGATGGTGGTGTTCTCGCGGATACATGCAAGTAGCCACGTCTTTAGCGGGTGTCTCTGGTCATGGCTGCCTCCCGCCGGGGCGTATGCAGGCTGCATGCGGTGGGCATAGCCACTACCGGCGGCCAAGTCGTCAGGCAAGACAGCGCTTCATCATGGGACCGCGCTGAATCTCCGGTATGTCGCCACCGTTGCCCGCGTGTCCCGCTGGGATCTTCAAACATCATAGAATACAATCCCCCACACCGAAATACAATATGACCGGGCAGAACAATAGAAACACCAAGCTTAGTTAAAATAAGGGAATAAAAATGTCGCGAGAGTGGTATTATATTTTACCGGAGAGAACCCGGTGGCACGGGATACGTAGCTTTCGATTCAGCCGACTGCTCAGAGTTTCTTTCGACAGACCACCAAGAGAGAAGATGGGCTGCGTCAAGTCGACCCCGATCCCGAACGCCCCTGCCGATGCTGCGGCCAAGGCCCCCGAAGCCGCGCCGGCCCATGCTGGCGAAGGCGAGACCAAGCACTTTGACGAAGTCTACACGCTCGGGAAGAAGCTTGGCGAGGGCACCTTCTCGGTTGTCAAGGAGGGCACGCACAAGGCGAGTGGCAAGAAGTATGCCATCAAGTGCATCAAGAAGCAGGGCTTGACCCAGGAGGACCTCGACGCTCTCCACGAGGAGATCAGCATCTTGAAGAAAGTAAAAGCCGGAGACGTTGCAAGGATCGTGGATCTGATCCAACCGGTGGTTGTAGATGGACCACCCCAACATCATGACGCTGTACGAAGTCTTTTCGGAACCCGCGTACTATTACCTCGTGACCGAAATCATGGAGGGCGGTGAGCTCTTTGACCGCATTGTTGAAAAGGTATGTTGGATCCGCCGAGGCCGTCAAACGCTCAAACCTGCTTGATAGACGTACTACACGGAGAAGGAAGCCCGCGACTTGGTGCTCATTCTGCTGAACGCGATCAAGTACTGCCACGATCGCGGTGTTGTCCACCGCGACTTGAAGGTAGCGCATCATATTGTAGTGGTGGCATATCTCACGGTTCGAATTGCAGCCTGAGAACTTGCTTCTGACGAGCAAGAGCGACGACGCCTTTATCAAGATTGCCGACTTTGGCTTTGCCAAGCAAGACTTTAACGCGTCGCTGACGACGGCCTGCGGCACGCCGGGGTGCGCTCACGAGTACTGCATGGATGTGTGCTCATGGCATCTCTAGCTACGTCGCGCCCGAGATCTTGAAGGGCGAGTCGTATGGCAAGACAGTTGATATTTGGAGCATTGGTGTCATCACGTTCATCTTGCTCTGCGGCTACCCGCCGTTCCACGACGAGAACCAGAAGCGCCTCTTCAACGCGATCAAGATTGGGTCGTTCAAGTTTGAGTCGCCGTACTGGGACGCGGTCTCGGCCGAAGCCAAGGACTTTATCTCGACCATGCTCGTCGTGGACCCGACCAAGCGGTACGGGCAACCTGCATCCGTGTACTTCGACACTCACCCCTACTAGGTCGGACGCGGACCAGCTCCTCCAGCACACGTGGATCACGGGCACGGAAGTCTCGACCGTGCCGTTGACGCAGGCCATGGAACAGCTCAAGAAGTACAACGCGCGACGAAAGTTCAAGGCCGCCGTGCGCACTGTCCAGGTGACGACGGCGCTCAAGAAGGCGATGGGCGGCTCGTCGTCGGTCGTCGACGATGTCACTCCCGTCGAAGGCGAGGCCGTCGAGGACATTGCGCTCGAGGTCGACGCGACGCCGGCCGCGGCGCCGGCGACCGGAGAGACCAAGGCGTAGACACAAAGCGGCGCGATCTATTCCTAATCGGTTTTATCTTTGCGCGTGATGTTGAAGGCATCGCAAACGTTGTGCAGTACGCCGCCGTCGTACGGGTTGCGGTCAATGTCGTCGGCTGTGAGGAGCAACGACGTCTCAGCGCTGCTCGCGTCGACGAGCCCGACGCCGCCCCACGACATGTCAAAAGCCACGGGACGCGTCGGCGCCGGCACGTCGTCCGCGTGGTCTTTGTGAAGGCGCTGGCGCTTGAAGTGCTCGTTGGCGGTGCAGTTGCGGTACACGCGGCCCATTTGGCACCCGAGGAGGAGGCTCACGAGGAACCAAACCGCGAGCGCGAGCGACGCAACGAACGCGACACGCGCGTTCTCTGGCGACTACAGTACCAAGCGCATGGAACGTCGTAGTGCATAGTCGACGGCCGTACCAAGATGATGTCGGTGAGCACTTGCGTCAGGAGCGCGACGGACGCGTTGCGCGCGTCTGCGAGCGAGTGCGTCATCTAACTCTGCGCATGAGGCCATGGTGCGTGCGCGTCGGAGCACCTTGTCGATGAAGACGCTGCAGAGGAGGTACACGAGGTGGCTACTTCCGCAGACATTGACCTAATACGTGCACGTTGAAGAGCCAGTCTTGGTGGTGCGTCGTACGACGAGGAAGAAGAAGAACGCGTTGTAGTTGTGCTGGGCGATGCATGTGTTGACCCAGACTAGGAGAATCAGTGTGGCGAAGGTGCCATAGGTATGCTCGGTGTCTACTGCAGCTACAGCATGTAAATACATCCGCACACAGTCAGGTGCCTACTGGTGATCGAAGCGGGCGACGCAGTGGTTGCACACGCGGCAGTGCTTGGAACGCGGGATCCTACGGCGTTCTGAACTTGTAGCTTCCGTGCAGAAGTAGGACGTACTTGAGGGTCTTGCAGGTTCGGCAGACGCGGCCACGGGGGTAGAGCGCATCGTGGTCCGGGTAGTGCTGCTGCGTTGAAAGGTTGCGATGGGTGATGACACCGGGGTCCACGAACGAGACGCGGACAAAGAGGCCCAAGCATGCAAACGCGAAGAAGATCGCAATGACCCTAATGGTCTTTCGTCAAGCGCAACAACATGCGACGCCGACGCACCGGTCCAGGAGGTCGAGCGTGTGCCAAGCCTCCGTGACGAGCACGCCGTAGCAGAGCGAGAGGAGCGAGAGGTAGAAGAGCTACGTTCATTGAGTGGCGCCCAAGTCAACGGCCGCGTTACCTGGAAGATGCAGTTGCGCTCCTCGAAGAACCAGGCCCAGACCCGCTTCACGGCGCGGACGACGACCATCATATTGCAAGTTGCACACTGCGACACGCGCCTTCCTGTCACGAAATCGTGTGAAACACTATTTGATAGAATCGAAATAGTGAGAAATTGGGAGCGATCTTGAACGCCAAACGAGAAGGCAGCGACGGGAGGCGCATCCACGTTTGCTTGATCCGATATGCATGCAAAATTTGGCTTCTAAGTGCGACGCAGATCGCGTGCGCGGCCTTGGGTAGCCGGAACGCAGCGCTTGTCATCATACACTATTTGCGCTGATCGGGACGGATCATATCCCTCGTTAGAGACACACTGCGATAGAAGAACTTTGCCACGTGAGGGGTTCATAAAAGCCGACCTGCGAGACTCGATGTATCCAAGCTATTGAATCGCAAAGGGTATCTTAGCCCAAAGCTGGATTTGAGACTTCAGGTACGAGCATGGAGGAGCTGCCGGCAGCGGGATGCTCATCCTGCGGGCGTAGGAACCAAGATGGCCGACTCTGCCTACTCGTTCAGCTTGACGACCTTCAACCCGTCGGGGAAGCTGCTGCAGATTGAGTACGCGCTCAACGCTGTCAACAACAACGGCCGCACGTCGCTCGGCATCCGCAGCAAGAATGGCGTCGTCATCGCGACCGAGAAGAAGCTGCCGACCGTGCTCGTCGACGAAGAGGCCTACAAAAAGATCGAGAAGCTCTCGTCGAGCGCTGGCGTCGTCTACAGTGGCCTCGGCCCCGACTACCGCGTGCTCGTGCGCAAGGCCCGCAAGAAGGCGCAAGCGTACTACATGAAATACAAGGTTCGCCGCAAGTGGCTGCTTGTGGCCTCACGCCCATGCGTAGGAGAATGCCCCCGCGTCCATCTTGGTGCGCGAGATCGCGGCTGTGATGCAGGAATTCACGCAGTCGGGCGGTGTCCGCCCGTTCGGCGTCTCGCTCTTGTACGCAGGTTACGACGACGATGGGCCGCAGTTGTATCAGATCGACCCGTCGGGCTCGTACTTTGGCTGGAAAGCCACGGCCATTGGCAAGGACTCGGTCAGCGCCAAGAGCTTCCTCGAAAAGGTACATGGCGACCAACATCGGTTGGCCTCTGATGACCAAACGGTAGCGGTACAACGATGGCATGGAGTTGGAAGACGCGATCAACACGGCGCTCAAGACGATGCGCGAAGGCTTTGAAGGCGAGGTAATCTCGCAATCATGCGCAGGACGACCTTTACCGAATCTGCATGTAGATGAACGAGACCAACATCGAGGTTGGCATCATCGGCGAAGACAAGATCTTCCGTGTCTTGAGCCCGAACGAAGTCAAGGACTACCTCGCCGAAGCCGAGTAAATACGCAGGACACCTCTGTCCTGCATGCATGTGTGCGACGAGCGAAGTAATGGACTCTCCTTAACACGAGCGCTGGATTAACTCGGGCCTTGGTGTTGCTTCTTGGTCGCGTCTGAGAAGAGCGTTGCAGTCACTACCTTGGCCACTCGCGACGTGCGGTCCTCGTTGGGGGCTAGATGCTGGGACTTGCGGCGCTGCGGCAGGATCGCGTCGAGGTCAAAGGAGTCGGTACTATCACGCCGCGCGCTGCTCTTGCGACGGAGCGGGTCGGGGGCCTTGACCGGCACAATGACGTCGTCGGCGCAAATGCGGTCGTCGCTGGACGCCATCGGCGCCCTCTGCCTCTTGAGCTTATTGACCCACTTGCGAATGTGGCACTGCACGTAGACGGTGCTAAACTGCTTCTGCGCTTGGACCGCGGTCTGCAAGCTTGCGACGGACGACCGGAACGTATCCCACGCTGCCTTGGCGCTGAGACCCTCGGCGCCGGACGTCAAGAGCGCGACCGAGTCCTCGACCGCAAGCTTCTGACGCCGCAGGATCTCCTTGGTGCGGCCGTTCTGATGCACGCTCTCGAGCTGCTTGTCGATGGCGGGGCGAATGTGCGTCCAGCACGCAACGAGCTGCTTGAGCTCGTCTTCAAACGAGAGGACGCTGGAATTTCCGAGGGTGCTCCGCAGAGCTAGAGGCTTGTCATGAAGCATGGCAAAGGGGAGGAAGTGGGATACCAATGCGCTCGGCGTCGGTTAGGGGTATCGACGCGTGGTTGATCGAGAGGCGGAGGTCGTACTGCTGTGTGAGCCGAAGAAGGGTCTTGAGGTCGATCATGTCTTCGCCCATGTCGTAAAAGATGAGGCGGCAGTCGCGCGGCGCGACGCTGCCGTGGGTCACGTGCAGCACGATCTTGACAAACTCTTCGATGCCGATAAAGTCGCTTGCGCCGCGAAACTTGTTGAAGGCCGCGATGTATTGCTCGTCGATCTGCGCCTCGAGCGTTTGCCACTCGGCGACGAAGAGCGCCATTGCTTCGTCGAGGTCCACATAGCCACCCTTGCTGCGCCTACGCGCCAGGTGGCGTGCGTTCACATAATGCTCTGCAGAGACATATAAAAACACGCAACTTGAAGTTACCCGCTTGGATCTTGCACGGGTACACGGCGAAGTTGCTGCACACGGTCGTTGAAAGCGCCAATGTCCTGTGCTGCAAAGCAATTGGCGAAAACGTTGGCGGCGGCCGCGAGCACGACGTCTGTGCTCACGATACACGCGCCGTCGACAGTCTGGTGCAACTTTTGGTCGGGTCGAAAGATCTCGTGCCACTACTTAGACCACATCGCAAGCTTGCGACCGCAAGTACCTTCATAACGCCAAACACAATGTGACCAAGCGACTTTAGGTAGCTCTTGAGCATGCCGCGGCCCAATGGCCGCTGAATACCGCACGCCGCTGCGAAGAAGGCGACGCGTCGGTCACTGTGAAACATCTCACAGCCGCGAAAGATCTGCTGCAGCTGCGACCCGACAAGACTAGAAGCCTTCGAGCATCCAGTAAGCAATAGAACGAAATACCTGCGATTTTGGACCTTGGCCATGAGGTAGTCACATACATAGGCTGCGAGATCGCTGGCGGCATCCTCGCCGTCCAGCTCGAGCTCGTCAACTTTGAGCTTCTCGATAAAGATGTCGAGTACGTTCTTCTTCATTTCCCGCAGAGAGAGCTCGGGCCCGCGCGGCTTCATCATGCTATTGAACTCGCCAACGACAAAAGTCTTCCAAAGCCACGGCATATGGTACACGCTCGCTTTGGTCGCGACCTTGGACGTCGGGGCGCGGGGTGCGCTCTTCGGTGCGACCGCTTGCTGCCACCGACTTCGTCCGAGACGAAAGAGGTTGAGCGCGCGGGCGACGTGAACCGTGGCTCCGATGTTGACGGGCGTCGATGGTTTTGGTTCGGTCTCGGACGCGATAATCGGCGGACTGATGGATGGAGCGGGCGCCCCGCGTGGAAGATCGTTGTCGTCAGGTGTGACCCAGCGTCCGTCGCTGCCTGTGAGAACCTTGTTGAAAGCCTCCAAAAAGCGAGCACCTGCGGGCAAGTGCTGCGTCTACAGAGCTTGACTTAGCAACGAGAAACGATGGGAAGGAGATGCTCTTGCCTTTCGTACGATGGCATCGCGGAGCAAAAACTCATTGTCCGTGACAGCTTGAACGAAAAACGGCGCCCATGTCATGACGTCGGACGTCACCAGTGTCATGAGCGCTGGCTTGCTCAGCATCGCAAGGGCTGTCGTGAGCTCCTTCGATTCGGTCACGAGCGTCTTGAGGTGCTCGTCGCTTAAAAGAATTGCGTAGAGGCACTGCGTGACGCCGGCCACGTCACGCTTCAACGCCGCGTCGAGGCCTCGGATCTGGGCGCCGTCGCGGAGCAGTCGAAAGGTGGGAAGATCGTGCAAATCCAAGAGGAGGTTTTTGAGTCGGTGTTGCTGGAGCGTGTTGGGGCGCGCTTTCGCCGTCTCGTTCTCCATCTCAACAAAGAGCTGTCGCGTGAGGTCGCCATTGAGAAGCATAACTTTGGCGGCGTCGGCCACGTGGTGGTTGAGCCAATGGTACGCTGCCTCCAGTGGAGACAGCGTGACATCGTCGACGTTGGACGTGGTTTCGGTCGACCACAGTAAGGTGAGACCTATAGGACGTTAGAAATGTAAATCTCAACCGCGAGCGCACCGGTGGCGTTGGCTTTGACCGTGGCGTGCCACGCGTCGAGTGCGTCGGGGCTCGTCTCGAGGCGCAAAAAATGCTGGACTACGCGAGGGCAGTGCACCATGCAGTACTTAAGGATGCCTTGCTGAAGCGTTAACGTATCAATGAGCAGGTCCGGGATCTGCTTGAGGACGCTACCAAGCGCGCTGGGCGTCGCCTTGAGCAGCTGCACGACCGTTGGCACAGTGTTGGCGGTCGCAGACTCCTTGGCCTTTTCGTCGACGTCGCCGATTTCTTTTTCAAAGTGCCGCTCCAAGACGCCGCCGAGATCTTGGATTGCAGCTTGCTGGCTGCGAAACTCACCAGACTTGAGCTGCGTAAAGATGTCCAAGAGGTCGTCGCCGACGTCGTCAACAAACTCCTTGAGAGCGGTCGACTCTGGCACATCGCTGCACCGGTTCTGGTTGCCAGTTATGCTGCGGCTGCTGCTGCTAAAGCCAGAACTATCCACCGAGCTCTTGATCGTGGGAAGCATCGCGAGAAGCGCCTCTGGGCTCAAAACACTTGGTGGATGAGGAAGAATCGACTTGCGCCGCACCGAGAGTCGCGTTGCCGCCTTGCTGGGCGCTGCAAGAATCGAAGGTCGACGGGGACTAAGCGTCCGTGACGCCGTCATTTCTGCGGACCGAACCAGCGAGCTTTGACGAGCGAGGGTCGGGGGGAGCTTTGTCACTGGAGCCGGGACCTCGATGCGAGACGCCTCGGTGACGCGCAGGTCGAGTGCGCTTGCTAAGTTATTGAGAAGCGGGCGTTTCTCGTCGTCGTCAAAGCAGTGAAAGCACTTGGCGTACGTTGCCGCATGGACAGCTGCGGTCGTCGGGAGGCGTAGCGTCGTCGCGACGGGCGCTTCAAGATACAAGCCCCACAAGTCGACGACCACGTCCGGCGTCAGCACGGGTTTGACGAGGTCGCGCACAACGTCTTTCTGGCAGGAAGACTCGAGCTGGCTAAAGTGCTGCAACAGACGAGGGCTGAGCTGCGAAGGCTACGAGGGGTGTATTGAAGAACCTGGTAGATCACTTTGACGTGGTGTTCGTTCTGGCTCGTGCGCTCTTCGTGGGACGTGCGCACTAGTAGGGTTTGAGCTCAGAGATGCGTCGCTTGACGGACGGTGTGCGTACCGCAGGTGCCAGAGTACGGCGTGTTGTCGTAAAATGGTTTTTTGGCGTCGTACAAGCGGTAGACCGAGTTGAGGAGACCGCCGAGCACGAGGTCGCAGATGGTCGACGCGGGCGCGAAGTACACGCTCAGAATCTACTCGCAAGAATGATGGACCGCTACGAGCTGCAGCGATACCTCTTGAAGCAGCTCAAAGTATATGGCCGTGCACACTGCGTTGGGCGCTTCGCGGTACGGCACGGTGCCATTGGGCTGCGACTGCTGCAACAACGCTTGCCACAACTTGGCTGTCGTCGTCGGTCTAAGTGTGTTTCGCTTTGCGCTCTCTCGGCAATCTCAAATCGTACCGATCGAGGACCTCCATACGCCCAGCCCAGCGCTCGAGGATGGTCGCGGCAAGCGCATCGAGCGCCGGCGGCTTGCGTGGCGTTCGGGGCGGTTCGATAAAGTTGTAGCTGGGCGTGTGGCCCGCCCGCCACTGCATCACGCAAATACAAAAAGGCAGTCCAAAATCCGTTTCATTGGTTACGCAGAGACGATGATTACATGGTCGTGTTGTAGTACCGGTCGCCGTAGTCGCCGAGGCCCGGCACAATGTACTTGGACTCGTTGAGCTCCGGGTCGATCGCCGACGTGACGACGTGGATCTGCGGGTACGCTTCGAAGATCGCGTCGAGGCCCTCGGGGCACGCAAGCACGTTGGCGAACACAATGTCCCGCTCCTGCACGCCCGAGTCAATGAGCAGCTACGAACAGTTGCATGAGCCAGCATCCTCTTTCTTCCACGTACCTGGATGGCCTTCTTAGCGCTACCGCCCGTCGCGAGCATCGGGTCGAGGAGGAGCACGCGGTCAAATGCATTCATGCGCGGTGGGAGCTTGGCGTAGTAGACGACCGGGTGTTTCTCGGCCGAGGATTCATCGCGCTGGATAAGGATCTTGCCTACGCCGCAAAAGTTAGATAGAGTGCGGATGGGGAGCGTCATACCGACTGAGACGCTTGGCTCGCAGGCAAGGACCTGCTCGAGGAGCGCGTCGCCGGCGCGGACGATGGAGACGGCGCAGATGTTGCTGTTAGGCCGCATGCCCGAGAACTCGGCGCCCGTCGGCGTCCAGACGATCGCAAACTCAAGGGTGCACGCTGCGAGCGCTTCTTCGGCCAGAATCCTACATGAGCACGTGGATAAGATCTAAATGAGGACGGCGATGAGGGTACCGCATGAGGCGGTCGGCAAACTTCTTGAATTGGAGGTGCGACGAACGCTTGTCGCGGAGCATGACATGGAGCGACTGAACGGCGTTGGTTTGGAGAATGATCAGATTGCGGTACTTGGTCTCCATCGACGACGTGGCCGTGCACGGCTTCTTGGCCGGGTGCTTGCCGGCGACGGCGTGGGCCTTGGTGCTCTTGGGCGTGGACTTTTCGTCCTTGACGCTTGTGGGGCGGACTTCTTCCGGCGCTTGCTGGCAGCGCTTCAGGTGGCTCTCGAGAGAGATGGCGCGGCCCGAGACTTCCATTTCGCAAAACTTGCACTTGAGGAGGGCGGTCGATGCGTTCTTTTGGCGACCCGTGTTCTCAAAGTGGATGCGGATCGGGGCGGGTGGGCGGCCTGTCTTGGAGCGCTCGGGACCGACGTCGAGGAGGGCTTTCGTTGGCTCTGGCACGTAGCCGGCTTCGTCCAAGTTGGCAGCTGGGCGTTTGGTAGTCATGGCTTGCTTTTAGCGACTAAAAACGCTGGCCAAACGGTGGGTGGGCCTTTAACGGCTTTCTCTCGACCAATCACGGCGCCGGGTACTCGAATTACTCAAAAGACGACGTTTTGAGCCACCTTTTACGTAAAAAACGCCGTTGAGAGCGCTTTTGGGTTGAGATTAACACACGGTTTTCGTGCGTATCTTTTCAACGCTTGGATGGGGCGCCATAGAGCAGACCCAAGTACGACGCCAGCGTCGACGCAAAGGCGTCACTTCTCACCTTGCGCGCCGACAAGCCGTGGGCGGCCACTCCTCGCGCTCGCGCGTCCTCCGCTGCTGGACCAGCCAGCGGCACCGACTCGTGTCTCAGTGGGCTTGGGAGGAATGGAACGCCGGATGGCGCCACTCGGGGTGTCTCCGGTGCGAGCCCTGTGTGGTGGGTGCGACTAATTTCTGCTGAAAGTCCCACGGGACTTGGCCCGGGCGCAACGGCGGCGCGGTGCACCAATGCAGCGACGCTGTCGATCGCCGTGCCTCGCCGCCGTTGCTCTTCGGCGGGGTAGAGTATGCTGGTGATGTCGCTGCGCGCCGGTGCTGAGAAGGTGAACGGTGCCACGGTACTTGTACTACCATCAACAACCCCATGGCTCAAGTCGGTGGACTGGAGTCGCCGGCGGAGGCGACTCTTGGGTGCGTTCCTGGGGGTGCCACGGTCGTGGAACTGCTGCTTGAAGATGCTGGGCAGAACGGATGCGCCCTCGGACAGTACTGGTGTTGACGATGCGTCGTTGGGTGATGCTGGCGCCACGCATGGCTCCAAGGGACTTGGGTCGCTGGAGGAGGCCGGCGCTCGATCGCTTGCGCCAATGTCACCGATGGGCGCTCGGATTGCGCTGGGCGTGTAGCTCGTGGCTTGGGCATCGTCGTAGCGAGGCGGCGTCGATGCTACATGTATACAGTGAATCGATATGATGCCGCGTTGAATGAGCAGGTGACGGACGTGGTAGAAAGCACCTTCGCTCCGTCGGCGGTTTGGATCTTCTTGGCGTCGCTGACCGCCACGACTTGCCGCCGACCGAGTTGGTCCACTTTGGCAGCACGACGCTCTCGGGCGGGGACGCGGCGGAAAACACAAGCCGGCGCACTTCGGTCACTGCGCGAATGCTCGGCATTACGCCCTTTCGTAGCATATTACTGGTGTCGTTCGCTGCTGTTGCTTGAAGATTTCGGTTGCCATCGACGTCGTCGGGCCGCCCTTCCTCGCTGCTATCAACGGCTTTCAGCAGTGATATCTTGGCGGCGCGATGACTCGGATCAGCACTTTCATCGCTCACAAAGAGGGCTTGTGCGCGTTGTAGCTCAACCTCGGAGCTTTGCATTTGCCTGGCCTTGTCATCGATCGGCATATATTCCATCTCGCTCAGACTGGCGTCGTTCGTGGCTTGGTTAGAGGCGCCATCGCGTTGGAGCTGCCAATTCGCTTGATGGTCGGAGAGCCCATCATCGCGTTGGAGCTTTAAAGTAGGCACGTCAAGAGGCTCATGCGAGTCCGTTGCCATTTCTGGGGCATTGGAAGCTGTGGCTACACCGTCATACCGGTACTGTAGCTCTTGATCTCCTGCAGCATCGTCGACGCCTCGCAGTAGCTCGTACATCGGCTTCAGAGGCTCTTCGGCAACCGCGACCACGACGGGATCACCAAACGGGGACCACTTTTTCGCGACTGGCGGCGCGCATGTTGCATTCGGGAGACGCAAGCTACCGCCACCAGCTGTATACAATGGCCGGAACGATGGCACAGGCGGCCGTCCTGCACTTGTTCCTTGTCGACGAATGTCCCCCTTGGGAGACGTTGTGGTCGGCAGTGTATCTTCGCTTGCAGATTGCGAACGTGCTTCTGCGGCTTCTTCTATCGCTCGTTGAGTCTCTGTTTGGATCTCTTGTCGAGCTGCTCCTCCACGAGTTGCTGTTAGTGGCGGCTGGCTCGGTGTTGACTGACTCGGTAGGGTCCTTGCGTTCCCAACTTTGGGGGGTCTCTGGTCGCCAACTGGACGGTTCTCAGCCTGCTTCGGCATCGCTACGTTGGTGGTTTCGGACGACCACGCCGTGATACCTTCGTCTTCCTCGGAATCTAACGCTGACCGAGCCTCCAAGTCTCCTTCGGCACATTCCCATGGGTCTTGCTTCGAGCTTCGCGATTTTCGACGCGACAGAGGACCTTGCACTTGCTTGGAAGCTGCTTGCACGAGGCGAGCGGTGACGGACATCCTTCGCGCGGGCTTTTGTCGCGCATCGGCCACCTTCTCCTCGTTGCCGCTCTCGTCTTCAATCGGTTCTTCGCGCACGACGCCCATGCCACGACGCACCTCAGTCGGTGCGTTGATGAGCGAGCCTTGCAATCGCGTCGACACTCGCTGAGTCGGCGTCGGCGTGATTGACGAGCGACGCGTGCGGCTTTTTTCGTTGGCGCCGCCGTTCTTGGCCCGGCCAGCCGGCTCGGTGCTTGGCGCGTGCATTTTGTCGACAATCGAGCGCAGCCGCGTCTTGTGTTTTTTTGGTCCCGTGCTTCGGCCCCGTGCGAGCGCACTCGTGTCACTGCTCGTGCTTGACGCCGTTTCGTTGACGAGCAATGTCCGACCGGCTGACTCAATGGAACTTGCACTGCTAGTTGAAGGTTCGTCGCGCGACTTGGGCGGCGGTGTCGGCTTAGACGGCAGCGCGGGTCGCGACGGTCGCTTCTCGAGCGCTTGGGCGACTTGTAGCTGCCGAATGAGGCGCATAATGCGGCTTTGTCCGAGTTTGTACGAGCGCCACTTGTTCTGGATGCGGACCGCGCAACGCGCTTCAAAGAGCCGGCGCTTGCGGATCGCGATTTCAACGTGTCGAATGGCATCGTCGACCTTGAACGTAGCAACATGGCGACACAGTCGCTGGAGCCCATCCAGCCGCATGCCTTGGTGGCGCTACACGATCGAATGGTTCTTGTTCAAAGCTCAAGAGGACAGCTGGATGCACCTGCGGTGCTCGGGGCCGCGTCCGACCTCGCATCTGGAGAAGGCTTCGGCGGTTGTCAATGTGCTTGTAGAAGCTGTTGCCAAAGTGTCGAAACTCTTCCATGCGACTCACGACGTGGTGCTTGGTCGTGAGCCAGTGGAGAATGTTCCGCCGAATGACGCGTGCGGCGGCTCGGCGCCGCACAACACGTCGCTAGGAGGTCTGAGCCAAAGAGAGCAACACTCGGTGAGCTACCTTGCGGTGAGTCTCCGCGGCTGCATCGAGCTCGATCGCATCGCAACAAAGCGTCGCGTAGGACTGCATCGTCTCGTCGTCGTCACTGTCATCGCTGAAGGCGTCGTTCTCAAACATACCGAGACTGTCCCAGTCGTCAATGATGGCCTTGGCGTCGTGGCCGATGGCAGCAAAGCACGCGTACGACTGGTGGAGCCAGTAAAGCTTGTCCACCATGCGTCCAAGCGGGTCGTTGCGCGGGTCGGCTTGCGGACGAAAGTAGTGCAAGATGAACTCAATGTCCTCGATCCACTGCAAAACGTATCTACGCAACAAGGCGATCGCGCGGCCATTGGTTGTAGAAACGAGAAACTCACTCTCGGTCTTCCTCGCCAAAGTGGAATGGGAGCGTGTCCGAGTCGAGCTTGATCTGGACGCGGTCGAGGATGTCCTGGATCCGGTCGCGCTGCGAGAGCACGCACGCATGATGCTTGCGCTGCATCGACGGCTTCTCGCTGCGCCGGAAGTTGCGCACCATGAGCTTGGCCTCAATGCGCATCGGGTGCGTCTCCTTGGCGCGCATCAGCTCTTGCCGGATCATCGCTGCCTACGCAACATCCTCCTTGTGTCATAGCCGCTCGCAACTTGCATTTTGTACCCGCGCATGGCCCGAGAGCCCCGTGAGGTCCACCGACATGCTGAGGCGCGTGAGAAAGCATTAGTTCGGAAGGTGCTGTGCGTACCGCAGCGACTTGGCCATCCGCAAGCGCTGTGGGCGCGCCACGTCGTCCCCCATGCGCGTCGCTAAAAAGGACAACGCGAGGGAGTTACGACGCAACGAGGCGTTATTCTTCGAGCCTAAATTGGATCCACCGTGCCAGCATGGAGCGGTGGCGCGTCGAGCCGCCCAAGCCGGCGGCGCCGTGGAAGCGGAAGGATCGCGTAGCGCCGGTTGCAGACACTGACGCGACGCTGCACGATGTCCTGGCGCACTACGCAGCTCGCTTGCCGCACGACGCCAGGTCCCTCGTCGTTTCTGGACGGCAATGTACAAACTCGGTGTGGTAGGTCCTCCGAAAGCCGCGTCGATTCGCTCTGCACGCAGTTTGTACAGCCACAAAACGGTGGACTCCCACCGCAGCTCAGCACGGCGCTCGCATTGGAGTTGGCCACGACGGTCTGCGCACGAGGTAGCGACTCGGTGTCTCATGGGCGTGCGTAGATGTTGCGAAGAGCGCTTCCCGCGTCCTCGCCACTCGCCGATGTCGTGACACAGACACTGCTCCACGCCGTGTACAAAGACTACGACCCGCAGAAAGACCTGCTCGACAACTGTCGGTTCGCCGATGCGGACCTGCCCGCGCTAGATGAGGACGCGGCGCCCGAAGTCGACGACGACGCCAATGCATGTACAAAGCCAACGTCGGCGGTCGACTACGGCGCGCTCGCCAAGCTCTGGAACGACCTCGTGGCAGGCGATCGCGGTGGTGACGCTGGCGTCGCATGTCTCGTAAGCTGTATTCAAACGCTACCCGACGCTCACCAGCGCAACATCGTCGAGCGCGTCGCTGCCGAGCTGCGCCCCGTCGCCCCCGACCCGTGTGTCGAGCGGGACGAGACGACGCTGAGGATACGAGCCGACCAAGAAAACGGTGATGACGACGGCGACGAGGAAGACGACGAAGTGTTCTTTGAGCAGTTGGTACACGACCTGCGCGAGATCTACAACCTCTTGGACGCCTACGACCCCCGTGCCCAGCGCAGTGCGCGCTACAAGCTCCACGTACTTTTATCGGGTACGCTTGGCCTTCCGCCCGACGAGCGCGGCCAACCAGACGCGCGGGAACGCATGGCGCAGATCGTCGGCGACCTCGACGCGGAGACGCGTGCGCGCTTGCTCTTATTGTAATAGCTCCTATTTATTATTACGACGCCAATTCCACTATGGTGCCATCTTCTTGCGAGGTTGGTCCGTGGCGTCCTGGAGCTTTCGCTTGCCTTTGCCGCGCTTGGACTCGGCGAGCTCGGCCGTGCAACGGACACACGTGCACGTAAAGTTGTAGCGGGAGCGGAGGTCGGCTTGGCGCGCACCCACTGGTGCGTGGCGCTCGATGTACGAGATGGTGAGCTCGTCGCCAGGAGCAACGTCCTGCGTCGTGAAGACCGTGATGTCCGTCTCGTTGACGTACGTGAAGCCGCAGTTGGGCGCGCACGAGTGGTTGAGCATCGAAAAGCGGGGGAAGAGTGCGGTCCCATCCATGGACGGGAACGCCGACGAATTGAACTCAATGTCGCAGCTGTCGTCCGCCGTGGACCACACAAAATGAATGTCCTCGTCTTCGTCGTCCGAGCCATTGCCGTCGTCGTTTGACGTTGCTCGCTTCCGGTCGTCCGTGGCGTCCGTGGCGTCTGTCGCATCCGTCGCGTTGTCCGAAGCGTCATCGGACTCGTCCTCTGATTCGTCGTCTTCCGATGACTCGACTTCCGAGTCGCACTCGTCTGCGTCCCCCATGTGACACAGCTTCTGGAGCACGCGCTCCAGCAGCGGCGCGGCTTGGGCGACCAGGTCCGCCTTTGCAGCGGGATCGCCCTCGCACGAGAGAAAGTAGGGCACAATGGGCGACGGGACATCGACACCAACAGCGTTGACCTTGGCCCGCCCGAGGAGCCCCACGAAAAAGTTCAAGTCGACGTGGGCTTGGAACACAGCAAAGACTTTGGACTTGGAAGAGAACGCACGCAGCACGTACGCATGCGCGGCTGACGCGACGTCCGCGTCGATCATCTTGGCAAGCAAGGGACACTCTTCGAGGTGCAAAATATCGTGGACGGCGGCTTCCCAGTCGAGAGTGCCCGACGACCGCGCTTGTACGTAGAGTCGGTAGTAGATACGCGCGAGGATGGCTGTGACGAGAGAGAGGTGCTTGAGCTCTGCGTTGTGTGTTTGGAAAGGCTCGCTCCGCTGGAAGGTCGAAGAAAAGACGTTCGTAGGCTGCGCATGTAGAATGTCGCCACAGAGCTTCGAGCAGACGACGCTCGGCAGCTTATCACCCTTGAACTTGGTCAAGTAGACTGGTGTCGACGCGGGTGGCATGTTGGGCAGATTTGGCTGCGCGGTCATGGCCTGAACCGACGCTGGCAACGGTTGCACACAGCGCTCGTCACTGCACATGCCCGAGAGAAGCTGGAAGCTACCGGCAAGGTAATGCAGCTGCAATGGCACTGAGCCAACGAAGCGCTTGCAGACGCAGCAGACAAGCGGCGGCGTGGTCTCGGTCTCGTCGTCGCTGTCGTCGTCGCTGTCGACTTCGTGGGCTGATGCGACCGAGATGGGCGAATCTTTGAGCACGACTTGGTTGGCTGGCAGCGCAGCCTTCGCGTAGACACCGCGGCCACGCGTCGCATCGTGGCGGACCTCGACTTCGGCGGACCCGAGCTCCATGGATGGCTGATTGGCAGAAACCGGGTGCGCACTTCGAAGGTATACGGATGCGTATACGGATCGAATCTGAAACATGCAGCTTCGGACTTCGGGTGAGTCGCTTCATTTTGAGAAATCCACGATGGCCGCCAAGATGCCCCCGATCCGCCACCTCGCGTCCGCGAGCTTCCGCCAGTGGATCGATGGCCTCGACGCCTTCCTCTTCGACTGCGACGGCGGTACGTACATCGCCTGTCTAGCGCATCGAGCGAACGGAAGCTGTAGTCCTCTGGCGCGGCAGCGCGGCCATTGAAGGCGCCAAGGAAGCCATCCAGCTTCTCCGGTCGCTCGGCAAGAAGGTCGTCTTCGTGGTATGTACTGCCTCGGCGAAGGTAGCATTTCTTTATAATCGCTGCGTAGACCAACAACTCGACCAAGTCCCGCGACACCTATGTTGACAAGCTCGGTACGCTCGAGACTTTGAGCCTGGCTCACAGCACGTCTAGCCGGTCAGGGCATTTCGGCCACCGTCGGCGACATTGTAACGTACGTCGTTCCACTGCGCGAGTTCTGTAGCTCACGTACTAACTAGGTCGGCGTCGGCGTGCGCGGCGTACCTGCGCAAGCACGACGTGCAAGGCAAGGTCTATGTCGTTGGCGAGGTGCGTGCATCGTCATGGGATACGATCGAGTGCGATGAATTCCTAATTGTAGGCGGGCTTGGCAGCTGAAGTCTCGGCCCAAGGCTTTGAGAACTTTGGTTTGGAGCACAATGGCAAGACCGAGGTCCCGACGCCGTTCGCGGTGGACCCTGCCGTCGGTGCCGTCGTAATTGGCCTCGACCGGTATCTTGTCCGCGTGTCTTGATCTACTGAATTGAGCGAACGTCTGTAGTGCCATCTCGTACTACAAGCTGTCGTACGCTGCCGTCTCGATCCTCACCAACCCTGGCTGCAAGTTCTTTGCGACCAACACGTACGCCAACCGCGTGATCGGCATCCGAGTCTAATGTATGGAGATAGAGACCCGACGTTCCCAGTCGATGGCGCCGTGCTGCCGGGTGGCGGGACTTGCGTTGCGGCCTTGGCCACGGCCGTTGGCCGGTACACCACCTTCGTTTTTATTCACAAGATGCAACGGATCCATCTAGTGCGCCTGACGCCGTGATCGGCAAGCCGTCGCAAGCGCTTCTGCAAACGATCTTGTCGACGCACAACCTCGATCCCGCGCGCACGTGCATGGTATGACGCGATCAATTGGGCGCTTGGTACGAGATGAACCAATAGGTTGGCGACCGCCTCAACACGGACATTGAGTTTGGTCGGCTCGGCGGCCTTCGCACGCTCCTCGTCTTGACGGGTGTCACCGCGCCGAGTGAGATCGAGTACATTGAAAACGAGGCGCAGCGCCCCGACTTCTTCGTCGAGTCGATTGACGTGCTCAACCAGCTGGCCAAGAAGGAGTAAATCGCCGCAAAACGTCTTTAGTTTGTACTCGGTTTCTTTAGTTGCGGAATCGCGGCACTAGCCTTGTTGATAAACGAAGCAAAGAGCGACGGCTTGGGCGGGGCGTCGGCGGCCACGGGCTTGGGCGGCGCTTTGGCTGACGTCTTCTGCGCTTTCGGAGGCTTGGGCTTCTGGGCTTTTTTCTCCACTGGAACCTTGGCGAGTTTTTGCCACACAGCCTTCTTGGGTCCATTTGTAGCGTGCGCCGATGCAGCCGCATCGTCATCCCGAGGCACCGGAAGGCGCACTGGTGCAGCGTCAGTCTTGCTGCGGCTCATAAACGAGGCGAAGAGTGACGTCTTGGTGGACGTGGCATCCACGCCACGCGACGGCACCTCGTACTTGGTCGCGACCTTCGGCTTGAGGTTGCGGACTGGTGATGGAATGGCGTCTTCTGCAGCTGTATCGACCGCCTTGCGCTTCTTCGACGGCTTCTTGTCCTCGCTGGCCTTGGCCTTCTTTTGGGTTTTCTTGGCTGGTGCGGCGGCGCTGGTCTTTGCCTTCTTGGTTTTTTTGCTTGCCTCGACATCGTCGCCAGCCGGCACTGTGTCGGTAGTTACCGCTTTACGTTTCTTCACCTTGAGCTCGGTAGGGTGGGCTGCAGACGACGCTGGCGAGAGCGGTCCGACCTTCTCGGCCATCTTCTTTGCGAGACGGTCAAAAAAGCTGCTCGGCTTGTCCATCGGCGAGAGGACCTTCGCTACAGGTGCAGACTCCTTCAACTTGCGCTGCTTTGTTGGGACATTCTTGAGCGGGGAGACAACGTCATCGTCATCCACACTCTCGTCGAGTACTGTCAGGGCCTTCTTGCCCTTGCTCGCCTTCTTTGCAGGCACATCGCGTTTGGACGCGTTTGGAGACAAGGCTTCGGGCAGCGCCTTCTTCCTTGCCTTCTTTGGCCCATCGTTCGTCGGTGCAACCGCGTCAGCCAACGGTGCCCTGGACGTCTTTGTTGTCTTCTTTCGGCCCTTCGACGACTTTATCGAGGCGACAGGCTCGCGAGCAGGACTGGGTGGCGGGCTGTATTGGCGATACGGGTCATCGTTGTCATCCCAGTCGGCGCCACCGCCAAAGTCCACCTCGGGCTCGTTGTCGACTGGCATCGGCACGGGCTGCTGGGGCGCAACAGCCTTGGATTTTGTTGCCGTCTTTGCACTTTGTTCGGCATGCTTGGCTGCTTCAGCCTGCTGCACGTCGCGCAGTCGCTGGCGCGCAGCTTCTTCGGCTGCGCGCTTTGCTTCTTGATCGGCGGTGCGCTTTGCTTCCTGGTCGGCTGCGCGCTTTGCTTCCTGGTCGGTTGTGCGCTTTGCTTCTTGGTCGGCTAAGCGTCGGGCCTCGATCTGACGGTGACGCTCGGCAGCCTCTTCTCGCTCTTGAAGTTCTCTTTGTTTACTGGCGTTGTTCTCGGCCTTTTCATCAAGCTTTGCAGCGAGAAAGACGGCGTTCGTTCGGACGGTATCGGCTTGCCGTGCCCGTACTGCGCGAAGACGCGCTTCCAATGCCAAACAGTGCAGATCGAAGGCCCTGCGCTCGCATCGCGCGTCGAAGACGAGCCGCTACATCGTCGCATCAGCTTGACCACCCGAGAGATGGGCCACATGTACCTCGGCCCGTCCGATCTCAACCGCCGCGCTGCTCATCCAGTCTCCGCTCAAAAGCCTCGTTTAACCGGATTTTCTGGCTCTTCCGACTAGGTCCGAAAGCGAACTTAACTGAAGGAGGTCGCTCGAGTTTGGATCTTCACAGCCGCTTCACGATGGGCACCGTCGAGTCCAAGGCGACGCTTGTGCCGCCCTTTGAGCGCATGTCCGAATGTACATATGTCCTCGTATCGTAATATATGAAAGGTGATAATGGGCTAGGGAACCTCACGCGGGTCGAGAAGCTGCTCAGCGACTACTTGGCGAAAGACTTGGACTTTGGGCTCGACTATCACGGATTGAGTTTGCTCCTGGATGGCGACAAGGAGTGGAGCGAGCGCATCATCAAGGCTTTTGGCAGCCAAAATGGCTTGTACGACTGTGCTTTGTTGTAGAAGCGGAACATACGTGCGCGTAGAATCAACGTGCTTTCGTTCATCACTGGCGCCTGCCTCGTCGTGAGCGCGACGCCCGAAGAGAAAGCTGCGCGTAGACTGCAAGTTGTACGCCACAGAAGACTCACGACTGTGACACCTTAGTCTGCTTCAAGGCCTTTGACTTTAGCGGCACGGGCTCCATCTCAATGGACGAGACGGTACGCCCTTGTGGACCTCGTCACCTCACCAACTGACATAGACAATTCTCTTTCTCTGTGCGCTGCGTGGGTACAGCGTCATGCTGGGACTCGGCGCAACGCCCGCCGACGACGCCATGGAGGCGTGCGCGCTTGAAGTCTTTAAACTCGTATCTTGCGGCATGGCGACGGTGGGCTCACATGCTTCGTGTAGTGTGAAAAGGACAACTACAGCAAAATCACCAAAGATGATTTTTTGCTGTGGGCGACCAAGAAAGTAGCCGTCGACCATGCCAATGGTCTTTCCAGCGACAACATTCTCGGTGCCTTTGGCCTTGGGCCATCTCCAGCAACTGGCAAGACAGTCGCGGCCTCTCCTCGAGACGCCGACCGCACTGAAGTCAGCACACCGACAAGTACGAGTGCCGAGTAAGGCGAACAGAGTACCAGCATGCGCGCCTACAAATTTCCAGCGAATCAACTGGAATCTGATGTGATGGAAATGAATGGGCAAAAGATTGCGCCAACTCGGTGCATATCGTCGCATCCGTTGTCTATTGAAGCTAATGCATCGTACGGTATGTTGAAGCAGGGCTAACAAGCTTGAGCGAGGACCCGTTGTCATCGACGCCCTTCGTGTCACCGACAATCCGCGGCGGGACGTCTTAAGTGTCGGCTGATTTCGGGCGGGCAACAATGTAGTACGTTGTACCGAAGTGAAAACGGTGTATGGTCTCGATGTGGAGGCCCGCATCGGCCACGATCTGCAGGATGTCCCGATTCCAGAGACAGCCCCAGCGCTCGGCGTGCTTGGCGGCAAACTTGTCGAGGACGTACGAGAGCCAATCGTAGTGGCTGCGCCCGTGCTCGAGGAGCAGGATCTTCCCGCCATTTTTCTTGCACACGCGCTGCATCTCGGCTAGCATGACGTCGGGGTGGTCGACGCTGCACAGTGCAAACGTGTCGATCACCGTGTCGAAAGAGTCGGTCGGCAAGTTCAAGGCCTCTGCGCTCATGACAGCAGTCTTCATGTTGGCGCGAAGGTTTGAGCGCTCAATTTGAGCGAGCATGCTAGCGCTAAGATCGGTAAGTAGCACGTCAGCCTCTGGCGCGTAGTAGGGCAGGTTGCGGCCCGTGCCAGCCGCCACCTCCAGGATGGACCCTTGAGCATGCTTCAGGAGGAAGCGCCGCATGAGACCAATGCCAGCCATGGTTTCGTCCGTGCCAATCTCTACGTCAACATACACGCGTCGGTGAGCCGAGGAAGGCAAAAGGTACACAGAAGCAGCAACCCACCTTGATCGTACTGGGCCGAGTTGCGGTCGAAACGAGCTTGGCGCTCAGCGTCTGAGATGTGATTTTCCATGTCCTTGCTCGGGTCATACATGTACACGTACGCGGCGAGCACGCCGGCGCCATAGACCGTAAGACCTCCTGCCGCCAAAGCTGCCTTCTTGAGCGCCATGATGTGGCTGTCCGGATATGCTCGATTGGATTACGCAGTCGCCCATGAAAGTTCAAAATCACCCAATTCGTCCTCTCCTGGACTGCTCTGCGTCAGCAGACCGTCGAGTGTCGAGGCTCATGCAACGACGCACGCGTACTCGTCCATTATATATCAGCAACTTTGAAGTCGTTCTGTGGGAAGCAGCCTCACGGTGCTGTTTTCGAATGACTCAGCGTCTCAACCAACCAGCGTGCAAATGAGGTACCACACATCCTGTACGCGACTGTGTACCGTTCTTGTCATCGGATGAGTGTCGACGAGTCGACTACAGTGCGTATATATGTATAGCTTGTGGCAGCTCGTTGAGGCTCGCTGTAGCTCGCAGGAGAACGACTCGAATATTGTTGTCTGGATGATCTGCGCGCCAAGGTTGCGTGTGTTTAACGTACTGCGGACCGCGACGTTTTGGAGGGAACGCCTCCGAGTGGCTCACGAGAGGCGACGTCCCACTCTCACGCCAAATTGGGTATTTTGTGCCTAACTAGGACAAAATATGCGAACCGCCGGTTTGAGTGGTGTGTGTGGTGAAACCACTGCGGCCATCGCAACTTGATTCCCTCTTTCTTTGAATAAGATTCGCTCTTCTCAGGCGTATTTTATTGGCCAGCTGTACTGTGTAAACTCATATCCCGTACAAACCCATATTTCTATTCCGATTGGCGCAGCCGTTTGCTCGGCAAGGATCGCCTGGGCCATTTATCTTTTTGAGCAACATGAAGTATCTGGCAGTCACGGGCGGCACGGTCTCGGGCCTCGGGAAGGGCATCACGATCTCCAGCATCGGCGTCGTCCTCAAGGCCTGCGGCCTCCGCGTCACCTCGGTCAAGATCGACCCGTACCTTAACTGCGACGCTGGCACTATGAGCCCCTTTGAGCACGGCGAAGTCTTTGTCCTTGACGACGGCGGCGAAGGCGATCTCGATCTTGGCAACTATGAGCGCTTCCTCAACATCACGCTCACCAAGGACCACAACATCACGACGGGCAAGGTCTACAGCCAGGTCATCCGCCAAGAGCGCCGCGGCGACTACCTCGGCAAGACGGTCCAAGTCGTGCCGCACGTCACGGACGCGATCCAGTCGTGGATCGAGCGCGTCGCGCAGATCCCGGTCGAAGGCGACGACAAGCCCGCGGACGTGTGCCTCATCGAAGTCGGCGGCACAGTCGGCGATATCGAGTCGATGGTGTTCCTCGAGGCCCTCCGCCAGTTCCAGTTCCGCGTCGGCGTCGAAAACTTTTGCCTCGTGCACGTCTCGCTTGTGCCTGTCATGGGCACGGTCGGCGAGCAAAAGACTAAGCCAACGCAGCATGCGATCAAGGAGCTTCGCAGCGCGGGCCTCACGCCGGACGTCATTATTTGCCGCGCGTCGTCGCAGCTCGAGCCCGCAACGAAGGCCAAGATTGGCATGTTTTGCCAGGTCTCGCAGAACCACGTGCTCAGCGTCCATGACGTGAGCAACATCTACCACGTACCGTTGCTCCTCGCCAAGCAGGGTGCTGCGTCGATCTTGCTCTCGAAGCTCCAGATGATGCACAAGTTTGCTGAGCCGGATCTCGCTGCGTGGTCGGCCATGGCGCACCGCGTCGACAACTACGACAAGCTTGTCAAGATCGCGCTTGTCGGCAAGTACACGGGTCTCCAAGACTCGTACTTGAGCGTCATCAAGGCCCTCAAGCACGCGTCGATGCGCTGCAACCACGACCTCGAGATCGAGTGGATCGAGTCGGTCGACCTCGATACGGTCTCCAAGGTCTCGGAACCCGAGAAGTATGCAGCTGCGTGGGCCAAGCTCAAGTCGTGCCAGGGTATCGTCGTTCCCGGCGGTTTCGGCGACCGCGGCGTCGATGGCAAGGTTGTCACGGCGCAATACGCCCGCGAAAACAAGATTCCGTACCTCGGTATCTGCCTCGGCTTCCAGGTCGCGACCATCGAGTACGCGCGCAACGTGCTCGGCTGGAAGAACGCCAACTCAGGCGAGTTTGACGAGTTCACGGACAAGAAGGTCGTCGTGTTCATGCCGGAAATCAACCCGAACGAGATGGGTGGTACGATGCGCTGTGGTGCCCGGTCGACCGCGCTCGAGACGCCCAAGTCGGGCAAGCGCTCGCTCGCGTCGTACTTGTACCAGAACAAGCCCGAGATCCTCGAGCGCCACCGCCACCGGTACGAGATCAACCCCGACTTTGTCGCCGACCTCGAAGGCGCTGGTCTTCAGTACGTTGGCCGCGGCGACAAGGGTCTCCGCATGCAGATCGCCGAACTCGATCGCGATGTGCACCCGTTCTACTTTGGCACGCAGTATCACCCCGAATTCAAGACGCACCCGAACGACCCGAGCCCGCCGTTCTATGGTCTCCTCCTCGCGGCCACGGGCGGCCTCGACGCGTACATGAAGGATTGCGACAAGCGCTTCGCTGCCTAAGTTAGAAGACTAGCGTAGACATACGATGATGAACCATGGATATACACACCTACCCGTCCTCGATCCGTGTAGTAACCCACCATCTTAATTTATTCGATTATTTATCAGCCCGAATCCCTCTTATTTTTTACAGCGAATCCGCTCGCCCCAAGCACCAAGCGCACGCATCTCGGCTTGTCACGAGCACCTTGGTGCAGGGCGTCATCCCGTCTTGTCGGACATTTGAGCCAAGATCTGGGCCCGAGAATGCATGTCATCGAGCTAGGTGACGTGGAACTAGCCAACGGCCTTTCGTACTTATCGGGATTCCATTTTGCGGAAGCCAATATCTTCCGACGATGGAAGCGCTCTTGGCCGACGAAGAGAACCAGTCCCGGCGTACGTTCTGCCAGCTCTCCTTCGGGACGATCTACGACAATGCGGAGCGGGGCCAGACGTCCGTGTCCAACCTGCTCCACTTCTTTGAGCGGCAGAGCGCAGCCCAGCGCAAGCATGCTGAAACTATGCTCGAGTACGTGAACGACGTCTTCAAGCCCACGGAGACCAATGGCATTGGCGAGCTCCCGGCCTATGAAGAGCAAGGCACGAGCATTAAGCGTACGCTTGGCCAGCTGCAGCAGTATGCGCTGGCACTCCACACGCAGCAGCTCGTTTGGACGCAGGTCGTGGACGAGCATGTCACGCGCCCGCTCTCGTCGCTGCAGTCAGCATCGAGCAGCTACATTCAAACCCTCGAGAACGAGATTGTGCGCGTGAACGAAGAGTATTCGATGGTACAAGCCATGCAGATCAAGGTAATGCGACACTGGAGGAGTATGGTTCAATCCCCCGACCAGGTCAACGACGCTTTTACGGAAGCGAAGCGCCATGTTGCCGACGCCAAGGCCCAGCAGCGCCGTGCGCTGCACGTATGCTATTCTATTACACGAATATCTGTCTGTCTAAAGGCACAGCGTAGGAGATTGGTGTCCCGTCGTTCGAGCTGCAGCGGCTCGCTGCGCGTGTGACCAAGTGCGAGCGTGCGCTTCGCGAAGCGAACGAGGAGAAGGTTGCAACGAAGAAGCTTCTTCTCGCCAAGATCATCGCTCGCGACGAGATGGCCATGGCCGTCAGCGTCGCGTACCAACGCGCAGAGGAAGAGCGCATGGACCAGATCGCGTCGTGCCTCAAGATGTGGGTTTCGGTCGAGCGAGACCAACTGAAGTTCCGCGAAGCCCAATTGCGCGCAATGGACGAGCTAACGACGCGCCTCGACCGGTCTGCTGATCTGCAGTTGCTCATCCACGTGCGCGCTTGATGGTGATCTACCGCCTCGTCATGACTTGCCACGTAGAACCGTCAAAACCCGGACAATTTGCATTTCCAAGGAAAAGCGCTCTCGATCTTGGAGTGGCACTGGGAGCGCGAGCTGCCTCAAGCGGCAACGACGACCACGGACGATCCATTGGACGAAGACGAGCTTGACGCGGCGACCATTACAGCTGCTGCGCCGTCGCTACCGTCCGTCCAAGACAGCCTCTCGCGTCTGTTCGAGTCTATTGTACTGCCAGACGAGGGCGACGAGGTCGAGCTGCCTCCCGGATTCTTTGATGACATTGGGCAATGGTGCGCGACCCACGACGGCCGCCTCGAGTTTGTAAAGACGCTCAATCGCCAACGCAGTGTCGATACGAAGCTCTACCACGTCGGCTGCTTTCGGCACCTTGTCGCGTGCTTTGATGTGTTCTTCGATGCGTGCGCCGCCCAGGACGACGTCAAAGCGGCCAAGACCGCGATGATGTTGGCGGCGACGTTCTACCACGTGCCAATCGAGCACCGCGACGCTGCAAGTGCTGTCGACGACGAGGGCCACCACCGCATTGAGCGCAAGTACGTGCAGGAGGATATCAAGCATCACGTCATTTGGCGCAACGCCAAGTTTTGGGAGAAGGCGCTGCTTCTTGCCATCGGCGAAGAGCTCCACAAGGCACCCCAGGAGGTCCCTTGGGAAGAGCTCCCGACCAACGTACCCCGCAGCCACGGTATACCCTATCCATGCACACTGTCCTCAAACATTTTGTGCAGGCGTGTTTACGCGAGAAGAAGCTGTGAGTCTCGTCCACAACATTGTGGTAGGCAACAGGACCTGTCTACTGTATTCAGCTAATGCCAAACCGTGTAGTTTGGGCAACTCGGATCGTTTACGCTGAGCATGCTGGAGCTGGACGTTCCGATTGAAGACATTCGCCACTTTATCGAGACAATGTGCGACGCGCATGAGCTCACGGAGGACCAGCGCTTCATACTTCGCGCCAACCTTCGCGACATTGTACTCAAGGGCTCGTCGCTGTAGCGCCGTAGTAGTCGAAGAGCAACGTCGCTTGCATGGCTTTGAATCGAGTAGTGTTTTCCATGGGCCGTTGTCCAAGGGGAAGCTGCTGTACGACTGTGGCGAGCGATGGCTCGTTGGTCAAGAGGACGTGAAGAAGTGGGAGGTACACCTGAGCATTGCCCTCGATGCTCGCAAGGTGTAAGCCTACGTCGAGCTGCCGGGTCCACTCGGCGGCGGTAAGTTGACGGCGGTTCAGCAGCCACTGCAGTGTGGCCCCATGAGATAGTTCAAATGCAATTTCGACGGCAAGCGTGATGTACCGTTGACCCAGAGCTTGATCTTGGAACCACGGACCATGGCAGAGCACATCCAAGCGTAGACTCGGCGACGCAACGAGGGCTTGGAGAACGAGGAGGTGGTTGCGACGAGTCGCGAGCACGAAGCCGTGGCCGACACTATGCTCGCCCCAAGTCACGTTGGAGGCGCTGAGGAGTGCAGTCACAACGGAAACGTAGCCCTCGCGACAGGCTTCAAAGAAGGCGTCTTCAGCATCGATAGAGTTCACGGCTAAGAGAGCGAGGACGACATGGAGCTCGCCAAAGTGCGCTGCAAACTGCATCGGTGACAGCTCCTTGACCGAACCCGCTTTGGTCTTTACGAGTACAGTCACTTGTCGCTCAAGGCGCGGAAGGTAGGCTGCGATCTTTTGCGCTCGTTCAAAATCCCATTTCATGTGGTTGACTTCGCGTTGGTCGAGGACCTGCTGCATGATGTCGTCCAGATCTAGGTCGGGCTGGAATTGCACGCGGTCTTGGTACAGCTTGGCGGCGATTTGGACCTCGGCATCTGTCAAGTCCCTCGAGCGGGACGTGACGAGAACGGCGGTGCCTGTGGGCGGTGGTTTGTACTTGCGACCACACAGCGCCTCCCACGTCTCGCCGAGCAAGAGTCCGTTGTGTACCATGCCGTCAGTCAAGGCGGCCAGGAAGGCGTCCTCGAGGAACTCCACGGGCTCACACATGCGTCCGAAAGAAATGACGTAACGGCTTTGGTGGATAGCAATGCTGCTTTATAATTTACAGAGAGGACTTGACTGGCATGTGGCCTTAACTCCAGCGCTTACGCGTCGAAGAATTTGCGGCTGTGGAAGCTGTTGGCGCTGGCTGCTTAATCGGGACAAGGACGCGGGATGGTGGTAGTGTGCTGCCGTGATTGATCGTTGGGACACGGACGCGGCTCGGTTGTTCCCTGCTGAGATAACTATTATCAATCACCAGCAGCGTAAACGAACCTTGCCGCGGGTAGCTGATCTGAGATTGGTTTGCGCGACGGGGCGACCCGGTGCGGCGATGGCTTGGGCTTTGGCCCGGGCGACTGGAAGGTCACTTGTTTTGGCACACGGTTTTCGCCTTCGCCTGGAGTATCATCGTTGTTCCTCATTTTCTTGAGAATGCTATGGCCAGACGCGCCATGTGAGGGGCGGCGAACAGAGAACGAAGCACAAACCTTGGGTTCGTATAGAGGAGCGTCGTACTCTTACGCTTAGCGCTGTGCGCCTGTGTGTGCTGCGTGAACGACTTCGCTGCGGATGCGTGGATTCGTTGGGACCGGCGGAGCTCTTGCACTGGAGTCACGTCCTTCGTGGCACGAAGCGTTGCTAGTTGATGCTCTTTCTCATGGACCTCGCCTTGCAACTGCCGCAGCTCTGCCGCTTGGCGATCGATCTACGCGGAACCCTCAGACATTTCACAGTCAGACCGTGAGCTTGTACTGTGTCCTGGAGCGTCTGCGCTTCGGCTGCATGGGCTTCCTTGGCCAGCAAGAGCTGCCGATGTCCTTGGTGTTGTTCAAGGAGGCGCCACAGCATGCCCCCGAGGATCTCCATGTCCTCTGACCACATGGAGAAGGACATGCGCACGTCGTCCTTGAACTTGCGCATGGTCTTCCGCAGGTCGCGGAGCTGGCCAGCGTACGCGCTGACCGGGTCCATCTGGCGGAGCTTTGGCGGAAACTGCGTATGACGGGCTGCTTCAAAATTTGAAATAATTCCGGATAGATTAACCGGAAAGATGCGTCTTTTGAATCTGCCGCGATGGGAGGGAGCTTGGTGCACGGCGCTGCCTGTGGCCTAGACCATGGGTCAATAAATTTATTGACCCATGCCTAGACCTTGTCAGCCTCGAAAAGGGTTGCCCCAGGTTGACACACATCGACTCTAGATTATAGAGCCATTCTAGGCTCACGTACTGTAGTCTAGTTGTATGGACGCACTCGACTGGGCAAAGATGGATCGCAACGTTCTTACAACAACGAGCTCTACGCGATGGCTGGCGTCGGGTGCGGCGGAGGGAATAGCACGACACTAAAGCACTGAAAGAGGTCTGACGACGAAAAGAACCCGCGCTCGACGGCGTGCATGTGACGCAGGAGAAAGGCAGCTTCCGTTGGTGTGAGATCGAGCGAGAGGCGAAAGCAAACATGCTTGAGGTCGGCGTTGCGGCACGTCGCGTCGTATTGGCCGCCGCGAGCTGCACCCGTCGTCATCTCGCGCGACGCTAGACCCTTGAACGCATGCCGAACGATGATGCTCCCGGTGCGAGACCAGTTGTGCACTCCAACGTCGCGTAGCGTGCTCTCGAGTGTAAGCTTGCGTCGAAGGGCGCTTTGAATGCAAGACGTGTCCCAGGTCGCGATTGGTTCTCCTCTACGCCGCGCTTAGTCGTGCATCAACATTGGACGAGGTACAAAGGGCCACTGCGTGCATCCGAGTGCTGAGCTTGGTTGAGTCCTCGAATGAGCTCTACAAAGCCTAGGGAACACAGCACGTCGTTCAGCATCGAAGGCTCGATATCCGAGGACCTACTGAGTTCCTTGGCACCACTCGGAACTATGCTGCGAACGAAAGCGACTGCGTCGTGCAGTGTTGGAATGGCCAAGCCCATGCGCGCCGATGCAAGTATTTCTGCGATCGCGTCGAGGCTCAGAACGATACAGCCACCGACGGACGGTTTGTACGGGTACAAGTCAAAGCACAACTTGAGCTCGCTGCGCTTCTCGAGTATGCTGTTGACGAGACCGAGCTGCTTCGCTGCGGCCTGGCGCATCTGGCGCTCCTCGACAACCTTCTGGTCCACGCTCGGGTTGGGCTGTAGCGCAAAGGTCAAGTCCTTGTCCTTCTCTTGCACCGGTGACTCGGTTTCGTCGTAGCGTAACGATAAGCTCGACCGACGGGCTGGGTAGTCGTGGCGTGCAGTGGTTGCCACTATTTGGACACTCTTCGAGTCGGTCCACGATTGCAAACTGACGTACGGGGCTCGGGCGTTGTAGGTGGGTCCAACAATAGCGCCGTATTGGAGAGATGCATCGCGTGACGGCGACGCTTGGCGCGAAGAGCTTCCAGCGTCGCAGAGATCGTTTCATAGGCGACGACGCCGTCTTTCCGAGATGACAAGGTTGAGATGGCGGTTGACGCATCGCTCTGGGACATGAGCAGACCTGCCTCCTGCATGGCCCAGATAAAGTCGGCTTTCGAAAGCGACCCCGAGTGGGCCGAATCGATGCGCCGGCATACGCGCAGCACATTTGGTACCTAAATCAGAGGCTGGCAGAGGTGTTTGGAGCAGCGGCAGCACCTTGGCCTCAAGAACATCAATGAACCGCTGTTCTTCAAAGCGATACGTTCGTTCGTCGGCGTTTGCGTTGACATCTCGACTCTCTTTGCCAGCGCTCGCCTCTCCATTTACATCGTGCTGCAAGTGCTTGTAAAAGTCTTCGGCAATGACGTAGCCACGACCAGTTGGATCCAGTGTCCAAAAGAGTCCCTCAATTTCTGCATACCTAAAGTCGTGTAAGTGGAGTACGAGATAGCAAACCGAACCGAGAGACGATGCCCAGCTGAGCCAGTGACTGCCGCAACTGACCGCGTGTGAGCCGACCGAAGCGATCTCCAGGAAATACGTTCCGGGCACTCTCAAGGTGGGTAGGGCCCGTCTCTTTGAGCGTTGCGAGCTTGTGCAGAATGCGCGCCTCAAGGCAATTGTCCGCCGGTCGCGACTCAGTCTGGACGGGCAGCTGCAAAAACGTTGCGCCAAACTCGGACTTTGACTTTTGGTCTGGCATCCGCACGAGGCTGTGGTGGGCTTCGGCGTTTCTACGGTGCACATAAATGCATACTGCAATAATACCGGGCAATAGGACACCTTTGCTCAGTGGTCTTTCCAGCGGCGAAAGCTGATCCGCCGGCACATCTATCAATCGCCATCTTCTTGCCGCGTTTTGCAGGTGATCCAGGCGCCGGAGCGCATGTTGCCCCTAGGACATTTTGATCGAGATCACTCCGACATGGCCATCGATACCATGAAGTACGGACGCTGTCTTGTCGTGTAGCGCTGCGTGCAACGAAGCAATCGTGATGTCGCCATTCGCATTCCTATATGCACCCAGTGAGTTTCGTAAACGAGATTCGGCTCGTACATGTACGGTTGAAGGCGCAGTCGAAGGCCCGTGAAGTCTGCGTTTGACAAGGTAACACCACATGCACCGAGCACAGACCGAAGGTCGTCAGGCGACAAAACATCTCGGCCCTCTTTCGCCTTCTGTGCCAACTGAAGCTTGATGGCGTCAGTGACGGCCAAGACAGCCTCCCAAATCTACGCACCGGTACGTTTTCGCAACATTCGACTGTTGGTTTGGCACCTTTTGGTTGTGGAAAAGCGACGACATTTTCACGCCAAGGAGGGCGAGAAAGCCGCTGTAGAGCAAGCCACACGTGTCGAGTACTGTCGGCGGCAGCTGTGCGTACAGCTGGTCGTATTCCTGGAGCGTAAAGTAGATGCCGAGGTGACCCATCGCAAGCTCAAACTCCTCCTTGGTCAAGTAGCCCGTGCACCCAACGTCCATCTTCAGAAACATGTCGCTGAGCTTGTCGTAATTGATTGTCGCGAGCTCAAGGCCACGGCGGAGGTTTGCGTGTGAATCCATTTGCCCGCTTGATCGGCTGATGCTCGGTACTGGTGACGGTGTGGCGACCGACACGCTTCGTAGCTGGCTCCAATGGCCCATGATCTGGCAAAACGTGTCGATGTCTATTGCAGCGTGAAGCAGCATACGTGAAGTGTGCGATCGACCGCACCGAGCTTCTTGGCCGACGTGGGGCAAAACGCGAGGAAGAGGTCGCGGGACTGAGCGTGCGAGATATCGTGGCCAAAAAGCCGCTTCAGCGCGGGTTGGAACTCCTTGAAGTCGAGTCGGTTATCCCCGTTAAGACTGAAGCGCCGCAGTGTGTCTTCCGGCTGCCGTTGAAGGCGCGCAAACAGCTCAATTTGATGACGAAATCTCTCGACGAGACTTGCATTGTTGGCCAACGCACGAATCAGGTCCAGGTCTACGACACGCGGGTGTGCCACCGCGCAGCACCTCGTACTCTACCTGCAGGGTTCATTGCATCGAGCTTCGAGAGCATTGAAATCGGAGCGACCTTGCGCTCGAAGAGGTCACGGCCAAGCTCGGCCATCGAATGCATAAGCCCAAAGCGTTCGCTTATGGTATCTTCAACAGTCACGACACTTGACGAAATTCGACACGCGTGCTTAACATTCGGCAATCCTCGTCGCCGACTACGAATAGGCACATCTTCAGCTACAGGTTGTCCTTGGAGCCAACAGTATCTCGCACGCAGATGCTACAATGCCCAGGCTCGGTTGTTGGAGCGAGGTTCAGCGCACAAGTAAGGACGCCAGCGGGGTCCATTTACACTATTAAAGAAACATGAATAGTGTATGCGACATCGCCAGCGTCGGTAACAAAGTGACTTTTGTACGGTGCGCGATGTCTCGGAAGTGGGCATATGACCTGAACGCGGGCGGCTCGGCCGCGCTGGAGCCGCTCGGCTGCAACAAGCACACGCTTGACGTACGCCATTCGCACGCCTGTCGACAAGCTGACGTCTGCCACCGTAGGAGTCGCACGGCGCCGTCGCGACCAAGGGCGTTGACAACACGCTCGAGCTCAAGAAGAAGGTAACGCGTAGCAGTCCTGGGCCTGATGCTTATGGCATTTACGCTAGCGTGCGAACGAGGTGGCTACGGCTCCTTTCAAGGGTCTTTTTCAGACGGGCTTTATGATGTGGATGTCTGGATCCTCGATCAACATTTTCAGCATCATGATCACGGCTATGGCCTTCGTCAACCCGGTCAAGGCCCTCTTCAACATCAACGGCGGTATGAGTAGTATCACTTGGTGACGCTCATACTCTGTATAGCGTTTGCCGCCTTGGACGACGGCAAGCTCGACTTGCTTCAATTCAAGCTCATTTTCGTCGCTTGCAACTTTGCAGCGATCGCTGTTGCGCTCTACAAGTGCGGGACCATGGGTCTTCTCCCAACCACAAGCTCCGACTGGACGTGGCTCCTGCCCATCAAAGAGGTTAGTTGCCGCAGTGGTCTGCATCGCTGGACGCTCATGCGTGCGTGTAGGCTGTGGAGGCCTCGGCAGCCGCCGTCCCTGTCTTTTAGAAGCTTCTGAAGAGACGTCTTAGTCTACAATCCATTGTCCTTGGTTGTGTTTGATACATATGACTATGACATGTTGCGGCCGCCAGTTTCGGGTGGGCATCGGTACTCCTCGGGCAGCATTGAGCGCTGCAACGCGTTGAAAGCGAACCGCCGCCGGCCCGTGTTCTTGAGCGCGTTTTCTATCCGCACGCCGCGCGACCGCATCGTCGAGACGATTTCGGGGATCTTGGCCTTGGGGAGCTCGTGGTTCCAGTGCAACAGGTGACCTAGTGGCAAGCGTGGGGGATATGACGATATCATCGTGGGCGTACCTTGTTCGAGGGTCACCGACATGCCCGTTCGATCTTTCGCGCTTTTGCAGACCGTGACGCGACCACCATGAAGCAGTCGCACGATACGCGACGAGAGCTGGAGCACCTCGGGCATTTTCTTGCGGCTGGCCATGCTCGCTTGGACCGCGGCTTCGAGCAACGCCATTGTCTCCTGCACCAGCGCCGCGTCGGGGGTGCCGCCGTGTTGGTCCACGTACGCAGCGACAAGTGGGCGCAGTGCCACGAGGTTGACCTCGTTGATGTAGTCTTGCAGCCGCTTGTGGTTGTGCGTCGACATGGCCAGCGTCTGCTTCTCATTGATGCCCGTCGAGAAGAGAAGCGGGTGCACGACGACCGTGGCCTTGCGCCGCGGCACGTGCACCTTGCCGAGACACTTGAGCAGAACGCGTACAACAAACTCGTCGTCCGTCGACTTCGCGTGGGCGTGCGTTCGCGCACCCAGGAGCGCATCGTCCATGTTGGTGTAGAGCTCGACACACACGACGGGGTTGCCCGCTTTGGCCTCGCTCGGCGACGACGCCCGCACGTCGTCTTCGACGAGGAGCATGCGGACGCGCTTGAGCGACGCGACGGCCACCATCATGTCTTCGAGCATGCCGATCTCGGTACCGTGCGTCGAGAGGAGCGACTCGACCTCAAAGAGAAAGCCCATGTAGAGGAGTTGGTCCAGCGGCGCCTGCTTGTCCTCCGAGACGATGAGCTGCAGTTTGTGGCAGAACGCTGTCACGAGCGTCGAGAGCGCCTGCGGTACGACGACATCGAGGCGCGTCTCGATGGCCCACTCGAGCTCGACGCGCTTGCGCTCCGACTGCGAGAGGTACTGCCACGTCGACGGAAACATGTTGGAGACCTTGAGCGGGCTCCGAAGCTTTGTGGCCGCTTGCTGCATGCTGTGGAGGCCGCCGTTCTTAAACTTGTGCACATGCGCCGCAAAGGCGCCGACCGTGATCGTCTCGTAGATGGCGGCGTCGGCATGGGCAGCCTTGGACTTGGCGACGTGCATTTCTTGGACATGCAGGTTGATCGGGAGGAAGCGCAGGAGCGAGTCCTTCTTCTGTGTGCTCGCCTTGAAGCGCAGTTGTCGCGACTCGCGCACGTACACCACGTGGCGCGCCCGCTTGAGCAGCACGACGTAGTCACGGCGCAGCTTGGCGCGTTCGACGAGCCAGTCGCGGCACTGGCGACGGTCGGCCTCTTCCTGGATCTGCTCGAGCAAGTTTTCGTAGAGCGAACCCATCGACTGCTGTCGCTGCAACCGCGACGCTTCGAGGGCGAGAAACTGCTTGAGCTCTTGCTCGGCAAGGAGGTACTCCTTCGTGCGCCGCGCGAGAATGATGTCGAGGTATTGGCACGGAATCACGTTCGTATACGGGCTCTCCATGAGATCTTCCACGACCAAGATGTCCTGGTCTTGCAAATGAAACTGCGCCGTCAGGAGCGTGTCGGCCGGCGACGTAAAGAGCGTCGTTGTGTGGGTCTTCGGCGCGTTGTTCTGCAGCATCGAGAGGTGGGTTCGCCGAAGCTCATGGTCGCGGACCATCTGGATGTCGAGACGGCACGGCAGCAAGAACGAGCAGTTTTCGGGTTTGCTCCACACTTGCAGCGCCTCGGTAAAATGATCCATGTGGTCGAGCAGGAGCTGCGACTCCATCTGGAACGAGCACACGCACTGGTCCGACGGCGACACAAAGAGCATGTCGTCGTCGCCTTGGTCCTCGTCGTCTTCGTCATCCTCATCGTCCGAGTCGCTCTCTTCTTCCAGGTACTCGAGCCCATCGAGCGGCGTCGAATGCGCGCTGCTGCTGCTGCTTGCGTTCGACTTGATCGTGTTGGCGCCGTAGTGCGTCGAAGGCGTCCGAGCAGTGTACACGAGAAACCGGACGGGGATCGAGCTCGTAAGCGGCAGAAGGATCTGCGGCACCGACAAAAAGGCCACGTGATGTTCGTCGCGGACCGTCTCAGGGACCAGCGTGTCGGTCGAGTCGCCGCGCACCCACTGCCCCGCATCATCTTGGGTTTCGATCGCCACGTAGCAGCCGCGCGGGATGTGCTGCGGCACGAGAAGCCGGAGCGAGACACCAAAGCTTGAAGCTTGGCTCAACATCTCGGCGTCCAGCTGCTTGATGAAGCTACGGCTCGACGACGTAACAACGGAGGCGGGGAGATCGTCCAACATCTCGTCTTCGTTGTCATCCAAGTACGTGTCGGGCACAAGTACAGTCGTACCACGGTCGAGCGGAAGGTCTTCGGAGCCATCGTCGCCGTCCTTCTCTGCAAAAGTGATGCCAATGATGCGCGGCGTGACGACGGCTTCGCACGAGCAGTCGGTCTCCTCGTCGTTCTTGCGGAGCGACTTGGTCGCCGAGTTCCACTGGAGAAAGATGAAGCAGCATGGCGGAACGCACTGGGGGAGCCAGACGGTCGTGAGATACCAAACGTAGTACGGGACTTCGTTTTTGACAAACTGCATCGAGAATGCAATGAGGTACGTGGCCGTCACGACGCCGATGAGCGACGTGTAGAGTCGCAGCGCCTTCATGAGGTAGATTTGCTGCGGCGAGTACGCGATGAGCTGCATGATCTTGGAGCCGCGGTGCATGACCATGAGTCCGAGGAAGAGCACGCCGAGCGTGAGGAGCGCCGAGACCGAGTACGTGGTGTTGGAGAACCACGTAAAGAAGGCCTGGTCTGCTAGCGAGAGGTTTTGGTTGGCCATGTAGCAGAGCGCAAAGTACGGCTGGATGTCCGAGAAGACGTACTGGAACGTCGTGCCGTTCTTGCACGAGTACACCGCGTCCTGCATGTTGGTGGTGCTCTCGGCCTCGTAGACCTTGCGGATCGTGTCTTGGTGGACGTTCGCAGCGCCAAACTGGAATGCGTAGTAGCACGCGTTGAGGCACAGAAAGAGCACAAAGAGTGTAAACTTGGGCAGCTTCCGGACAGGCGGCGAGAGCACCGAGGCCCAGTGGCAGCAGACGCTCAGAAGCATCGTGAACGCGAGCGACGTGACGCCGCACTTGATCGTAAAGTAGTTTTCCATGTGCTTCATGTCTCCCGCGATCCACAGCACGTTGTTGACGAGCCCGAGAAGGAGACCGGTGACGGCTGTGATCGCCGTGATGTCGCTAAAGATCGCAATCGGGTGGAACGACCAGTGCATGATGCCAAGCCCGTGCTTGAAGAGCATAAGGAAGCAGAACGTGAGGCTCAGCACGAGCAGCACCAGCGAGATCCAGTTGTAGGGGCTCGAAGGCAGCGACGTCTGGAGGTCCTTCATAATTGTCGTCACGACCACGCCTTGGGCCAGCATCGAGTCGCCAGCGGAAGCCGTGATGTTGATGGACGTGAACCGCGCTTGGTACAGCGACTCTGGGTTGCGCACGTTGTGCACATCGATGAGCACGGACGCGTTCGGCGCGATGTCCTCGGGCAGGGTCACGGTCCAGACTCTCGGGTCGGGCTTGTAGGTCGCCACTAACGGCCGCGTCTTGTAAAAGAAAGAACTATCGCCCACCGTGTAGCCGCTGTTGAAAAAGTCGAGCTTGAGCTGCGTCTGCTTCGGCAGCAAGACGTCCGAGAGAAAGATGAGCGTCGCGTTCGACACAGCTTGCGAGAGGATGTTAGCCGTGAAGAACGCAGGCTGCGAGATGCGGCCCGCGTTCACGCTGCGCACGTAGCCGGCGCTAATGTACACGCGGTACTCTTCGTTCGGTAGCTTGGCGGTAAAGTAGATGGGAAAGTGCTCTGGCGGCAGCACGCTCTTGGGCGTCGAGACGTTGGTCAAGACCATGCGAAAGCGGGCGGCGCTCAAGGCAGCGACCGACTTCAAGTTCAGGCCAATGTACGAGTGGTCGCCCCACTGCATCGTTCGACAAAGACCGCTGACAGGGTTGGCGTTGACCGTCTTGGAGTCTTGGATTGTGCACCCACCCGATGTCGCGCTCCACGCCCACCCTGTCGGGATGCGCACAAAGATCTCGAGGATTGACGTGCCCGTGGGCTCGCCGTTTGATATGAGCACGCGGCTGTAGTCGTTCGGGTCGAATGTCATCTCGACGACCGCGTTGGTTTGGCCCGGCATGTTGTTCTCGGTCGCGTCCCACGTGTAGTCTGTCACGTAGCCTACGCAAGCGCTTGGGGGCGGCGTGAGGTGATCGCAGGCGTACCGTTGTTGCAGCACGGCTTCGTGCACTGCCATGGGAAGTTCTGGCTGGTATCGTTTGGAAGAAAGGCGACGCTGCAGAGGTCTTCGTCGAGACGACAGCCAGGGTACTTCAGGCATGGTTTCCACGGCTTGCGGTTCTTCTTGTACTCGTCTGCATCAAACCGGCCTGTACATCGTCATCATAAGCCCATGAACCCCATACGTATATGCACGCACCGTTGACGCAGCAGGGCAAGGCCACGCAGGCACCGCCAATGACACTGTTTTGCGGGCCGGGCTCGCAGCAGAGCGGCGGCTGGGTGTTGGTGCTGTTGTTGATGCAGCACGGCTCGCACGTATACGGTTCTTGCGCCACGTTCGCGTCGGCGATGACGACGAGCGCAACGAGCAGCACGAGGTATGTACTCCGGCGGGCCCACAGGGAGCGCCGAGTTGTCGCCATCGAGGAGGGGAAGTCGCTTCTTCGAATGTCCTGGCGACCTGCGATCCGGTTACCGCGATTACTTACTGTTTGTATGAAATTTCAGTCGGGAGCCAGTTCGGTCGACCGTCTTTGTGTCCCGCAGCCATTGCTCACACTGCGTCGACCGGCACCAAGGCCAAGCGAATGCAGTACCGGGTAATGCCATCGACTGTGCCAGTCGGTCGACATTGCAGCGAGCATGCAGTGTATTCAAGACATTATCGCTTGGAGCGGCAAAGTAGCTCATTGCATCTCCGTGTACATACGCAGTCGCAAGCACAGCAGATGGGCCTTGCGACCGATACCCGACCATTATCCGGTGTACGTCCGGTTGACCGCATTCGGCTTTGTTCTGGGCATGATGGAGGTTGCGCTCGCGACCGCCGTCGCCAAACGCGACGCGGATGGCAGCCGGCGCCACCTGCAGGTGCTCTCGGATGACAACGTAGACTTTTGCTCCAACGATTATCTTGGCTTTGCTCGCAGCCGCGAGCTCGCCGATGCGATCGCGTCGGCGCCGCACGGCCATGGGTCCACTGGCTCACGCCTCGTGACCGGAACGTCCCAGCTGCATTTGGATGTCGAAGCCGAGCTTGCTGCCTTCTACGGGTATCCGTCCGCCCTTGTCTTCAACAGCGGATACCTCGCCAACTTGAGCGTGCTCTCAGCAGTACCACAGCCTGGTGATTTCGTCCTGTACGATGAGCTTGTGCACAACTCGTGCCGCGAAGGCCTCCGCCTCGGCCGTGCTACGTCGGCCGCCTTTCGTCACAACGACATCGAAGATCTTCGGGCGCGCCTCGCGTCGGCGCCGGCGACAGGCAACCGTGTTGTTGTCGTCGAGTCTGTCTATTCGATGGACGGCCACATTGCGCCACTCGTCGCCATGGTACATGCGCTCGTTTTCACACGACATCCTTATCTAACATGATGGTAGGTACGACTGTGCCGTGAGTTTAATGCGGCGCTCATCGTGGACGAAGCGCACGGTGTTGCTGTCGACGGACCGCAGGGCGCCGGCGTCGTCCGGGCGCTCGGCCTCGAGAAAGACGTGTTTTGCACCGTGTACACCTTTGGAAAAGGCATGGGCATCCACGGCGCTGTTGTTTGCGGCCCGCTTGTGCTAAAAGAGTACCTTGTCAACTATGCGCGGCCGTTCGTGTACAGCACGTCGCTGCCGGCGTCCGATATGGTCACGATCCGCGCCGCGCATGCCTATTGCGCCAGTGCTGCTGGCGACAGCGCGCGCCGTCAGCTGCAGTCGCGCGTCCGTCGTTTTCGAAGCCGCGTGCGCGAGAATGCGGTGGCAATTCCGCCCGCGAGCTTGCTCCACAGCTCTACTGCAATCCAGGGCGTCGTGTGCCCAGGCAACGCGCGCGTGCTCGCGGCCGCCGCCCATCTCCGAACGCAAGGCTTCAACGTCGTCGCGATCCGCGCCCCTACTGTGCCCGTGCACAGCGAGCGCTTGCGCATCATATTGCATGCGTACAACACGGATGCCGAGATCGACGCTCTTGTCCAACACCTGGCGGCGTTCTTTCTCAAGCACCCGGCATCAAGGCTGTAGTCGCTAGCAGTTGTGTACGTAACAGAGAAGAACAAACTTGGTGCTATACTGTCGCCCACAATGGTATCGCTTACGCTGAGCCACCGAGGCAAGAGCAGTCTTGCTGCATGCACCTTTAGAATATAAAACCAAAGAAGTACGGGGCACTAGTCCTTGAGGCAGCGCGGTGCCTCCACATGAAACGCCTCGTCGGGCCGCATGCGAGCCTTGCTGTCCCCAAAGAGCTCGCGCTCTTTCGCATCGTAGACATGGTTGAAGAGCTTAATGACCCCGAGAAGGGCGACGGCGCCGATGACAACTACAGAGATGGATCCGCGGCAGCCGATATACGCAACTCGTACCGATATGTGCGAGCAGCAAGAAGCTGCCGATCGGGTTCTCAGCCAGCATACTGGTATTGGTCTGTCTGGATCTTGGACCGAAAAACATGGAACTTAATTCGATCTTGAAAAGGCATATTAACGGGCGGCGATCTCCTGAAGGCGAGAGAGGAGCCGCGAGCGTTCGGCGCTCTGCGCTTGGAGCTCAACGACGTCAGCCGTCGTCGGCAGGCAACGCAACACTGCAGCGCTCTTGGCCTCGAGCGCTTCTAGTTGTGCAATGACGCCGAAGATGCCAATGTCCCCGCTCTCCGAGTCGGACTCGTATACGCAGCTCATGGCGCGGGAGGCGCGCCGCGTGCGAATCGCTGTTTGAGAACCGCCGTACGGCAGAAGCTCGACCATTTCTTCAATTGCTGCGCACGTTGGGCGCGCTTTGGCGTCGCCCTGGACGAGCTGCAAGACGAGATCCCGCGCTGTCATGTGCATCGTGGGCGGCAGGATGCCATCGCGCGCCTGCATGAGCGTCACGTACTTCTCCATTTGCGTTTCAAATACGCAAAACAGCTCGCAGAGCACGAGACCGAGGCTGTAGAGGTCGGTGGACGCATCGCAGACGACGTCGCCGCGAATCTGCTCCGGACTTGCATAGAGCGGCGTGCCCACGCCGGTATCTTGGGCCAAAGTCGCCGACTCGCGCGTCGCCAGGCCGAAATCGCCAATCTTGACACACGCGCCTTCGGTGAGGAAGACGTTGGCGGGCTTGATATCGCGGTGCACGAGGCCTTGGCTGTGAATATACTTAAGACCAGCAACTAGCTGGTTGAAGATTGCAAAGTTGGCTTGCACGTCGATCGACTTGCGCTCCTGTAGCCAGTGCTGCAGCGAGTTGCCCTTGTACAGTGCCATTTGAATGTACACGTCCATTTGGAGTGTGACCGACTGGCGACGCGGCAGTCGTGGCGGCGACACATCGTCTTCGCTTGCCGTGGACGACGTAGTGCGCTCAAACTCGACTCGGTCCAGGGACGCGTTTATTTCGTCCTCGTCGTCGGCCCAGCTCAAGAACGAGCTGTCGTCGTCGCATTCCGACTCCTGCGCCGACGGGCGCGTGTGCGCTGACGAAGCAGTGACGACCGTGCCAAGGATCCAAGTGTTGTAGTAGCGACACACGTTTTCATGGTCAAGACTCGCAAGCAAGTGGACCTCCCGCAGGATTTTCTCCTTGATTTCAGTCGGCTGAAAGATGGAGCGGGGCGTGAATTTGAATTGCTGGATCTTGATCGCATACGCCCGGCCGTCGACCTTGGACTTGCATTTGTATACTTTTCCAAATCCTCCTTGAGCGACAAGCTCGTGCTCGGTGAAGTCTGTTTCGAACGGATTCTGCCGCCCGAATTCGCCGAGGCGTGCGACCTTGGCGTCAGAGCCACCAAAGAGGTTGCTCTTGGCGATGACCTTGTTAGCTGGTGACGAAACGCATCGGCTGAGAGCGACGCGGCTGAGACTTGTCTGGGTCTGAAGTGGCGCAACGCTCGCAGGCCGTGTCAAGCTGCCTACTTTGCCGGGCTTGTCCATCGAGACTCGGTAAAAACGAAATGCCTTCGCAGAGCGAGCACCGTTTCCAATTCAGCTTTCGCGAGACAAAAATATCCTTATCGCCTACCTTTTAAACCTTTGACATATTATTTTGTTCTCCGCTATTGGCCAGTTACTGGACGCCTTAGAAAAACAAAAAGATACTAAACGTAGCCATTTCTCTTGAGCTACAGCTCAAAAAGTATCACGGTATCACTTGCTCGCCGTCTGTTTTATCGGTTATTTTTAGCTTGCGATGAAGTCGAAAGCGGGATTCGGGGCGGCAAAGCCGCTGCCAGGACAGCAAGGCTACAAGGCGAAGGAGTCCCAACGCCTAGAAGCCGATGCGCAGCGCATGGAGGAAGACCTTCTTCGCGTGCGCGAGCGCATGGCGCTTGAGGTGCAGCAACGAGAAAAAGGCAAGGCCAAGATGAAGGACGGTAATCGCTGGCGCAGCGCGCGAGAAGACCGCGGAAGCGTGCGAAAGTATGCACAAGACGTCCGTGATCGACCAGTTGGCGAGAAGCGCAAGACGAAGAGCCACGCCCCACCGCCGGGCCCTCGGCTAGACGAGTGGACCGTCGCCCAAGTTCTCGAGTGGCTTAGCTGCGTCGGCCTCGGCCACCATACGTCAACGTTCGAATTCAACGAGGTGTCAGGCTCGGTGCTCATGGAGATCACACCATCCGACTTGGACTACCTGCAAATCACCGACGCGACGGAGCGCAAGGCGATCTTTCACCAAATCGAACAACTGCGACGCACCTCGGGGCCACTGCCTGTGGTCAAGGTGCCACTACCCGCAAATGTCGTGGACGATAAGCTTCACGACGCCAAGTTTCTTCCACTCGCCGCCGCCAAGAAAACGAGACACTGGTCGCAGTTGGCGCCCATCGCTGACAACCCAGTCGTGGGGGCGCCAGGGGCACCAGTCAACCTGGCCGACGGTGACTTCAACGAAGCTGACAGTCACGATTCATTTTTGAAAGCGCTCCTGGAATGGCGCACCACGGATGCACAGCCTGAGCATGATGACAATGGGTTCTGGTCCAACCCACTTGGACACGACACTGGGGGTGGTGCGCTTCTCAGCGGCCAGTTTGATGAAGAGCAGAGTCACGCAGCTTTTCTTGATGCGTTAGCTGCGTGGCGCCGCAAGCCCACGGACAACTACAGCCGTGGCCAAGCTCCCAAGGAAACGACGCAAAGCAGCACGGCGGGTAGTCCCATCGAACCCAAGCGAAGCTGCTGGCAGTGCTACGGTCTCTTCAAAACGTCGCAAGTGGTCCTGGACGCGTCGTCGCGCAAGGAGTTTTGTTCTGACCAATGCAGAGACCGGTTCCGAGTCGAGTACGCACGGTTCTATGCGCCTTCTTCGCTCACCGGCAGCGATTCGCACCGTCAATAAATTCGTCATGTTCCTCGCCCGTGCTGCTGAAGTGCGACAGTAGTAAGGCAGTATTAAAAGTCTAAGCTGCGTGTAATAGAATAGGGAGCAATTTTTCGTGTGTGATTTTCGTCTCATCGAGTGGCGTCCAGAGCAGCCGCCTCCCGCTTCTTCTTACTTAGCGTCGTGAGTGTTGTAGAGATTTGCTTGACAGTGTCGCGGTCCATTACGCCATCGTGAGTGGTGTTGTCGCCGGCGGAATCTAGCATCCGGGCTGGACAACGAGTTGCTTTGGACGGCACTCTACCTTCGAAATCGCGAAGCATGTGTGGTGTTGCGGCACCTCGATGGTGGCGTCGAACGACGGGTGACGCCTCGGCCGAGTGTTGGGGGAAATACCATTCTTCCTTGGGTTTCACGCGAACGTTGTGGGGTGATGTGATCTCATTTGGCTTGGTCCACGATGCCTACCGGAGTGAGGTCACGTATTGAGACGATGCGTACCAGTGTGGCTGCCTTGAGTGATGATGAGGATGCCTCAGCGGTTAGCTACAGCATAGTAGAAAAAGTCAGGCGCATTGTGGCCGTCGCGAATCAGACCCCTTCCTTGCTGGACGCACTGCTGCTGTCGTTGAGAAAGCGACTGAGCTCCACTTCGACACGCTCCAAGGCTATCTCGATTGCCTTGACGCTTTCAACGTTGACAGTCTCGGACGTCACTTGACTGACGATTTGCTGAATTCCAGCTTTTACGGGGTTCACAATTTGCTGAATGAACTCGTATTGATCTCGCGCCTTGTGCAAGAGCCGCTCTTGCTTTTGTAGGGCCACAAGTACGTCGTTGTCATCTTCAATAATGAGGCGCCGGGTGGTACGGCCCCGGTTGCCTTGAAGCTCAATTCGCAGCGCGTCCTGCCACAAGTGAGGCGACGACGTTTCTCGAATAAAATCGTACGATGCGACGCTTGACACTCGCCAAGTGCTCGGTTTGGGTTGCCTGTCGCTCTTGAAGCTCGTCCCGGAGCTGCTCGTGCGCTTTGCACATCATGACTATCTCATTTGGGTCCACACGGTCGCCGTGCAGGCCAATGCGGCGAAAAGCTTCTTCACAACTACAAGCACGCAACTTAAGTGCCATCATTGAAGAAAAGTGTTGGACCGCTTGTCTTCGAGGCGAGAGACCTCGAGCGCCTTCACCACCATGTGCAGGCTCCACCGCTTGCCTAAATACGCTCGCACACCACGCAAGGTGCCACTCATTTGCTCACTCATAGTCTTGTCAACGCCACAATTGATGATTGCGGAGCTGCGTCGGCCGCCCACGATGTCGGGAATCGAGTCGATCTACAGCGCTGTTTTGAAGAGCGAGTGCGAGGGGCAACGCTACCTGTCGCTCGTAAAATGCCTGAAACTTGGCCTTCTCGCGCAGCCATCGCTCGCGATATGAGAGCTCCGTCTCGAAGAGGCGGACTTCGCGCGCGATTGTGGCTTTAAGCTCGGCGAGGCGTGACTGCGCACTATTGAGCGCCTCGCTTGCGACAATTTCGAGCCGATGCAGCTCTTGTATTCGATGCGACTTTTCGCAGAGGTCGTGGGTGAGTTGGTGCTGCACCGTAATGAGAGCAGTCTTCTCCATCTAAGTGCACAACTCGTCGACTGTATCCCACTGGCAGTTGCTGAATACTTCGTGGCGCCGCTTGATATGCTCGTAGGACAAGATTTTGCGCACGACAGCATAAATTTCGGTCGTCTTGAGCGCCAGCTTCTCCTCCAGATGCCGAATTTTCTACAACGATGAGGTCTCGACGCGCTCGGTTCGCACAGGACGTACCGAGTTTTTCGCGTAGAAGGGCCGGCGCGAGTACGACGCGATCGTTTGTAGTCGAGCTACGTCATCGAGGGTCGACTCTGTGATGCCAAGCGCCGCACACTCCCGTCGTAGGTCCAGCAGCGCCATTTGCGCTCTCGCCACGTCGTCCGACTTTTTCGCAAAGGAAAATTGGAGTTTGTCGGCCTCCGAACGCTTCGTGTCGACGACCTTGCGCACAGCAGACTCGAAATCTTTTATGAGGTCTGCGGAGGACGCTGCCTTGGCGTGAGGTTGGCGCGCACCCTTTTGAACCATCTTAGCTGCTCGGGGCGGGGGAAGTGCCAGCGCACGGTACGGTGCCACCGGCACTGGTTCCGCGACCGGCGTGCGAGGGTGCGTTGCTGACGACGGTCGGGTCCCTTTGGACGTTGGCGGTGCTAGCGCCCTGGCTTCAAGCACAACGCCTACGACTGTCGCGCGGTGCTTGGGCTGCCGCTCATCGCTCATCTAGCCGCCCTTCTGCACGGCACGTGCCGGTTACGCGTAACAACAAACGACTGACGAGGAACGAACGGCCAATGGGGAAACAACCGACGTTTATATTCAACGCAATTCTTGTGCAAACATTAATGAAATCCTGAATGCTGTAGACATTTGGTCGATCTGGACATGCTTTGAGTGATGCCCTCTGTCGCCCGAAGAATTGGACAAAATGGCCTTAATATAATGCGTTGCTCGGCTTTCGAAAAGACCGACGGAACCACCTTTCTCTTTATGGCCTTGATTGCCCGTGACCAGCCAAAACTCAAGGGTAGCCAGCTCAGCGCTGTTTGCGATCGTTAATCCAGGCAGAGAGAACACACCGTGGAGCTTCCTGTGACTCTTGAACCTGTCTATCTTGAGTTTCCCCACAATTTTATGGAGTAGCCGTCGTATTTATCCCACGACAGAACGAGTACGAGATTGATTTGACTTGAATGTTAATTGATATGCATTGGGCGTGGGATTGTCGAATGTGCTCACATCGATTCTCTGAAGCTATGGGACGCCGAGAGCTGTCGCCGTATCGGGACGTGCTTGGGCGTGGGCGGTCGCTCGACAACATCAACAGTATCGTGCTCGTCGTCGTGGTTGCGCCGGTCCCGCGATCCTCGAAAGCTGCGTTTCTGAGTACTCGAGCTTCGAAAGCTGCGGCGAGTGAAGGTCGGCTCTTGGAGCGGACTATGGCACGCCTCGGGTTTGCGGAGCTGACGAACAAGCGTACCCCTGAACCTGGCCTGGATTTGCGTCGCCGCTTGACAGCGAACATCCCGCAAGTCGGTCGGGCGCGGCTCGTCAACGATCGTTCGCATCGATTTGCGCACTAGAGTTCCACGGATGTGCGCCTGGATTCGACAGATGCCGGCATGGTCCATCGGCTTGGCGAACGACGGAAGCGGGCGCACAACGTCTTTCGAATGCGACCGCGCGTGGCGGCGTGTGAGGGCACCGCGGAAATGGGCCTGAATGCGCGTCGCCGCAGCGTTTGTGTCTGGCGCTGGTCGTGAAGCGTACGAATCCACGCGCATGCCCAAACTTCGTCGCAATTCCATCGTATTTCGACGAGCGAGGGCCCCGCGAATGTGGGCTTGAATGCGCATCGCTGCAAGATCGACTCCGTCGTCCTCGGCTTCGTCGTCCTCGGCTTCATTCTCGTCTAGAGCCCCTTGCGGCACGTCCTCATCGTTTTCGTAGGCTTCATAGTCGTCGTCATAGGCGTTCTCGTCGTCGTCATGCTCCTTCGGAGCGCTGCCATGGGCTGGCGTCGCACACTGGCTGTCACCAAGCAGTTGCGTCGTACTGTAGTGCTGCTCGATAAACTGACGCATGTCGTTCTCCATTTCTGCAAGCTTGAAGAGTACCGTGTCAGCATGATCTGCTGTTGTTGGTCGGCCTGGCGACTCAATCAGCAACTTTTTGCTAGGCGTCAGCAAAACTCGTGGTAAAAAATCAGTCGCTGACGGCGGAGGCAGCTCCGACACGACGACGGAATCGAGCGCCAACGTTTTGTGCGGCTCGCGTACAGAAAAGCAGACCGTGCCGTCCGTGCGATCCGTAAGCGTGCAAATATAGTACGTCCCCTGCAAGACGTGACCCGTCTCCCAGACAACGACGGCCGCAGAGGTTGGAGGCTGACAGAGGCGCACGGCCCCTGTGTCAACGAGAATGCACGGCAGTAGCATTCGGACTGCCGCATCGACTGTTGATGCCGTCACATGCATCTCGCGCAATGCTCGCTGAAGCTCGTTCGTCGTGAGCTCGAGGCTAAACGTCTGGCGTGAGACTGTGTGCTGAACGTCAAAGCGAACGCCGTCAGCTGCTGATGACACAGACACCGTGTAGTCCTCGCCATGTATAGAGCACGGAGCGACGAGGCAGAAGAGTGTCTCCAGGGTCAAACCCGCGACGGAGCGCACTTCGTTGAGAGGAAGGTAGAGCATCGAGCTGCGCTGCTCGAACCGGACGCGGTCGCAGAGAAGCCGCGATATCGTCTCCACGGCAAATTCTTCTTCAATCGAGACGACGTCCTTGAGCAGCCCAAGCATGTCGTCTTTGGAGACATACAGCTCGTACGTCGTCTCCGCGCTCCCATCGTGGGCCGAAATCGTCATGCCGTACATCGGGGCACTGGCAACGGTCACGACAAAATCGACGCCGTCGATGGTCCGGCCCTTCTTGAGAAGATGTGATTGCCCTTGCATCGGTGACTTGGGTGTTGCATGCATGAATTCGCTTGATGGGCCCCATTTGAATCGCGGGCTGAGGTGGTCCAGCACGGGTAGCCCCGGGCGCGTCCCCACCTTTTTTGGCTCGAAGGCAGGCTTTCGAGCCTTGTGACGGCACTTGGGCGGCACCGTCGTCGGAGGAGTTGCGACTTTCACGTTGATTGTTGGCAAGCTCAAATTGTAGTACTGAAGGAGGTCATCCTCTTCGTCGCCGAGCGTCTGAGCCTGCATGAACGCCCGCGCATTCTGCATCGTGGGGTCAATTGTGTTTTTCGATGTCGTTGTGGCGGGCGGACTTGGCTTGAGCAGAGGAAAGTTGCAGATTGACTTGAGGTACTTGACGCTCTGCTGCCACTCCTTGCGCAACCTCGTGTTTTTGTAGTGCGTTTTGGTTTTGCGCACGCGACGCGTGATCGCCTACACCTCATTTCGTGACTCCTCGACTACGTTGGCACGCTACCAAGTTGTCGCTTTGGATTTGCCGCAGTCGCTGCGTTCGAAAGGTGCCATTTAGAGACTTCTTCAGTGGCGATGGCGCACTTGGCTTGAGCGGGCTGGGGTGACGCGGGCTGTGGTATACCGTGTAGGACACCGTGTTGACGGACGACGCGGGCGACGGGTGGAACTCCCATGCAGAGCAGTGCATGACGTCCGACATACGGTTGACGAGCAAGTTGTTATGGCGCTCGATCTCATCAAGCCGGTCTACCACAAATTAGGGATAACCGAGATGCACAAATCTACCTTCCACCTCGCGCTCCCGCTTCATATTGTGCAAGAGATGGTACATTGTCGACGTGCGGGGCTTGTGCGTGTCAATCGCCGACCGGGTTTCCTGGAGCTTCTTGCGGTGGATCGCCTTGGCGACCTCGAGCTCCCGGTCACGGCATACCTTGCTACTTGTCTTCTCGGCCCGGTGCATCGGGCCGCCACCGTGTTGAACGGTCTATCTTTACACCGGTTTTGGTTTCCTATGTTTAGTGGCGCCATCCCTCGTACGGTTACGTCAGGGATCGCACCGCCTTCCGGGCGCGGCACATCACCAATATTATTATTCGAATTGGCGCCAACGAGCGACCTCCGATATTCGGAGACTGTCATATCCGGCTTCGGCGCACGCACAAGCATGATGAACAAAGCGAGACTCTCGAGAGCATGCTGGCTGTCCACCAGCGCATGGCCACTGAAGCCGCTCCATCTGCAACCTTTGGCCTCAGCCCCATCAGATCTGGAGATAGCACAGGCTCAGGTTGGTCCAGCCTACACTAGACAGAGACGTCTCATGCTGCATCAAACATTGTGAACGATAGAAGCCAAAGCCAATTGCCCAGTTGGCAACTGAGATCGGTTTACATGACGAGGAGCTTTCGTTGCACGGGAAGTACAAGGCGAAGGTGGCGCTCTCGGTCCTCAATCGGCTTGAGAATGCTCCCCAAGGCAAGTACGTCGTCGTCGGTGGAATCACGCCAACGCCACTGGGCGAGGGCAAGACGACGTGTGTGATGGGACTGGCTCAAGCCTTTAGCGCGCATCTCAACACAAATAGCTTTGCGTGCGTCCGACAACCGTCACAAGGCCCGATCTTTGGCATCAAAGTACCGCTGCGACGCGGGGATGCACAATCAATGCTACGTCGTAGGGCGGTGCGGCGGGCGGTGGTTATGCTCAAGCCATTCCCATGGTACTCATGTCCATGCATATCGCATTGCGGCGACTAACCCGTACTTAGGACGAGTTTAATATGCACTTGACCGGTGACATCCACGCCATAACAGCCGCCACCAATCTTTTGGCCGCCGCCATCGACGCCCGTATCTTTCACGAATCTCAGCTGACAGACGAAACGTTGTACGCGCGTCTCGTCTCAAACAAGTGTGCTCCATCACAACCCAAATTTACCCCGGCCATGCAGCGCCGCTTGGGCAAGCTCGGTATGTTTTCTTCCTGCAGGTCACGCATACGACGACGCGTGCAGGCATCCGGGGCAATGACCCAGCTGAATTATCAACGTGCGATCGAGCTCGGTTCGCCCGACTCGATATTGACCCGTCGACACTCACCATCAAGCGGGTGCTGGACACGAACGACAGGTTCCTGCGCCAAATTTCAATCGGGCACAGTCCGACGGAAAAGGGTCAAGTCCGGAGCACCGGCTTTGACATCAGCGGTAACTATGTGTATTTGCGTCAAGATCCTTGTTGTAACTCGTTGTAGTCGCGAGCGAGGTCATGGCGATCTTAGCGTTGGCGCGCGACATGCTCGACATGCGCACTCGCATCGGTGCTATCGTCGTCGGCTTTAGTCGCGACGGTGCTGCGATTACTGCGGACGATATTGGCGTCGCGGGGGCTATGATGGCTCTCATGAAGGACGCGTTGCAACCAACGCTCATGCAAACGCTCGAGGGCTCACCAGGTATTGTCTACGACCGACTTGGATTCCTGCGCATGACGCCGATCTAGTGTTCGTGCACGCGGGGCCGTTCGCCAACATCGCGCATGGTAACTCGTCCATCATTGCGGATAAGATTGCGGTGCGAAAAATGAGCATCCCGAGAGCGAGCTCATATGCACAACTGTAGCTGAAGCTTGTGGGGCGAGACGGCGTCGTCGTCACAGAGGCTGGCTTTGGTGCAGATATGGCAATTGAAAAGTTTTGCAACATCAAGTGCGCCAGCAGCGGTCTGCGTCCCGACTGCATCGTGCTTGTCGCGACGGTGCGCGCGCTCAAGATGCACGGCGGCGGTGCACCCGTTGTTGCCGGGAAACCAATGCCGGCCGAGTATCTCACGGAGCGTGTCGACCTCGTGCGCACCGGGTGCGCCAACCTACGTGCGCAGGTACAGATCGCCGCGTCTTTCGGTGTTCCCGTCGTCGTCGCTGTGAGTCCGTTTATGCAAGATTCACCAGCGGAATTGGACGCGATTATCAACGAAGCAAAGGCTGCGGGCGCGACCGACGCTGTCGTCGCCCGCTACCACGCGCTCGGTGGTCGAGGCACGGTCGACTTGGCTGAGGCTGTCATCGCTGCTACGTCGTCGCCCCGATGTCCGTTTGTTCCAACGTACGACTTGCAAAGCTCCATCGAAGCCAAGGTTGATGCCATCGTCCATATGATTTACGGTGGCGGTGGCAGCGATTGGAGTTCGCTGGCAAAAGCACGTGCAAGCTGGTACACTGTGCTGTGCATTGAATGTTTGGCGATGGTGCCTTTAGGTATGCGTCGAAAGGCTTCGGCGACCTCCCCATTTGCATGGCCAAGACGCAGTACTCACTCTCCCATGACCCGGCGTTGAAAGGCCGCCCCGTCGACTTTATCGTGCCTATCACGGACGTGCGCTTGTTCGCTGGCGCTGGCTTTCTCACTGTGCTAACAGGCGACGTGGCAACGATGCCAGGCCTCGCCACGCGCCCCAGCTTTCATGATATTGATGTCCTCCCAGACGGCACAATCACAGGCCTCTCGTAGCTCGAACCAGAATACTTCGTAGCTCAAACCAGAATACTACTTCGGCGGATTATCCGCCTTTAGGTCTGGGAGGGTTTAAGCAAAAAAATACCAAGATTCAAGCATGGGGGTCGTATTATGCATTAGTACTGCACTTCATTGCGCAGGACACGTGTCGCTGCCATGACTTAGTTGCGGCCACCGAAGCGCTCGTGCAACTCGGCAACATCAATGTCGTGGACCTTCTGGTAGCCGTCCGGCTTGAACAAGTAGACACGGCAAAGACCGCCACTGTACGAGTCGCGGTACGTGGCTTGGTAGATTGCGTTGAGACCGAGCTCAATTGCTTCGTCGTCTTCCAAGTCCCACCGGTAATGCGTGTCCAAGACACCGTACGCGTACGTGCTACCCGAGCCGACAGAGAACTTCGGCTTCTTCGCACTCGCACGCATGCGAGACCCTTCGTCATCGACGTAGTAGAGCGTCGGCTGGCCGTCGTCATAGCCCATCATCATCATACCAAGCGAGAGGCCGTACGACTTGTAGTAGTTGCACGTGTTGGCAATGAGCTTGCTTGCGGCGCGAATCGAGATGCGGTGGCGGTTGCGCAACTCATACATGCGGCACTGCACGGCGAGGTTACGCTGCCAGTACTGACAGTCGGCGGCGCCACCGGCAATCGTCGCAAGCATGTATGGAGTGATCTCGTTGATCTTGTCGACGGACTGCGACGCGATGAACGGTCCTTGTGTCGAGCGCGAGTCGACGGCTGCGAGGATGCCACCCTTGAAGCAGAAGGCCAGCGTCGTCGTGCCTTTGTCGAACTTGAGCGTCTGGTCATTGTCTTCGTGGTACTTGATCTTGAGGTTCGTGCGGCAGTAGAGCGCCGGGTCAGCCACAGGCGGCAGCATGAAGCTGTTCATGCTACCCATGCCCTCAACCATGGAGCCGCTGGCGTCTTCACCCAGCATCTCGTCGTGGCGGGACTTCTTCAGGAAGGGTAGCGCGACCGAGTTCATCATATCTTTCTTCGGCCCGAAGCGGTTCGACTTGTCCGCACCGCAGAGTCAAAGGGGGGCTGTACGGCACGTACGGTGTACGCTGTACGACAAAGTACGTTCAACGTACACGCATTCGATTGGCCGAAATCCATGGAACGAGCGACTTCGCGATCTTCTGTCGACACGCACTTCACCGATGCTGGAGGCCCGCGAAGGCACCATGCTACGCTGGGAGCAGCGACAAACGTCCTAGAAAGCGCATAATGCAGCGGGCTTGAACAACGGAGCAGACCCGGAGCCGGTTCACGGCATGCACACCCACACCAACCCGGGCTCAATTATCCGGATGCGTGAGCTGTCCCTTTCGCAAATCTCCCCGCTGTCCTCATGGCGATGCAGTGCCGAGAGCTAGTGCCGAGTGAGGTTGCTGCTGCATTTGGCGACAAAATCTATACTGGTGTGTTGGAGATAGTTGTGCTTGGGGGCGTGGCCTCAAGCGATTTCGGTTACTATGTTATTCTCCAAATGCTGGACAGTTTAACTTGGTTTAACCCTCTGGGCTGACCGTATTAATAATTTTATTAATAATTCTGTTTTGATTGTTTACCCATCCGATTTCGAAACGAACAAAATATATGACGCTCTTCCTCGCGAACGAGAGCGTCGCGGGTGATGAGGCGCTACCGTCGACCTTCGAGCTCATCATGCAAGACCGCATGGCCGGCGGCTTCAAGCCCGCGGCACAGTACCTCGTCAACGTCCTCTGCGACACGTACCCGCACCTCGCGTCCTCGGCGCCCGTCAAGCACTTTCACGAGTCGTACGCGCTCTTGAAGCTTCTCGTGGAGCGCTATTGCCTCGCACACTACGACAGCCTTCTCTCGGAACGGTTCTATGGTGTTAAGCGTGTTGCGCTTGATGGACCGCTCACGGAGCGCGGCCGTCACCTTGGGCTTCTCTACGACATTGGCGTGCCGTACGTCAAGGCCAAGCTCGACACCTACTATCACAGCCTGTTAGCCACGAATCTTGGCCATCGCGGCGACGGTGAAAGTGATACGGACGGAGATTATGTGCCTGTTCCTGCCGAGCTCTTGTCCCCGCCGTCCAAGATGGAGCGCTTCTGGCGACAGTGGACGACGCTTCGGATGTGGGGCCAGCTCAAGAGGGCGTTTGTCGATGTCTACCCGACGGCTCATTTTACCTACGAAGGCTCATTTCTTCTATATCAGGTACATGCACGGCTCGTCGCTCCCTCGGTCACTCATGTTATAGTGGATGTACCTCTTCGGATACACCCGCCACTTTACGCCATTTCTGCGCGCGATGAAGGTCGTGTTCGCGCGGATTACGCCCCACGACATTGTACGTCTCGATTTGTCAACGCGCCTCGTGTCACGTGCGGACTCTAGTCAACGTTCGACCAGAAGCGGCTCATCCAGCGTGCGCATATTCTCCAGGAGCTTAATGCGCGTCCGAGTCTCGTGAACGGCCTTCGCAAAATGCTCTACAAAGCGACGTGGATGACACTTGATCACTCGCAGACGATTGTCATCTTCACGATCATCGGCTTCAAGTTCATCGAGTGGATGTACTCGGACATGAACCCGCGCCCGACGCCGCATGGCCCCAACAACTGCCCGCCGCCTCCACCGCCGTTGCCGCCGCGGCTCAATCTGAGTGCGATTGCCATGTCGTCCGAAGTAGTCCTCTCATTCTTCTTTCGCACGTTCAAGTCTATATCGCGTAGACCCATCGCTGCGGTTTGTGCCAACGCCCTCGCACGAACCCTGCCAGCTGCATCTCGGGTTTTGTGTTTTGCTATCCGTGCATTTACGAGTACGTGATCGACCACGGCGAGTGCCCCGTGACGCGCCTTCCATGCGACGTATCGTCGGTTGTGCGCATATACGAGGATGCAGAGCCGTCGACTTGATATAAATGTGTTAGCGGCTGGCTTCAAGCTGCGAAAGGACTTGGTCGTATAGCTGAAACTTCTTTGAGATACTCTCCATGACGTCTGCGTAGCGCAGAAGCAATGCCTCGACCTGGGCGTGCCGCGCCAAAACCTGTTGGCCCAAAATCAAGTTGGATGTTTCTGCGCGCGTTAAGGTTGCATGTGTCGCAGGCGCGATCGCGGGCAGTGCCACGTAGCGCCCAAGCTCCTGGATCATCTGTGCGTCGGTCGACATCGTCTGGACCATGTCGTGAGACGTCAAGATGATGATCTTGGTAGTCTGCTCGAGGCTCCCCGAGGCAGGTTGTGACTGGAGCTTGAGCTCTCCGAGGAAGCCTGGCGCCAATAGCTTCTTGTTTTGCTCATCTACAGGCATCATGAGCGATGGATACGAGACTTGGGTCCTGACAGTACATGCGAGGTGCAAGGGGCCAACGTTGGGCGGGTCGATGCTGTTCTCGACCTGATGGAGTTTTTCAGAAAGCTCATGCAGACGCACGTGCAGTGACGGCACGTTTCCCGTCCCAGAGACCATGCCTACGGCGCCGTAGAGATCGGCTAGGCGACGTTCGAGCGAGCTCAACTCGGCGTCCATCGTGGCGTCGTCACGCATCGTTGACCGAGTATTTATGTCATTTCAAAGGACCTCTGATGCCGTATACTAGTACAAAGCAAGCGTTTAATAAAGCAATAAATAGCAAGGTGTGCTGCGAAACGACCGTCGGTTTCGTGCAAAATATTTCCTCGAAAAGTAGTTTTGCTCGCGATGCACGGAACAAAGCGGCCTCCGGCCAAGCTCGTGTACAAGCCGCCGAGCGAGCGCGGCCTTGTGACGGCCAAGGAAGCGTCCAACATGAACCGCTCAACGAGTGGTATTGCTGGTGCGCTCGACACGCTTGCAGGGCGCATGGACATGCTCGAGAGAGAGATCAAGGCAGATATGAAGGGCAAGAAAGACTACGAGGACGAGCTCTTTAAGATCAATACGCGCAAAGAGGACATTATGCGGAAGCTCGCTGAGTGCGAGCGCTGGAACGGCATTTTCCAGAGTAAGATAAAGCCGCTCGAGAACTCATACCTTGCGACTACCGTCGAGATGAGCGAAGAGTATGACCAAGCTAAGATCAAGCACGCGCAGGGCCTCCAAGTTCTCATCGACAACTTCAACTACCACCCCGAATACAAGCGCTACAACGACGACTTTTCGGCGGTGCCTTTTCGGCCCAAGTAGCATATTGCAAAAAAGAGACATGCCTTCTCGGTTAGTGTTTCACCGACTCGCGGAGGCCCTCAATTTCAAGCGCACGCGCATACGGCATGCGACGCGACTGCTTCTCGACAACAAGGGACGAGTGTGACGGCACAAGTGCTGGCACCATGGCATTTGCCGTACGAGACTCAACCTCGAGCTGTCCGACACGGGCCTAGTACAAACAGGAATAATTATATCGGCCATGCGGCTCGGCAGGGAACAGACCTCAAGGTACGCAATACGATCACAAGACAGGCGCAGTGCTTTCTTGGCATCGGACGTTGCTGCTTCAAGCTCAGCGTCGTGCGCAGCCATTGTTGCCGCTAGACGTGCCTTCAGGGTGTCAATGCTACGTGCTTGTTCCGCCTTGAACTCATGCAGACGTTCGTTCGACTCTTGTTGGAGGAGCGTGAGTTTTTTGTTCGCTTCTTTTGAGAGTAGCGTCACATCTGCATCGTGTTTTGCACTTGCATCGTGGAGTGCATGCCGGAGAAGCGCATTGGATACGTGCGCAGCTGTTGTGTCGCGCGTAGCTGCCACCAGCTGCGCTTTGGTGATTTCGAGCTGGTGCGTCAAAACTCCAAGCTCGTCCACGGCATCTGCAGCTTTGGCCTGGAGGTCGTAGTACGATGTGCACATGCTCACAGTTGGCTTTACAGAAAGCTGCTGGATGTTGCCTTTTTGCGCTTGGTCAACCATTTGATTCGAGTCCATGCGCCAGTGGGCCCACTTGCCCCACCTACGCGAAAGGAAGTGTGTGAGACTATCCGCCATCTCTATTGTTTACATACATGCCACACGCCGGCACGTAATGCACGACATCGTTCTTGGAGCAGAAGAAGCACTTTCCATCCTTAAAGGACGGCAAGACAGACGAAATACCGCAGCCGGACGTCGTCTCAGCCTCGACCATGTGTGTCGATGCTTCCGAGCCGGGGGAAATCCTACTTGTTGGAAATGTACAGCGATATTGTCTACATAGTTCTCGAGAGCGTACGTGGTGTGTGTGTGTGTCGGAGATTTGACCGCGTTTCGGCTTGCCAAAATATGCGGCTCGAAGCCAGCATTGTACTCCGACACGATCTTTTCGAGAAGCGGAAACTCGCGGTTGAGACCGTCCTGCAGCTGTGGATAGAGAAAGCATGTGCGCTGTAAGAAGCCCACAAGCTACATATCATACATAGCAAATTTGACTCCCTCGCTTGCATAGGTGGCCTACCTGGCGCCACGCCAAAACGAAGCGACTCACGACTCCGAGGGCAATCATGGCCGAGGCCGCGAGCAGCGTATACCCCACGCTATGAGCTGAGAAAACGATCCACTCGGCCGACATCACCAGCGACATGACCCACAAAAGCACTACAAAAGAAATGCATCCCCGGTGAAAGTACTTGCGATCACGTACATGCGCCGATGCACGGTACGACAGCCAGCATGGTCAGCTAGCATTTAAAACATGTGAGTTGGTGCGGAACGTTCCGTTATGATGTTGTACGCGGCGTGTGGTCATGACGAGAAAGACGGTGACGCCAGCGCAGTGGCTAAACCACGCCCAGCCAGTCGCTTCGTCGACAAACTTGAACATGTCGGGGAACGAAGCGAAGCTGCCCAAAGTAAAAGCGCCCCAGAGAAGCACACCCAAGAAGAGCGTCGTCCCATTCATGTCGACTGTCATTGTGGCCTGGGGACAGGATAATGTCGCTCTCGTTTTGTTAGCCTCGAGAAGTGTTCGGGACACCTACGCCAAGTCTGTTCGAAAATCACTCAAACGATGGAAGAATACCGCAAGGCTAATGCGCTCGCTGTTCAGACGTTTCCGAAGCACAAAGCGTTCGCGCGCGTTGTACTCCGAGTAGTACGAGATCGTGTTGAAAATCCATATCACAGGCGCGCAGTAGAAAAACGAAAGCACGGTTTCGAGCTATGGTGCAAGTTAGTGCGAATCCATGGGGACAAATGTCACCTGGAGCGTCGACGGTCGCAGAAAAACGGCCACGTAAAAGTAAACGACGGCTGTGGTCCAACTGCCGATAGCAGTGTGTACAAAGCCCAGCGGTGTGACTTTGGGAATCGTGTAAAAGGACAGTCCAAAGAGGACAAAAAGGACATCCTGCAACAGCTTTCGTCAGAGAAACGCCCTCTCGCAACGACATCCGTACCCATTGATGCAAGACGGAGCGCTGAAGCGCGTACATAAGCAAGGTCGAGAGGCCATTGCACATGGCGACCATGAACATGAGGCGCTCGTCAGTCTTGACCAGGTCCTAGGGCCATTCAATCGTGCATAAGAATTATTGGTCGCTTCCTCCACTCATTACCATCTTGACGAGGATGTGGAGGCCGATCTGCAGCACCACAAGGAAGAGTCGGGCAGGAATCGTCACTTGCAAGTTCAGCGGGTCGTGCTCGACGCTGTCGCTGATGGCGAAGACGAGGTGGCTAATCGCGGCAGGGATGAGGCCACGCAGCCAAAGCGCCTTCTGGCGCGAGTGACAGAAGGCCTGGTAGCTCTGCTCGAGGTCGCCGTCCTGGTAACGAAGCGTGTACTTGTTCACGCACACCGTCGTGTGCTGCATGATGCTGGCCATCGCCTGCTGCACGATGTCCTCGCTGCAATGCGACCTGGCTGATTACGCCCATCTCCGGATTTCACGGCGTAGAAATAATATTCATACAATACATACAAAATATTATATATAATATAACTTGAGAAATCAATTCCAGTTCCGGTAGGCCAGCAAGTTTTTTATCTTTTACGAATACAAAAGCTCCTGAATCAGGTCCTTCAGATCGACTTATTTTAATCTTGTCACACTTTGCCGAGGTATATCTGCCTCATCTAAGGACTAAATTCGGCGAATGGGATTTGATCGGTTCGTCAGCTCGTCGGCGTCGGCTCGTAGAATGTCCGCACAGGTCAAGAGGGTTGAGTTGGTACAACTGCGCAAGGAGCTGTTCCGAGTAATTCGCTATCCCGAATGGAACTTATTGCGCCATTGCAGGTGGCAGTTTGGATTGTATTGCGTGGAAATCGAGAAGGATTACGCACGACACACAAACGAAGACACGCATACTGAAAGCGTGAAGCCTCGGTCTCGGGTGTTTCGTCGCGCGGTCGGCGGAACTATCATATGACTGTGAAGCCTCCAAGATTAGGCAAATGAGATGGTGCGAGTCGCACTTTCTCGGCCTACCCGCTTTTTGCATTGCCTCAAGATTGTCACCCCCAGGCTGAAGGGAAAATGAATATAATTCGTGCGAATGGGCATTGGACGCAAATTACAGCGTCGCAGGTCGGCGGTCCCGATGTAAAAGCGCATCCATCGTTCGAGTTGATGCGTGTTGTCCAGTCCGTGGGGCAATGGCTCTTTGAGACGAAAGCAATCGCGACACTCGTGTGCGTGATGGGTGGCCAATTGAAATAGCAGCTCGTGTGACCATTTCTGTCTGCTTCACTGCAATCCCCTCTACCCCTCCTTGCCCCGACGGCTTAGGAGCTAGCGTGCGGCAACTATCTCTCTCCAAACTCAACAACTTTTTGCCTTTGTCCCTTTTGGTTGCGGAATATTA